TATTATATTGCTTTGAACCATCGCAATAACTAAGTCAGATAATATTTGACTTCTCTAGACAAACTAAATAAAATTGTTTCGGTATTCAAATATTCTAATTCCACATTTAAGAACATTTAAGAACATTTAAGAGCATTCATATATTTCAAAAATATCTATTAGAATATGTGGAATTGAAATGATATTAAAACGCGGTGTACAAGAAGACCTAGCCTAACTAAATGAAATGAAACAATAAAAATGTTACTACTCATGGGTATGTATAATCATACCCATGGTCACTATGCTTGCCAAGCACGTATACAACTAGTAGCCCGTGTCGATTCGGACCATTCGTCCTACGACATGATTGGGCTACCAGAGGAACCATAAAACATGCGACTCACCGTTCGCAGATATACTCTTCTTCAGGTAGGAGGCTGCCTTGTAGGAGAATACTGAAGTCGTGAAGAAATTCATCTGTAACAAAAAAAGAAGAATTACGGTTAATTTTGAAAATTATAAATTTTTATTCTAATAAAATTATATATGAAATTGAATTTTATAAAATATTAGCAATTAAAAAGAAATCTCAATTATCAAGGCTTGAAATTGTAAATTATTCTATTTTAATAAAAAACAATTAAGTGACGTACCAAGACGGAAGTCGTGAAGAAAGCCATCATCAGGATATCCAGGAACTCGGCAATCAAAAAATTCATCTGTAACAAAACAAAAAAGAATTACGGTTAATTTTGCAAATTATCAATTTTTATTCTAATAAAATTATATATGAAATTGAATTTTATCAAATATTAGCAATAATAATTAAGAAGAACTCTCAATTATCAAGTATTGAAATTGTAAATTATTCTATTTCAATTAAAATTAATTAAATAAAGTAATAAGATACTTACACTCTTTCCTTATGGAGCAACACCCAAGACTCCTCTTCAGTGGTGCTTTGACTCTACTACCGGATATATCGAGCAATAAAAAAAAAGATTAAAAATAAAAATAGTAACGCGACCGTGAATAATTTCCGGCGAACAATTATAAAGACTCTACTTTCACGATGCAAAAAAAAAATCAGAGCCGCGATGCTCTAGAAAATATTTTATAATGCGCAGCAAACACTGACTCTACTTTCGCGTGATTCCTAAACTGTACAAAACAAACGCAACTCTATTCAGGGCCAGTTCACCCTTGAAAAAAATGAAAACATTGGAAATGTGTTCGTACAAACACTGACTCTACCGACCGCATTGCGCGCGGCCACAACAATTCCTGAAAGAAAAACTTAGTGAACAGGGATGGGCTGGGTGGAAATATACAAAACAACATTCTTCTTATTGAACATTCGTAACGGAAATACTGTTATTAATGACTTGTAAATGAAAATATCTATGCTCGTGAAATATATTCGACGAGCACAAATATTGTTAAAGGTGAATATTGATCCTAGATTGAAATGAAATGTTTTAAATAATTGTTGATAATTATTTCAATGAATATTACATCGATAGAAAATCATTTTGTAATAAAGATAATAGACTATTATATTAAAGTAGAGGATTTTTGTTGTTAAGATTGTAAGCATACTACAAATTGTTGGAAATTCTTACAGCATGATTTATAAATTATCTAATTCTTTTCAATAAGCAAAGTCCAATAATTAACCATGCTTAAACAGCATGTGATTTAAAAACGTGATTTTATTTTAATTTAAACTTGCATCGAAAACTGGATATTATAATATAATTATTACGATTTAACAAAAATAGATTGTTTAAAATAATTAATAATTGCAGAAGAGAAGCAATCATTTGCAGTAGAATACGAATTATTTCAATTTTGTTCTAGTTTAAAACAAATGTATTAAAATACTGGACGAAATGATTTAATAAAATGAAAAATTAATTATTCTTTTTCTATGAATTGGTTAAAGAAAAAAAATGTCTCTAATCTTTTCTTTCTTGACTTTGGTAGCAAGTAATTATCAAATATGCATACAATTAACAACGATTCAATAAAAAACAAGTAATAATAAATGTTAATAATTGATTAGAATAAATTAAAACAATAAATTTTTACGAAATTCTATTTCAATCCCATATCAGGTGTCATGGTGTCCTTTCAATATCCATCAAATATCTGTAACAAATAAGAAATACGAATTTATGTAAATAAAATTTAATCAACAATAATAAAATTATTACTAATAAACGATCGAACTATAATTTATGCAAAATATTTTAATAGGTAGAATGCGCACCTACTACTTATACGGAAGGATGCTCTCAACACGTCTTGTCACTTTGACGTTCGCGAGAGAAATGGCGAGACCTTCCTTCCTGCCCTAGCCCGATCAGCACCGTTCGGTATTATTCGGTAATGTTCGTCCCCAGCCGAACCGAAGCCGGTAGACGAACAGATCTCATAATATTACGATGCTCAAGAAAGAACGTTATTAAATATCAAACAGTAAATTGTGTGAAAGAATATTGATAACGTTCAATATTGGTTAGGAAATTAACGATATAAAAGGGAAAGTAATTCAAATTCTGCTGTTCCAACCTCATTGTAAAATCGCGGCAAGAGCACAAATTCTCAACTCTTGTATTTTTGAAGAAAATGCCGAATTAATGTCAAAGATCAAGAATCTAGACTTCTCTTCGATGGTTTTTTCTGTTTTTTGTGCTTTTAACACCCGATCGGCAATTTAATTTAATATTTGATGATAATTTAATCTTACCTGTTGCAGACACGTGAAAGACGGACGAAGCTTCAGAGAGGACTGATGCACTGCGCCACAAATCGACGCACTCGCTCACACAACGACGTGTCTGATTGGTCGAAATGAGAGGACGCCAACATGGCGCGACCAATCACAGCCATCGATGGAAGTTTCAAAGTGCTTCGAAACTTTAATGCTAATCGTAAGGGAAAGGTTCGTTAAAAATTATCGACGCCATATTGAAATAAAATTAAGATTACTTTTCTCAACTTTAAACACCAAAATATAAGAAACAAAGTAGAAACAATGTAAGATATTGACGGGATTTAAGAAATTATTGATATAAAAGCAGAATAAATGAAGGAAATGTATCTAATTTAATTCGTATTTATATCGGCGTAATAGTAAAAAACGAGAAAATCAATTATCACGATATATAACAACAAATTACGGGAAAAATCTACTAAAAACATGAAAAAATGCAATAACATTCGAATAATTATTGATATAAAGGGAATATAATTCAGATTCTGTTCTTCGAACTTCATTGTCAATTCACGGCAAGAGCAAAAAACTTCAACTCACGTATTTCTAAAAATAACCTCGAATTAATGTCAAAAAACAAAGAACTAGACTTCTCTTCGGCTATTCTTTCTCTTTTTTGTATTTTCAACACCCGAAAGACAATTTAATTTAATATTTGAAGATAATTTAATCTTACCTGTTGCAGACACGTGCAAGACGAACGAAGCTTCGAAGAGGAATGCTGTACTGCGTCACAAATCGACGCACTCGCTCACACAACGACGTGTCTGATTGGTCGAAATGAGAGGACGCCAACATGGCGCAACCAATCACAGCCATCGATAGAAGTTTCAAAGTGCTTCGAAACTTTAATGCTAATCGTAAGGGAAAGGTTCGTTAAAAATTATCGACGCCATATTGAAATAAAATTAAGATTACTTTTCTCAACTTTAAACACCAAAATATAAGAAACAAAGTAGAAACAATGTAAGATATTGACGGGATTTAAGAAATTATTGATATAAAAGCAGAATAAATGAAGGAAATGTATCTAATTTAATTCGTATTTATATCGGCGTAATAGTAAAAAACGAGAAAATCAATTATCACGATATATAACAACAAATTACGGGAAAAATCTATTAAAAACATGAAGAAATGCAATAATATTCGAATAATTATTGATATAAAGGGAAAATAATTCAGATTCTGTTCTTCGAACTTCATTGTCAATTCACGGCAAGAGCAAAATACTTCAACTCACGTATTTCTAAAAATAACCTCAAATTAATGTCAAAAAACAAAGAACTAGACTTCTCTTCGGCTATTCTTTCTCTTTTTTGTACTTTCAACACCCGAAAGACAATTTTATTTAATATTTGAAGATAATTTAATCTTACCTGTTGCAGACACGTGCAAAACGAACGAAGCTTCGAAGAGGAATGCTGTACTGCGTCACAAATCGACGCAGTCACTCACACAGCGACGTGTCTGATTGGTCGAAATGAGAGGACGCCAACATGGCGCGACCAATCACAGCCGTTGGTACAAGTTTCGAAACTGTAATGCAGTTCATACAATAAATATCAGTGAAAAAATCGAATAATGTACATTTTTTAGCAAACACCCGTCTTGTATTATATTTTATATTATTATAATTATGTAATAAATAAAGGGGAATATTGCTTTAATAACACTTTCCTATGGCGTGATTTTGATACGAAATATTTAAGAACATATTATTCCAGATATTAATTTTGACACTTATGTGCAATGTATGCATAAGCGAAATGTTAATATATACAAAAATTATAATCGAGCTGCGAATGATCGCGCAGTTGAACGCAGAAAACGAACGAACTGCGCCCTACACAAAAAACGAGAAACTAAATTTGTGGTCTGTTTTACCTTTTTGACGTCTTTCGCGAGTGAAAATTCAACGAAATCGTAGAACACACTATTTTTCTAAACGAAAGCTTGTACATACATACACCATCTCCTTAGTGCTCGTTTTGCTCTATCCGATCCAAAGAATGGCGCGCTGGTCTCTATTTGGACATTCGATTCGCAAAAATGTTTATATTACGAATAAATTAATGCCGGTGAGTCCGATACGCCATTTTCTTGACCGTGGACAGACAGCAATTTCAATATTTTATAACTTTTTGACGATTTGGATAAAATACGGACCAGCGCGCCATTCTTTAGGGCCTCCCGAACACGTGCTTCAAATTTCTTTGCAATCTGTTCAGCAGGAACAAAAAATGGTGTGTTCTACGTTCTAGGGATTTTTCTAGGGACTGTCGGTAAAGTTTTCAACGCTAGCATCACCCTAAATAGGATTTTACTAGGGACCTTTTGACGTGGAACAGCTGATTGAACATATATACGTTATTCGTCTGACTATTCTCAACTGTTCTCAACATCAAGATGGCCGCGGTCGTGAGAGTGCAGTAAGGGTTGTATGATTTTTGGCATATATCGCCATTTACGACGTTTGGAGCCGTTGTCATTAATATTCAATATTTTCGGTAAATATTTTTATATCATTTCACATAAAACATGCGTTCATTTCTCAATTTATTTACACACAAATCTTGCAAAATCAGATTCGTTCAAATTGTCAGTGACATCTCTTGGATGTAGCAGACGCCTTTAATTACTTTTAATAGGTTTTCCTTGAGATCACAGCATATCATATTGCTACATTGGGTTTTGTGGTAAATGTTTATCAAACCGTTTCTGCTGCAAAGTGAATAATTCATCTTTGATCAACTAAAATATCTGCTATTAATATTGATGTCACACTGACAATAAGGTTTTGTTATTCATTAAGAAATTATTCTGTTTGTTTTGTCAATTGATATTGACTCAATTTGTATTGAGTTTCTTTAAATTATTATTATATTGTGTGTTATTAAAAAAGTGTACATCATTGATATATCATTTTATAAGTCTAATTTTTATGTTAATTAGTATTAAAACATCATTATTGTAAAATCATTCTTATTAAAATATGATAATAATCTTACATAGGATATGTATATCCATCTTGCATATACTTGTAGGATATATTATTTGGATTAATAGTATTTAAATTACATGACAACATTAAATAGATATTTAAAAATGTTGTATTCATTTATAATCTAAGACAAGTGAATAAGTATCTTTAATTAAAACAGTTTATAAAAAAAATTATAGGTTGAATTTTAAAAATGACAGCGGGTACAAGCTTAGTAGTACCCATAGTTTTATGGGGTCGTATAGCTCCAACTCATTGTATTTCCTGTATCTATTTGTCCCGAGATCAAAAAACATTAGTAACAGGATGCTATGATGGTCAAATATGTTTGTGGCAAGTTGATCCTGAAACATTGAAGGTGATAAAAATACACTTATATTAATAAACAGAAAAATAAATAAAATTCAAAAATATTAATATTGAATAATTACAAATTCAGATGACTCCAAGATGTTTACTTGTTGGCCATACTGCACCAATAATGTGCCTAAGTCGAGCAAGTGTTATTATGGAACAAAATTATATTGTTAGTAGCAGTGAAAGCGGAGAAATGTGCACTTGGGATTTAGTTGATGGAAAATGTAGAGAAGCTGTGAAACTTACCAATGTTCATACACAGATGTTGCCTTATGTCTCTGCTGGTGGAGAAGATGTCAGACTTTTTTGTTCTGGGTATGTTTAAATTTATACAATAACATATTTTCTTCTTCTCAATTTGCTTTGAGAATACTCTTAAAGTTATTTTACAATTTTAGGTACTATCCCGAAGTTTTAGTGATGGATCCTTTTAGCTTGGAGATTTTGTTTACCTTAAGTTCACGAGTTAACCCTGACTGGATTAGTGCATTGCACGTTTTGCGACCGGCCAAACGGAAAGGTCGGTTCTACGTGCATACAAGTTAGTTACACTCCATCACACCTACGCTTAATACCATAAATTTCTACCTTAAGTTCTCTTGATTTCTTTACCAATCTATGTTGTGCAAAAATTAAGAACCTCATAATTATCATAATAATTGGATCTGTTTGATTGGAATTTCAACTATATCTTTTTGCACAATATACATTTGGTATTTCCTATCCTATTAATTTTTGGTATATTATCTTTCTGCTCAACAGAATTTTCTTTCAAATGTTCAGAATAATTGTTAATAAAAGTACATACTTTTGATGCACCAGGATTTATTTAATTGGAATATTTAAATATTCTCTTTGATAAAGTAATTAACAAGGAATTTAAATTTGCATATATTTTATATTTTTGGGATTTTTATTTTTTCCTAACTTCTTAAGCAATTAACTATACGAAGCTTTATGCTTTAGGTATATTAGAAATTTTGCATTTGCCTATTTTTCTTCGTAAAAGGTACTTTCTGACAGTTCAATTCAATAATAATACTTATTGTAAAATATATTTCGTAATCTAATGATAGTAATTTATATATTATCAAAATCTTAATTGTTGCAGCATGTTAATGAATCACATGTGGAGATACATCAGTGCAACAGCACTGATGATCAAGGCTATATCATTTGTTTCATGTTTTTCTTTTCTGACTTTCAATTTTTTTTTTTTCCTCTTAAATAGTAAAATTAAACGAGCAGGCATTATTAACACTTTGGGAGCTTTTCCTCTTATGTTATCCTTCACATGCTATTCCTTTTATAGAACCTTATCATCGTGGCATACATTGCATTTACCTACATTCATTAAACACATTCATATCATTTATAATAAATTACGTCCGTCGTAAGTATATATTAGTTTAAATTAAAAAAAAATATTTAATCTTTGAATGCAATGAATGCATTTGTATGAACATTCAATTTAATGTTTGTCTTTCATTTTGGTAGCACATTTGATGCATTAAGCTTTTCATTATTTTTTATATTGCACTTTAAGTGATAAAAAAATGTATACAGTAAAGTTCTACTTATTATTTTGTTATACTGTGTTTTGTACTTGTGATGGTAAATTTTTTTATGTTAAAATTTTCAAAGTAAGCTTTCATTGTTTAATAAAAAACTGTAAAAGAATAATGTACATACTATAAAAAATGCTTTTGCATGAATGATAATTGATCAAGAGTTTTTTTACGATATTGCACAGTAGATATAATTCTATAGTTTAGATACATATAGGTATGTAGTGGGTTCTAATGTATCTCTTTTATTTAATGGTACTGTACATGGAATTAGTAATAATTATGTATATGCTAGATTGCAAGATGTTTTGCGCATGATTTAAGTAAGAACAAACTGAGACTTCTATACAAAAAAGAATAATTGTTTATTTTAACATGAAAAATTTTATTTTGCATGAATCTATATAGTACTATTATAGGGGCTTCCATAGTAGACCTGTAACTGGTAATTTGTTTTAGATATTTTTTCTATTATTGTATTGTATTGTATTGTATTGTATTGTATTGTATTTATTGTATATGTTTGTTAATATAAGTTTAGTGTTTTATGAGTTTACGAAGAATCGGTTCTTATGCATTTGTAACTCCTGTAAGGTGTCATTATATTGACCCTTACTAAAAATTGTTTGCTTAAAATGCTATGACACCTTCTTAGATGTAGTTAACGCGCAACAGGCGCTTCCATTCATTTAAAGACGACGTTGTGCTGGCCTTAACGACAACTGGAACAGTCAAGGTGTGGACTCTTCTTGGGCATGAGAATCGCAACAGTGAACCTCTATATGAACATGAGAGTAAACAAATAAGGTGTCTAAATGCGCTGGCAATGACTTGCTGCCCCTATAACCAAAGGACTGTATTAATTGTGTGTTCCAAACATTGGCAGGTATATTTTATTCATTACTCTGTTTTCATATTTTATTAACTCTGCTTCTACCAATATTTTTTTTTATATCAGATATACGATGCCGGTGATTTTTCTCTTCTATGTTCAATTACTGCACCTTGTGGTGAACGTTGGATGTCTGGAGATTTTCTAGCTGCAGACAGAGTCATTTTATGGAGCGATGAAGGTCATGGTTACCTCTACAAGCTACCAGCTAAGTACGTTTCTAAATAAGATTATGCTTTTTCTATTAATATTTTATTTTTATTCCTTAAGCATTTTGAAATTTCTATAAAATATGCGAATTTATAAGAGTTTAAAATAATGCACCGCATCAAAAGATTTATGAGTATGTTATATAATATAATCTAATCTATCAATTTATTATAAATCGTTTATTTATTTATTGCTTATAGGAGTCTGGTACAACTTGACAGGTAGTTTTCCTTTTAAATTTGGTGTTTGCAAATTATTTCAAATATAATCATTAATCAATTGTTTCTTATAAGAAATTTACAAAAGATGCTTATTATTATTATAGCATGATGATAGACATTAATTATATATTTATATGTTCTAACAAAAATAATCATTAATGTTTATTAAAATTAATGCTACAGTAATTTCAACATAAATGTCACAATAATAATTCAGTAATTAGAAGTTATAATATACTTAGAAGAACTTTGAATACTATAGGATAAGGCATCTAATCTGACGACTTCAAATTTCTCATAAATTCGTTACTGTATTTTAAAATATTTTTTATATAGAAATTAATTTACGAAATAATTAAAGTCATCGCATTAGGTGCCTGACCTTGTACATTGGTAAAAGAAAAATATTTTACAATATCTCAAATAATGAAAATATATTATCTCAAGTATTTTAGTATTTATTCTAACATTGTGTAAAATAGTTAAAATATAATTATTTGTTTTGTTACCGATATGGTTGAAAATTTTTCGTTGCTTATGTTTCAGAATATTTTATTTGGATATGTAGATAAATATTTTTCAGCCAGGCACACTATTTTTTCAAGTTAATCAAAGCATTTAAAATTTTGGAACTGCTATTGTGTAGAAGCACTTGCTGGCAATGCACATATTCAATATTTATTTTCCTTATATTTCTTTGCTTCATTTATCATAAACATTCATGTTCGATCATTAAGTAGAAAGTGACAATTTTAATAATTAAAAAGATAGATTCTATTTATCTATCTATCTATCTATCTATCTATAAAAATTACTTAATTTGATTTACATGACAACACTTAGTCATTCAGAAAGTTGGTTTAATACATAAGAAGAGAACACCAAAAGTAAAATGCACGTATAATCGAAATGAAATTGTTATTGAAAATTTAGTTCAATCGTATTGAAATATTTTTTTGGTTTTTATGCATTTCAAATGAATAATTAACATTATGACTTGTTTTTACGGTGATGTGTCTTTTTCATATAACACACACACACACACATCTACTACATTCTACGGTGGATCTGGTGTTCTTCTAGCAAGCTAAAGGGCAAGGCTCTCAGCAGGTAATCCTGCATTATCTCTTCTAGATACTCTTCTTGTGTTCTTCACTGTAATTTCTGTCTTCTTAATTGCTTCTTTTTGTATTCATTTTCTTAAGTATATTGCTCTTCCATTAATTTATATTGTACATATGTATACATATACATACATATATGTGGATATAAAAGGTACATTATGTATATTTCTCTGCACATCATATCTTATGTTTTCATATTTCATTCTTCTTAAGTTGCTTTGAATGTATCACTGTTTCATAATTCATATGCTACATTATAAATTCATACACTACATTTAGTAAATAATGAAAATAAGTAAATAAAAGTAGCAGTGCTATGCCAGCTTATGTAGTTTAATTTTTGTCTTTTTTTTTTTAGTTGCCTTTACCTGTTGTTCAAGTACCTTTATATTTAAAAGTTTTTCAATTTTTGTACTCAGCTCAACAAGGTATTAGAAAACTAATATAATTGCAGTTTAGATACATATTTGTATATTTATATAATATAATTATATGTAGTATATTATATAAATATAATTTAAATAAATTGTAAAATGCTTATTAAATTGCTAAACTTAACAAATCTCCTAAAACACTATTTTGTTGTTTAGAATTTAAAACTTAAAGTATTCTTAACTTTTCAATTTGCAATGTATTATAGCTATTGTAATATACTGTACACGGGTATTATTTTAAGGGATAATATTTGTAATATGAAAATAACGCGTTACTTTTATCTGTTTTGATTTTATAGTAGCGTTGCAGACAATAAAAATTTTCATACCGCGGGTGCTGAATATGATCAACCTTATTTGTACTGCACTTTAACACAACCTGGTGATAGGGTAAGATCAAAGCTGCTCAATAAAATTATTTCTAGAAAAATTACTAATAAGTACTAATTATTCATTCCAGCCGCTATCATGCCCACCAGCGATGCGATTAGTAACAGTTCATAGGCAGAATAAAATGTTGAAGTATTTATTACGTGGTGATAGCGAAGGTGTTGTTGTTCTTTGGACAGTACCAGAAGTAACAACTCAACAACTAGCTCAAATCAGTCAAAATGATTGCTCAACTTCACTCTCGTTGCCGCCTGTGGTAAAGACAAGTTTAAGAGCTGCTTGGGAAGAAATGAGACCACCACCGGTTGGAATATTAGATCAATTAGATACTGGAGATGGGCATGGTATAAAGTTAACAGCTAGTATATATTTACCGCAACAGAGTCGTCTTGTTGTTGGTCGCGAAGACGGCAGTATTATTATTGTTCCTGCTACACAAACGGTGATGCTTCAATTACTTCATGGCAATCATCAACAATATGATGGTACAATCATATTATAAAAGTTTGTAACTAAAAATTTATAATTATGCTCCTTTTTCTTTATTTCATCATGTGGTTTATAGATTGGCCTCCTCATCAAGTACTTTTGGGTCACTCTGGTCGAGTGAATTGTCTCTTATATCCACACGGAGCAGCACCGCGTTATGATCGTACACATCTTGTTTCTGGTTCTGTTGATTTTGCTGTATGTTTATGGGACCTTTATGCTGGTACCCTTATTCATAGATTCTGTGTACATGCGGGGGAAATTACGCAACTGATGGTACCACCTGATAATTGTAGTGTACGTTCACTTTCTTTTATTTCCAAGAATATTGATAACTTCATAATTATTACGTTATAAATTATTTGTCATATTGTTTGAATTTCATTTCTTTAGCCTAGGATTCAAAAGTGTGTCTGCAGTGTTGCATCAGATCATAGTGTTACTTTGTTATCATTAGCGGAAAGGAAGTGTGTTGTTCTCGCTTCTCGACACCTGTTTCCGGTTGTTACGATAAAATGGAGGCCACTGGATGATTTTATGATAGTTGGTTGTTCGGACGGAGCTGTATACGTATGGCAAATGGAAACTGGTCATCTAGATCGTGTACTACATGGTACATATAAGTTTTCAATTCTCATATTTTCTATTTTAAAGAATTTATGCTTTTTGTATTTAAATTGTTATCTACTTATGTAAATATAAGATTGTAATTAAAACTACAGGTATTATTGCTGAAGAGGTACTCTACGCGTGTGACGAAAATACTCTGGCTACGGCTGGTGGGTCAGCCGCGGGTGGTGAACTAGGCTTAGCTAATCCTGCTGTGCATTTCTTTAGGTAAATGAAATCTTACAACGTAGATGGTGAGAATCTTATATGAATTTTAGGGAAAAAAATCTAAAGAAAAGAATCTCTTTCATCGTTTACATAATATTCCGCTTCTTTAGAGGCTTGAGGCACAGAAATCTTTCGGCTATACGACATGCCACACAAAGAGGGTTACATCAATTACAACAGCTTCATGGTGGACAAGGAGTAGATCATGGAAATCAGATAAAAGCAAAAGGCACACCTTTAATGATTCAAGGCTTCAGAAGTAATCCTAAAGATCCAGAAAGTCATATTTTATTTTTTGACATAGAAGCATTAATAGGTATCATTTTTGTTGTTTTTTTTATTTTTTACTTTTTTAATGTAAATTAATTCATTTAATATAACTTTATTAAAGCAGCAACTTCTTTTGTTTACTTACATAGTACAATTACTTAGCGATGAATATGGAGCAATGTCACCAGGTTCTTTGGAAGCACAGGGTTTAATTTCTGCATCCGAATATCAAAAAGTTGCAGCACTTACACAATCGGCTAGTCCAGATGCTCACAAAAAAATCGCAGGTAATGATTTCTTTTACCCCATACAAATGTAAAATTAATTTAAGAAATTTAACTAATATGTATATTAATGAAAAAACTTGCACTAACATGCCACTTTATAGACTTTTTCGGTCGCGTCAAGGATAAGGCAGGAGACGTTGAACGAATTTTAAAGGAGAAGGATCGTCACGGTATTGTGCTCTGTTACTGTTTCATTTTATAGAAATCGTAGTTTGTGTGTGCATATTTTTAAGTGCAGATTTGCGAAGAAATCCTTACAGGATCATTAATTTAACATGTTACGTTTTCTATACGTTGTTCAACGTAGTGTCGTGTATATAAAAATGTTCTTGTGATTGCATGTTCACCGATATAGATTTATTGCGATAAGTGCAATGTTTTTTAAACATTTAAAAAAAAGAAAACGTATTTCAATTGTAGTCAATTCAATGCGCACAATACTTTCATTTATCGTTTCATTCGAATTTTCAATACCTATATTAAAACTCTTGATCAATTTATTAAATCATCTTAAAGAAAAAAGAAAAAGTTTACCCTGAAGCAGCACTATACTCTTATTTCACTTAATGCTTGGTAGTATTTTTACCTCCTTATTAGATACACTGATATACGCATACTGAAATATTCTTTCTTGGAATGTTTATATCACGTAACACTCATTGCAGGATTTTTAGTGTCTTTAATTCACACCTCAGCTGTAGTCATTAGAAGATTCGTGTTAAAAACTGTGTGTTCGTTTATTATTCCGTCTAAAGCCAATTTCTTTCTCTAGGTATATTGGCTAAAATGAAGGAGGGTGCAGAAAACGTACACACTAAGATTCAGGCCAAGGTGGAAAGCGTTGGCCTCAAGCCGTCGACTCTCGACGGCAAAGGTTAGCCATGATTAAAAAAAGATGGCAAAATTATTGTACTTTCTATTGTTGAAATTGAGTCGCATGGATTTTTGTTGTTCATTTAGATTTGTCGTTCGCTTTGTAGTTCCTTTATCTTTTCATGTACAATGTACTCATTATTTATTACAGCGTTTAAAATTTTCCTACATTATTTTAAACTTTAAATGTGTGATTTATTTTGACACAGAATTATTGGATATAAGTAGGTCGCAATGTTTCCACATCCAAACCTTATTCATTGTGTAATTTAACATTTAAAAATTATTGTTTCTTATTATTTATTTCAGATGTTCACATTTTATGTATATTTTATTTTATTCATATATCAATTTTTTATTATTTTTATACTTCATATTAGTGTATGTTGTAAAACTTTTCATATATCCTATACAAGAAACATTTTACAATCAAACATTTTTCATTTAAATGATTTTCATTCTTTTTTATGTCAGAATATATGAAAAGTTTGAAAGTTTAATGTGTGTTACACTGTATTTTCAAATGCACCTTCTCATACATTTAAAATACCCAAATTTATGTTTGTTATAGAGGTTGTTTTCTTTTGCAGGTGATAATTGGAATAACAACGAGGCTGCTAAAAATAATTTGAAAAGAAATGGTGCATTTAGCGAACCAAACGCAACTATGGAAGTTGCTCAGCTTATACTAAGTTTATTGCATGCTTGGGGTATGGATCCAGATTTGGATCGTGTTTGTGAAGGAAAACTGGGCTTATTAAGGCCTATGGTTCCTGTTTCATTTGGAGTATTATCTAAAGGAGGTATGAAAAGAAAATAATTTATAAAACACATATTGCTAGTTTTAAATGAACCCTATGTGCCATAGGATACATGTCGCTATTACTGCCAACTTGGCAAACGCAATTGGAGCCAATCGGTGAACCTACAACACAGCTGGAGCAGCGTTTACCGGCTGAATTAGTCAGACAAGAAAGACTTACCAGAGCATTCACAGCGAGAGCACATTGGGAACTCTCTACTACATTAACCAGTAATCATTTGTTAGCAGTAGTTGCTTTGGCAAATACTTTAATGTCAATGAACAATGCAACTTTTGTACCTGAGCAAGAACGGAATAGAAAAATGCATAGGTTAGTACTTTTTGTTTAAACAACAATTACAACAATTCAGAAGAGATTTCATTATAAATTTTGTGCAGACCTGGTAATAGATCCACAGTTAATTGGAATAAAGCAGAAGAAGAAAATGAAGAAATTTATACAGCACAGCAAGCACAGATTAAACAAGGATGGTCGTTGTTAGCGACGCTACATTGTGTACTTTTACCTGATAAGGTAACTTCACAAGGTGGTGCGAAAACATTTAAACGTCCTCAGGTTGAAATGATGGCACGAAGATGGCAACATCAATGTCTTGAGGTTAGTTATTTTATATATACATATAGAGTTACATAAAATAAATAATATTATAAGAGATAATGTTTCTAGATCCGTGAAGCTGCTCAAGCTTTGTTACTCGCTGAATTAGGTAGAATGGGGCCAAAAGGAAGGAAAGCGCTTGTAGATAGTTGGTCCCAGTATCTACCAATGTACAGCACTCAAGAACCTATTGCACCTCAAATACAAAATCAAAGTCCACCAGCTCCTGGTAGTCCAATCCCTTCCTCGGACACACATCCAGAAGAAGAAGATGAAGAAGAAGAATTAGTAGAAGGTAATTAACCTACAAGGTTGCGTGATTATAATTTTAAAAAGAACATTTTAATCATATTACATATTTATATTAGCAGAAATAAATGTAGCCAGGAAGCCATCGAGCGTTGCAGAACTGAAACGAAAACAAACGACTGCGGTTGTATTATTGGGTGTAATAGGTGCTGAGTTTGGTCAAGATGTTACTACAACAAATCAAAAGAGGGACAATGAACAAAGACGAAAGAGTTCAATCGTAGAAGGTTTTGGAATAGGAAACAATAATCTTGCACGACATACTAGTATGGCCCTTACTCATCTATTACATGCACCTCATTCTCCAAAATTACCTCTACACACAGCATTACGAAGAGCAGCAATCGATCTTATCGGTAGAGGTTTTACCGTTTGGGAACCGTACCTTGACGTATCAAAAGTAAGAAAATGAGTAATTTAAAGTAATAAGTAACGAGAAAGGAAAGGTTTATTAATTTCATGTTATAACGACACAGGTGTTATTGGGTCTATTGGAAATGTGTTGCGATGCTGATAAATTAGTACCAAGCATGACTTATGGTCTTCCGCTCACACCTCAAGCTGATACTTGCCGTACGGCACGTCATGCTTTAACTTTAATAGCTACCGCTCGACCTGCAGCATTCATTACCACGATGGCACGGGAAGTGGCTAGATACAATACTTTACAACAAAATGCGCAAACATTAAATGTAAATATGGGTGCAAGCGTTTTAGCTAGGGCAAAACCAGAAATACTCAGAATTGTTGAACAGTTAATTGATAAAATGCAAAGTGAAATGAGTGATCTTTTAGTTGAGGTAAGAATAGCCGTTGAAGAAAAATATAAATGTATATTTAATATTATTAAATTAATATTATTTCCAGGTGATGGATATTATTCTACATTGTCTGGACCCCGGTCATCTGAAAACTAAACCATTAAGTGAAGTGTTTCCAGCAGTATGTAGGTTCAAACAAGTAAGTTGAATTATATTGATATTATTCTGTCATTTTATAAGTATCGTACCTTTTCTTAACAAATGTTTAATATCTTTATTAGGTTAGCCACTGCCCGGCAACACGTAGGATAGCAGTGGGCAGTCGCAACGGTCAACTTGCCTTGTATGAATTAAGAGGAAACGTTAAGTGTCAGACAGTACCTGCACATACAGCAGCTGTAACTGCGTTAGCATTTTCACCCGAGGGCAAGTTCCTGGTTAGCTACTCTTGTACAGAAAATAAATTATGTTTCTGGCAGGTAAGAAACATTTTTATTAGTTATTTTTTTTTTTTCTTCTTCTTCTTTTTAATGTGATGGAATAATAATCATATACTTTGATGTAGCAAACAAGTAGCGGTATGTTCGGCCTAGGAAATTCGCAGACACGTTGTGTGAAATCATACAGCACTGCGCCTATTAATGATGTAGCACGATTGAATCCTATGCGATTAGCTCGATTAATATGGATAAATAATCGAACAGTCACATTAATTCTTGCTGATGGATCTGAAACAAGGTTTAATGTGTAAACTGTAGACGATCCCTTCTATTCCATTACCGAAGTAACAAAAAGTTAAATGAATGATACACAGCAAGTGAGAGGTCAGTTTACCCGTTGAAATATGGAAGAATTGTTTTAGGCGAAAGTGCTGTCGTGAACGTTGGTGCGTTTATTGGTACTTAATAGTGCTAACAAATAATTGGATATCGTATCGTATGGAATATGCTTGAGTGAAGTTCATCGTTGCACGACGCAGGATATGGCATAGCAATTATCATCGAGTATTGGTATGAAAATTTCTTCCTTTTCAATTTATCTCGTTTTTTCTTTTCCTTTTCTCTTCATTTATCTAATTTAAATATTTAATTTCTATCTTTCTTTCCTTGGGAGGGAGTACGCACTTTGCGTTATTGTAGCACCAGTGATAGTTTGAACGCTATCACGCTTTAATGAAAAAGTATTCTTTTTATCTAATAATTTAATTGCACTGTCATTTGATTATTAGTTACGTAGTTACAAGGCTGAACAATTTTACTATAGTTTCACGAGTCTAGACCGAGTCTAAACAGAAATATGAAACGCTTTCATTGACACACATATACCGGAAAATTTGTTGAACTATTTCTACATTGAGGATTTGTGTGCCGTATTGTACATTATGCAATGTTATAACGCGTGAGCTTCCAAAAGCCACGTTTACGTATTCCTGAAATTATAATATAATAGTTAATAAAGGTTACCATATGGAACCTCGTGTTGAAAGTACATACATGTGTATATATACATACCAAAAAATGAATTTTCGCCCGACGATTTGTATATACATAATATTTACAATGGCGAATCATTAGTCATTATATTAATTTGTATGAAATATTTTACGTTTAATCTGTTTACATATACATATAGTTGAAACGCTTCAAATGAATTCCTGTTTTACAAATTTTACATATATTATTTGGTCCCGTAATTTGAATCGCTTAACGAATTAAATGTTTTCGTCTCATAGAGTTGCATATTGAGAATGATCGTACATGTTTGGTGCTTAGAACTAAAGATCAAATGGAATTGAGAAAGATCAACGATAAATTCATATGATTTCACGAAAGGTAAATTTTGAAAAGCAGTTTATCTGAAATTTCAATATGCTCTATAGTTACCTTATAATTTTTTATAAATATTTCATATATAAACAATATTACGTAATTAATATTTATTTCGTTATTGAACGAACGAGGGATTGAATTTAATCAGTATAGTCAGTTGTGCTTTTTCTGTTATGTTCTTTCCCAGATCAAAATGCTTCTCCACTTGTAAGAGAACAAATATGATGGAGACTATAGATACGATATTATATTGTTTTAGCGTAATTTATTGTCTTTATTGCCTTGCGAGCTTAGCGCAATGTTCTGTGTAAATACAACAGAGACATTGTATGTACGTGTACGTTTTAAAAAGTTATATTTTTGTTGTTAAATTTTTTAGTTATTATGACAAGCATAACGAGATATGCAATGGTATTTAAAATTCCTATGTTGCAATATAGTTATGTACATTGTAAATCGCACAAAATTACGAATGAGTTTCTCCAAAAAAAAATCATGAATTCTTTTAGATTGAAAAATGATTTGCGTTAACATAGCGAAGTATAATAAATATCTATACATATATGTTAGAACAAATTATACTATCGGCAATTTAACGTAAATGTTAAATCCATTCGCTTATATTTTGTTAGAGGGTATACATTTATAATTTTTTCTCCTTTTAGTAGAAAATGTTTGATATACAAATTCATTCGGTGCCTTTCAAATAAAAATGTATAATTTGAATATTGCTTCTGTGAATTTAAAATGCTACTGATAAGTGGCGCAAGAGAATGATGAGTATTTGAATAGTTCAAGTTACTAAGACCATTTAAAAACAAATCTTTAATTCAAAAAGAAAAGGCACCAAATTAATTTGTACACTTAACATAATCAGATTAAAAAAAATATACGACAATGTATATTAATTGTAGAGCAGTATTTTAGAAGGAAAAAAAAAACAGAATCTGTCTTGTCTTTCTTTCATCGATAAAGTATATTTATATTTTATATGATAATTTATCTTCTATATAATATTTTTACGTGAAGTAACAATAAATACCAGAAACAGAAGAAAGTGAATGGATCGAAAGATAAAAGAAAAATTTATTTGTCGATAAAAACATTTAGATTATTTATTAGTATTCCGATTACTGTGCGAGGCACAGTAAAAAGAATTGTGTTATTATTAAAGGCATTTGTCACGCAGGCGTGTCTAAGATCGGTACCGAAACGAAATACTCGTAAATGCTGAAAAAGAATACGAGACAGCAGATTCAATCTTTGATCGCAGCATGAATTGAGCGAACAATTTCTCTGCATTACTTCTATCTTGTATATATAAAACCGAACTATGCCTAATTGTATGTATGTAATTATTTATGTGTACATTATATTTTATCGTGCGTTATGTTTGGCTGAATGAAGGTGAAGAAAATGATCGATAAACCTTTTTATTGATCATTTTCTTACAGTCGGTAGCAATGGTTGGTGATGGATATTCGATGTTTCTGATCTACAAATTGAATCGACTTCTTAAATTATTAACTCCAAAATTTCAATAGATTCTACAAAACATCAAACACAATTGATTGATATGATTTCATCGGACATTAATCCGATGAAAAATAAAGAAAAATTGACTTTTATATGCTCCATTCATGTGTGAGTAAATATACTACTTTTTGAGCACTTGAATACTTCAAATCTATTCTCTTAAAGTGTTGCAACTTTTTTAATATTACAATGTTTTCAATTATTCAAAATGTCCCGAGTAATTCTCTTGATTCCATCGCTAATGATAATGTTCAATGCAAAGGGGGAAGTATACCGCACGTGTTGTTAATCGTTATGCAATAATTAAATATGTATTTAAATGTATCCTATGTGAAACGCGTTGCGTTTAAAATTCGATAATATATATACACACCATAAAGATGAACATTCTTTTCACTTTAATAATTCTTATGCTTTCACATTAATCATTCAAACGGATCTAGTAAATTTTTGTACGATATTAATTTTATGAAAGGAACATCAGGAGCATTTTTTCAAATTTACAAGAGTATTATCTATTTTAAGAATTTGTGATTTGTTTAAATAAAAAATTAGGAATAAATATTACAATAACATAAATAATTGTTTTTATATATTAAAAATTATGTTAATGATACATTTGAGAAACTATATTTTCTTGCTTGCAGATATAATACAAGACGATTTTTAAAAATAAAATCATTTACTTAACTTAATATTATAATTTGTCAGGAGGTGAATTATTTGATAATTGATATTTGACATCAAAACTGTAACAGAAAAAATTTTATGTTTATAAAATTTTATTTATATTCGTGGTTTTTACATTATATGAATTAAAAATGTCAGTGCATACGTGAACAAAATTTGTCATCTTTACTCAGTACTCTAGCCAGAAATTCATCATAAAAAATATACTTTTACATTTCAACATTCTTATTATTTATAGTGTTAGTAACGAAGATGTATTAATGCACGAATATAATAAACAATCACCTTCGAGTCGTAAGTTTGATGTGGTTTCATCTCGCAATATCCTTGAAGTGCCTGTAAGAAAAATGCATACTCAATTACTAAGAGGGTACAACACCGTAATAAAATTACACAAAAAGTGTTCATTAATATCTCAGTAAATTGGTACACGTTGGAATCTTAAAGCTTCGTCATAAAAACTCAGCCCCGAAAGAAAATCATCATTAAAATTTTTATCATTTATGTAAATTGCAATAAATTTGAAATATTTAATATTTAAGTAAAAAAGAAACATAAAAGAAAGAAATTGTGTATTACCTTTAAATGACAAATCCGGTGGGAATGTGGATTAGAAAGTATGTGTGCAATTAGATATCCGATTTACATGTTTAAAATTAAAAAATACTAAAATGATTTAAAATTAAAACAGTATTTTGAAACTCTAAATCAGGTATCTGTAAATAACACTTTGTGTTTTTAACAATACTTCATAGATGAACGCAATCCACTGTTTGCTTCTTCCACGAAGTTCTCTCCCCTATAAAATAAAATTTTGATTAATATTATATATTCAAGCAGCAACAAACACGTATGTATTTTTACCTAAATATACTCAGTACACGTTGGAAAATTCATCGAATCTCTCATTATTACGTTAGTTGTCATCAACGAAATAAATTATTATATTTAATAATACACAAAAGAAATTAAACAAACCTTTCGACGTTAGTACTGGTCGATCTTTTGCAGATACAATTATTTCATGTTGCCATATCCTGGATAAATGCAGGATGAACTGTCGTTGCAAAACTGCAAATAAATATTTCTATAAGAAACATAATACAGCATGTTTATTAAATAACTATTACAAGAATTTTATGAAATCAGAACGTTGGGAGTATCGTAATTTATCATAAAATTCAAACATAATGATTTCTGCTTACCCTTTTATCTCCTGATACGTTCAGTTTTCTTCTTCAACCAGCAACAGCTATGAGCATCTGTAAACATAAAAATTGATATAAATGTTTTGAACGAGAACCTGGTATTTGCATCTTTAATATTTAATTTAGAAATTGGCAAATTAATACGTTTAATGTATAAGCTGAACATGAATTATCTGTTAAATAAAATTGATAGCAAATCTATAATTGTCAGAAACCTTTTCAGAATTTTAAATTTCAGGAGTGTGCAGTTTACAATACAAAACTATCTCTTTAATAACTACCACTTTTTGTGAATGAAAATTCATCCTGAATATTATTTATACATAAGTGTTCAGGATAGACAATAAAACAAAAAAACATTTCTTACAGTTTTAAGCAATATTGTTGTGAGTTTTAAACATGTATTGTAAAAGCACATGAATTGTATATCATATCTCTTCTAAGGACAAAATACATTTTTTTTTTTTAAACTCATCACAGAGCATTATCAACCTATTAAGTTTCAGTTGATTGCGAAAAGTTCAATATTTTGTAAGAACCAAGTACGTATAATATCATTCATTGATAAATTATACATATTACCACCCCGAAACCAGGTATAGCATCAACACAGTATATCTCAAGGTTTGGTTTATTGAAATAAGTAATTAGTTACATCAGCCTAGATTTAAATAATGAACCTTGACAACCTTTTGCTAAAATTCGTATACAAATATAAGTTTGGTTGTCATAGGTAAAAATACGGTCTAGGCTGGAAAATTTGCACACAAGTATTAAAACTCCTATAGATTAAGTTTATATGGTATTATCCAAGTCCAAATGTAGAGTCCAAGTAAACCAAATACAGTTAACAAAATATGTAAATCATTCCAGATTATAATTTCTTTCATATGTCTTCATGAATATATCAAAGTTTCACAATGTTACAGATAAATTCAATTTCATTGGTAAAGATTATAAATAAAACATTTTTAAAAAGCCAATTTTTTAGAAGAACCTAGAATACAGTTTAAGTATCTGTTATAAAATTATGAGAAAAGTTGGATTAACATAAACTGAAGTCAAACTCGATAATTTCCTTTTGTAATCTTTACCAGAAACTTGTATAAATGTCCCACCCAAAGATTATAATAGAGTTACGCATAATAACAGTTTTACAAAATCTACTCACCTCAATACCAGTAGATTCATTGACTAGTAGTTTCAAGTAAGTAAGCCTATCTTGTGATTGCTGTGTCTCTCCTCCGTTAAAAGATTTTCTTGATTAATAACATTTGCTTTATATTATTCGTTAGTTCGCGATTGTAAGCAACCGCGTAGTACACTTGAACATGTAGTTGTTTTCTTCAAGAAAGAAGATGGATTATTTTGATCATGAGGATCAAATTTCATTCGTGTCTATACATCCACAATGCTTTGTCCATAGAAATGTTCAAAAGACATTATGTTATCAAATTATTGTACAATCAACTTAGAGAAGATTGTGTAGAGTAATGAAGGTTTTTTTATTCGTTGAACATTTTTCTCTTTGCTCGCATTTCTGAGCGTTGTATTAAAACGATGTACCCAAGTTTGTTACATATGCATGCAAAATATTCACTGAATGAATATACATAGATTTGATCAATCCTATTTGTAAGGACTGACTTTCATTCGGTGAATTGTAAACTGTATCTCCTTGAGAACACCTAATGATAAATATAACTTGACATAAGTTTCATTATGCAATTATTAATTATTACAAATATCTACATTACAGGCACACAGTAATTATTATAGGGTGAATTGACTTTAATTGGGATTGAAATTTTCATAAAGAGAGAAATAAGGACTGGTAGATTAAAATTAGATAGATAGAAAAATGTTGAAGAGTAATGCGAGAAATTCAGAGTTTTATAAAGATATTTTTATACCTGCTTTAGATTCATAGTCACATTTCTTCCACAGAAAATATATGTTAAATTTATAAAATTAAGAAAAGAGAATGAAAAATATTATATATATGTAACAGAACTTTATATAAATCTGACTATAGAAATAAAAAAAAGAGATTCGGCATGTAATATTTGTGTCAAATAATACCTGAAAAAGAAACGTATATAGATAGTTGAAAATGAAAAATTTTTATAGTATGAAATCTAAATTTCAAAGTAAATACATTTTAATATAAAGCATCGTATTTACCTATATCACATTGTACTAATGTTTTAATTTGAAACAGATGTTACTGGATTAATATGAATTATGTGCGCATAATCCTTTATTTCATGTAACAAATATTCTTTTTCAAGATTATATTATTTTCAAAAATTGAAAGAAAGACATACAAATTTTGTTATAAAAATAGTCTCATTCAAATAGTTTATACCCAAAGCGTGTGTATCGCCACTAAGGTATTTATATTCCTAACATCTCACTTCAGCATGTAATTATTTCAACGTGCATATATTATTAATGATGAAATTAGACCAATTTATATTCAACTTTCCCCAATTAGTGTAAATGGACAATATATGCTTGTCATTTAAATGTTTATAAGTTTTATAGGTACTACTTTGTCTAATATTTTTTAATGTAGCCTGTAATTCTTTTCATATAAAAGCTATAAAAAAAAAAAATAAAAAAAAGAAATTGCGTTTAGTATATTACAAGTGATAAGAATACATACATTACAACCTCTGTGTCATGTTTAGTAAAAGCAGTCATCCTACAATAGTCGATAATATATTATTTGGTCTACAATATTGTAGAAGTATGCTATTTTCATGTGAAGTATAATTTAATCCCCATATGTAGTAACTTGAAAAAGTTCAATTGTATTTTTGCGAAATTATAATGGGTATTTAAGATCCAGAATTGTCATTGTTTCTCTCATTGGGTATGATTTATGTACTGACAACAATAAAAACCATAAGTTTTCGCATTATCCTTCAAGTACACATATTTGTGAGTGCTATAGAGCGTTTGAAGATTATTAATTAAATAAATAGTTACTATATATGGATATATGTGTATATATATATATATACACACATATATATATATAGACCTTTATTCATAAAATTCCTTTCTGTCAGTTAAGTTCCTTCACAAAGTTTGAGTAGCACAATTACAGATGATTCTGCTGATATACGTCTTATTCTAACACAATTACTTTTATAAAGCTTTTAAGTAATGCAGAAATTGCATACTGTTCTCATGATGAGTATTACACTGCCGTTAACTTAAAATCATGTATGTACGAATATCGATAATATATTCTCTCTATCTAAAACTCTCGACATAGGCTTAATCTGCCTATTGCAATTTCTCTTCTTATAGAAAGATTATCATGGAATGACTGATCTCAATTTCAGTCATCATTGCAACCTTAAAAACTAATTTAATATTCCCTTGTAATCATAAAGTACAAACCTAAAGGTACGTTCAAAATATAATATCGTTACTTTCAACTTCTTGAAAAACTACTGAGTCAATGAATGACCAACTAATAATGATAATATAATGATACAATAGTGACAAAAACTAACGTTATGTTTTTCTTAAATATTTACATTCTTTCCCATAAAGTAAAATTCTCATTTCTTTTTTTTTTTTTTTTTATTTAAAATATTAATTGACAATGAATATACTTTGTTTCTACATTACCGAACATTAACACAAAATTCATGAAGTGACACCTTAAACTCAAACTTTAGTTCTCTTTATTCTTAGAGAAGAACCGTCTCTATGAAATAAAAAAGGCATACGATTTCAATATTGTTTTTTACACTTAGAAGTCGCTAAAGAATATAAATGTGTTGTGAATTGTCAACATTAACGGTATCAATTTTTAAGGCTTTATGTTTGAAAAAAAAAAAAAGAAAAAGAAAAAGAAAAACATGTCAACCTACAGAATTCGTCAATATATCAAACTTATTATTAGTATCACTAATAATGGAAAAATAATGTCTCTATCACTTTTATCGTGGTTACAAAACTTACGTTTGTTTATATTCTGTATAAAATAAGCAAATGATTCATAATGTTATCAAATCAGATCGAATAAGAACGATATAAAATCGTTCTAAAATATTACGCCCTTTTCATTTCTCCCTATTCATTCATTCATGCTAATATTTTCTTTTCCCTATGATATAAAACACGAAAGATGATCGATAGTAAATGTTGGAAAAATGATTGAAGAATATAATGCGAACTATCAGAAAACGTTCTTTTCGACAGTTATATATATAAAAAAAAAAAAATTGTTATAATACTGCGACATTTTAGTAGCGTCTTCTCTTATTAGGATAATCATCCTGACGATTTCGATCACTTCCACCTTGCCAACGACCACTACCTCCACTACCTCCACGACCGCCACCCATATTACCCATGTCAACCCTCATATCCATCAAATCCATTATTTGACCACGATCGTCATTATAACCCCCTCGGCTACCCCGATCCATACTGTTATATGCATCCATGAAAGACTTTGGATCCTAACCGATATCAGAAAAGGTCGAGATCGTTATTTGTGCGTAAAGTAAAAGCGGTCGTTTTTAAAATCAGAGTAGAAATTATTTGTCCGATAATCATTGAAGTGAATGTGCCAACGATTCCCGTTTAAACGGTGAACAATGATGTTTTGTAGATTTTGGATGTACCATAAATACATTTCATGGTTCAGGGCGACCATCCACGTTTGACAGCAGCACAGGTCATCGTCAATTTTCGTCAAATCACATAGAAAAGAAAGGGGAAAACACAATGTTAGATGTTGTTTGTACGTACAACATTAGTAGAATTGAATGCGTGAATAATACACGCGCTAAAACAAATGACATACGAATAAATGTTATACAGCTTTCAGAAATATAAAATGTCGTTTTATCGACATCGATTACCCTTATTAGACCAAGCAAATGCCCAACATTAATTAAAGATGATAATTACTGTCACTTCACTTGTCATCGCTTGTTAGGTTTAAGTAACGCGTGTTTCCAACTATGTTAAAAGTTCCACACATCTGTGCCTTTTAAATCTGTCTCTCCTCCATATTGCCATTTTCCCTAGAGAAGACTATCATGCTTGGTACTGTATACGAAATTTTTCTACCTGTAAAGTATACAGAAATACATAAATGTGTGTGCGTGTGTATAAGCAATGAAGTAAATTTTCACACCCTAAAATCCCAGAACACTTGTGAACATTTCTTCAATGACGCTAATCTATTAAGGTATAATAGTAGCATTAAATTTCACACAATTCTGAAGTTTAAATATTGATCAAAGCAGCAAAGAGACGTGATCAAGGTCTCTAAGTAAACCTTTTTTTTTCAATAATTATACCACAGAAGTGTGTATTATAATAATCATTTTAAGCTTGATTATATCTCAGAAATTAGAATTAATACTGCTGTACTCAGAAACTACATTTGAAATACTCTATTCTTAAATTATTAGAATTAGATTAATTTCTGAATACAGCTAATCATAATGAATTATTATTTAATACAGTTGGGCATTTGTTGGTTAATAAATATCAAATGATTACTATGGAACTAATGTATACAATGGAAAATAATATTCCATAAAAGAAATTCAAAATACAAATTTTCATTTTAGCATTTCAAGTTTTTCATTTATCAGAAATCAATTCTGGTAGTTCCATAGTAAATAATATACCTAATCATTAAGGCAACTAGAGAAAATAGAAGGCAGAGCCTCCTGTCTGCAAGCATATGGAGAGACCAATGTAGCTAAGTTTAGTAATACAATTTTGATTGTAAGTTTCCATCGGTAAATGCCCAGATAATACTCAATGGAGTATTTGAAAGAATTTTGTCGGTTTCACGTAATTTATGAAACCTTCATTCATAATGAATATTTAAGTCTTTAATTATTTTATTGTGTATTTAATCAGAGACATTACTAATCAGCATATCATCAACAAAAGTAATAAAAAGTATTTCTTTTTTTCAAGTAATCATATTTTGTATTACTCGTTGAATGTAATACTATTTATTCTCTATAAATATATTGGGTAACACCTGCCTGAACGTAGCAGAAATAAACAATTCCCTTCGATAAGAGACAGATGTACTGTAGATCCAATACATTTAAAAGATGAAGAATTTAAACATGACAAACGAAATACAACCTGCCTATGCAACTCTTCGCGTATCTTATTAGATTTGTCGAGTGTGAAAGAACTGTGATCGAATAATTCCTAATATTTGTCGTTGAAATATCAACCTGTACTGGAACAATTAGGTTTAATTTTATATCACGGGTTTTCTAATTATGCAGGAATAATTTTTCCATAAACGCGAGTATTAGACAAATATCCTCCAACGAATATTTCAGAGGTTCTCCAATAAATATTGGAAAGATATTTGGATGTGTAAAACCACTTTAGGTTTTCATCATTTTGTAAATGATTATTTAGAGATATTTCTATAACATAGTACAATTTAAGAAGTACGAAACAGATGAGACATATGAAAAATACAAATGTTCCTACGTATGTAGAACAGACATATTGCGATAATATATCACCACCTAAACATGTGTTCTGAGTGTATCTAATATCAAATACAGTATTCAATTTCCGTTTTAACGGAAAATTGCGCAATTTAACTTCTCCTTATAGTGTATCGTCAATGGAAAAAATAACCCCCTACTAAGTATAAAATTTACATATGTGCCCATTGACTCCTCCACATGTTATAGCCAATTAAAACAGAATTAATTCGTACGAAACATATTATATTGAAAATACGTGTACGTCAACAAAATTGGCATTGTTGCAGACATTAGAACTCTGCTATATTGGAAGGCATGCTTCATGGGAATAATTATAAAGTTTTTCCAGCACAATTTGCACAGGTTTTCACTAACAGTACCGATTCTTTTGTCATGCAAGAACACAGTTCGATTGTTCTAAGAAAAAATTCCTGCATATAGATGTAACAGTTTGATTCATATTACTATAGATGAAAATACGTGTATGAAGAAAAAAAAAAAATATATATATATATATATATATCGAACTCAAACATGTTGAAACAAAATAAGTAACTGTTTTAGTAAGAAAAAATAAACGATATAATAATTTAATGGGATACATTACCACTGGCATGCTGCTTCCACCTGTAACGAAACACAATTTATTATTAATAAAAACTACTTCAACTTCTCTATCATTCAAAAAGAAAAATATAATGAATATATTAATGTATTATAAATACATATTATAGGATGAAACAACTCGTAAGGTACTTTAACAAAAAATGTGTAAAAGGACATTACACATCAAATTTAAAAAAAATATAAAGTAATTTAATATTTAGAAACTTACCGTCAGGTTGACCGTATCCATCACGATCGCTATTACTGACGGAATCGTAATTTTTTCCTCCTAGTCCACCCCCGCCGCCGCCTCTCATTGCTTGCTCCTTAAATATAAAGGGAATATAACCCTAAGCATTATTAAGAAACATGAATAAACTGATAATTAAAAACCATAAATGATGTATCGCTATAATACGCAATTTAAGTTTAATTAAGTAACAAGCGCCATAGACTTCGTTGGAGAAAATGGCGTTATAGAAAAAGCAAGAAGATACTTAATTACCTGCATGAATAAATTATTTTCCTGTTGACGCCTGTGTAACTCCTCTTCTTGTCTTCTTATACGCATCGCCATTTCTTCTTGTTGTCTTCTTCGTAATTCTTCTTCACGTGTTCTTTGCTCTTCCGCTTGTCTTTCCTTCATTTCCCATTCCCGTTTTTGTCTCTCACGATCCGCTTCACGCATACGTAGTTCTATAATCAAAAAAATTGGTTTATATAAATATATTTGTATTTCAATTATGATAAAATAATATTTTTTCCACAATATTTATTACTTACGTTCTCTTAATAATTCAGTTTCATGTTCATAACGTGCAAATTCCATTTGAGCTTCTAATTTTTCTTCTTCCATTGCCATTTCCCTCTTCAGTGCCTCTTCTTTTTGCTTGTATAGTTCATGAAGTTGTTTCCACCTTGTTCCATATTCATGTTCAAAGCTTCCTATTTGTGCAAATCTCGGACCAATATCACGAGCTTTAAAGAATTCCGGATTTTTTCGAGGTAAATTTTTGTCCGGATATCCATCGACGTCATCTTGTTGTTCAAATGGTTCAACTACTACTGGGCGTAAGGAACTGTAAACATCATATTCTACTTAAACATACATACTTATTAAAAAGTAATACTTTGTATTCCAAGTTGTCGGCGCACAACACAAACAATTATTGTATCATGCTTCCTATTGGAATGAATTTCTTTTCCCCAATTACATTAACAGGCACTTATTGATTACTTAAGAAAATCAAATAAGCGTGGCGTTGGGGATAATCAAATTATCGTATGCTGTAATAAAAACTTACGCAGTCAAGAAATAACATCCTTCAGTACACTTCCTCAATGCAAGTTGAGCCGATGGCTTTCTACAGAATTCTACAATTCCCTCTCCAGTAGACTTTCCCCTATCATCTACTATCACTATCGCACGTTCAATTTCTCCAAACACACTAAACGCTCGTTCAAGTAGTTCATTTGAAATCCAAGGTGTAAGATTCTTAACTTTAATTGTAGACGAGTGAGGGGCGAAACGGACTTTAAGCGCGCGTCCTTTACGCATTGTACCATCTAATTCATGTTTTGCTTTCTCAGCATTTACCCTGTAATCCTGCACATTAAATACCCTTTAGAAATATATCTTAGCGATATATGAATATGATTTACAAAGCAACTAGCACATCATAATTATAAAATTGCAGCCAAGAATATTTATCATTTTATATCAAACGGTAATTGTTTTAATCATTTGTTTAAACCTGCAGCAGATAAATGGCATATTATATATTTTTATGTTATTATTTCGGCAATTAAAAAAACCTGACACTTCTCTGCCGTTGGATTAAATGAAGAACTATAATTAAAAAACGACTGAAATTAAATTTACCATTCTGAGAAATGCAAAATTTTTCTCCTTATTAACAAACAGTTCAGATATTTCACCATACTGTTGAAACATCTGTTGGATCTCTTCTTCTGTAACATCATTTGTTAAGTTTCCAATATACAAACGATTACGCCCACTAAATTTCTTTTCTGTAGTTTCTTGAGGTGGCAAATCATGAGTTGGCCCACTAATACCCATAATGCGCTCCATTAAACGATCCTAATATACATAAAAAAAAGTGTTATTTTATTTAGATAAATATAATTTATACTTTAAAAGATTACTTACATCTTGCGAACGATTTCCTAGGTTTCTATCACTACCTCCGCGTCCACCTCTGCCGCCGCGCATTCCACCGCCACGTCCCATTCCCATTCCCATTCCCATTCCCATTCCCATACCCATTCCCATTCCACTTCCCATTCCTTCGTTCATGGTATTATCCATACCTCCATCCATGGAATCACTCATTTTCATCTGCAATATTTTCTTCTTTTCAGAAATTTATAAATTACTAACATGCTTAAACCGTGTAATACATGATAATAAAATATAGTTATCTATTTATTCATGTAAATTCAATAGCTATCAATTTGGAATACAATGTGTTAAGGATAACTTCTATGTTTAGGGGTAAACTATTCGTGTAGTAACAAATGTTGTAACAGTATTATTAATTTTTTCTGAATTCTCCCTATCATATGTATATTTTAATTATGCCCAAATTTAATACTAATATTAGTATTATAATTCTGATATTACATAATAATAAATGTGTATAAGAAAACCTTCTTACATTTATATGTACATGAAATTGTTTGAAACACGTGTTTGAAAATTAAGAATACTTATCCACCATCTTAGTTTAGAAGCGCGCCATTTTGTACTCAGTCTACAAAGAAAATCGATATACCGAACTTTGCACATTTTTATTAGAAACCAAAAAATAAGGAAAAGAAAAAATAGCATTTTAAAAGGAAAAAAAATAAATTTTTACCGAGAAGTATCTCCTTTATTTTGATACTGAATTTAAGTTTGAATATCTTAAGTTTCATACATTAACTTTACTATACTGTTCTAATTTTTTATACATTTTTTCCAGTTATAACAGTAAAAAATACTATGCATATAAATAACATACAGAATAACGCTCTATACACCGTACCATATATTAAAGTATGCTTGTAACAATATACATATTTTCTTCTCCTTTTTAATATTATAAATCTGTATAGAATATTTAAACAACAAAAATATTCAGAGAAACTAAAATAGTACTTTAGAAATTAAAAATAAGAGTTTAAAAACGTGTATTACGCAGTCATTTGAAACAAATATGGCGGTACAAAGAGGAACAAGGAATATCTGAAATACCTTAATTTCCTATTAAAAAAACATAAAATTCTTACCGGCCCATCATTATTTCTGTTTCCACCTCCCATTCCTCCTCCACGTCCACCAGAAAATCGCGTACCGCCTTTTCTACCACGCGGTCCACGATTTCCACCGCCGCCGCTACCGCCTCCACCTCCGCCGCCGCCGGGTGGATTACGTTCTCGTGGATTTTCATTACTACTTTCTGTAGTTGTATTCGGCAGTTCTGGTTTTACATTTGGTGATTCGGCTCCCGCCATCGTTCGTTAAAAGAAAACTTATGTCTCACCAAGAACAAACGTTTTTCGGAAGTACTGATCCCAACTTCTCTCGAACTTTCTTTCTAACGAAGCGTTCACTATGGCGTCCAACAGCAAAGAGAACGAAGTCGCCAAGTAGAAGACCTACTAGAGGAACTTCCCCCACTACGTACCGTCATATCCGGTGCATTCAAAGTGCAATTTTCTAAAGCGGTGATTGGTTAGTTTGATTAGTTCCAACTTGTTTGATTGGTTAATAGATACAAATGTAACGTTACCATATTGAATCAACGGATCTAATTGGATGTGACAATTATTAACCATAGATCATTCACATAAAAATTATTAAATATTTGATGTTTTGTTTTTATTAACTCGTAATAAATTGAAACACATTTTGCAATAGTATTAATTATAATGTCCTATCATAATCAATTTTGTCGTGCACTTTCAAATTCTATATTTTTCTTAAATCTCTTCGTCAACTCTGATTGGTTCAAGTATGCTTTGTATGCGCAAGCGCTTTTGCGGCATTTTGCGGCATTTGTGGTACTAAGCGTGCATGCCGCCTGCATGTCCAAAAACCTTCTCACATAATAACAGTTTCAATGTTATTTATTTTGTAATATCTGATAGATACAAGTCAAATATTATATTTTAATGTTGTAGATATGTATTCACGCATATATATAATGTAGGTATTTATTTCATTGCAATACAAAAGAGTAGTACAAAATTCTCAGTAAAATTGAAAGACATGTGTAGAATTGAATATATTGATGTGAAGTTTAAAAATATTTAAAATGGTTTTATCAGTAGGTAAGTCACACGTAATGTAATGTAAATTATTGAACATTTAAATATCTGCTATAATTTCTATTACATTTATTCATATACTTAACAGAGTTATTGAAGCGACTAAACGCAAATGAAGAACCTTTACCTAAACGTTTAAAATTAGCAGAAAATGTTTTTCATGCTGTTGAAGTACCAATAGCATATAAGGAAGATCTTATTTTACAATGGCTTTGTAAAATATCTAATGGAGATCAAAAGGCTTGGAGCTTATTAAGAAGCTGTTTAAAAATTAAACATCTGGATATTAAAATTAATGTAAAAAAGTTATTGGTTAATACCCTTATTGAAACACTTCAAAAGGGTATAAAAGATACGTACAGTGATGTTTTTAAATGTTGTGAATTAATAATTGCTAATGATGGAGTACAACAATATTTTAACAGCAAACCAGAGGAGTTAGGACTTTTGATAAAGTGTTTATTAGAATGCATACATACTATTCTTGAATGCAATTTTAACACTGAGAAACAATCAATAGAAGAAATAAGCATAAAATTCGTTAACAAAAATGATGAACTCTCATTAACAGCTTACAACACAATAATTACTGTCATAGAAAGTATGATCCAAATGTATAAAACTACTTCTACTATAAAAGATAATTTAAGAACTATATTTATACGTGATGTTTTATATCCTGTATGTGATATAATTGATCATAAACGCACTGATAACACAAATAGATTGGGAGCTGTAACTTACAAGTGCATTCAGCAATTGATTTTCAAGAAAAAACATGTACAAAGTAAAGAATTTATAGAGGACAAAAATATAATACAGTTTGAAAATTTATTATCCATTTTAGCCAAGGAAGCAAAGACAAAAGATCTTCAAAGTAATTTGGTGACATTTATCTTTTTTTTTCGTGCTGCAATAAATATTTTCAAGACAGATAATATCATATTAGATCTAATATTCAGAGAATTAGTAAAGTGTGCAGGAATATATGAAAAAGAAATCTTTAATTCTTTTTTGAAAAATTTAAATGATGTAACATTTGATTTTGACAATAAAATACACAACATTACATTGTTTGATTACTGTCAAAATATAATAGATAATATCCTATCAAGTAAAAAGATGAGTAGAATAGATTATGATCTTCTGACACAATTTTGTCATTTTAATCCTCTCTTAATTGAGAAGAATATGCAAGAGATATTGAAAAAAATATTTATGGGAAAATCAGTGCCAGAATGTACAAAACTAATTACCTCTATTATGGATGTTTGTATACATTTAAGGCAAGAAGAAAAAATAATTTCAACAATGTTGATCACTTTGAACAATTCCTTAAATAATAAAAATACAGAAATTGATATATCCTTTCTGAATGAATTCAAAGAAAAATTTATGAAATCAGTAAATAACATTACGAGTACGCAAAATATAAATATATTAAGAACATTAATATATCATTTAAAAACTAATTGTACGGAAGTGTTACAATCTGATGATACCTGTACAGGTAATAACTATGCTCTATCACTTTGTGCATAAATATTTGATTTAAATGATGATTTAGTAATAAACTAATATTAAATGTTATTTATTATAGGTAAAAATATTGTAATATTACAAGCAACAGTTAAATTGCTTACTACATTTTTAGATGGTACATGTGTTTTTGAACATACAGGAACATTAGCTTTTTATAAGAAGTTTGTGAATGATTTTAATGAGTTAAGAAATATTTTATCACTTTTGATAGCTCAAATGTTACACTTAAGTTATAATGAGAAAATTACCGTAACGTTATTAGCTGCAATATTCTCATGGAACGAAATGCAAAGAGCACTCATATATTATATGCCAAAAATTGTTCCACAAAACTTGAAATTTCCTATATCAGAAGATCAGTGGCAACAATTGATTCAACGAATTACAAATTTTGGAACAGACAATAGTAAAAACAGTATGGTATGTTAATAACAGCTTAATTATTTATCTTATTTATGCAATATGTGTAACTGATAAATCAGTATTTTAATTACAGAATAAACTTATTTTACAACAAGTTAGGATATCTCAAAATTCTTTAAGTGAATCTTCAGTGATGCTTAATAATCTAATAGGTGGTTTAGAATATTCTTGGCAATATATATTAAAATTTGATACGCAAATAATACCATTTTTGAATAATGAACAGATATCAAAAATAGCAAATTTATTGTTAATACAAATGACATGCAATGCAGATAATTTTAGTGAATGGATAGAAGTGTTATACAAAGATAGCCTGCAAGAAAACAGAAGACTAGTACTATCTCTATCAAATTGTGTTTTCATTCAAATTGGACAATTAGTAACAGGAGTAACAAAATCTATAAGTGAATATTTTCATACTGTAAGTGTAAATCTTTTACTTACAGTAAAAGGTGCAAGTATTGTACAAAATTACTTAAATAATTTAACAATATTTATTTTATTATTTTGTAGGAATTCCTACTTGAAGCAGAAATGAATGAAAATAAAAAGTTAAATAATATATTAATACATATAAAAGAAGAATTATTAAAAGAAAAATGGATTTATGCAGATGATACATCTTTAACTAAAATTAAAATGCATTTAGAAGTATTGTTTCATCTACCTGTAATGTTTTTGAAATCTGAAATCAGAATAGCAATGTTTATGTTCATATTTGCTCTTAGAATGGAATGCAACCGTAACGATGAGATAATTTCATTATGTAACACGATATTTTCAGGTATTTTTTATTTAACAAATGCTGATACTATATATCTATAAAGGTTAACTCAAATTCAAATTATATGAAAAATTGTTAACTTTCAGATTTACTAGAAAAGTCTGATGTTAACATATTTGAGTATATAAATCCCTCCTTATTATTAAGTCAGTTACCACATAACAAAATTACTCAGAGAAGTATAGAACTATTTCTTAGAAGTTGTTTATCATATGCAGTTTTAAAGAAGCTTGTAAAATCTTCTATGAATTCTAAAAAGAATATTCTTCTTTTATTAAAATCTATGGAACATGTTAAAGCAAAATTAAACACTGATCAAAAGGTAATTATTAAAAAGGCAGAGAAGAAAATAAGTAAAACTATAATGAAAACAGTATCGTCAAAAATAACAGAAATTGACGACTTGAAAATATTGAATTTAATATTGAAAATCAATCTTACAAACGAAAGCGTTGAAGAAAAATTAAAAATATTAGCACAATCTATACTTGATGATATATTTATGGTAAATATTGTAATCAAGTTACTAAAGTTTATTATACTAATTTATCATATTTTTAATAATTGGGAGTATTTTATCAATAGAATGATAATAACAATAAAATAAGAAATGAAATGTTGCAAGATGGACTACAATTAGCAACTATTATCCTCCATAATCAGAAAATATTTCAAATTACGAATGAGACATTAAGAGGGATATGGTTTGTCTCCTTCAACTATCCGTGTGTTGATGTAATTTTACCTTTATTAGAATCAAGTGAAGCAAAAGAAGTACACGAATTATTTGAACATTTACATAATCAAGTGGTATGTAACTAATGATTACATGTTTATTTGATCATAACTGTAAATAATAACTATAATTATTATTATTATGTAAGTTCACAGTTTTATTTGATTACAGATAAAAGCTCTTTCCAATGCACAAGAAAATGATGTAGAAAACATTTATATAATATGGAATTCTATATTGAAAATAAATATGTCTAACAATCGAAGTAAACTACGCTTATTAGCTATCAGTAAATTAATTCAAACAATACAAAATATAATTATACCAAGAAACCTTTGGCCGAGTTTGTTGAAATTAATTCGAAACGTTCTCTCCACTAAGCATTTATATCTGCCGGGTTATGTTATAGACATGTGTATATTTGTTGGATTGAAAGCATTACAAGAGACTACAATATCAATTTGTAGTGACACATTAGAATTATGTAATGTATTACTAAAAACGAGAACAAGTTTAATTACAGATAGATTACCTGCATTATTATTATTATATAGACAAATATTGAGTATTGTTGTCCATAAATCCAAAATTATTATTAATAAATCTGAAGAATACATATTCAAATGTCTGGCACTGGATATTGAAAAGTAAGTGAACCATTTTTTATTTAACATAAATTTTTGTTTTATTTAATATAAAAATTAATGTATTTATTTTATTTTATATGTAGGTTTATAAACTTTTTAACAAAACTAAGAAAAGAATTGATTCATATAAGTCCTTATCTGATAGCAGATTTGTTGGAACTGTTTTCAGAAGATTCAATAGCAAGTTTTGTGAAGGTATTTCTTTTTATATTTATGTATTTACATAAACTTTTATTTTTAAAATGTATGTTCTTAAAATCATTTTAATATAATATAGTTCAATATTTCATTTCAGATTTCTTTACAAAACTGTATAAATCATTTAATTAGTATATGTGATCATCATGGAATTGCATTATTATCTCGAACACTACCTATTTCGATGCAAGAGATGTTTAAAGTTCAATTAAATGTATATAATCAATTTTACAAATTCTCTGGAAAAATTTAAGTAACACTTTATATATGACAATGTATGTACGGTTTTTATTATTCAAAATATCATGAATTGTATACATGTAAGTACTTATTGTTAATAATATACTTTCAAAACCGTTGATACTTAAAAATTTTGTCTGAATAAAAATATTTTTCTGTTTTGATATTATTTACAATTTCCACAGTCTGTTTATATGAACAAGAATTTATATTACATGAAAGATCTACAAAGTTAATATAAATAAATAAAACTTGTTTGTATTATTACACTTATCCGCTTTTCATATTCTTTGAAGGAGCAAAGAAAGCCACATGCATAAATATGTAATTAAAAAGTAAGCGGGAAATTGAAATGCTGGTAGAGGGAAGCTGCGTAGTCGAGAGGCTGATACGGTACTTTGGGTTAGGTATATTATTTTTACCTTCAGCACGACTAATATAGATTCGGCAGTTGTTACAACTATCATTATTTAGTTGTATTTAGTAAGTTTACAATTTCAATAAAAATTTTCTTTTTATCAGATTTTCATCAGAATCTAAAATTATATCGATAATGCGACTTTATATTACAAAAGGACAGTTTGCGGCTGTTCTTGTGCTAGGTTTTGCTACTGCTTATTATTCTTGGAATGAACCATTAAAACAATACGCGAAAGAAAACTTTGGAGGTAATAACGTAAATAAAGTAAGTCTTCTTGGTCATTAAAAGAGGTTAGGTAACAGTGTTAAAGTAAAACAATTAGGATATTGTTTCTGTCATTAATTTAAGCATAATTAAGTGTTAATCAAATATGCATAACGGAAATGTATTATACATATATAGTTTATCATCTTACAGGAGATACGCGATGACAAGGACAAAACAATTCTTTAACACACCAACAAAGATATCGTTATGTGTAGGTGGATTTATGGGATGCATTTTATGTTTCAAGTAAATATAATTTTATTAATATTAATTTAAAAAGTTTAACTGTAAGATGTAATTAATGTGTGTGCTTGCAGAATTTATGTACAAGATTATGTTACCCATTACAAAAAAAAAGATAATGAAATATATGCAAATATCATTTATGAAAAACGCAAGGAAAGAGAACAACAACTTAAATCAACATAAAACTCACATAGTTATTATTATATAATTATATTTAATAAATTACATATTTAATAATTTATACAACGCTATAGTTTAATTAGTAGTACAGTATGCAATATCTTACAATCTATTCTTCAAACTTTCCTCCATAAAAAGGTATGTATTTAGCAACTACTTTCCAATCAGTAAAATATATTACTCCCATGCCAGCTGCTCCTGCATAAATCATTGCAGATGGTAGCCTAATTCATAAAATGATTATGTATATTAAAAATTTATAAAAATATTGATAAGTAAAATGGTATTACATAATTAAAACATTCAACTGTTAAATCTTAATGAAGATACAAAACGTAATATTAAATACTTCAATAATTAAGTAATTAATATTTATGTTAAAAAATAAATGCAATATTTACCATTTTGTTGCTATTTCAAAATGCTTCTTTCCTAGCCGCATTTTGTTAGAACCCTGTAACAATTTAATGTAATTGAAATTTTTAAATAATCTATTAATTTAAGTCTTAACGTAAAATTAATATTCGTAACACTCCAAAAAGGTGTAACGAATCAAATACTTGCGTATATTAAACGAATATTCAAGAATTACGTAGTTTTTGTAGCACTACTAACTGCTACTGACCTGTAATTTGATGATACGAAGAAGAGTATCTCGTTCTGATTATTACAAAAATATTGTAAATGCCCTTTAACTTTTATTGAAAACATGCTTTGAAAATACATAGAAATATAATATTTTAACCATTTTTACACATATTTAGTAGGAAATTAAATTTTATATATATAAACGTTTTAATTATTTTGTATAAAAATCTTATAACTAATTTTACATCATTTTCCAATAAATATAATATGCATTTTACGAATGAAAACTGTATCTGGAAACATTGGTATAAAAATCACTTGGTTAGAATGTCTTGTATCACGTTAATCAATGGTGATTTCATTTTGGGAGTTCCCCAGTTCTGTGAGATTCTTGGTAGTAATATTTGTAAAAACACGATCGTGTATTTGAAGTGTTATTCATTTGATTTATTCGGTTCTTTATTTTTTGGTGAGTGTTAAATGAATTATTTTTGTTTTTAAACGAAATAATATTTTTATATATTATTTGTTTAAGGTACCTTTTCCTATTTATTTAAAGCCATGGAGAACAATACAGATGACTTTATAGCAAGAACATATCAAATTGATCTTTTGGAAGTAGCACTTAAACAAAATACTATTGTTTATCTACCCACTGGTGCTGGAAAAACATTTATTGCTATTATGCTTATAAAAGAATTAAGTGCAGATGTTCAAAGGTATTTATCATAATTTACTTTTTGAATATTTGTCATGAATTGAATGTATTTCAGTGCCCTAAATATGTTTAATGCTGTTGAATTAAAAGCAAATTGCTTTGTAGTTAACATTGAATTACATATATATACACGCGAAAACATTACTTTGTTGCTTCTGATTAATTATTTTTACTGCAAAATTTTAGACCTTATGATGATGGGAGGAAACATACTATATTTATAGTCAATACAGTACCTTTGGTTACCCAACAAAGTGAATATATTAAAAGATTAACTGATTTATCTTGTGGAGCACTCAGTGGTGATTGTAATGTTGATTTTTGGAAAGATATGGAATGGGAGCAACAGTTAAAAAACAGTCAGGTATTGTTTGTTAATTTTACTGCTGTATACTATTGCTGTAAATATTACTTAGAAATTATTCTAGAAAATTATTATAGGAAACACTATCAGTTACTATATAAATTATTTATTGAATTAATGTTTTTTTTTTACAAAAAATGTGACGTTACAGGTGTTAGTAATGACAGCTCAAATTTTAGTAGATGCAATTTGTCATGGATATATGCATTTAAATAAAATAAATTTAATAATTTTTGATGAATGTCATAGAGCAGTAAATGATCATCCTATGAGACAAATAATGCAGCTTTTTACAACTTGTCCTGTTAAAGAGCAACCAAGAATTTTAGGTTTATCAGCAACCCTATTAAATTCTAATGTGAAGTTGAATAAAGTGGAATCAATTATTAAGGTATATTACTAAATGTATTTGTGTAATTCTATAATTTTAAGTTACATTCATTAATGTAATACTATTACATTGTAATGTTACTTATTATAAGACTAGAAAACAGCTAATATTTTAATTAAGCTAAAATAATAATTAACTCATTGCAGTCTTTAGAAGTAACTTTTCAAGCAAAAGTAGCAACTGTAAATACATTTGACCAACTTCGTAGTTATTATCCAGTTCCTGAACAGATATTTGTTAAATTTGATGTGTGTGATGCATCTGATGTTGAAAACCAAATTACCACTATTATTATGGAAACAAGTCAAATTTTGGAACAAATAGTTTTGGATACTTCATTGAAAAACATTGAATCAAGCATTGAATTTAGACCCAAACCTGTTATTAAAAAGTTAATTTCTATAATGGAAGATATTAAAAATCAATTTCTACATACAGGTATAACTATGAAGAAAATACTTGTTAGATAATTAAATAAATAAAATGATTTATATTCAATTTTTAATACAGGAATTTATGGTGCTGATAAATCTGCTTTACTACATTTAATTCAATTAGAATGTTTAAAAAAAAATGCAGAGGATTTGGTACGTTTATACATTAAATAGCGAGTTTAATTTTTTCGTATTTTACATTATATTATTTGCAGGATACTGTGCATATTTTGGAATATCTTATAACACAAATAACTAAATGTAGGAAGTTACTTGAAAATAAAATGAAAATCAACACAGAATTGGAAAGAATTCATAAGTAACATTTACATTTACTATAAATTATTAAAATCTTATTCTAAATTTATTAATATATTTAAATTTAATGTAATGTAATTTTGATAATCACATATGTATAAAGTAAAAATTTTCCATTACAGTTATTCATGTGACCAAACGCGAAAACTTTTCCATCTATTAAAAAATTTCTATAACAGTAAAAGTGATGATCAGAAGTTTTGTTGCATTATTTTTGTACGACAACGATTTACAGTGAAAGTGTTATATCAAGTGTTAAAGGTAGAATTTAATTTTTACTTTTAATACCTAGATAAATTATTCTTCTATAATTATTTAAAAATTTGTTATTTTAGAATTTGTCAATGCATGATGAAGAATACAAATTTTTAAAACCTGATTTTGTGGTTGGGTTCTCAAATAATCCTTATAAAAATTGTAAAGAATCCTTATGCATATCAAAATGGAACAAGGAAGCTTTGCTAAGGTATAACGTTATTTTATTCTTACATTATCTTTTATTTATTGGTATTAAAAACATATCTTTTTGAAAATCTAGGTTTAAAAATGGTTTGTCAAATTGTATTATTGCAACAGACGTTATAGACGAAGGTATAGATATACCAACATGTACATTAGTCATAAGATATAATTTACCAATGGATGTTAGATCATATATTCAAAGTAAGGGAAGAGCACGATTTGCTTCCAGTCGTTATGTATTATTATTACCAAAAAATGACGCGACTTATTTAGAACGATATAAGCAATTTCAAATGGTGGAGCAATATTTACAACAGGTATTTTTTGTTAATAACAGTTATCGTCGTTCATAAGATATTTATTGATACAAATTTATTAAATTTATCCTTGTTAAATAGCTTTTAGTAGGTAAAACCAATATTCGTGCAGAACCAACAAAAAATGAAATTAAAAATGAATTGTATAAATTTGAAATTAAACCATATGTTGTTACTGATAAAGATGGAATAACACATACTGTAACAGAGCAATCAGCAATTAGTTTAATAAACCGGTACTGTGTTTCATTATTAAAATCTAAATATGTTTCTTTAGTACCTGTTTGGATATTGTACAAAGAAAAATTGAATGGGGATGATCTTTGTAAGGTAATAAAAACTTTATAAAAATGACATGTTTTTGTTTTACACAATAATATGTTTATATTACATATTTTGTAGGTTTCTCTTAAATTACCGAGTATAGCCCCATTAAAAACCGTTATTTTTGGTGATCTTATGCCCTCCATTAATTCTGCAAAAAGGTCTGCAGCAATGAAGATGTGTATAGAATTACATAAAATTGGCGGATTATCTGATAAATTAGTACCAAATATAATAAGTATGCCAGAAGAAAATATTGATTATTTATTTCCAACTTGGATAAATGAGGAAAAGTCAGAAGACAGGGCATTAATTGGAACTTACAAAAAGAAACGACATCATAAATTACAAGTAAAATTTAATTACAAATTTACTATTTCAAATTAAATTGTATTGATTCATACGTATAATTTAAAATTATTTATAGTTTCCATCGGCTCTGTACGGTGCATTTCCGCTCCCAGGAATGATATTATACTTGCATGTTCTTCATGTTCAGCCTAAGTATTCTGTACCGCATGATGATAACCGACATTTGGTATTCTATAATTTACTGAATAGTGCTGCAGGCTTTGCAATACTTTCTGCAAATCCAATGCCGAAGGTAAAAAGATTAAATTTATACTTTTGTAATGTTCATTTTATAAATCACACTTTTTTATAGACACCATCATTTCCATTATTTATGAATGCTGATGAATTGAATGTTGATGTTAAAGTAAATTATGCAACAATGACATTATCTGAAAAAGAAATTGGATACTTAAAAATTTTTCACACTTTAATATTTAGTCAAATTATACCTGTCATAAAACCTTTCATGTTATTTGATAATTACAATTATGATAATTGTTTTCTAGTTGTACCAGGTAAGTCTTTTATTATATGTTACCATACATTTCAATAAAATTTACTACAAATAGTAACTTTTTAGTTGATGAAAAGTGGGAAATAAATTGGCCGATTATAAGACAATATGATTGTATAAAACGAATACCACCGTCAGTTCCTTTTCATTTTAAGAATAATGATTATGAATTATCTTTAGTTATACCTAGTTACAGACCTTCTGCGGATGTATATATAGTCACACAAATTTGTGATGATCTTACACCAAATTCATGTTTTCCAAGTGAAAATTTCTTTTCATATGCTCATTATTTTAAAGAAAAACACGGTTTAGTAATAAAAAATTCAAAGCAACCAATGGTAGAAGTAAAAGCGATATCGAGAAAGATTGATTATATAAAACCCAGGTAATATGCAAGTTTTTATGTGTAATTCAGGTAAAATCAAGTTTATAATTAAAAATATATTTTTTGTGTATAGACACATGCAGGTTGAATCAAAGAAACGTAAATGGGCAGAATCTTCTAAAGATTTTAAAGAACATCTGGTTCCAGAATTATGCATCAGGATTAACTTTCCAGCTTTATACTGGCTGAAAACAACATTGTTACCATCTATTTTGCATAGAGTTTCACAACTTTTAATTGCAGAAGACTTAAGATATACTATTGCTGAAGAAGCTAAGTTAGGATTGTTATCGAATGATAATGAATGGCCTCCATTAGTAATAACTGATGAAGACAAAGAAGAATCATTTGACCGTTTACTAGATTTAGATACTTCTACTAATGAAACTATCGATGATTCACAACCAGAATCAGTTTTAAATGGTCCAGAAGTAGATGGTATGTATTTTATATTTTAGAAATCGTTTCTGTTTTTTACATTATTTTTTCCAAAAGTCAGTTTTAAAAATAATTGTTTGTTCCTAAAAAGTATTGAACATAGAGACACATCACTATCCATGGTCAAAAGACCAAGAACCACCTGATTTATATAGAAACATTGAAGAAGTTCAATTGATTCAGATTGAACATTATTGTCAATTTATACAAGGAACATGTGAATTCAATAATGATGCAATGGTAATACTTGATACTTAAAAAAAAAAAATATTTGTCATAAATATTTTAATCACGTATAAAATACATTTTTTTTCAGAAAAATACTAAAGTTAATTTTAAAAATAGACCATCAATAGCAGTACCTGATTTGAATATTTTATTATTAAAAGATTCAGAAGGACCTGATCCTGTGCAAATTATGTATGTAAGTATATTATTTATCTTCTTTCTTTCGCTTGAACTATAATATAAAATATTACTTTGTAAAAATTAATATCTTTATAGGCCCTAACAAGTAAATCAGGGCAAGATGCATTTAATTTGGAACGCCTAGAAACTTTAGGAGATTCTTATTTAAAATTTATTGTATCTTTATTTTTGTACACTACGTTTCCAAACTGTAACGAAGGTCCGTTAACAACATTAAAAGGGAAACTAATTGGTAATCGTAATCTTTATTACTGTGGAGTTAAGAAGAACATTCCCGGACGTATGAAAGTTGATGATTTTGCACCATTAAGTAATTTTATTGCTCCTGCTTATACAGTAAACAGACAGCTTCAAACATTATTATTAGAAACAGAGGTTTATATTATTTTAATAATTACATGATTATAATATTATTATAAAACTTAAAGAATTAAAATAAGTAAAATTTTACATTAAGGTATCACCAAATGTTTTATATGAAATTCAAATACCTAAAACTGAACAATTTATTGGAACTATAAGTGAAACCACCAACAGTGTAATAGAAGAGAAAGTATTAAATTGGGAGCCAGCAGAATCACAAACTGGTATGGAACATTATCTTGGAATACAAACTGTTTCTGATAAAACAGTAGCTGATTGCATAGAAGCACTAATTGGTGTATATCTTACAGTAAGTTTGAAATATCAGACATATAATATTTATGCAATTCTTTTCATTAAAGCCTTAGAGCTTCGATTATATTTTAATATATCCATGTGATGTAGTTAACAAGTATGACTCTTATATAAACAATTACACTAATTTCAATTTTCACTTTAACAGCATTTGGGTATTAAAGATACCATTATTTTGTTGAAATGGTTACAAATTTTACCAAATGAAATTGATATTCGTGGGCTATTATATGATATTTCAGAGGATTTTGTTGCTCAGGAGAATATAAATCGTTTCATGCCGTGGGCTTCCAACATAGAAACAAAACTTGGGTATAAATTTAAAAATCAAGCATTTTTACTTAAGGTATATTTATGTATATATATTTTTAATATTATTTAAGGAAACGGATTAGATTTTCTATTTTTAGTGGTGTTACATAATTTTGTCAGAATTACACACACACACACACACAAAAACGCGTAGAACATATGGCCTTTTAGTTTTAATCATATCGTGTAAACTTGTTATTTTTTTAATTGAACTATAATACACAAATAAATGATCTTCTCAGAAACGAAAGTAATCAATTCCACAAAGTGAAAAGTAGAAATTGATGATATGATATACATTATAAATAAAATTGTATCGAATAAAATAGTTTGCTAATAAAAATGGAATTGATTACGTAAAAATTTTAATAATTCATAATTTAATATGGAAGAAACAAACTGTTTTAGGCTTTTACACATCCCTCGTATACAGCAAATAATGTAACCGAATGTTATCAAAGATTGGAATTTCTTGGTGACGCTATACTCGGTAAGAAAATATTTGAAAACTTATATTAATGTATTTTCTAATACTTGGAAATTCTTTTGAACATGTTACACTTAAGTAATATTATTTCAATATGTTGTTTTAGATTTCTTAATTACATGTTATATTTATGAAAATTGTGGAAATTTAAATCCTGGTGAATTGACAGATTTAAGGTCTGCTCTTGTTAATAATATTACCTTTGCGTGTTTAAGTGTACGATATGGTTTACATACTGCATTATTAGCTTATGCACCAAATTTAAATGAAGCGATAAATCGTTTTGTAAAATTTCAAGAAGAAAGAGATCATGTTGTAAATGACGAGGTATTTTACAATATTTTGTTATAATAAATTACATATGTGTATACATATATGTAATACCTATATGTATTTTATATCTAATAGCTTTTATGGATCTTATTGGAAGAAGATGAATGTAATATAGTCGAGCATGTAGATGTTCCTAAAGTGTTGGGAGATTTATATGAATCTGTCATAGGTGCAATATATTTGGACAGTGGTAAGAATCTTAAAAAAACTTGGGATATAATATACTCGCTCATGCATAAAGAAATTGGTAAGTACTGATATAATAATTTGAAAACTTGGAAATAATTAACTGAAAATTAATATTCATTATAATACTTGATCTTTATTTAGATGAATTTAGTAAAAATATCCCAAAACAACCAATTCGTGTATTATATGAAACTCAAGGCGCTCATCCACAGTTTTTGTAAGTATATTTTGTTTTTGTAAATTTTCCAAATTTATCACTAAATAATATATTTTTTAGAAATGCCCATAAAATTGAAGGCACGAACGGAGTTATGGTACCTTTAAAAGTAACTATCGCTGGAAAAGTAAAACTTTTTCACGGATTTGGTATAAATAAAAAGCAAGCTAAATGTGCCGTTGCTAAACAAGCTTTAAAAAGTTTGTTGTCTACATAAAAATAATAGAAAAATTATAATAAATTATGGAGAGTATTTTTATGTATGTACAAGAGGTTATATGTAATACTATGTATTATTATTATTATTATTATTCTTATTATTATTGAACGCGTCGGGCACTCAGTCCTCAAGGGACCATTGTACCCGAGCCCATACGGGTAGTTCCGGCTACCGAGGTACATTGTGAAGGCCGGCCTCCTTTGCAAAGTCCAAGAGTCCGGCCACTCCAGGGCCTTAGTGTGCCTCGTTAATACTATACATACAATAATATTGATATGCAATTTTATATTATTTAACTATTAATTACTTTTTTAATGCATTATTTTATTGAAATAAACATATTATAAATTACTTAATTAAATTAATTTTCATTTTTCCGTTTTTTCAACGATGGCCGTTCAAACACTTGTTTCATTCCTGCTGCTTGATTATTATGGAATTTTAAATTTTGAGCTGTTTCTGAAATCCAAGGTGAATCAAATTGAGTGGTATCTTGATCCACCAAGTGAGTGTATTTAGTTCTACCACTACGACCGAAGTTTTTCACTTGCATAACTTTTGGTAAAATCGTTTTATCAAAGTGGTCCTCCAATGTTGCGCCAGAGAAATCTCGTTTAAATATATTATCATCTTTATCCAAATAGAAGGCTCCACGATGGTAATATTTCTGTAAAAATTTGTATTTCCCTTTGGCTGCTTTGTTCGTAATAACTTTCGGATTCAATCGAGCTTCTTGTCTTCGTTCTTCTTCCGTCATATTACGTATCCGTTCAATTTCTAGCCGTTCTTTCTCAAGCCTAAAACATAATTATTAAATGAAAAATACAATAGATATAAACGTCATTATTTTTAATGATACAACATACTGTTCTCTTTCTTCACGATCGCGCTTAATTCTTTTTAATTCTCGCAGTTTCCAAGCTTCATATTCAACTTCATCATTTTCATCATCGGTACAAACATCCTCCAGTTTTCCTTCAGTTTCATTAGTGTTTTTGCCAACTTGTGCTTCTTTCCTTATTGCTTCTTCTACCATCTATAAAATAAATATCAAGTTAACAAAAATATCTTTTTCGATAAAGAATTAAACTTACCCGCAGTGTTTGCCGTTTTCGTTCTTCAGCCATTTTCTTTGCTTCAATTTCTGCTTGTTTTTGTTTCATTGCTTCCTTTTCTTTTTCCATTACTGTAATTCTATCTTTTTTACGAACAAAAACTGGCTTTAATCTTGGTCCAGTTTCTTCTTCAGAATCTGTGTATTCCTCATATTCTGAACTTTCTTCTGAACTATCCCCGGATCTTTCATCCTCTTCCCCGTGAATTAATTCTTCTTCATTTTCTTTCTTAGACAAAACTCGTTGCTTTAAGGCTTCTCTCCTTCTTTCGATTTCTGAATCTGACAATTCTTCGTCTTCCGATGAATCTGAACTTTCAAGTTTGATCCTTTCTCTGGTTCTTTCTGGTTCAACTTCAATTAATTCTGGTTCATGGATATGTCTATGTCTTTCAGCACGAATTTCTACATTAGATTCTTTATGTTTTTCTAATCGCGTTAATCTTCTTATTCGCGGATCATCTTCGTCGCGGACCTTAATCTGTGACTGTATCGGAGCATCCGTAGAAGTCTCATTTTCTTCATAATTTTTATGCGCTCGTTTTTCTAAGAAATCTTCATCTTCAGATTCTTCTTCTGAGCTAGCTGCTGGTGCATAATCAGGCCGTTTTCCAGAGACATAACGATGCACTTTTACTTTTTTCATAGAAAGTTCACCTACAAGTATTACACATTTGTTAAGATGTTATTACCAAAATATTTACACATTATCAATTATTTAATTTTAACAATCATTGTCAAGTAAGTAGATCCTTTGTTTGTGTTATGATTTAAAAATTATAACATTTGGTTACTAACCTTTATCATTTTTTACAGGAACTGCACCTGCGGTACTTTGAATTCCCATAGGAGCAGGTGCTAAAGAATTATTTGTTACAAAATAATCCATCATCATTTTGGCAATTTACAAAATAATTTAAGTATGTATGTATGTACAATACCAAGTCTATAACATAACAATCAACTTCACTTTAATCCTTCTATGTCAAAAAGTATACATTTTACAGATGCAAGTACTCATATGTAAATATGTAGGCTTTCTTGCACCATAGACAAATTAATATAAATGTCTATATTTGTTATATAATTTTATGTATAATATATCTATAATTTTTAATGATATACAATAAAAAATGTGCAATAAAATATATTTTGATAAAACATTTTAATTTTATTAAATATTTATTTAACTAAGAATATGTAATAAGAGAGTTATTTATTTACTATACAGAGAAATAGGTCTTTTTAAATATATTAAATATTAATTATTGGCGATGATAAAGGTATGATACAAGTATCTAGTCTATAAAAAAATAATTCATGTTGGAAATCGACTTCTTGCGCATATATAGTACCTTGTGAGATGTTCATTACCAGTTGGCAGTTGGTTGGTGCGAGTCCGTGAGAGAGATAGGTGATTCGTGTAGTTCGTTGTATAAAGCGTGCTGCGTGCTGTATATATAGTTATATTTTACGTACATACATAAGTAAAAGCTGTAATTATTAATACTTTATATTATTTAAACGAACGTTAAACAATAATAAAGCCAAGATGTTTTGGGGTAAGTGAATTATGTACGAATAAAAGTACATATTGGTTTTCCAAAATTTGCCGGTAAAGGCTATTTCAGAATGGCGTCGCCATGTGGTTTCGAAAAACTATTTGCTGTTGACAGTATAATAAAATTGTAATAAAATGTACTGATTTTTTTCAGGTTTGATAATGGAACCGAATAAACGGTACACACAGACCGTTGAAAAATCATTCCACGTTTCAATGGCCAGTTTAGACCTGTTAACTGCCGGTAAAAGCTAGAAATCAATTTAACGTTATTTTTTAAATCTTTTAACATAAATATACTAGCACAAAATACTATTCAATTTCAATTGAATAAAAGTAGATTATATGCTTGAAGAAATTATATTTTATAGAGCAACTTCTTTTAAAATTAATTTATCTAAACTTTTATTTATTACAGATGATAATTTGGTTCAAGTAATGTTATGCTATGATAACAGAAATTATCTATTATGCAGTTTGAAAAAAAATACCACATGGCAAGTCCCGCTTGATTTAAATTTCGAAGAAGGAACTAAGATTGCATTTACATGTAATGGTCATGGTCACATACATTTAACTGGTTATTTAATACCTGATGAAGATCTGGATTTAGATGAATTAGAAGAAGAGGAAGAAGGAGAAGAAGAAGAAGGAGAAGAAGAAGAAGAAGAAGAAGATGATGATGATGAAGTTCCAGAATTAGTTGACCAAAAGTTAAAAAGAAAAGCAAAGGATTCTTTAAAAAATGACAAGACTACCAAGCGCCCTAAACATGAAATTAAAGCAGAATCTTCGGATGAAGATATAGAATTGGATGGCTTAAATGAAGAGAATGATACTGAAGAAGAAGAAGAAGAAGAACCAATATTAGAAGAGGAAGAAGAAGATAGCGAAGAAGATGAGGAGGAGAACAATGAAGAGGAAAAGAAGAAAGTAAAAGTTCAACAGAGGGATAAAAAGAATAAACAGCAACAACAGCTACAGAAAAAAAAAGAAGATAAGAAGAAATTAGTAAATGGAAAAGAAATGAAACAAGAACAGAAAAATAAACAGAAAAAAAATAAAGAACTTCAGTCATCTGAGCAAAATGTTCAAAGCGATCAAAAGAAGAGGGTAGTAGAAGGTGGAGTGCAAATAGAAGAACTAAAAATCGGCAACGGTATTCCTGCAAAGAGTGGAAGATTTGTATCAGTATATTACGTTGGCCGTTTGAAAAATGGAAAGAAATTCGACTCGACAACACAAGGAGAAGGTTTTAAATTTAGACTTGGAAAGGGTGAAGTAATTAAAGGATGGGATGCCGGTATTATAGGAATGAAAGTAGGAGGAAAACGGCGTATTACAATACCACCAGCTATGGCGTAAGTATTATTATTTAATTTATATTCCATTATAAATATGTAGCTTGGTTACAAATAATATCCTTATTGCAGATATGGAGCAAAAGGTTCACCTCCAGTCATTCCAGGTAACAGTACATTGGTATTTGAAGTTGAACTTAGGAATGTGCATTAGGACTAAGGTATTTCATTGACTTTTAAATATTTGTTAAGCGATATGTAACGTATTTTAAAATAATAAATTGAACATCCTTTTTTATTATCCATCAAACTGTTAATTTTTTTTTTTTTTTTAAGTATAATCGAAATATAGTTGAGTTTAAGAGATGCATAATAATAACATTCACAAATAACATGTATTTTAATCTGTTTTTTTATTTTCTTGACTTTTCTTCCAAGTTAATGTACAAACTCCATTTTTGCATTCCTTTATCAATTCTGGAGGTTGTTCATCAGCTGTTATCTTTTGTTTATTTCTAAACTGCCACCATTTCAATAATAATGGTTGTACCAGGAACCTCCATATAATGAGAAGTATGGGTATAACGACACATGGTATGCATGCCATATTTAACAGTTCAAATAAACTAAAAGAGAAATATAAATTTACATAATATGTCGGTTGTTAATTTAATAGCTAAGTTATGATAAATGTTTCACTTTTGATATAATTAGAAATTGGATTCTTACCTTTAATAAATTTAATGTACCTTTTTTTGTTATTATTATGCGAAATAATCGAATGAAAAATGAAATAACAGTATGAATTCAAAGATAGTATAACCTCTATGTTTATGTACAAAATAAATTAGGTTTAATCTTTATTGATTCGCTTCGATTTTTCAGGCAAAAAATAAGTATAATACGTCGATAGCGTTTTTATATAAACTAAAATTTTGTGTATAACTAACCGCGTCAGTCTGTCTTCGGTCGTTGTGGCGGCGGGGGGTGTATGCTTTTATCTTCGATAGCAACGCCATCTATACAAAAGCGGCTCAAACTACTCGACGAGTTACCGATCGATTTTCCGAAAGGGGGAACACTAGCGCCCCCTATCAGAAAGCAGAGGAAACTACTCGACGAATTACCGACCTATCCTTCGGCAATCGGTAAATTGTTTCGTAGTTTCTGCCACTTCCCGACAGGCGGCGCTACTGTTCCCCTGTTTCGGAAAATCGATCGGTAACTCGTCGAGTAGTTTGAGGCGCTTTTGTATAGATGGCGCTGCTATCGAGAATAAGAGCATACCCCCCTACCTCTTCGACGTCCGAAGACAGACTGACGCGCTTCAGCGCAAGGCGCCTAATTTATAAAGATTAGTTTCATGTTTGCCAGCCCTAAATTATCAAAATTTTCAAATATTTTACAGTACTGTAGCAGTGACTGCAGATCCAACAAGACTGGGAAATGTAAAACAATTCGTATTGCAACAGTCTGACGGTAATAATAGATTACTTCGACACCAACGACTATACCTCATCACTCATTGTCAGTGTCTCGAGAATGACTTTACTTTTCACCTTATATCAGCTTATATGATATCACAGTTAATATATCACAGGTTTAATATCTATTTACTGTCTGGTGCCTGCTATCTGTTTTATAGATCATTCGTAACAGTGAAATCATTAATTACATATGATTTCGCAATCTCAAGCTATTATGTATTAAGTTGAGAAACCAATTTAAATTATCGAAATATTTGTTTTAATTATAACGAAGGCGTAAATATAACAGAGATGCGAACATCATTAGGAAAAGTAATTTTACTTATCTGTGTGAAATAAATAAACCATTATCGTTGTTGTAAGTCAGAAGAAGGTAACAATAGGGGAAAAAGGTATTTAACAATTATAGAGCATTCATAAAAGTGTTTTAAGTTTATTATAACATGCAGCTGAAAGAAATTTCGGTTTACATACATACAAGGGGGCCCTCGAAAAGATTTGACAACCTCGAGGCCCGAGAAATCTTAATCTGGTCCTGATGATAGGTAAATCACTATTCACCATAAGTTCTAACTTACCCAATTGAAGGTTGTTTATATTTTCATTATTACTGATGGTCGCTGAATTTAGCGGCATCCACAAAGAGAGCAACCCCATGACAGTGTCTATTATCACCATACTGTCGATGGATAGCTCTCTTCATAGCGCACGCCTTTTGTTACTCCTTTCGTTTAATCCTCAATGATAATAATAATAATAATAATGATAATATTTCGAATTTACAGCATCCGGAGTGAACGTGCTGAAAAGAAAAAAGAATTGAATTTTATTGAAATACTTGTATTATATGGAGTTGATTAATTCGAAAGCAACTACCGAATGACAGAAATTGTCGCAGTGCTGCAATACAGTATAAGTATAGCAGCTTTGCCTTGTTATCGGGAAGGTGCGAGCAACCTCTTCCTCTTTAGCGCTACCACCTGATTGCGCGGTAAACATTACCTTAGTGCGTTAGCTCGTGGCACGAGTCGTTAACACTTCCTTTATTCATCTGCCCTGATATGAATTCCACTTGAACCTGAAAATATATGTATATATTTAAATCTTAATTTTCAAAAAATTAAGATACCTATAATATAAATAATAATAGATTTGAAGAAACAGTAAACGGTGAACTCGTGTGAGTTGATCGATATACATATTATCAGATTGAGATAAGCTCGAAAGAAAATTCGTTTTATTGATAACCGTTATCTGATACCACTGGTAAAAGAATCGTAACAATTGTCCGCTATGATTTTTCGATAACACCGAACAAATTAAGAAACCTTCTCGAAAACAGAAAAGAAATATTAAAACGGTATTTGCGTCGGTGCGCTAGTTATAATTAACAGACGGTAACTAATTTCCAAATAAACTAACGATAAGACGAGCAAATGTTGAAATTTTTCCAATGATAGATTCACGTTTAATTTGCTGACAAAATTAGTTGATATCCCTACCCGACAACTATTTAACCCTTTGAACAGCGGAGCCTGGGTCAATCATGATCCAAATTTATGTAACTAGGTAAATGTTGAATACATTTCTTTATTACATTTTTATAAAAGAATAAGTAATTTATACATACGTGTAGCTTCTTATCGCTTAATTGAATTTTCAGGTATCGTGCAATTAGGTATTCTTTTTTACTTAAATAATTACAAAGAATATATATCGTACCTTTCACACTTTTCTACCTGAAGAATCAATAGAAACATCGAATATCTTTGAGAGAAGCCAATGATTACACGTTATCAGTAGACGATGCGATAAAGCGATAACAAGTTGGCTTGTACAGGTATTATCGAAAATCCTCTGTTAATGGTAGTATTTTTCTCTTTAATTTTCAAATAACAATACCTACCACAACAGGTATAAAATATCTGTTTTTATTATACTTATTTTGTTGATAACTAATCGACGATTTGATCGATTACTATTCGATATAATTAACGAATAAAATCACCAAGGAAAAATTGTAAAATTATTCTCAACAAATTCTCGTTGCTATTTTAACAATTTTAATGATTTCGCGTTAACTTGTTAATTAAATCTTCCATTTACGAAAAAGCACGGTTTCATTAACATACATATGTATACCGGCAAACAAAATATCTTTCGTAGACTTTCTTTTGAAAAGCCGAGAATATTAGCAAACACGCGAGAATGAGAATGAAATCTTCTGCAAGCAAGCGAAATAGATAAATTTGTAAAAAAAAGGCGAACGTTCAAACATTGTTGTTACGGTAATCGCGTAACAATTCCCTTATCAACGTCAACGTGTTTTTCGACACGCTTGTTAATTAATGCCAAAACAATCAAGTATCAAACCGAGGTCCTTTACTTTGTTCTACTTCGATGTTATTTACAACCGAAAGTCTCGTTATCGCGATGAGGAGGCAAAATTTCTGTTTGCATTTAACGAAGGTTTTGGATCGATCGAGACCCAGAGATAATATGAAATAGAAAAATTAAATGAAATCAAATATGAGTCTCTCTACGAGGTACGACGCCGTTCGAGGGTTAACACTAGAAAGAACATCCGCCGTTCAATAAAATTAAAATTAATTCTTTATCTTAGGAGAAGTCAACACGCGACCTTAAATAATTTCTATAATTTGAAGTAATATAGAAATATTTGAAATATGAAAATCCTTTCGGCTTTGTGTTTCCGAGTGTTAAAAAGAAATATGTACTTTAACGAAGAGCGATACACATTCGATACCTGAAAATTCAACAACGTTATCGGCGCGTCGCGTCGCGGCGGTTCTAAAGAAAAAAAAAAGGTTTCGTTACTCGTGTTCAAGAAAGTTACATAATCGTCATTTTGAAGCGCGAAGCGAATGTTGTGTGTTCTCTAGTAGCAATTATATCCCTGAAATTTACACATGAAAAGGTTACGGTAACAAGAATTCCAGCTGCGAATACACGCGACTGCGGGGAATCCAATGGTGATGGACGTGCGCGAACTTCTCTTTATACGCGAATATTCTTTTGATTGTTTTCAATTTATTCTTGAATTACAATAATAAATTTCATTTATCGAAACTTTAACCACTTACTTACCGCTAGGTACGTACCCCCCGGTAACAAAATACCACTGATCATGGTAGACATCCGGATGGATATGCATTACGTTAGACAAGTTCCTCCTCGCGCACGTTATCGTGAAGATAGAAGTGGAGGAAAATGGAAATGGGTAAGATTGATCGATAGAAAAAAAGATTGTAAACTAACGAATAACTTTTTTGCAGAATGAACGAATGAACGAATGAACGAACGAACGAAGAGGTTCAAGAACGAGTGACGTGGATGTCTCTCTGGTGCGACTCATATACTCTACCTGCGCCGATCTGACGTCACGGGTATGCCTCTTATCAGGAAGGAGTACCAATACCTGGTAAGCCTGCACCTGTATATTCCAGCTTAGCCCTGGGCTTGAATTTTCTTACAAAAGAAATTTCTCTTATACATATTACCTCATTTCCATTAAAGGGTTATTCTGAAAATCTTCAGTTTTTCAAACATTTCTTATTAATGCAACTGTATCATTCCAGGCCATGGGAGACGTGTTCCTCGAGTAAGTAAGTAGTACGACGAAATACATAAGATTCTTAAACTTATGATAGAACGAAGAATGGCACTACACTGTTGTGTGTGTGTGTGTGTGTGTGACAGATTAGAATTGAAAAATTAAAGGAAGAATAATTTTTTAACATTTAATCAAAATCAGGGCTATTTGATTTTAAATGTCCGCCGTCCGAGGGTTAAAGAGAAAACGAATTTATAGGGCGTGCAACCAGAGCAAGAGTATGTATTTACACGGCGTGCTTTCAGGGCAAACGTAGTTTACATGAAAAGGAAAAAATGAAGAAAGACTAACGAGAGATAGAAACGAAACCGTTGTCCCGACGATGTCACGCGCGTTTACGTGGAGCGTTGCACCTTATCTCGTGTTCCAGTTACATCATCGCAGTCGGTTTTGTAGTTCTTACACAATTCCTATCGGGAAGGTATCAGTACAATAAGTCTGAATGCACAATTTATAGTTTTCTTGAAAAGACAGTATTCTATTTTTTAGATCGTTCGATTATAATAAATCTTGTAAATTTTGTATAAATATAAATAATACATATCATATAAAATCTATAAATCTAAACAGTGATCGTAGACCGATTGCCAATGGTACACGACGCTTTACTTCTAAAAGAAAACGGAAATTAGTAATGTTTAATGTTTTTAATAGAGTGTATTAAATTACCTGCAAGCATCCTGAAAGATTTTTCTAACTTGATCGAGCATCTGTTTGTAAGTGGCAAGATCTGATGCCTTTTCCTGTTGCACAGTATCTAATCTAGCTTTTAATGTGAGACACTCTTCTTGAAATAACTCCATTCTACGTTGGGGACAAATAAAAAAAAGATAATTTGTATTTTAAGTAACGCGTTTGCACAAGCTTAAATATGCATGGATATAAATTTACTTGAGTCGCATTTGTTCTGCGTCGACGTCATTCGAGTTGGACGATTTTGAGAATTTCGGTCTGTATCTGCTGTCGATCTTAACGATCCTTGCTCTTTCGGTCTCTAATTTTCCAAGCTTCGCTTCTAATCTCGCCGATTTGTTTCTTTCGTTCCGCAAAGTATTCTATGTATATTAAATAAAAAATACCCTATTATTACGAATTCATTGATATTGATATTGATATAAAAGATTGATTCGATAACCGACAGAAAGAATATCAGCATCGTTCCTCTCTTTGTCCAATCTTCTGTTCAGCACAGTTACTAATTCTAGTAGTCGCTCCCTTTCGGCTTCCGCGGCAAGAGCCAAAGTTACGTATTCATTTGGTTCGTAGGAACTTCGATAACTGTGTAAGGGACTACTATGATTAAGATTATTTAAGAATAATCGTGGGATCTTTTGTGCTTTAATCTCTTCCATGCTTGGAACTGTTCCATTTCTAAATAACAAAGGTTGACAATCATCATTTAACTTTACATCATTCTCATAAATTTTGATCAAATAATTATCGTACCTTAATTTGTCAATTTCTATCTCACGTTCTTCCAGCCTTCTCCTTAATCGATCGATTTGAAGTTGAGCCGATTGCAAATCATTTCTCAAATTCGTACATTCGTGTTCGATTTTCTCTTCCCTATTTTTCATATCCGTTTCCCGTTCTTGATGCTTCATCTCCATCATTTTAAGTCGATTCTATGAATTTTAAACATAGTAGCGAGTAATGATATATATATATCGTATGTAAGTACTCACATTGAGCGTTTCTATTAAACAATCATCGTGAGATCTTTTCTCGTTCAATATCGCTATGTTTCCTTTCGCGGCATTCAATTCGTTCTCCAACACTTTTATCCTCGCCTTTGAAGCTTCCAACTTCCGCTTATAGCCTTCTATGGCTATTTCCGCTTGACGAAGCTCCTTTGCTGAGTTCTCGATTTGCTGACGTCTCTCCCTCTCGACGTTTCGAAAATTCGCTAGATTCTTCCGTTCTATAGACGCTGATTAATATACAAAAGCTTATTAAAATTCTACGTTATGTGTATAAATTGTAATATGTATTTTTTAATATACCAATAGATGTTTTCTGTGTTCCATCGTACTCGGACAATTTTGATTGCAATTCCAACACTTTTTGATTCAGTAAATGAATTTGTTCGGCCCTCCCTCGCCATCCACCAGATTGATTTGCAAGATTATTTATATTCACGTTATCACCCACTTCGTTGCACAGCAACTACGTATGTTTATATAATATTATAAATTTAATATTAGAGAGCGTTGACAAGAAAATATTCCTTAATTGGATACGTAAAATACCTTGTGTAATTTATTAATCTCCTGTTTAAGACTAGCGCAATTATTTTTAGATTCGTAGAGTTTCGTTTGAGTTTGCTGCAACTTTTCCATCAATTTCATCTGATCATCCTTCTCCTTTGCCTGATTATTATTTGTTTCGGTACCTTTGTCAAGGATACTATCCTGGATCTCGATCATATTATTTTTGACAATAGAATGATGTACCATTTCAGGTAGAACTTGATAATATTTAATATAACTCACTTTTTTCCGAGGAATCATCATCAGTTTTCAAACATCTTCTTTCATTCTCTAATTCCATTTCTTTGCTGGCTAAATTATTTTCAAGGTTTTTACATTTTGATTTAAGAACTTCGATCTCGGCTATTTGTTCTCTACATCTTTTACTAAGTTCTATTATTTTTGCAGCTGCTATCTCATTGGGTTTTCTTAGAATTGTTCCTTGTGCCGTTTCCGCGATTCCTTCCTTTTTACGAATCTTTCCTTCGCTTTCCTCGAGCGCCCGACGCAAACAACCATTTTCCGCAATTAAATCCTATTTAATTTATTTTTTTTTTTTTTTTTTTTTTACTTTGTTTAATAACATCTAGTATATTATAAAAAATATGATGTGCAATATAAGAATTATTAGCTTGTAAGTACTTGGATTCGATTTCGTAAAAATACATTCAATTCTTTCGGAAAGATTAGGTGATCAGGTAAAGTCTCCTAATAATGTATTTAAAATTTTAGTTTTCTTTTACATGTTGTATTTCACAAATATAATTACAGCCAAATCATTGTTATAATATCAATATTATACCTCTATTAACTCGTTTTTCCAAGGAATTGTCGCTTCAAAATTTAAAGAATCATTCGTTTCAGTTTCCGATATTTTACATGTTTCCATCTTTTATTAAAAAATCAATTTTGTTTTTTTTTTTTTTTTTAACTAACCTCTATCGTTTCATAAATTGAAATTCTAATGTTTTATTTATAACATAGCATAAATAAAAATTCATATCTACATTCAGCACTACTTACAAAAATCATCAAAAGACAATTACTTATCGCTTTTTTTTTTCAGAAACAAACATTTGAAATTATAAATTTGATTTTGGTAAATGTATATTTAATGATTGAAACAAAATAGTAATATTATAAAACGTTTTTACATGTGTATTAGGTTAATAATGTAAATCAATTTTTACAAATTAATGATAGATAAATCTTTTATCCATATCATCCAACGCATAAATCTTTACATATAGTGGTCTTGATTACATAAAAAACTTAATTCTAAATGTTGGATATAGAAATGTTAAAGGTGACATTTAAACATTTATTTCAAATTAAGTGTACTGATTCAACAATGATGGTTTCGTCAATTTATTTTCCTCCCTTGTTACCAAAATTTTTATGTTGATATCTATTCCTGCCACCTGCAAACTTGCCTGCTTTTTGGAGGGCCTGCAATTTAAAATTTTTTGCAACACCTTCTTTTTTGTTAACTCCAGAATATTGCACGTTCACTCTTCTTCCATTAAGCATTGAATGGTGTAACGAAAATGCTTTCTGTAAACAAATAATTAAATAACATGTTATACAGAAATACAGAAGAAACGCTAATTCAGATTCTAAAAAGTTTTTCTTCAATTTAAGAAATTACCTCAAAATCTGTGTTATTTGCAAATTCAACATAAGCAAATCCACGCGGTGTATTTGCATCGTTCGTAGGTATCCTAATATCAACAATGTTACCTACTTTAGTTAAAAAGTGCTTTTTAATCTCTTCTGAAGTAATGCTGAAACATAATTAAAATGTATAAATTCCAATTTATACTAAATAATTTGTAATGAATTTAATTACATATTAAATTTCTTACTTAAATGGTAAATTCCCTACAAAAACAACATATCTTTTCTTCTTTGCTTCGGCATCATTTTTGTTCTTTTCCTTTTCTGGTGCAGGTTGAACATTATTTGTCTTAACTTTATTATTTTCAGCCTCATCTTCGCTTTCTTCTTCTTCTTCTTCTTCATCTTCAACCTCTTCTTCGCTTTCTCCCTCTACCTCCTCCTCTTCCTCTTCTTCTTCTTCTTCTTCTTCTTCTACATCACTTTCATCTTCGTCTTTACTTTCTTCAGCATCCATTTCTTCATCTTCATCTTCATCTTCGTCCTCTTCTTCTTCCTCCTCTTGTGGTTTCATAACAAACCGATTTTTCTGGTTAACATCCTTCTTTTTATTCTGATTATTTAACTTTGCCTTTGCCTGCCCTTGCACCATCTTATTCTGTGCCTTATTTTGAACCTGTTTATTTTTTACAGCTTCTACTGATTTCTGATTCCGTGCTTTTTGCATCTGTTGTGCATCCTGTGTGGTATCTTTACCCTCCTTTACTATCAATAACTTTCTCAAGAATGCCAACTTTCTTTTAGCTGTTTTTGAAAGTTCATCTCGATTATTTATACTTTCAATTTTTTCTTTTAATTGATCAACAGTGAAGTTAACACTCATTGACCGATTTTTCTTTTTCCCATGATTTTCTTTACTATCTAATTTTTGTTTTTCAGTATTTTTGGGAGTAACATTTGAATTCTTTTTATTAAGATTTTGTACGGGTCCTACATTTTTTTTCACTCCAACCTTTAGATTCTTAGGTACATCCTTTTTAATTTGTTTATCCCCTTGTCCATTTTGTACAGATTTATTTTCTGGTTTCTTTTTTTTAAAAGCTTTATTTACATTTCCTACTGCCTCAGCTTTCTTTTCGACCACTTCAGATTCACTTGCTGAACGCTTTTTCATATTTTTAACCATGATTACTTTTTAGATGATATAAATAGCGAACTCACTGTAATGAAAACATAAAAGAAATTAAAACTCTACTCACATGTTATATACAGAAACTTCAATATATAGAATACATGTAAAAATCAAATCTATATTCTACATATAACTTAATTATATTAACGGTATAATTTTAAACTTGCTTTCTGCATGTTTTAGATAGTTTAATAATATAAATTCATACATAAAAAACTAAAGGAGTAATTGTAGCTGAAAGTGCGGTTAACTTTACAAACTATTTAGTTATTCTTATTTTTATATTGATTGTAATTACAAATAACTTAATTAATTTGATTAATAAACATGTATATAGTAATTGTTTGGTAAAAGATAGTTTATACAATGGATAAATACATGTTTAATTACTTTTATATACTTACATTTACATATCGTGCTAAACGTGGTTGGATATTCACGTTACGAGGTTAACTTCAACATGCGTCTCTTGCACTTCTTTTTTCGATTTTAGTTCCGATTTTGATTTACCTTTTTCTACGCATGCGCATTACTTTACACTTGCAGTTTTCCTTCTAAAATCTTTATTTTCTATATTACCTTTTAATAAAAACTACGTATAGAAAATCTAAACATATTTTTATTATTACAAAAGTAGAATTCATGTATAGTTAAACACTCTTTCTTCTTTAAATATCGTCATTGAAAATTTACTCTGCAACGTCACTTCCGCTACCTTATGCATTTTTTATTGTACAAATATATATACAAAAAATTTGAAATATAATACATATATATTTATAGTTTTTGATTATAACTAAATAATGATCTTTACTAATGTGATCAAGGAATACTGCTATTAAATCTTTTCAAAGACATTGTGTAGTTTTGTTGGTGGCTGAATATGGCGCTATATTTATAAAAATATACCACGAATTCATAATCTTCAGGAATAAAAGATACAACGGTTACTTAGTATATTTATTAATTAATCAGTTTTACAGGTTATTTAATACTTGGTTTAAAATAACTCTTACATAGTTAAACATAATTTTTAACGTATAATATATTATGTATACCGCAGTTCACCAGAGTCCATAACTGCGAAAAGACCAGTTTTCGTTCTTCGCGCTTCTCCAGTGCGCATCTTCGCCCTGATTGGCGATACTCCCAAACGAAGTGGAAAGCGAATAGCAGAGAGCTCGCTGCGTTCCCCCACCATCTTCCAACCTGCGCGTCGCAGTTATGGACTCTGGTGAACTGCGTCATACGTTTGTAGTTCCTCGTTCATTTGCGTAAATTAACTTTTAGAAGAAAAATATGTACTATACAATAGTGGAAGACATTTAGTAATTGTTAAATAATCGCTCTATATGTTAAAATACAAATATAAATGCAATATATGTTACATTTTATTTTCTTGTATGTATTTTATCTGAAGTAGTGTGTATCGCGAATACATTAACCTAAAAAATTTTCTTGTATCAAATAAGCGTTATAAAAATTTCATTCATCACACGTTAAGAGTTATTTACAGTTACGAGTATTTTTATTACATTAATGTCTTTATTCTTGCTCTAAAATACTTAACAAGCAAAAATAATTAAAAGTATGACATTTACTAGTGATTCAGCCATACAGTATACTACAAATTTATTATTATATTAGAAATATATTAGAACATAACTCCGTAATTTACACAGCTCATCAATCAATTCTTTTTCTTCTATCTATGTTCAGCGTAACAGAATTTTAGTTTCATAAAAACAAAATGCATTGCATGGTATGGTATAATTATTATAAAGAATTGTAAAGCTGATACTTGATTAAATACTGCTTTTTGTAATCTGTAATTAAATATTTCATAGCATACTATAAAAAATGTCGTGTATATAAATAATACATAATCGTTCATTTGTCTTTGAATGTTGCATATAAAAGTTATAAATAAAAAATTTATACAGAAAAATATATTAATTACTTACAGTCGCCTATGGTAATAAACATTAATATTGCGATAATTTGCATAAAAATATCTTATGAAAAAACAGTTTAATTTGCAGTAAAAATAATGTTAACATAAATTAAGATAAAAATCATATTAATACAATGATAAGATAACTCGTAATTTTTACCTTTATATCAAAGTAATTTTTCTTCATTTGAAAGTTATAGTGTTATAAATTTAGAAGTGAAATATTCTCAACTTTATTATTTAATATTATGTTATTTCGCATGTTCCAAGTAACTATAAATTGTCCATAAAGTCTAATATTTTCATCATTTCGCATAAATTTTTACAATATTTTATCAAATATTGTTATAATAATGTCATTGTATCCATTTATCAAAATGAATTGACATTACAAATTGCTAAATGTTATTTGTCATTCTTTCTGGATGTTAAATATTTACATACAACAAATTAGTATGTCTAGTCTGCTTTACGTGGCTTACGTTTACGAACATTCGGACTGCTTGGTTCAGTTTTGCTATCTTTATCTGCATCTTTTCCTTTTTCTTCTTTATCAGATCCTTCCTGTTCAGAATCTTCATCAACTAAATCATCTTTAACATTTTCAACAATTTCTTCATCTTGTATACTTTTCTCTTGCATAAATCCACCTGATCCTTCTCTATGTTTCTTTTTATCCTGGAGCATTATAGGTTTTGGTGGATATATAAAATCGATCAGGCATACGATAAACTGTAAATTAAAACAAATAATTAGTTACTAGAAATTTAAACTGCATTATTTACACTTACCAATCCCAATATTGCGCCTAATACAATGGTAGCAATAGCAAAAATTAAGTAACTACCCCAGGTAGGTAATCCAAAATCTTCCATAAGTTTATTATGTATTCCCTAAGCAAGATAAATGATTTTACAATGTGCATACAATGTGTACAACTAATATTTTATAATGTTATTTACCCTTAATACTTGGGACATTTTAAAGAATTGGCTAATGACAGACATTTGAACAGAAGTTGGACTCTTCCAACCAGGAACTGGCTCAATTTTCTCCCATGTTCTTTCAGATACAAATTCAATTAAGGAATCTTTGTCTCTAGGACTCTTATATTGTCTGAATATGCCATCTTTAACGCTAAAGGATTATGTTGGTTATTTAAAAATATACTTAAAAATATTATAAATTCCAAATTAGATTTTTTCATGAAATGAAGAACTCTTACTGATATATTGTTGGTAAAGCAGTAACCATAAATCTTCCACTAAGTCCTGGTGAATCTGTCACGTCAACTTTTCCTACATTAATATTTAGATTCTTTTTCTGTGAAGCAAGATGTTCCCAAATAGGTTCAAGTGCTTTACAAGCAGGACACCATGGAGCATAACTAAATTAATAAAAATGATTCATATTATGAGCATTAATAACAACTTTAATTTTAAGGTGGAATTTTCTATATCATAAAATTTACAACAAATAATATCTTGTATCTTTGCAATGATCATTATCTTAAGTTAAATAAAATAATATGCATGACTTCAAATACAACATTTAAGCATAATATAAAGCTCCTTTAACATCATTTTGGATACGCCACCAAATTAGATGACAAAGAATCAATTTAACTCACAATTCTACCAGCCACTCTCCAATTAACATACGATCCCAATTTTCCTCGGTAAGTTGTTCCGCATAAGTAGTTTTAGATGATGTCTGAATACTTGCATTTACAAGACTCAAAATTAAGCAACAGCATGTTATATAAAATGAAAAACTGAATTTAGTGTACAACATTTTATTTTAAATAATATTCACCGGTATGTACGGTATACACACGCTGCCGGGTGCTGGAAGAAACGTAAATCCAATCAACAATAGTTGGTAACTGACAATAAGTAAAGTCTCTTTTCCTACATAGAAACACAATATTTTAGCACCCTAGAGATGAAATATAAATAATCATTTACTTTTTTTTACTTATCATTTCATCAGAATTAAAAAGTCGTTTAAACCTGAATACATTTCATTTTTCTTTTATAAATAAACTGTAATATTTAATAAGTTAAAAAAAATTTACTGGAATTATAAACTGTGAATCAATTTTAATGCTCGATATGAACTACACATAAGTGGATTTTTCTGATGTGTATGTATGTATGTACAATTTCGTATAATTCTAAATTACAGGAAACGAGCAGTTCTTTGTTATTGTTTCAAATGAAAATTTAGAAAACTTTAATAAACACGTAAGCGTACCTGTAATATATAAATATTTTTTATCGATCATCTAAAGCTATTTTCATTAAATTATGTACTATAAATGTATTTTTCTTAATTCAATGTTAAATTATATTAAGTTAAAGTATAGTAATTTTGTTTAAAAATTTGTAAATATATAGGTACTAAAAGTAAATACATTTTATAGGTAAACAATGTCTGCTGTTTATCCAACTTTGTCAAAGTTAGTTGTAAGTGATGGTTATGATGAGGAAGATTTAACAGATATCGATGATGAAGTATTCATTCGAGATGGAAAGAATGGTAGTTTAAAGTTGCATGATGATGGTGGGGTGAAACAGCCTTTGATGGCACCTCGCCGAAGATACAAGAAATCTCATAATTTTGAAACATACAGGCTTTCAAATAAAGCCTTTTATGTACCTCTTTGCTTTGGACTCATGGCATTAGTAATATTATTAAGTTTAATTACATTATGTATATACATTGTAAATGTAATTCCTATGCCACTGTCAATCCTAAAAAATTGGTTGTCACACGATGTTGGAGATACATCAAAGGAATCTAACATAGTTCCATGTACCTCATTGGCAACAAAAATTTTATGGACCAGATCCTTACCAAAATTGACATCCGAATCTCCATTAAGAACTACTGATGTTAATGCTGATGGAATTGAAGATATCATCATTGGATTTAGTACAGGTTCTTGTTTATATTTTACCTTCATTATTTGCAAGTTTTTATATTTTCTATTAGAATTTTATTTTCATCATATATTTATTTTCTCATTTACAGATCTTAAGCTTATAGTTTTATGAGTTATCGAATGAGGTACATCAGTTTTATTCAGTTTTATTCATAAGTGATATTTGCATAAAACCATCTGAAAACATTAACAATATTTTAACAGGTTTAGATGTGATAAATACTCCAGAGTACATTTGTGCACTATATTTTGAAGGACAAGTTCCATGTTTTGGTGGAGTTTTGGCTTTGAATGGTAAAACAGGAGATACACTTTGGATACATTGGACAACTCATGCAATATTTTCAATTGATTGCAATTTGGATTTAACAAATGATAAAATTAAAGATTGTATTATATGTGGACGTGGGGGAATACTTCATGCTGTGAATGGGCATGATGGAACTAGCATATGGGAAATCCCAATTAGAGAATTATCAGCTTCAGAAGAATGGAAACTTTCTGATATTTATGATGCTAAATTTATTGCTGATATTGATGGAGACGAAATTGGGGATGTTATCGCATCGCATACTATACAATCGAGAGAAATTCATACAAGTGAAATTCTTATAATATCAGGAATCAATGGAAATGTAATACACAGTTCAATTTTACCAAATACAGAGCAATTATTTTTAGCACCTCAAAAATTAATACATCCAGATGGAGAAAATATTTTTATTCTTGTAACCAGTAGTCAGAAACAATCGGGAGGGTTGTATATAATTCCTCAAGTAGATCTAATGTATGGTAATTTGGTGAGTTACTTTTTTTAGTATAAAAACAATTGTATAAATAACTGTTAATTAATAATATATGTATTACAGAATTTACGAAAGTTGCATCATGATACGGGAAAAGGAACTTTATTGCCCCCAATTTTGGTGGATATAACATTAGACGGAGTTGAAGATATTGTTACTGCTATGTTCAACTCAACAATAATAGTTTATAATGGACTAACATTCGAACCTATTTGGAATTATACCATCCCCAATTCTGAAGTAATAAGTATACCTATTCCTGGTTATTATAATGATGACGATGTACCAGATTTTATGGTAAAACATCAAATAGGTTCAGGTTTTCCAACATATTATTATACTGTAGCAACAATCATCGATGGTAAAACTGGTAAACCATTATTAGAAAAGCCAATAGAAGATAGTTTAAGTAAAGAAATGTCTGGTTTATCAATTACTGTTGAAGGTTTTGGAAATGATTGGTTTTTACACTGGTCTGTCGATTGTCTAAATTATGAAGGAGTTAAAGAGAAATATCAGTTTTTAAGAAGTGAAGATCTCGTATCTGAATCACGTGTTGATCTTTGTAAACTGAGGTTTAATTCCACTTTGACTACAACTTTGTATGCTTTGAGTCAGCATGTTGGACCACCTGGTATATCATTATATTTTTCTGTAGATTGGAAGTCTTTAGAATATAATAACTCTATAATGGAATCATATGCAAATATGCCATTTGTATCTGAAAGATCACCAAAAATTGATAGAAATCAAAATAAAGACAATGTACACACAAAAAAACGTAAAGATAAATCTGGCGATATGAATAACTATTTTGAACCTTATGGACAATATGTAACTAATAAAAAACTATTTCCTATGGATAGTCAGAGTGACAATATAGATGATTTTAATCGTGATTACAATTTGCAAAATGAAAATAAATGGATAAACCCAAATGAGCAAGAAAACAAAGATTATGACATGGTATATGATGGTAATAATAACATTAATATACAAGAAGAGCGGTCTATAAATTATTCACAAGTAAATAAAAGATTGGAAGGAACAAGTAACATCAACAATAGATTTATTCACGAACTTAATACAGATATAAATAAACCATCAAATATTACAAACAGAACAAATGTACCTAAACAAATTAATAATTATCTTACAATTTTTGATACTGCAAATGATAAAGATACAGATGCGGAAACAATGGTGCTACGCAAAAGATCAATGAACATTTTACAAGACAATATGCAGACTCTTACTCGCAAAAAACAAAAATTACCAAAACAGAATAAAAAAACAAATATTAAAGAAAAATCAAAAATAAAATTAATAAATAAATTACAACTTGATTCGAATAAATATCAAAAGAAAAGAGAAATAAATAACAAACACAATAGAATATATCCAACATATGGTGTACAAAAGCAACCACCGACTGGCGTCCTATTACCTTCTATTTTACAATCAAAAGGATCAACTTCCATAGATTTAGTATTTTCTACATTTTGGTTACCATCTTCTGATGTACCTATAATACTAATTCAGGAAGATCTGGATTGTATCCATAGGAAAAAAATGCTTTCAGAAAAAAAATTACAGTATGAACAAAATGATGATATTGTCAAGGAATGTTTAAATGAACGAGGCGTTGATTATAAAACAAATCAAGAAACAACTGATAAAGAGAATTCCAAAATTTCTCTTGGACAAATGACAATATATAGAATCAAACTGGAATGTATATGCCCAGAGGATATGTTACCTAATCAAAGTTGCAAAAATATTTCATCCCATCAGAGTTGGTCTGAATATTTGGGTTTGCATGGGAATGGATATTTCAAACCTCTTTATAAAGCAAACACGAAATGATTTCTTTACACTTTACTTATACTTTTATAAACTATTATATTGATTTTTTAAAATATATTTTTCTTTTCCTCTATGTGAGGAACGAATAAATATATATATATTTTTTATAAATTTATGAAATGATTAGCTACTTAAAAGTTACATATTGGAGCTATTATTTAAATTTGAATGTTGCTAATAAGATATGAATTCTACTTATTAATTAGTGTAAGAATTGTGTATAATTGTTCCTTGAATATGTACCTGTTGTGTAATGAAAACTATCATTACCAAACTTCAATACAATTTGGTACTAATATTTTGAGTACATTATAAATACTAGATAAGTATATCAGATGACTTATATTAATAAAATGTTTACATATTCATAAAATATACCAAACTGCTTAAACCAACTGCTTTATTCTTTATTATACTAATGAAAGTAAATTATTGAATAATGTTACATGTAAAATGTTTATGACATATGAAATAAATATTATAATTGACACAATGTTATTATTTATACAATGAAATAAAACTGTGCTACATATATGTATGTATAAGTTCAAAAGTTGTGAAGTTAGTGTTTGATCAATATTCAGTTGCTCCATAAATTTTTACTAAACGACTGTTGTCATATTCATTCTTTCTTTTATTTAAGGTCATACTATATTTGTGTACTTTTTGCAACAATTAATTACATTAAAATATAGTTTATAACTGTTAATTTATAAAAACTATGCCTAGAAGACAAATAATAAATCGTAAGTTACATTTTATATTTTAAGTGATTTTCATTTAATTTTATAATTACAAAAATAAAATTTGTATTTTTACAGAATATGTGCAGGAATGTTATGTCTACATGTAAAAAGATGTCGAAAAATCAAACATAAGATTGCAAACATAATACAAGAAAACAATATAAAACTGAAGAATAACATTGGATTATCAGGTAAATTTATATCTGCAAATATACTCCAAGAATAATAAACTCATTTTTGTATGAGCACAGTGTTTGTATAAATGCCACTGTCTTTGTGCAATATACTGTACTGTATACCTTTTGTCTTCATGTTTATAATGTATCCTATATTTGTTACATAAGATAATGGCTGGAAAATATGAATCAAATAAAATAATATGCTTCAATAGTTACAAATACTTTCGTCAACCAATTGTACCATTTTTAATGCACAAAACACAGGATATAACTTCTCCTGTGCGTTTTCATCATGATGTAAATGACATACACCTAGTACTAAATACAATTAAATCAGAGACACACAGAAATGTGGGAACCCAAACAGATTATAGGGATAGTGAATCCCAAACTGTTCCTTGGGAACCACCGTTTAAAATTAAATCAGGTAAGAAGTAATAGATATAATGTATTGTTTAATATCAATTAATGTATTTATTAACATTTTAGGACATAATCCTGAGTTATTATCAATAGCTCATTTAACTTGGAATCATGGATTACCAGCTGGAACCTCTGAGGTAGAAATTATTAATAGAATGAGAATCAGAAAGTCATGGGAGGCAGTTCTTCCTCCTATGGATACTGCACTTAACATAAAAAAGCGAGAAGCTATATTAACCACATTGGAAATAGAAGAGTGGGCATTTAGAGAATCAATAAGTATTTTCTTATTAAAAATATGAATGATAAGTTTTTTATATGTTCGTTTAAAAAATGTAAATTATTGTAACTTTAGGAGATTCAAGCAATAATGGATTACAGACTTGAATTATTAAATGAGATATCTAAACAACGCGAGTATGAAAAACAACAAAAATTGCAAGATCGTTTTGATAGATTGGACAAATATTTATCTACACGTAGGGATAAAGAAATAAATGTTATTAAATATAATCTTAAACGAGATCTGAGAAAATTATATAAAAAACACCAGCAAAGTCAACAGCCCCGTAAACGTGATATTATCAAGGAACATTCTCAACTATCATCTGAATTATATGCACCACAAATGCGCCATGGAGAACATCCACAAAGATGGCACGAAATATTACAAAAAGATTTATTGGGAGAAAATTATATTGAAAGTAAATATGATATATGAATAATAATTAACAGTGGATACATAAATAATAATTTTGCTCAATAATATTTTATGCTGTTTTAGATATAGATAATATATGTAGATTGTCAGCACGATTTCCAACAATACATAAAGAATTGAAAATGATAAAACCCAAACTTAAGCCAGCTGATCTTTGTATCAGAGAAACAAGATGGACCGAGAAGAAGCTGCAACAATTGCATTCTGATTTGAAAACAGCCAGACTACAGGAAGAACAAATACAGACTTCAACGTTATTGAAACGCAAATATAGACAACCATCTCTTCCTCCTACTCCATATAGAACAAGTACAGAAAATGTGAAGAATATACATATAGATCAATTATCTACTCTTATACAGAAAATAGTTAGAGGGAGAGCTGTTCAGTGCATGGTAATCATTAAATAAAAAATATTCTCTTCATTCAGTTTCCTTATTTAAAAAATTCTTTTAATAGATGTTTGAAGGTCGCAATAGATGCAGAGAATTAATTCAAGAATTGCAATCATCTCATGGACTAGAACAAAACACTAAAAAGCAGCATCAAGAAGAAAAAGAACGAATGTTAAATCTGCAACATTTACAAAATGAAAAATCCATGCAAGAAGATCGTTTAAGCGAAGTTCTTAATTGTTTAGAAGGAATGACCATCTCAGCAATGTTAGATTTTCTTAGTAAAGTAAGTTTTATTTTGTAACATTCTTGTTAAAAACAATTTAATATATATGTATATTTTCTTTTAATATTTATCTTTTCTAAGGAACTTGTAAGATTAGAAGATGAACGTCGAATACATGCTTTCGCATTATTAGCTGAAAGAGAAAGAGCTATGAGAGAAGCAGCAGAAGCTGGAAGGCGTCAGTTAGAATATAATCGTCGTAGAGAGTTTGATGAAATGTTCAGGCAAACTATAAAAGTTAATCAAGAGTCTGTAGAAACCTATCTAGAAGGCATCATCAAAGAAGGCATTGAATGGACATCCGATGAAGCGGCCAAAGAATATATTTTAGAATTATGTGATAAAGTGGAGAGTGTATCAAAATATGCACAAGACAAGTATAATTAGTTAAATTACATTTGAACGGTTATTTGTAATTAATATATTTTCTAATCTTTTTTTGTTTTTGTTTAGCGCAACACAATTAGCAGAAGAAGAAATGGTAGCTAATATGATCTATAACTTTCTATTACCTGAAGTAGAAAAGGATACTATACGAAAAAATATAAGAGAAAAACAACAAGCTTATTTGCAAAATGCACACGCAACGATTTATAATGAAATATTAAATTTATCACCTGTTGAAAATACAAGTTCGTCGACTAAAAGGTATGATAAAATATAACAATAGAAATATGTACTTCGGTTATGATTCATATTTTTATAATTGTTTTAATTGTTGTAGTCAAAATCTTCTTACACCGTGTACATCACAGAAATAAAATAAGAATTTTAGGGTCATCCTTACAGGGTCACCAATCGCTGATTTTCGGATCCATCTTGTAAGATTGTTAAGTATTGATAAATTTCTTTTATCAGTCTGTTTTGCGTATATTAAGTTAAATTTTGCAAGTAATGAAATGTACTATTCGTGTCAAATCAATTGAACAAATAATTTATATGTAAAACATTTTATTTCGTACATAATTTTTAAAAGCTTTGAGTATTACAAACTGAAACATATATTGCATATTCAAATATATGTAAATGTATGCGCCTGGTATATCTTTTACTAAATTTATTGTCACTAATTTTACAAGCAATTTTACATGATATTTAAACTAATACCAAATGAAATTTGTTCTGTAAAGCAATATGTATAAATTTTTCTGTGAGATCTTATCAAGTTTCAGTTAATTTCTATATTTCAGTACTTAAAATAATACATATAAGTTACATTATTGTATAGTTATACTTTTTAATACATTCATTAACTGCATTACAGATTTATACAATAAATAAAAATAAACACTTTCCTATTAAATTTTAAAATAGGTTTAACTTTATATTATGAAAACAAGGAAGTTTAAATTTATTTAGTTAACATAAAAAATGCAAAATTTTGTTAATTTCGTTTTCATATACAACCACATTATGTACAAACAAGTTAATGTGAAGTTGAAGGATATCCTTCTATAGCATTACCTGCAAGAAGATCAGTCATAAATTTTTTAAATTTGACATCTTTTGCATCAGTAGATGATATTCTTTCTACTATTAATTTACGCTTTTTCGTTTGTAATTCTTTTGTTTGCAACGAATCAGATTCTCTCTGATTAATAATATCTATATGTTTTCGTTTACAACTTTCTATAGAATCAGGTTTCTGTGTTTCTTCTCTCGCACGACTCAATTCAGCCGTTAAATCAACCATTTTTTGTTCCCATTCTTCGAGATGCTTTCTCATTTCGGCCAATTGTATATCTTGATCGTGTATCTTTTTTGCCTGTTCCTGTAACTTTAAACTTTGTAATCGCATTTGAAACCCTTGCCGTTTCATTCGAAGTTTCATTTTACTTATTTGACCTTTCATAGATAGAACAGACAATTTATTTTTCTTAGTACGGCTATAAATTTTTTTGAATGTCTGATTTAATTTTTCTGAATTAAAGTTGTGTGGCAGTGATGCATTATTTGGGTTCGTGGTATGATGAGAAATCATTAAATTTGTACCAGGTATTTCATACCCTACATTACTAACAACAGTTGTACAAATACTGTGCTTTAAGTCTGGTAAAATTTTCTCATCAAAATGTTCCATAGCCATACTACTAATATCTCTTAGCTCTTGAAGTATTTCATGAGCTCTGGGTGGGGTTTTAGAATCACGAATCAAGCGAAGAACTCGAAAGATTTCATCAATTACCTAATAACACATTAAATAAAATTAAAATAAATCATAACATTGATAATGTAATCAATACCTTACCTTCCCAGGAATGAAACAACATAAATTAAGGTCCACATATTTTATAAAAGTCATTGATAACATAGATATTCTAGTTTCAATTGCTGTTAGTATATCACAATGACGTGCCAAGGGATGACTTCTTCGTTCTGATTCTCTTCGTGGTAATTGACTTTTTACTGCACGCAAACATTGTGCATGGTATTTCTCCATCAAGTTAAAACCTCGATTTAATAATTTTTTGCATATTCTGTCAAACTGTTTACAAACCTATCAAACAAATATTTTAAATTATTATGTATGTAATTGTGAACAAATAATTAAAAAAGTAGAAAATTAATCTTACAATTCTGTATCGAGAAATTTCATCGTATGTAAGGTTAGATAAAATTGTTTCCAGAACAACGTCAGGAAGGTTTATTAATTGCAACATATCACTATTAAGTTGTGTTCTTATTAAATTTATAATACTTCCACTCGATACAAATTTTCTAACTAATGTTAATTTATGTTTCTTTTTTAAATAATGCAATATTGCAAGTACAGTGCACTTTTAAGTATGGTGCATACAATTACCATTACAATGTTTTGACCGACCGATGACCTATAAACAAATATAGTTGTTGCATGTGCATCTATTTGCAACACAGTTTGCTATCTAGATTTTTGTAACCTAGTGAATATCGATAGTTTCCTCTCTTATTTGTTCTATGCTTAATGGCCGGATATAACGCACATCAGCTTAGCTGCCATATTGTTGTGTCACGTGACGGGGGAGTAACGAGGTGAATGCGCCGGGTCGAATTCGTGAGGAAGAGTCTAAAAATTTTTACACTATCGACTTTAAGCAAACCAATTACAAGATGGATGTACGAAAAGTGACAGAATTGTTGCGTGCCACGATCGACCCAGCGCAACAGAAACAAGCTGAAGAACAATTAAATCAGGTCGGTCAACTGATCAAAAACGTGCTCGAATGATCGACACTTGGATAGAAACATGTGTCTTTTTACTAGAATTTTTCTTCGTTATTATTTATGTATTCATAATATATAATTGATTGTTCACTAATGATTAAAGAAGATAGATTTGTTTCTATGTTTGTTAGAAATAACATTAATAATTTCTTTATTAACTCCATTTCCCTTAAACGACCTTTAACCAAATTCATTCATCATGTTCCTTTAATGTATTTTTTATTTACAAGTTCTTTTATATATAAGCACTTTGTTTTACATCAGACCCGATAGATGAATTTTTCAACACTTATAAGTGTTTCTATTGTTCTGTAGTTATATGTATTTTGGAATCAAAGAACTTAATCCCTAATTACATGACCATTTTTACAACTTGGTAAGTTATTATGGTTTATCAAATTACAGTTTCACCTGTTTTTAATTATTTAATATTTCACATCCATTATATTCATCATTTAATATTGCTGAATCATCTTGTACTTTATGCTTTTTTAACAGTATATTGTATAATGAATAATAATAGATTTATAATCTATATATATATGTATATATATGTATGTTAATGTATTAATACAAAATTATATTAATTTGTTTAATCATATAATATTAATAATACCAATTATGTTTAAACTAAATATGAGCAAAAATACATATTTATACATCATATTTGTTAGGTATATGTATAATATATTTAATATTTTCAGATCCATAAAATTATTGGTTTTGCACCAACCTTACTCCAAGTAGTAATGACTGCAGAGCAAATGCCTGTACGACAAGCAGGTAATTAACAAGGAAAAATTATTATAGGACAAAAATGAAATTAATTAATGATCATTCAATATCAATTTAGGTGTTATATATTTGAAGAATTTAATTACAACAAATTGGGCTGATAGAGAAAGTGAAAATGGTCCTGTTGAATTTAGTATTCATGAACAAGATCGTGCAATGATACGTGACGCAATTGTTGATGCTCTTGTACATGCACCAGAACTTATCAGGTGTGTTATATTTCCATAATTAATTTAAATATTACATATATTATTGATATACCTATTAATAAGCTCTTTTTCCTGTTAATTTAGAGCACAATTAGCTGTTTGTATTAACAATATTGTGAAACATGACTTTCCTGGAAGATGGACACAAATAGTGGACAAAATTACAATATATTTACAGAATTCAGATGCTTCCTGCTGGCCAGGTGTTTTACTTGCACTCTATCAGCTTGTTAAAAATTTTGAGTACGTTAAATTAAAGTAATTCTTTCTATTATTATATTGAGATTATTATTAATGATATAAATGATACATACAAAATATACACCATGCTTAAACACAAGACCTGATAATAGTAAGTTTTGGTACTTCTGTAGGTATAAAAAAGCAGAGGAAAGAGGGCCATTGAATGAAGCAATGAATCTCTTATTTCCTATGATTTATCAATTAATGTTGCGACTTTTACCAGACCCTTCAGAACAATCGGTATTGCTTCAAAAACAGATATTGAAAATATTTTTTGCCCTTACACAGGTATGTAAATGTAGTATCTTATTTTTTTATTCTACTTCTACTAATTAAAGATTGAAAATTGCTAATTTTTCAGGACGTCATTTTGTTGTACCTATAATTTTAATTACCTTCGAGATTCATTGTTTTGTTTTCAGTACACACTTCCTTTAGATTTAATTCCAAAACAAGTTTTCTCGCAATGGATGGACGTGGTACGACAAGTTGCCGATAGACCTGTTCCTCCTGAGACTAATAATCCAGATTTGGATGACGACGAACGAGCAGAATTGCCATGGTGGAAATGTAAAAAATGGGCACTTCATATTCTTCATAGAGTGTTCGAGAGATATGGCAGTCCCGGAAATGTAACCAAAGAATATCAGGAGTTTGCTGAATGGTACCTGAGAACTTTCAGTGGTGGTATACTTGAAGTCCTTTTAAAAATTTTGGACCAATATCGAAGAAAAATATACGTATCACCTAGGGTGATACAACAATCAATTAATTACATTAATCAAGGGTAAGGAATGAAATAAAACTATTTAATTATTTAAGCTTCAAATTAATTTACTTCTAGTTTTACACAATTACAGTTTTAAATCTTTATTTAAGTTGACAATTTTTTATTGCAATTTATAGTGTGAGCCATGCATTTTCATGGAAGTTCTTGAAACCACATATGTTCGAGATAATTCGTGACGTGCTCTTCCCAATACTTTCATATTCTGCTGCAGATGAAGAACTTTGGATTAATAATCCATATGAGTATATTAGATTAAAATTTGGTGAGTGATTATCCATAGATTATGTAGTTTTTCATTAAAAAATTAAAATTCTTTCTTTTTCAGATATATTTGAAGATTTTGTATCTCCGGTAACTGCAGCACAGACTTTATTACACTCTGCTTGTAAAAAACGTAAGGATATGCTTCAAGAAACTATGCAATTCTGTGTGGAAGTATTAACTAGTCCAAATGCAGACCCCAGGCAAAAGGATGGTGCATTACATATGGTAATTATTTTTGTATAAAGAGGGATTTTATCTTCTTGATTTAAAAATACAACATTTTCTGAAAATAAGAGATTTTTTAGGTTGGAAGTTTGGCGGATGTATTACTGAAGAAGAAAGTTTATAAGGAGCAGATGGACAAGATGTTGTTACAGTATGTTTTCCCTGAATTCAATAGTCCTCATGGACATATGAGGGCAAGAGTAAGTGCTGTAAAATGACTTTCAGATATTAACAAGTAGAACTAATTAACTATTCTAATAAATTTATTCACTTTAATCAGACGTTTATTTTTTATTCTTCTCTATTGGATTTCAGGCATGTTGGGTATTACACTATTTTTCTGAAATAAAATTTAAACAAGAACAAATATTAGTTGAAGCAGTTCGATTGGCGACGAATGCTCTTCTTACGGACCAAGATTTACCGGTTAAGGTAGAAGCTGCTATCGCTTTGCAAATGCTTCTTTCTGCTCAAGAGAAAGCACAAAAATATGTAGAACCTTTAATTAAACCAATAACGCTTGAATTATTGACTATCGTGCGAGAAACAGAAAATGACGATTTGACGACTGTCATTCAAAAGATTGTACATACGTATTCAGAACAGCTTATGCCAATTGCAGTTGAAATGTGTCAACACCTTGTAAGTATTCAATTTTCATTTCATTGCAACGTAAAGTAAAAAACGTTGAGCTAAAGGACTTGTTTTTAGGCTACTACTTTCAGCCAAGTACTCGAAACAGACGAAGGCAGTGATGAGAAAGCTATAACTGCTATGGGATTGTTAAGTACAATAGAAACTTTATTATCTGTCATGGAAAAGCAGCCACAGATCATGGCACAATTACAGCCGACAGTGCTTCAAGTTGTTGCCCACATTTTTGGAGAAAGTGTTATGGGTACGATAAATGATAAAAGAATAACGATAGTACAAATATTAATATGGTTTTGTATTTTAGAATTCTACGAGGAAGCTCTGTCATTAGTATATGATCTCACTAGAAACTCAATATCAGAAGATATGTGGAAAGTTTTGGAATTAATGTATCAATTATTCACAAAAGACGGTTTTGAATATTTTACTGATATGATGCCTGCTCTTCACAATTACATTACCGTAGATACTCCGGCATTTCTTTCTAATGAAAATCATATACTGGCTATGTTTAATATGTGCAAAGCTGTACGTTTATAGTTACATTTTTTTTTTTTTTATTAAATATAATATCAATGTTCCAATAAAATTTATAATATTTATATATTAGGTACTAACTGGAGATGCTGGCGAAGATCCAGAATGTCACGCTGCCAAGTTGTTGGAAGTTATAATCTTGCAATGTAAAGGTCATATTGATCAGGTATGAGTTTCTTTTAAATTGTTTAAAATATACATATATATCTTTATTTTCTTATTCTTTCAGTGTATACCTTCTCTTGTACAACTTGTGTTAGAACGTTTGATGCGTGAAGTTAAAACATCAGAACTAAGAACCATGTGCTTACAAGTAGTAATTGCAGCTCTTTATTATAATCCAGCATTGTGTCTTGAAACAATGGACAGATTACAAGGCAATTTTGGACAGTCAACGGAACCAATTGCTTCACATTTTATCAAACAATGGATACACGATACAGATTGTTTCTTAGGGTAAATTTTAAAATTTATTTATTGTTTAAATTTATCTATAATTAATTAATAAACAACTTTCGTATTATACCAGATTACACGACAGGAAGCTCTGTGTTCTTGGATTGTGTACTTTAATTAGTATGGGTCCAGCAAGACCGCCAGCAGTGAATGAATGTGCTCAGCGAATTATACCATCCTTAATTCTTTTGTTTGATGGTTTGAAACGAGCCTATGCAGCAAAGGTAAACGATACCGATGACGAAGAGAATGAGGAAGATGATAGTGATATTGACACAGGTATTAATTTCTATCTTTATTTTTCTCCTATTTTTTTATTTAATAAATAACTGTAATTTTACTATATTTTAATAGAAGTGTTATCATCGGATGAAGATGAAATCGACGATGCTAGTCAGGAATATTTGGAAAAATTACAAGAGAAGGTGACAAGGTCATCTACTCAACATGGTTTTAATGTATCAGCTACACTTCAAGATGGTGATCACAGATCAGACGTTGACGGTGATGATTCAGAATACGATGCCAACGAAGAAACCCCACTTGAGTGCTATGCCACGCCATTAGATTCGGAAGATACGAATCAAGATGAATATGTTGTTTTCAAAGAAGTAATGCAAAGTAAGGAAATACTTGTACTTTAGCCAATTTGAAATTAATAATTTTATATGATTTACGTGTTTAATAAAATGTATGTACATTTTTGTCAGCCATTGAAAGAACAGATACAGTTTGGTACAGGGCATTAACAGGTCATTTAACTTCAGAACAGCAAAAAGCATTGCAGGAAGTTATTCTATTGGCAGATCAACGCAAAGCAGCCCTTGAAAGTAAAAGAATTGAACAGAGCGGAGGTAAGTTTTTTTTTGGTTTAATCTCTCCAAATTAATGTTAATATATTTTGATATAATTTTTATATAATATTTTTGTATTTAGGTTACGCTTTTCATTCGCAAACTGTCCCTACGTCGTTTAACTTTGGTGGAACGCCTCTGAGCCGATAAAGACTCCTGATCGTTTATATTTTTATGTTAAGTAAGTAAATAAATTGCGAAGCATCCGAGTCGAGTATCCTCAACAATGCAATACATGTTCCCACTCCGTTAAAACCGAGTTATACACGCGAGTCAAAATAAACGCGAGAACGTCCTTTTTTTTTTTTTTTTCGTTTGTTCCTTCACGTTTTTTCTGGCTTTTCATGATTATAGCTCGGTACATACAACAATGGTAGCATCCTTTCGAGCGTTTGGAAATTCATTCCACGATGGAATCTGCGAAGAAGCACGTTTCTTTTTTCTCAGCACACTAGTAAAATGTAATGATAGAACAAATTTTATATCTAAATTAAATAAAAAATGATAAATTTCATTTTCTTATATAAAAGATATCCTTGATCATTATATATTTCAATTTCCAGATGCCAGGGAATAAATTCTGATCTTGTTTCCAAATCACTCCGTGCTTCTTTGCGGAACTCACGTCAATCCATTGTCCAGCGCGATCGAATCTTTTTTTTTTTTTTTTTTTTTTTTGTACGAGAAAGAGAAAAAAATTACATGTGAAAATAGAAATGAAAGTATAAAAGAAGAGGAAAGAATGTATGTATGCATGTTTTTTATATGAGAGAGGAAAATAGAGATGGAAAGGGAGAAAATATTTCGATCGCTCTTGAAGCGCTCGAAAAAGTGCCTTCAACATGCTCGACGCGGATGGGACCTAACTTAAAGACATTAAAATTGGATCGAGGCTAGGACGCTTCTCTAGTTTGTAAGTTTCGTAAACACTGTACTAAAGTATAATAAATTAATGCTAATTAAAAAAAAAAAAAAACAACTCAAAAATTTTCAGCTTTAAGATTTTATTCAACTGTTTTTCTTATTAAAATGTAATAAATAAAATTTTCAGTTAACTAAATCGATCGATCATTGAATAACAGAATATCTTGCTGTATGTATATACTTTAATTAAATAAGATTTCTTATTATAAATTTACAACTTTATAGAAGTACAGGTGCAGTATAAAGATAGTACATTTTCTTTTTTTTTTTCTAATTCAATTAGATAGGTTGTTAAAATGTAAAATTTCATGAGAAAAAGAAAAATTGTCATATCATCAGGGTGAGGATAACTGAAAAGTGAAATATAGAATTTTTTTCTTTAACAGCCTTATATTCCACTTTCGATTAATACATAAATTAAGTTATATGGTTTCAAATGAAGAGCACAGCAGGATACATATCAATTTATAGAAAATAATTTATATCCTGCCGAGCGGCCTTCAGTATGGAGATACATTTATGAAAGAAGTTGCGACAATCACGATCACATATACGTTTGCAAATCTCATACAAGTATATATATGTATATTTTTTTATTATTACAATAGGCAACAATCGTAAGTATAGGTATTTGAAATTTAAAATTAAATTTGACAATTGTAATTAAAAACAATTTCCTATTAATCATGACAAATTGAATCGCAAGTTCATTTTTGTATGTGGTTATGGTAAAAAATATATCTAATAAAGTAATAATACTTTGTAATCACAGATGTATTTTTAAGGGAAATTTTTCGTTTTAATTACGTTTATCAATGGTTTGTCGATTAAGAAACTTGCAAACGTAAACGTAACATTGACACTTGGCTAAATTTCAGAGAAAAAGTAAAACAAGGAAAAGAAAATAGTATCCCACGATTCCAAGATAACAGCGCATCGATGGCATTTTTACCGATGGTGTATATTGATCAAAGGTACAAAGCACTCGAGGAGACACAATGATGCTCGCTAATAAATGAAAGAGGTAGAAGTGAAGAACATGTTCAAAGCATAAAACAGTTTTTTTCTTAACCTCTTTCCTCAATGTGTCCTCAAAGAAACCGAGCGCTATCACTTAAGACACCGTTCAAAATAAGACGATCCAACATAGCCACCTCTCATTGCTTTTGCTACATTTTGCTCAAATACTCTCCTGTTATTCTGCAAAACCTCTGCTGCATCTTTATTCAATGGATCTTCTGGGTTTGGTTCCTAAAATAATAATATTTTCTTCCAATTTTTATATACATATATATATACACACAGATATTGTAAATATTAAATACCAAAAACAGATACTGTAGTCCATAGACAATAGAATTAATTGTGAGAACTGGTTTCCAATCTTCTCTTAAAATATTCAGACACACATTGCCATCCAAGTCAATATTAGGGTGATAAACTTGTGTTTCACATTTTACTTTAGGTGGTTCATGTGGATAATTTGGTCCAACTTTAAAGCTGAAGACAAACCTTCCACCTCTATAAAATCCCTGAAAAGTTAAGAAGCCAACTTTTTATTTCAGTAAAAAATATTATTGTATACAACATCCTTACCTCGTCTGGGCAAATAATTAGTTTAAAACTGAGAAGATCATCTGGATCAGGAAACTCTGTTCCACATGTTTTTGGCAGGTTGAGCTCATTTATATCTAGGTAAAGCAAAAGTTACATTACATTTTAAATTTCATAAAGTAATTATAAAGAACATTAAACATAGATCGCATCATAATAATTCTTTGGATATTATTGATATTGGATTTATACAACTATTTATGTATCAATAAATACATCTTAACAAAACAAGTGATATTAAGTTAATTTATTGGTATGTTACATGTATATTAAAGAAATTAAAAATGAAATATATATGCACATACATACATATAATAGTTGTGATAAAAATGGACATTAATTATTACTCATTGTCAGTTTAAAATTAAATACTAAATGAAAATCTTAAGAAACTTTTAATTAAATTTCTTCCAACTGACAAATACAATTGTTTTGTACATTGTGGATGATTCTAACTAATAAATGAAAAAGAAATTAGTAAAAGGACAATGAGTAACCGTCAATAAACCTTTTGTGATTCTTAGTTGTGCTGCAGATGCCTTCTTTTGAGTACCAGCTTTCGGCGATTCGCCATCCTTTTTCGCTTGTTTTAACGAGAATAATTTGATCATGATAAAGTGGCGGTGCCCGGCGTGGAAGGCATAAAAGTCTTCTTCCTCGATCGGCCACGCGCACAAACTATAATGCACGCAACAAAACTCTTTTTGACAATGGAAACAATTACAATAAATTTACGACTGATTTCACGTGGACGGAAGAAAATTCGTTTCTGTTACTGTCACGGTATTAAAATACATATGTATTTTTCACACTTAAAAGTTAAGCTCGTATCTCATTCATCTAATGCGCGTGAATGGCTCTAGCTTAAGATCGTATTGATTTAATAGTATATAATTTCCTTAACAATATCCTCAATATAATAATACAAATGATGAATTATTAACAATTATTTGTCTGAGTTTTAATTAAATTGTATTTTCGAACAAAAATCTAGGACAAAACTTATGGATTATGAGAATCAATCATTATTCCCATTTTTTACATGAATATTTCTTACAAATACAATTTGGGAAACTTAAATTGATTGTAATAATAAAATCTGTAGAATTTCGAACGTTTAACTTACTTTACAATAAATGTAAAAAGTCATTTATATAATATCCTTATCTTTTAAATATGATTGGAGAACGCTTGTAACGATTTCAATTCCTACCAATCGTATATTAGAAAACTTTAGTTAAAAAGTGATAATATCTTTCTTCGGGCATTGCCCGATATACGAATAATTGTTTAAGGCTGCAAGAGAAAATATATAAACACACATTGATGGTTCAGTGGTCGTTTCAAGTTAACGCGAGGTTTAAGACGTCAATGGCTTACACTCGTTGTGCATATTGCTTATAACGATTGAGAAAGTATCGAATAGATTTCATAGCTTGTATATTCGCTTAAGTTTTGACAGTAAACGACAACACGATGGACGGAACACGGGATGAAATTTTAGCTGACTTCCAGGTGATTCATTAAAACATTCATTATTCGCTAATTTTAAATACAAATACAATTTTAGGTTATGATGTATACGTAGATGACATTGACAGTAGTTGAAATCCACAAATAAAGAATGATATTTTCCGATTGTTTTTGTCTTCAAATTCGTTAAAATTCAATAATAGTTTAGAATGTTTGAGTGATATTTTGTACTATTTGATATCATAAAATTATCATAAAATATCTTTTTTTTTTTTCGTCTGTACGTTACTTTCTTTGTTTTCATACAATTCTGTTTATGAGTCATGAAACTATTTAAGTAAGTCTGTAAAATAACAAATATCAAACATTGATATTACCATTGATTAATCTATTTTGAAAATTAATCTTGTACACTGTTGGCTAAAAGTTTTCCCTGCTTCGTTTAAAACATAAACCAGTGACAGTATCGCTGTAATATTACATCTGTAATTTCTATAAATTGCATTGTTGATAGCGCGTAGTTGGAAAGTGGTTTTCAATAAATTACGCGGGATCCCTTCTTCTGACGATTTTATGCTAAGAATTAATCTGTCCTAACTCATCCGTTATTATCACGTTCGAGATTCTTCAATTAAGGCTGTAGATTTACGCTGTCAGGACCTACAGCATTCGGCTCGCACAGCGTAGATCTACCGGGTTAAAAACGGCTTTGGACTGATCGCGTGTCTTTTCCGGCAAGTCATGATTGGTTTGTTGGAGACGGGAAAAATCACAATGTATTCAACCCTGTTGCCGCTACCCTTAAATATGTAAGCGTAATGGTTTTGGAGCTATTACGTACGAACGACCTTCCGTCTCTTACGCCTGTCCCCTACGCTGATGTAAGGGTAACATACCCTTAGTATGTTACCGACGTTCTGTAGTCCAAGGTATCATTTTTCAGCAGAAAAACGCTCAGCCACGTGTTACAAAAATAGCCCAAGTTTTCCTTTCTCGGGATCATATTCAAATGCTTCCGTAGTTGCCTCGTTTTCAAGATCTTAACCCGATTGACCATGATTAGTCGGCGTCTTCGACATTATCCGCATCCCCTGGCTAATGTTGAAGAACTCTATGGATGCTGCCCCCTTCCCCCAAAGTTACCATCCAGCACCCGATCAATTCCCTCCTCCACTGTACAACCGCTGTGCTAAGAGTACTTGTGTGCCTATGTATCGAAGGCTATTACGGTGAGTTCAGCATTCTTTGTATATTACCTACTTATGTATGTATACAAAGTTTTGTTATAATATCACTTCACATTTCTAATATCGGAGGAGGGAACTTTTGGCCAACGGTAGTACTTACATGATCTATTTGTTTAATCTAAATAAATATATATTGTTTCAGGCATGTACAGGAATTGATGATGTTGGAGATGCTATTAAATATCTAGAGGAATCAAATTGGGATTTATTGGTAAATCTTTGTAATAAGCTTATTTGCATGATACATTTAAAAGTCTGTTAATGTTTCATTTTATATTATACAGGCAGCTGTAAACCAAGCTATGCCACGTGGTACGCAACAATTACCTTCTGAAATAAGTCCAGATATAGAAATGATAGAGGAAATTGAAAGGATGCCTCACTCGTCTACATTATCATCTCAAACTGTTTGTACTTCGAAAAATAACTCAAAAGTTGATGTAGTAGAAAATTCGAAACCAGGAACGAGCAAACCTAAAAGTTGTGTAAGAGGAAGAACACTCACATTCCATATTATTCATTTAAATAATGAGTATGAAATAAATTTATCTGAACAGTCATCATTAAGTAAGTAATAAATACATATTTCTTTTATAATTGAAATTAAAACTATAATTAACGTTAATTAAAACTACGTACATGTATCTCTTAGAGGATCTCAAACAGCTCATATGGGAACAAACAAATATTCTACCTTGTCAACAACGCCTTCATGGATGGAAAAAAGAACCAGAATCACTTTATACATCATTGCAATCATTGGATTTACCTAAAGAAAATACTTTGTATGTGTCTCCTATATCTGAAGATGTAGATCTAACAACTGATATGTAAGTAAATCGTTTAAAATTGATATATATATATATATATATTTATAAATATTGGCGCATATATAAAATATTTACAAGTATAATACACATTTATTATCCTTCCAGTGTGAGTTTACCAAATCGTATGACTCAGACATATACTTTAAATATTAAAGATGAAATACACAAGAAAACATATAATTTAAAATTTTCTGGAACAAGTACAATCTTGGATGTAAAATCAGGAATTTATGCATTAATAGATGTTCCAGTACGAAATCAACAATGGAAAGGTTGGCCAAGTTTAGTAAAAAATGATAGTATTATGTTAGCACAAAGTGGAATTTCTTATCCAGAACATGACCTTTCCGTTAATGAACTTCCTATGAAAGAAGAGAAAAAGGTATTTACTTTAATTACTTGTAAATATATATAATAGTAAAAGTAACATATATTTAATTTTAGGATATTATAGATTTGGTTGAGAGTGATAGTTCTATCGATGAAGATGATATAGAAGATGGTATTTTCGTAGATAACGTTATATCTACTAAAATTCAACGTCTTAGTAAGTAATTTTAATTCTCTATGTATATTAATATTTATAAGTGCTAACACGTGACTATTTGTTATAGTGCCAGAAAATGTAACAGACGAGACGATAGGCACAGTACATTTTGCAGAAGAATTTGTAAAACGATATGGGCCTGCACATCCAGAATTTTTTACTGGTAAATTTAAAGATGCTGTCAAAGAATCATGTTTGAAACCAGCAAAAGAGGTTTGCAATTAATCAAATCAGACAGATTTTTAATTGGTAAATTTATGTAAAATGTTAATATTTTGTATTATTATAGAGAAAATTGTTAGCTGTGTATTTACATCATGACAACAGCGTGTTAGCCAATGTATTTTGCACGCAGTTACTGAGTTGTGAAGCAGTACTTCAAGTTTTATCTGCAAATTTCATTGTATGGGGTTGGGATATTACATATGAATCTAATAAACAAAGGTACATATCATTGTACAGAAAGGTACTGCCTATATTATGGTGATATACTTCTTTTCCTTAATAAGATATATTGATTTGTAGATTTCTTTCCTCGGTGAAACAAACATTAGGTTCAGTTGCAACGTTAGCTATGAAGAATATAGATGTTGATACTTTACCTGCTCTTGTTATTATAATGAGAACTAGATCTAATACAGAAATATTTACAATAGTACATGCCAATGTAGGAGTGAATGAACTGTTAACCAGTTTAATTCACGTTGTTGAAGTGTTCCAGGTACGAAAATCAAACATATTACTTTAGGAAGCTGTTAGCATTTTATGTTCATCAATTTTATCCCTTTTTTTTATTTAAAACAAAAACAAAATAGGAACAGAGACGTACCGATATTGGCGTGGAAGAAGAAAGGCAAGCCAGAGAAAGAGTAAAACAAGAACAAGATAGAGCATATCAAGAAAGTTTAGCGGCAGACAGGTAAAACAAAAATTATTATTTTAATGAAATTATGTTTTTAATAAAAAATATATAATTTTAGAGCGAAAGAAGAAGCAAAACAAATGCAAGAAGAATTAGAAAAACAACGAAAAGAACAGGCTGAAAATGAAAGGTTGGCTGAAGAAGCAAGAAAAGAAGCTCATAGACAGGCTGTAGAATCAAGTTTACCTCCTGAACCACAACAAGGAACTAGCGATGGTGTATTAAAAGTACGAGTGCGACTACCAGCTGGCAAATTTCTGGAGCGTAGATTTCAATCTGATACACCATTACAAACACTTCTTAATTTTCTCATTGTGGAGGGTTATCCAACAGAGGAATATAAAGTTCTATGTAGTTGGCCTCGAAGGGATGTAAGTAGATGATGTAAGCATTTGAGTTCTTATTACATAGATATTTTCTATGTTGTTACTGTTGTTTCGTCAAGTTAAATATGAATAAATATATATATATATGTATATATATGTATATACGTTTCCAATTCATGACAATATTATCCTAAAAACTTTTTATCAAAGCTTGAAATAAAATAAATTTTACATCTCTGTTTTAGTTAACATCTATGGATTCAAAACTTACTCTGATGGATCTGAAATTTTGTCCTCAAGAAACAGTAATATTAGAGGAACGATAAGTGATTTGTTGTAATTAAATTAAAGATGTAGAAATTAAGCATTGCAATATTCTGAAAATGTTATTTATTTAATAATTTTCGAATAGTTATCAGTTAGAATGAGTTCTGTTTATTAAGCAACTACATTTTTATGCTGGTCTTTTCGTACTATTCATTCGTACATAAAATGTAGTTTTATATTATAAAGAAAAAAAAAAAAAAAAGAAATCCTTTCCATGCATGTGCATTGTATATTTTAAATTCCTAAAAATAAATTACATTTCGAGAAACCTCAAACAAAAGTAGCCTTTTGTTTGTCGTTACCATGTTTGCAATGAGCATTTAAAAAAAATTCATTGAAACAGGAGTTTAACTTGTACAAAATATAAATGGTATTTGTAATAAAAGTATATTTTAAATAAAAGGAAATTTTCCTATAAATTTTTATTATAAATACAAAGATGCAGCAAAAACAATATCACGTTTTATAAGCTTAATCGCTTCGCTAAATTTATTTTCTAAATCTGTGTTTCCAATGTTTTTTGCTGCTTGACATAATTGTCTAAGAACTTCTTCCAAACGCCGCATACATCGTATAATTGAACCTAGAACGGATAAATTAAAATTAATTCAAAATAAAAACATTTAATGAATTAATGAAAAAAAGAATACATACCTTCAAATATATCCGTCATTTTACAAATTTTTAAAAAACTAGCACCCTTACACCAAGCATATACAACATCCATTAAATATGGTTTAAATCTTTCTGCGTATGCGTCTTCATCTAATTCTAAATTAGCCTCTGTAGATACTTTTGCTATTCTTCGTGCCAAATCTTGCATCTGTCGAAGTGGACCGCTTAATTCTTCAGTACTTTTGGGCATTTCATTTGATTTGTCATCGCAAACGAAACAACTAATCAACGCTACCATTTGAGGTACGCTTAAGGAATTAAACAATCCATTAAAGATCATTTCTGTCATCAACAATTCATCAGCTCCATTAAGTTCACAAGCTACTCGACCCTTTAATTCTATAACATCTGATGCTGTGCAGTAGGCTAATCTTCGCAGTACACGTTTTCTACATTTTAATTCATCCATTTGAAGTATGGATTTAGCTTGTTTCAATTCCAACTTGGCTTGTTTCAATTGATTCCCCAACTCCTCTTTGTGAAGGAATTGTTCATACAAAGTATTTATAGTGGGATCCTATATTGAAATGAAATAAAACTCAGTATTACTCTTAGAGGAAAAAAAGGAAAAAAATAGTATATCAAAGCAAAGAATAATTGTTTACCTTGTGTAAAGGATGAGCATATAATTTTTCTTCTAATACTTCAATCTTTTTAATAATATCTTTAAAACCTTCATCTGCAATGTGCATATCCGTAATAGGATTCAATAATGGTGGTCCATTTGGAAATCTTTTCTTGACTTCCTGTATTGTCTTTAATACACTTTTCCTATTATCAGATGGCCTTAAATCTTTTGGATAATATAATCTAAGTGAACTAATTTGAGAAATTAATGTATGTAGGACAGGAACTACTTCCACGTCGCCTTCTTCTCCTTCACGACAGGGCACTGGGCATCCTTCACTAGATTCTTTAGAAATGTGAAGTAAGATATCAATAATAATAACTGTATTTTCTTTTGTTGGATTTTTGGGATTTTTCTTTTTAAAGTTCACAATAATACCCCAGTCGAACGTTTCATTTGCATTTTTCACCTGTAATATTATTAGGTTTATAAAAAAAAAATAATAATATACATACGTATGTACACATAACATACATATACATACTTTTACCAATCTTCCAGGTTGCAAGAATGGAAGTAAATATTCTGGTTTTGTTAAAAAAGATCTGAATTCGATACTAAGGCGTTCAAGTTGTTCACGTATGCTGTGATAAGAAGATATCTGACTATATTTATCAATAGTTACTGCATTATATGTAGCTTGCAATTCTTTTACCTCTGTTGAATCATAAATAATAATTATTTTATGCCAAACTATAATACTTAATTGTCAAGTATAGAATCTACTTACTATTGTATAAAATAGGAATAGAGGCTTGATTTTGAAATTGATAAAAACTTCTTTCAAGCATATATTCTGGATTAATTTCTTCAACTCTCAACAGATTCAAAACCATGTTGTAAGTTAAGTGAAATGCTGAATTAATAGGATCTGGTTTTCCCTGTATAATTGCTTTTCCAATAACTGGACTAACTTGTTCGTCTATCATTAATATTACTATTCCTTTTTCGTCCAAACCTCTTCTGCCTGCTCTACCAGACATTTGTATGTATTCTCCGGATGTAATCCAACGGAAATCTTTACCATCAAATTTTCGTGATGCTGTGAATAAAACTGTTCGTGCTGGCATGTTTAGACCCATTGCAAAAGTTTCTGTTGCAAATAGTGCCTTGATCAATCCTTCACCAAATAATATTTCCACGGTTTCTTTTAAAATCGGTAAAAGACCACCATGATGAATACCTATACCTCGTCTTAAAAGAGGTAACACGTTCTCAACTTGAGGCAAACGTCTATCTTCCTCACTAAGAACATCCATTGCGTTATTAAAAACTTCATCTACTAGTTTCTTCTCCTCTAATGTATTTAAATCCAATTTAGCCATTTGCATTGCATAAATTTCACAATCTTTCTTTGAAAAGCTAAATATAATTACAGGAGCAAAATTTCTTTCCATAATCATTTTCACCATTTTAAAAATGTTTGTTTGTCCAGCATTTGAGGGACGAATACCACCTTTACGACCCTTAGTGTCTCCTTTAGCTGCATCACCATGTTGTAAACAAGCCATTGCTCTGTTAAAATTTTCTTCTTTAAACTGTCCGTTTTCATCTACAACCTATATATTAATTAACAAGTGTAAGCTTCTGTTTTTTATATAACAGATAATTCCTGTATCATATTTTACCAACCAAATGGATTCCATCTCCACCAACAGGAAATATGTAATGTTGCAGAGGAGTTGGTCTATAATCTGTATAAACAACGTGACATGGTTGTTTATGTAAATCCGCAACCCATTCTACGAATTGTCGTGCATTAGGTATAGTTGCAGAAAGAAATACATAATGTACATTGTCAGGTAATAATATTAATGTTTCCTCCCAAACAACACCTCTTTCCTTGTCACGCATATAATGGATTTCATCAAAAATTACCCAACCAACTTCACGCATTACCTAAATGATTGAAATCATAATTAATACAATAGTAAACATTTATATGTATATGAAGATTGAAATGATCAAAAAACCTCTGATCCCCTGTAAAGCATGTTTCTTAAAATTTCAGTAGTCATGATAAGCACACTAGCTGTTGGATTAATTGTAACATCTCCAGTCACTAAACCAACATCCTTGAACTCTTCATAGAATTCTCTATACTTTTGATTACTCAATGCTTTTATAGGAGTTGTATAGATTACTCTTTGTTTGTCTCTTAATGAACATGCTATAGCATACCTGTAATACATACAATTAATATTTGGTTTATATACAAATTTAGTACTATTTTATTTATATTTTAGTACATACTCTGCAACAACAGTTTTACCAGCTGATGTATGTGCAGAAACTAAAACAGACTGGTTATTCTCAATACACAATATTGCTTCTTTTTGAAAAGGATCTAACACAAATTTATATTCCTTAGCTGGTTTGCTTTGTTTCTGTTCCAATGGTACATAGTCATAATCTGGTGGTACAGCAACCTCATGAGTAGATGATTCAATTGTTTCTATGGTATGTATTTTAATACGTGGTGCTAGTTCTTCTATACTACATAGATTAGAAGATAAAACGCATAAATAAGAAAAATATCAGATAAAGACATCATGACAAATTAGTTACTGTATCTCACTTTAAATCTTCTAGGACAGGATCCAACTTCAATTTCTTAGAAATTATGTCATCCGATTCATTGTTAAGTTCTCGTTTTAGTCCTTCTGCATTTGTTTCCCTAAAAATTTATTTTTACATATTTGGTAGGTTAAAACGTGAAGAGGTTAAAAAAGTAATTCTCTCTTACTTTTCATTTGGTGTTGTATTTACATCCTTTGGTTTCACTGGGGTCGGGATGATTTCTAGTATATCATCTGTTTCGTCAAAAACGTCAAATAAATCGTCAGTAAAATTAGCCATCTTATATACAATTTAATCCTTTCAACCGACGCAACGGACCACAAGTTTTTATCATTTATTTTCACACATCAAGCAGTAACTATATAGATACAAAACTGACAAAACTGACATCTTTTTAACAACGGTAGAAACTACTCAACAACTTACTGACCGAGTAAAGAACAAGGGAAGCCTGGAACAAGGGAACACTATCGTCATCTATCAGTAAATTGTCGAGTAGCTTCCACTGTTTTTTTATAGGTGGTGCTATGATCGAATCTGATTGTGAGACCGCTTTTTATCAAAACTTAATGTGATTGTTATAAGTTATTAACGTCTCTTTTCTCTTAAAATAGATGATAGATTAATACTAAAGCAAGGTATGGAAATAAGTTTAAAAGCATATTCAGTCATTACTCTTTTATTCATCTTATACATTTCTATATATGTACATATATAGGTTTCTTTTGAATCAGTGAAATCAAATAAATTCAATATGTCAGACATATTGAAGTTAACAAAAATCATGAAATGTATGAGAATACAAGTTTCGCAGATTGTGTTTCGGATAATTGGAAGTTCAATCGATAACACAGTGAGTAGAGAGGAATAGAGATTTCGATTGAGCCGAGTTTACAGCATAAAGAAACGGGACTTTCAGTTTCGTCTGGACGTCCGTAAGTACAACATCGTGAGTGTAACGGTCGAATAGGCACGCGCGTGAAAGTTTTTGTCTTTCAAGCGCCCAGCCTCCTCCGTACGCTAAGTCAATCGACGCGACGCGACGCAAGGAGATACGAAGAGACGCAGGTATTTGAGCATGCGCGAGCTTCCAAATTAGAAGGAATTAGCGGTTTGAAATTCAATTCATTCATATTGTGTCTTAAGATAATAGAATACGCGATTAATTCCTTAGAAAATTACTTTTTTACAGGTAGCGAATAACGTCAAATTTCAGATCTTTATTGTATGATTATAAATACTATAATCAGTGGTGTATCTAAGGATATAGATGTAATGAACATTTAAAGGCTTATGTAATTTTTGTTTGCAATGAATTTCACTAACTTATAAAGTGATACAATTTAATGTTTAAGCTGTATTTTAAGTTTAAGTTCTTAATGTGTGTATGTATTTATTTTTCTAAATATTTTATCAAACAGACTGCGCTTATTCTTTAAATTGGTGCAAGTATCGAGGTAATCTATATGCAAATTTCTTTCATTTCAAATAGTTAATTACTTCTTTTTTTATCGTTGCTTTTCATTGCAGATGTTTAACCAGCTGGTAAAAACACGCATCCTATCTTACCGTGTTATCTGTCATTACCATTTGCAATTGGTGTCCCTCCGCTTTCAATGATTATTAAAATATTCATAACGTATTAAAAATCGATATCGGTGTATTTAGAAAAGTCTACCAAACGTGAATTTAGATAATTACTTTATGGTGGGTAACAAAATATGAAATAACAAATATTTTATTGTACAGATTTTGGAGGATGTTATCATCACTGTGGATAATGAATCGCGCGTTACTAATGGGATCACGTACACAATACTGACGTAATACATACTTTACTGTTTGTTGAATATGCCGACACGCTAACTGCCTTAAAGTAATTGGTATTTTTCTACTTTCTCTGACGAAAAGAAAAGCTATATTATCCCTCTGGTCATTTAGCAGATTCTGGCACTGAGTTTGATACGAAACGTGAATCTGCATGTATGAAAGTTGTCCCTTGCCTGAGGCTGTTTTGCCTTTCTTGTACCATCGATAGAAAACTCTTACTTATTAGTATGTGGTATGAATTTCTGTTCTACATGTATCAATCAATACATATGTCCGTCCTACATAAAAATATGGGCCATTTATAGGTGAACAGACTCCGCCGTTCAGACGTGAATCAACTAAAGGAATAAGTTGGTACATATACTGTAATGGTAACGGATTAGAGGATCAAGTGTGTATTCTTGAATTATGGGGTGACATGTTTTCAGGAGACGGCCCTGAATGAATGCGAGTGAAAGTTTGCGAGTTAAATATTTCTTGAGACTTCTCTTCATGGACCGTTTCTATATACGAGCTTCCTCTAAGTTTATATACCTTGAATCTCCATTTTTTATGTTCATTTTTAGACATCAAGGTATTCATAGCTTCTGCAATCATAGGCATTAAATATGATTACACGTAAAAAAAAAAAAATAATAATAATAATTGTAAAACTACAAAAATTATTGATTGTACATATATGTATAAGGTGCAGGTGTTAAATAGTTGTTCATTGAGGGGTACCAGTTACTCTTTAATCTTTATTCTTTTTTTTAATCGAATCATTCGTTTTAACCGTCGCGCATTATTGTTTATTGTTTGGATTCTGATATTGAAGTTGTTCGATTATGTAATGTATATGTGTAATATCTTCTTCTCCAAGTATAAAACTTTTGTAACGTCAATCGACATTCCAGGGTGCAGCGAATAATACGTGAACATCGGGCAGTGGGCTGTAACGACGTGAAAGTGGCCGGTTGGAAGTGGCGGAATGCGGAGTGCTGGGCGCCTATGACCCGTACGCTGATCCATGCTACTAGGTAATTGGAGTATCAACGTTTATTCCTGTATAAATGTGGGTAACTTTTTGTTCTATTCGATTGAACTCTTACGTTACATTATTCTATCTAATCTCCTACGCTTTACAATGATTCTAAGATAAGAAGGAACAATTCTTTGGCCAATTTACATGATTTTGTTAGAGAAAAAGATAGAAGAATTTAAATGCATTCAAATATTAAATTAAATTTACCGTAAGTTTTTTTAAGAAACAATTATTACAAAAGTGTAACAATTTTTCCACATTTCCACCAGCCTATAAGGAATGTCCTGGATAACGTAATACTTGTTTCTCGTTGTCCGATTTCTTATGTGAACATGACAAATGTGAAAGCAACCTTGAAACATTGGATCATCCACCGCATCAATACTAAACGGCACGTCGAATAAAACGTACCAATTCAATAAATTAGGCGATCGTGCAGCAAGAATTTCAATAAAAAAGAAAACTTGCCGATTTATTTGAATGATTAAGCTCACTTATTAACCTTCGGACACGGTAGAGCATGAAGAGAGTCCAAATTTCAATTTAATTTTGTATTTCATATTATTTTCATTTTCTAAATTTTAAACTGTTCCATTAAAAATTTCATTTAAAAAGTGATACATTTACCTTCAGCTCCGTTATTCAAGGGTTGATAAATTTTTGCAAAATTAAAGCGGCTTAAAAAATTTATTATACATATATTAATTTACTCATTAACCAAGGAATCTTTAATTTTTATCATTTGTTCGCAGTACTATTTCTTTCAATAAGACAAAGAAAGATGAAATGTTAAAAGGAAAACAGGAATTTTGAGAATGAATGTGTGCGGCATTTAGCCCGCAACCGAGGATTCTGAAAAGAGTATGCAGCGCTGGTTACTAGCCCTAGACGAACCTGCATCCAACCCATGCGGTAACACGATCATCAACCACGATCCATCGGGGTACGAATATGTACAAAGATTTTCCTTCTAAAAAATGTTAGCTATAAATATCAAATCACTGCTTGGTAATAATAGTAAAAAATATATGCTTTTAAAATGGAGTAACGATTCAAGCAATTCGATTTTGTGAACAAGATATAAACGTAGTTTTGAAATTTTCTATTACATATCAGACATTTATTATAGGTGATAGTGTTGGACCGTATTAGGTGATGCTGGAATCCGGGAAATTTTGTTCCAGTGCCGCAATCGCAACAGCCTTGACAGTTTCAGCCGGAAATCAGACTAGTTTCAATGATGATGGTGTAAAGTTACCTTTGCATACGCCGAATGAACGATACGCTTGTAATACGGATAACTTGTACGCTGTACCAAGAACTGACCTACATGAAACTGAATGGTAAAGAGAGCTCTTTTAACTCTGTTGTGTAACCCCTAGATGTAGGGGCCATAATTTCGGATTTTTGAAATTTTTTAATTACAAAATTCCTAAGGAATCCAGTCCACCATAGAATAAAATCATAGTTAGGTCAATGCTCTTGAACAAATTAAAGAAGGAGGATACAATATTTTAGGATACAGCCTAACTCGTTAGAGGGAGAAGTCTCCAAATTTATAGCTGGTTCGTCAACAACAACAACAACAACAACAACAACAACGACAACAAGAACAACAACCACCACCACGAGAAATTATCTAAGAAGATGTCGAACTTCCACCAGTTCCGGCTATTCCAGTCATTCTCCGCCATTATCAGCTGGTTCTTATTCTTGTTATGCGTCAGCGGTTTATGGACAGAATTTTTTTCGAAGCGTACCTCTAACGATGAAGGATCAATTCGATGGAAGCTTAGCAGTTATTCACGAAAGCGAGTCAATTCCACGTCCAATTTGGCCGTCCTCGTTTCCTAGCCCACGCGAATTTTATCAGAATGATGAAAATCCTGAATACGATGGTTAGTATACTGTTATTACCGATACGTAGCTTTTCTTCCGTTATTTTTACATGTTGCTTATTTCATAATAGCTTTGTATACGTGTTGGGGATGCGATTGTACATACACTTCCTCCTACTGCGATTGGAATCGTGAAAAATCTTCAGGCACATCCGCACACGAGGTCCTCCTTGAACTATCTCGAACCCTAAATTCTGTGATAGAAGGTGAGAGTATCGTGACACCGGAAGAGATCTTACAAAGTATATCGCATAAAGTTGCTCAAGGAATGAATGGAGGAATCTACGAGTACGTTTACAACAATTCATCTTTCTTGCCAAGTAAAAAGTCGTTCGTGAACGAAAATAATTCATGCTTGTTAAACTGTAACAAAAATTCATCGTCCAAGATGAATCCAATTAATTCAAAACTCTATAGCAATACCCGGCGTTTTTATATATACAATCCGGCATGGTACACCTGCTTGTGTACCTGCGAACGCAATCATAAATTTATATCGTCTTTGAAGACTGACAAACAAGTCGTAACAAATAATGAACTGGAAAAGAAAGAAGATTCGACAATGGTTTTGGTAGACGATTATTATCAAGGAACGAATTCATGGCCAACATTACAAAACAATAAAAATATTTGCGAATGTTTGAACCATTCAACTCGTTATGTTAAAACGATACAAAATACATACGAGGATCATGTTAGAACTGATGGGAAAAAAACAATTAACATCAATGAAGGAAGCAAGCATAATAGGAACAAAATTGTTCCAAGTGAGCCAGAATATGCAATGGTAAGTTCGTAACACGTAATTTAAAATATAAAATAAATCTAAACGAGAGGCAACACGTTGACTGCCCTTATATGTTTAATATAAAAAAGAAAAAGATAAATTTGAATAATATGCATTAAGCATACTATCTTCTTTTCACTGTAACAGTCAACGTGTTTTTGAAAATGGATGCATTAATTGTGAAGCATCTCATAAAGCATATAACAACATTAGGTGTGAATAATAGTATCCACAATATCAATGTAACCAACGTATCAAGACCGATGTTTCAGCAGCTGGAGAGCGGTTATAGTGACTCGTTAAATGGAAATATAGTCTTCTCATCCAGCAAAAATAATTGGGATTATCGTATGCAAGGATTCATTGGAGATTTAGATTTCACTCTGGACGTTTCTCGAGCGGAACGCTTAGGGCGAACGATTGCAAAAGCAAAGCGTAAGAGACAGTGGTGTAGAACTTTAACCGCTTTTTTTGGACTAGTCTTTTTTATTTTAAGTGTCGTCATTGTTTCGTTATCTGTAACGAGAGGTCGTAAAGTATTTGGCAGTATATAACATGTATGAATTGTAAAACGGTACTCTTTATTGTTATCATTCGATTGAAACACTTCTCGTAACAAAATTATTGACCGACACTTGATTTATACATATATTTCTTAGTACCTTATACCGTTAAGTAAAATTAACAGGATTAAGATCCTGTTAGCAATATATGGCTGTGACCATGTTCTTAGGTACGAATAATAATATCCTATATGTATACCCAGATAAAATCATATTAATTAATAAATAAAATATGCAATGTAAATTCAAAATCTGGGTAAGCGAAATAATGAAACTTAATTTGTGCCAAGCAGTTTTTTAAAATTATTTTAAAACAATTACTAATTGTTTTAAAATTGAGTTTTTATACTCAAGGCACAAATTCAAATTTTCGACAGTAGCGCCATCTATACAAAAACGGCTCAAACTACTCGACGAATTACCGACCTATCCTTCGGCAGTCGGTAAGTTGTTTCTGCCACTTCCCGATAGGCGGCGCTACTGGTTCCCTGTTTCGGAAAATCGATCGGTAACTCGTCAAGTAGTTTGAGGCGCTTTTATATAGATGGCGCTGCTGTCTAAAATAATAGCACACCCCCATACTTCTTTGACGTCCGAAGACAGACTGACGCGCTTTTACGAAAGCAAAGAAAATTACTTGTGATCTTATACAAACAGTATCGGCGTCGCGACATAACATGTCCGAGAAAACGAAGCGGTTAAACTAAAAATGTAAGTACTTTAATTGAACAATTTATTTTACAATAATTTTTACAATCACAACATACCCAATACTATACAGGTGTTTTAAGTAATAGCACAAGAAACTAAAATTAAAAATTAAAACTTTGATACTTAAGGTGTAATCACAATGCGATTTTATACAACGATTTATTTTCAAATAGGAAAACAAGAATTATGGAAAAATACAGTGATCTACTGAATTTGTTTCTTCGTGATCAATATTAACTGCTTCTGTAGCTGTTTCTGGAGGAGGTGGTACTAAGGACAGCATGGAATCGTGAGTAGTTAATAATTGCTTTCCTCTATGCAATGGAGATTTATTTGCAGCTTTATCATTTATCTGAGCGGGACATTCGAAATGAACGCAATGAAAAACCTGAAAGTAAATGTTTTTGATCGCTTAATATAATCTATATTAAACGTTTAGTAATAACTATTTTCTAATGTTATATTTAATAAAAATAATAACCTCGTTTGCTGTATTATGCGTCCCAACAATACGTATAAAAACGACAGGACGAGGCGGTTCAAAGTGTATAGTTTGCCATGAACGACAAGCTTCTCTAGTCTTATCAGCAACTAGAACCCAATTCCAAGAATTGCCAGATACCTCTATGTAGTAAGAATATGAACGATCATCACAATCCCAAAGCAATAATCTATATTTAGCGAATTTATTGATTAGATAACAAATCAAATATGTTAATTCAATGCATAAAAAAAAACATAAATGTATACCTCATAGAGTCTATAATATACGGTTGTCCAAGTTGTACTGAAATAGAACCAGAGCCAAGCTGATGACACGTGTATCCACTATCCCAATCGTAATTAGATGTATCACCATTTAATAAGGCATTTCGTGACCTTTTTAATGAAACAATTTGTTACAAAGGAAATGTAAAATGGTTATTTTAATTATTATTAATAATGGACATACCTGCAAACACCTTCTGTAACAATGGCGCTTCGATCCATGGTAGCAATATTTCGGGTTGGAACAACAAAACCATTACAGAGTTTTTCTGTATGATTCGTGTAGTAAGCTTCAAAGCTTACAACATGGAAAACCTTTCAAAATTAAAGTTTATAAGATGAAGATAAAAGAAACGCGTTTCGAGTAATGATCACTTGATTTTACCTTATTTACAGTATTATTTGTTCCAACGATGCGAATATAAAGAACTACCCTTGGCTCAAAGTACAAATATTGCCAGCTACGACAAAAATATTCTGTGTGATCAATAACCCGAACCCAATCTTCTTGATCCATGGATACCTATAAAAAAAGAAGAGCAGATATACCCCCCTCCCAAAAAAAAAAAAAAAAAGAAAACTGCCCTAAAATGAATTATTACTTTGAATATTTCAATTTCCTGAAACTTACCTCAAGATAGTAAGAATATGAACGCATATCCTTATCCCAAAGTAACATTTTAACATGATTAATGATACACTGAGTTCCTAATTTAATCAAAATACCATGTTCTTGTGATTCCGTAATGGTGTGCCTGGTGTACCTAACGAAACAAATATTTTACTTGTATGTCATACTTAGAAAATTTATTCATCAATTTACCCTCGTTCCATATCGTAGTTGTTTGTATCTCCATCTAAAAGATAACTACGCATTTCACCCTGCAAAACTTGAGCACCGTGCATAGGGTGAGCCACATTTTCATCAATAAGTAGTCGACCACGGTAATTAAGATCTGAATCACGTGTTTGTGTCCTTGAAGCTATTGCATCTAAGATTACTTCTGGAGAAATTAATTTAGTTGGCCGGACAATGTTTAGGAGATCCGTAATAGAAACCAAGCTCAACCGTACTTTCTCTATAATGAAAATACAATTTTAATGTTTGTTTAAAATTCTTTTGTATCCTCTTTTAACTTACCTAAAACACTTTTGTCATTAGCATCGGGATTCGCTTTGACCCATGCGCGCACAGCTAAAAAAATGTCAATCTCTGGTGCATAAAAAGAATCTCTTGACACAAGTTCATTTAAGGCAGCAGCACTCAATTGCAAGAAACTCTCATGCTGTATCACTTCGCATGCATGTTTATCCATGTACTCGTGACAAACCTAAAATAAATTAATTCTGCTGGTTATCTTCAAATATTCCATTGTTTAGATGTCATTTTAATATCATATTCATACCCTAGTAAGAAATTCTAGGCGATAGAAAAGCGCTGCATCAAATATGAGGCACACATTTTTTATATTTAGTATTTCTCTTAAGTAATCCGATATAGAGGTTTCTAATTCAGAAAACCCATAAAGATGTGCTAATCCCAGAATATCTAAAATCACCTAAAATAACAGGATAATTAAAATTTCCTCCAAATGAAAAGTATAAAATTGAATAATACCTCTTCGCGTCTATCTGTTAGAGACATTCGTCCTGTATATATGTACTCGAGTAAGCCTTTAAATGCAGCCAAATTAGCATCCTTCAATTCAATTTCATGTTGCGTCGATTCTTTTAACCCTCCAAAAAGTAGAGCTCTAAAATACTGACTACGTGCAGCTAAAATGATTTTATGACCATTAAATCTCTGACCACCAACAATTAAAGTCACATCCGAGTAATCATCCGAGAGATATAGAGCACCGATATCCTCGGACAAGTAAGTAATATGTTCTATATCACCGGAAGGTGGATTTAATCTATGATGAGAACTCATTTCTGGTATCTTCTTTAATATAAGTCCTTTTCACTCGAATTCGTTTCACTTGTTTGTAAATATACACAGTTTGTCAACATCAAATAATATCCATAGCATTGTATTTTAATATACTGGATAGTATTTTTATTTTTTTTTTACCATTTATTCTATCGCAACAAACAAACAGTGCACAAACACCAATTTTACAAAAACTTAACAACTCTTAAATAAAAATAATAAAAACAGAGTTAACTTTCAGCTTGTAATATTTAATCCTTAATTTCTAACTTTATGTCCATAAAGTATTTTACAACCTTGTTTTGAAATTGAGTATTCAACTTTCACTGCTATTTAGTAATTACAAAAAACTTAAATGAATCCTAAACGAATCACTTTGATGTAAAAGCAACAAATATATCCAGCTTGTAGACGCATTATTTAACATTTAGCAAATTTCGCACCAAATTTCATTATTAGTATACATTGATATATATTCATCACTATATACATAAATATTATAGAGTTATTAAAATCATGGTAAAACCTAAAGACAGAAGAAACACAAACTACTGTCAAAAAACAGTGTGGTAAAAAGAATAAGAAAAAAATTTCTTTTCAATAAACAGTTAAGTTAACATTTTAAACTAAATACATTTTATAATAGAAAATGAGTTGTATTTTTAATTAATACATGATTTCTATAGTACGAATTTATAAATAACTGAACAAATACATCTGTTATTTATTTCCAGTGTTTTTAAGGAAAAAGTGAGGTGGATTGGTAATAATCAATGACTATAGATCCAACAAAACTGGACGTTCCTTTTCCCCGAAAACGAGCGTCATCTGCTTCTATCCTACATATGTATGTATGTACATACATACCATAAAAACGTAAAAACACTTCGCACTGCAACAGTTTAACACCACTGCAAATTGACGGTAACAGAAGATTTGCTTCAATATATTACACATAATATAGTCACAGGTTAATTATAAATGAAAAGACACAATTTTGACTTCCTTTGATTTCATTTTCTAAAAATCAATCGAAATCAGCATAATATTTTTCCAATTTCAATTCCAATATAGATGGCGCGGGGGTCAAATTTGAAAAATAATTTATGGAGGTCTTTTTAAAATATAAGTCTTGTGCTAATTTTGACTAATTGCTAAAAAATAGAATCAAAGGAAATCAAAATTGTATCCTTTTAGCTGTGAGTGCTTTAGATTTTGGGAATTTCCATTTCCTCTATATCGCCATTTCCCGTAAAGAAGTCTAATTTGAACGTGTAAGTTATTAGGTATGCTTTTGTTTTCTTAAATCTGCAAAATTTATTTGTATGTACTGATTCAAATTAATACATAATTTTTATCTGCATCGGTATCTTAAATTATAAGTTTTCTTATAAATCGAAAAACCAAATATCTGACTTATTTGTCAATTAACAATTCACTTAATTATCTGTGGTATCAAGTAATGAAGAAGACAATATGCAAACGACAACGATACAAAAACGACGAACAAAAGTTTCTATAAGCAATCTGAAAAAACGCGTATCAGGTGAAAATGTCGAAAAAAATGAAAAAGAAAAGAATGAAGTGACAAAACATAAACCGATGGAGCTTAAAGAAACAACTAAATATATACAACAAATGTTATCCTCTAACATCGATCCTTATGATAAACCTTTAACATGGTGGGAAACGGACCATGTTAGATATGCGTAAGTTAATAAAACTTTAAACTGTTCAAACTTTATTTTATAACGATATTAAAAGAATTAAGTATACATATTTAATATAATCTTATTTCTGCTTTATCAAAGTTTCTTGGCTGTTAATTTTTTAGGATAACATATCCGCCAGTAAAATCACGACTGCAGAAACTAATGGGAAGTTACGTCATTCGCTTAACAGATTATAAGTACATGGAGAAACTAGCATCAAATCTCCATTTAGATTATGTGGAACAACAAAAAATTCGTATAGAAAAAAGAAAATTGCCGCCTCCTTCGATTATTAATCGTTTATTGGAAATATCCTATAAAGTGCTCTCCGAGCAGATACGAGATAATAAACGCAATAAAATAAAATTATACGTCTGATCCAAAATTATAAATATTTTCAGTGTAAATTCGGTTTCATTTAGTAAAATTCTTCAGTATTTTTACCGTATAATCCTTCCTTTTTATACAATACATACATATACATATATAGAATCTTCAAAATCTATGATCTTGTGATATCAATTCTATAATATGCTCCTTTTCAATTTTTCATCGAAGTTGGAATGTTCAATGACGATTTTTTGACTGAATGGAACTTGTACAAGTATATCGTTATCAATGTCGTAATTCACCGTTTCTGAAAAATCTAATTCTGTAAAATATATCATGCATATTTATTATTCAATATATGTAGTATAATTTTAAAGCCTAGAACTAGTAAAAAATGTAAAGTTATATTTAGTTGCAGCTTTTTGCTGAAGCTGTACACTGTTAAATTTAATTTATTTTTACACTTTTACCTGAAGTTTTGTATTCCCATGGTAAAGAATCTTTCCATGAGTTGAATGAATACGGAAGAATTTTTATTTTAGGTTCGGGAATGTTTTTGTACTCGTGACTGGACCATCCAAGTGTTGCGAGATGTTCGCTAAAAATGATTCTTTTGTTACGAAATAATTTAATCGAATTTACATCTTCGTATTTCAAAAAGCGAACATTATTATCACTGTACTATTACTTATAATCGTACAGCTACTTAAAAATAATTAAATATTATTTTTAAAACGCGATATCGCGTGCTCCGTGATCCATATTTAAACGTTACGGCACACAGCAAACGCGTGAATCTCCTTTTTTTTTTTTTCTTTTTAATTTAATTATTATTGAATTTAACTCACTTGTGAATCTTTTCTAATTCGTACTTTTTAGGCGCTTTTGTGGGCGGGTCAGATAGCGAATATATTATTGGATAATAATGATAATGATAATGTTGTATATCATTTTCATATGGTTTTTTCTTTGCTTCTTTCTTTGCTTTTAGTGAATGTATAAAGTCACTCAAAACTTTCTTTGGGCTGAAATACAAATTATCAATATATAACATACAATCTATTAGTAACAGTGATAAGATTAATTTGAATAATCCGTTTCATTGAAAAATAAATTTTAGCATTTAAAGAAGTAAAATTTAAAAAGACTTACTAGTCAAAAAATAATCCTTCTGTTGCAGTAATCAATAATACTGATAAAAGTATGGCAAACTGCAAATTATAAAAATTGAACTGTTTAAAAAAGAAAAAAAGAAAACTAGGATTTATATTATTATTCTTAGAAATGTATGTATAATGATTTACTTGCAACGAGAGTTTCATGATCGAAGTCCGAAGATCTACGTGTTGTGAAATAAACTGTAGGTCCTCGAGTAAACCTACCCCTCTTATAGTTAGACGCACAAATTTTACAGCTCCAAGAACCCACGATAAATTTCGTAAAAACCGTCTTAGGCTCAATATGGTAATGTACAGATTTAATAGCAAACTGTGAATTCTAATGAGCCAGGTTCTCCTTATATCTGCTCTCTTTCCCAGTAATGCCCCAAGGAAATTTCTATTTTGTTTTACTTTTTGTATAGATTCCTGTTAGATCCGTTGACATTGCTGAGAAAGTTACTTACCGACAAATATCACTGATTAATTATTTCCACTTTGAAACCAATATTCTTTTCTGAAAAAAAAAACCAGCCGATTCGTTTCACAAACTTGGTCAATAATATTTATTTCTTTTTAATATGATTTATAATCTATTTTCACGTCGTTATCTATTTTATTTACGAGAATCTTATATGCTATACGAAATCAATCTGTCAGTGATATTTTTAATGATCTATAAGTAAAGTAGTTCATTGACTGAAGAAAATATTAATTGCAAGTAAAATAAACTACAAGACATGTGCGAAAATAAACTTCTTGACTAGAATAAAATACATAGTTTCTTTGTGTACATTAATTTACGATCAAACGAATATTAAGAAACGCAAATTGCGATAATCTCTTCAAATCGATAATCACCAGGTGACTTTTTTTTTAAAATCTACTAACTTTCCATTTTTCCCCCAGAGAAAGCTTCACGATCCAGAGGCGAGCACTTTTCATCATACAAGAGCTCGTTATTGCTAAACCGGTTCTGCTTTTTGATTTTATTGCTACGGACTTGATATGGAAAATACTTCTTGCTAGTTTAAAAATTTTTGTTAAGAAACAAAATGAAAATTTAAACGGTTTTACACTTTCTAGAATTTCCACCAAGCAGATAATTACCGTTCGGCTTTAGTTTTCGAGATATTCGCAAAATAAAAAAGCTACCACTACTATAACAATGAGTTCTGCGTGCATATACATAATATTTTAAGAAATTGAGGTTCTTACTTCAGTGAATTATTTGGAAATTTTATTAATGTATTTATGTATAATTACACGATTAATTATAACTTAACAATGAATGTATTGTTTTCTAAGATTTTTCAAAGATTAAAATCAAAGTAATCGTAACAAATAAACCAATTTGAATTTATTAATTTCAATAGTTTCTGGTAGATGGCGCGTTCGATTGGAATATTCACTAGTAAGCATTCATGAGATCTCGTATTGTTGTGCTACATACATACATATGTACGGTTTTCAGTAAGTATAATTCAATAAATGAAAGAACAATATAAAGATATTTTTCGCGAAACGTTTATAAAATTAACACAGTATTTCGTGATATATGTATAATCACTAATTAATACTTAGTAGGGTGTGGAAATCTTTGAGTGTGTTCAAAGTGCGTAGTTCATCGTTTGCTTCCAACCTTCCTCTTACGAGAAATATATTCTTGTGTAAAATACTGTATCGTGAAAAGGCTTTAAGATTTTTCAGTAATAGTGGTAAAACTGTTTCTAAATATTGTGTAAAAATAAATTTTTATTTGATTAAATAATTGACATGTAATAGAAATCGATTCGTCGATTAATGTGAAACGCATCTAATGTATGAATCTTCTCTTTTTTGGTGAGTAGTGCATTACATATTCATTAAGCAATGAGTAGTTTAATTGTAATGAGCGAGCCATTTATATATATTTTAGAAGTATAAAAAATATATGACTTCCTTATTTTAAGTAAATAGTAATTACGATATTATTCACACATATATATTGACGTATAAAAATATACGTATATATACACATACATTTTACGTATACATGTAAATATATAGGATGCCTAAATACCTGCTTTTCTATCAATATACTGTTATTTGATCTTATAAAGAAATGATCAGTTCTCTTTTGTATTTTGTGTAGAATTTTTGTATTTTGTTTATAATTTCAATTTACAGAATTGTATATAGTTAGTAATAAATGTTTCTAATAAATTCATGCCATTTATAATACATGTATGATGCAATTACATATTATAGCAATAACGTCAAATGTATGTATATAAAGAATAACTCTACAGGTTATGTGTTTGTATTATACACTGTTTTATCTATTTTCATAACAAGGTTAATGCATATTGTTTTTACACATGATATAATTGCAATAATAAAGATTACAGTGTTGCATTAATATTCTAAAATAACATTATTGTATAAAAGCAAATCTTATTTCCAAAACCATTTTTCTAGTAGAAAATAAAGTAAAATTAAAGATTTTGCTATTATGTTATATTTTTATTTTATAGGTTTTAAGGGGGCAGAATACTCGTGCCATGAGCTGTATGCGTGCACTTACACGCAAATGCTGAAAGATGCCACCAAAGCAGAGGAAAATAGCTATTATGGGTTATAGATCCGTAGGTAATAAAAATTTTTTATTACAATTAATGTAGTATCAAACCAATCTATTGCAGTGATATTTTAAATAGTTGAAGCACTATTTTTTATCTTTAATTGTTATTATAATACACTGAATTAAATATGGTTATTTTAACTGCTGTGCTTTACATAGTACATCAAATTATATTATATAATTACACATTATATATCACTGAAGAATTATATTTACAGCATAGAGCATGGTAGACTTTCCTAAGGAAAATGGTGGTCTGAGGAAAGAGGATCCTACCAAAATCCTAATTTTGTAGATCTTAATATTAAGATCAACTTAGGAAAAATTAACATAATTTTTAATTATCAAATATTATATGTATATAATATGTATATGTATCTGTATATTAATGTTTGGAAATTTAAATTTTAAATTTTAAAGTTTGATTAGTAGATTTTTCTGTAAATTTTCATAATATAAAACTCTAAATAATATTGATAGTAATATAAAAAATATATTAAATAAAATTTTCTCGAGTAAGCATTTACACGTGAGTGGTAGGGTTTTCCTCTAGAGCACCATTTTCCCTAGAAAAATCTATCATGCTTGTTACTGTACATACAATGACATTAATAAATTTTTTATTTTTTTGATATTAATAACAAAAACATAATATATATAATTGATATTTATTTAATTTGGATAGGCAAGTCATCATTGAGCATACAGTTCGTCGAGGGACAGTTTGTGGATTCATATGACCCTACTATAGAAAATAGTAAGAAGTCCTGTATCGTCTTACACGCTACTTCAAAGATTTCTAATGACACTGTTAGTAGTATTTTCTGCACATTCTGTTAGTAATTCATGCTGTAAACAAATAATAGGTTCATAAAAACTTATTATTTAATACGAAAATATTTTATTTGATGCGCTATATCCAATAAGATAGATATATTTGAACTAAAAATAAAAGTCTTTAATGCTTCTACATTGCTAGTAGTTATCAACTTTTAAGTTTATACTTCAAATCATATGTCTGTCTAATAAATTTTCACATTTGCTTTTCTGTGATTATTCATTTGATTATGATAATTTATAACATAAAAGTTGATAGTCTATGATTGTGTAAAGTATTAAAGATGTTTTATTTTTGATTAAATAGGAATCTTATTTGTAATGGATGTAGATCATCATACAGGATGAGTCTTTAAAAAACTGCAATATTTACTAGCATATTGTACATTTTAAAATTAAAAAAATTTGGTAGAAATGATTATGCATACTATTTGCATATTATTATTTGAAACACTGTTTATTTTTTATGAAATATATATTAATATGTTATTAACTCTCTAGTATCTTGTATTTGAATTGCATGCACCTGTTATTCATTTGTACAGTTTTCAAAATTTTTGTTTTTAATTTAGAAAAGCTGTAAAATCTCTATGTTTGAAAAATAAATTAATGATTATTAGGGCTTTTTGGTTTTAAAATGTAAAGATACTTATAAATATTAGTACGTTTTTTAGACCCAACTTATATGTTTTTTAATAATAAAAATCAATGATCTGAACAGTTGAAGTAAGTAAAAAATATGTTAGAAAAATTTTATTATCTTTAGAATTAGCAGTATAATAAAAAAATAAGCTCAGTTTAAAATTATGTTTTTACAAATTTATTTTAATTTTATGTATTGATTATTAACGAATACAATAAGTGTATATGTTTAAATGATTGCATTTGTAAGATTCTAATGCAAATTGTAAATAATGTTTACACATATCTGTTTAAGCTATATTTTAGTAAAAACAATGGGCTCACAATGATTAGCATAACAATATAATAGTTCATATTTTAAGGTTACTAATGTTATTATAGAATATCATTGTGGTATTGTTATGTTAAATATAAGTAAATTTTTTATTTAGTATTATTATTTTTATTATATAGCTAATATTTTAATCATATAAGAATGTTTAAAGCAGACAAATACAAATTATTTTAGTTGATGGGTTTACATTTAATCATGTTACATTCTTTTCACATAAAAATTTTATTAACATCTTTTTGCACTAACAATTTTAAGAAAATTTTATATTTTTAAAAATGTGAAAAATGGTCTTAAGATTATTTATCTCGTATATTATGATACAATTTATAACAAAAATAATTATAAAATTTTGTAAATGTAAGAAACAAGTTTTTTGTGCAAGTGTAAAAGTTATTTCAAATATTTCAATACCATTAACACAATCTACAAAACTGGTTTCATTACAGCATGATGCATTGCTAGTAATATGCATGAATTTTTACTTCAGTTGTTACTATTTCGGTTCCGTGTAAAATTTAAGTATATGTTATTTTGTAATTTTTATTTGCATTATTAAATGCATTTATGCAGTAGTATCCTACATCTTGCTTGAGAATCTGTTCTTTAAATATATATTTATATATATTTAAATTTGACTTTAAAAAGTAGAGAAAATTTAAAAAGATGTAGGTTCTACTGATGATTTTATTATTACTCCTTATACAATTTAATTGTATGTTTTTCAGCATTTACTAAAAGTACCAGAGTAAATAGTCAAGATTATGAAGTTAAATTGGTAGACACAGCAGGTCAGGATGAATATAGTATATTTCCTACACAGTATTCTATGGACATCCATGGTTATGTCCTGGTATACAGCATAACCAGTGCAAAGAGTTTTGAAGTTGTACAAATTATTTATGACAAATTATTGGATATAACAGGAAAAGTCCAGTATGTCATTAACTAATTACATATTTTTCATGATTTAATTAGTAACTTAACGTTACGTTTAACAAAATACATTTTTATATTTTAGTGTTCCAATTGTATTAGTAGGAAATAAAACAGATTTGTACGTAGATCGAATGATAACAACAGAACAGGGCAAACGATTAGCAGACTCGTGGCATGCAGTTTTTTTAGAAACCTGTGCAAAAAAACACGAGGTATGTTTATATTATTATCTATTATAATGCTTATAAGCTATTTGTCAATTTGTTATTTCATTTCAGTCTGTTGCGGATATTTTTCATACATTATTGATTGAAATTGAAAAAGCAGATGGAAATGTACAAGAAAAATCAAATTGCATTGTTTCTTGAGCTATATTAGCTGGAAATCTCATAATGCAATATAAATGTATAAAATTAAATGATAAATGATTGGCATTATATTAATATACATTTCCAGGAAGAAATTAAATGTAACAGTAACAATATAAAATGATGGATATACAATATAATTATATTTTCTTTCGTATGTTTATTTTCATTATACAAAAGTACAATATGTGTAACAAAATATTTTAAGAATTGTTTCTTACTAATTATAGAACTGTTGATTTCCATTCATTTTATGTAATTTCTATATATTGATATTTGTATCTCATCAAGTATGCTGAAATAAAATGTTACCAAATGTATTCTATCTATTCGCTCTGTTCATGAGGTGTGTGAAAAATTTAAAAATGGCAAAAATTGAATAAAAAATATAGCAGACCACAAACCTCGCAGTCAATTCATGCTAATTTGGATGTCGTTTACAGATTTCTATTTTTTGTAAGAGTTAACCGCGTGGTGCAGCACCATACTGGGCACACAAGCATAACTCCGTACGTGAATGTATAGCATATACATATAGACAGTACTAGTTGTTAACGAAATACATTTTTAGTATGATAGTATTAATAAATCTGTATAATTCCAGATAATGATAGAATAAATTGCAATTCAGGACTAAATTTTATTAATAAATACATTTCTAATGTTTATAAAGAGACATTGAACCATAAACATAATGAGGTGACCAACCTATATTACTTATAAGCACGACTATATACCTATATAGTGCTAATACGAACAGTAGACATAATTAAAAACAACAGCGGTGGAATTAATATTACCAGTGAAAATAACAATAATTATAGAAATTAAATGTTTTGTAAAGGTATAGAAACGTTCTAAACGTGATATTTTGAAAACCATGCAAAAGTATCAATGTTTGAATTTAAATCACGAAACGTTCAGTAGACTATTCACTAATTATTAATATCAGTCAAAGATACAATATTAAATGGTAAACTTGTATTCATCAATGAAAATCTTGGCATGACTATTCAATATAGTATGCCACCTTTTGGAAATGGAATGCAAGAAAATTGCTGTTATACCAAGAGGGATTGTATTAAATAAAGAAACAGGTCATTGTCATTGTTACTATAATTTTTCTAATAAGGGTAAATGGCCATGGCTGAGAACTTGGAAAGTGAAAAATATCCTTTACATAAATGCATATTTCAAGGAGATGTTAAAGCCTTAAGTTCTTTAATTAGAACCTACGATATTGCAGAAAAAGATAAACAAGGTTAATCCAAGTGTTATTCAATTTTTAAATACTATAAAAGTATAACTTGGTAATAATCAATTTAATTTTATTTTTTAGGAAATACACCGTTACATCTAGCTGTTATGTTAGGGAGAAAAGGTAAAAGGATACATTTCAAACATTATCATTAAAGCACACGTATATTAAATAATTTAATAATAATAATTTTGCAGAATCAGTCCAATTGTTACTTGCACATGGTGCACCAGTAAAGGTAAAGAATTTGGCTGGCTGGAGTCCGCTTGCAGAGGCAATTAGTTATGGAGATAGACAAACTAGTTAGTAACATTAATTGCGTGCTACTTATAATAAATAAGCATCTGTAATATTAGTTTCATATTTTTCTACAGTATCATCATTGGTACGAAAATTAAAGCAACAAGCAAGAGAACAAATGGAAGAAAGAAGACCAAATTTAGTTGCTACATTACGTCAAATGGGTGATTTTTATATGGAATTAAAATGGGATTTTCAAAGTTGGGGTATTTAATAGTACTATTAAATTATAATTTTATGACTTATTAGCTTATAAATGTATTTCATTCTTCAGTACCATTAGTTTCTCGAGTACTTCCTTCTGATGTTTGTAAAATACACAAGAGTGGAGCATCCATTAGAATGGATACTACCCTGGTAGACTTCAATGATATGAGGTGGGAAAGAGGAGACATATCGTTTATTTTTAATGGCGATCAAAAACCAAGCAAATCGTTAACAGTACTCGACAACAAAGCTAAACTTTTTCAAAGAGTGAGATACGAGGTCAAATTACTTTATCATTTATCTTCATTCTTATAATCAACGTTTACGGTCTAATCATAAATGTATTACCGCTCGTTAACATTTTTAGGAAACAGAATTAGAAATAGAAGACGAAGTAGATATTCTTATGTCAAGTGATATCATGGCAGCGCAAATGTCGACAAAAGGTATTACATTTTCAAGAGCACAAACAGGTTGGATATTTCGTGAAGACAAAAGGGTAAGGTCAATATTACTTGTGATGTTATTTCTTCTTTTAAAATTTTTTTAAATGTATCTCAAACATTTTAATAAAGGAGATGGTAGGACCTTTTCATGCCGATTTTTATCAAATCAATGGAATGGTTTTGGAAAGTAGGAAGCGACGAGAACATTTAAGTGAGGAAGATTTACAAAAGAATAAGGCTATTATGGAATCATTAACAAAAGGAAGTTCGCAAGGATTTGCAAATGGGAAGGTAAGGTAAGAAAAAAATAATATTTTTTGTTTGGATTATTAATTTTTCGATTTGTTTAGCCGCCTGTTAGAAGAGCTTCTTTAAATCCGCCACCGGAATCGAATATTACTTGGGAAGAATATATTATGGCTCCACCTGGTCAATGTCCACTACTTGGAAGAAATCTTGTTTATAAAGAAAGCAGTAAATCGTTTAAAGCAACAGTTGCTATGAGTCCAGATTTTCCATTGACTGTTGATATGCTACTGAATGTTTTGGAAGTAATAGCGCCGTTTAAACATTTCAGCAAATTAAGAGAATTTGTGCTTATGAAATTACCACCTGGATTTCCTGTAAAAATTGATATACCTATTTTACCGACGGTAACGGCAAAAATCACTTTCCAAGAATTTGCTTTTCGCAATGATATAGATCCACATTTATTTCAAGTACCGTCAGATTATTTCGAAGATCCTATGAGGTAATTTCAAGAAACTTATTTTACAAATGTATTTTGCTACTCTCATAATATAACTATCTTGTTGTTTTATTGTTTTTAGATTTCCTGATTTATGACGATTCCGCGTTCGACAGAAAATTCACGTCAATTGTCAAAGTAAAAAAAAACTCGTTCTTATTCAAAATAGTATTTGGCTTATCGAATTATGCTGCTGTCAAAAGTCCTTTCAAAAGATCACAAAATATTCTTGGAATAAAATTACTCCGATTCTAAACATAAATGGGAAGAAATATTGTTTATGAAAGTACACGATAAATTGGAAGAGTGGCATCATTTATTTACACAGTTGTATTCTAAATCCTGAAGAAGAAAATAATGTAATAAATCTATGCACCTTAAGATATACATTCTGCTCCACCGAGTGCATAAAAAGATAATGTACTATGCACGTTGTTTTACCTCATTTAGTTTCAATTTTGAATTCTCCTTCTTCACTTGTAGCAGTTATTATTTAAAAAGTATTTTATTTGCGAAATAAAAATGTTCGCAATATTTATTTATTACAAGCAGAACAATTTTCTCTTTCGAAGAAAATATTTTCTATTGATAGAAAGTGTGGGAGGTAAATATTACAAATAAACTTTTTTTTAAAATAACAATGCCCTCTATTTTACCTGATTATATTATACATGTAACACATAATTAATTATTTTATTATTTTCTTAATCTTTACGCAGTACATTTTCTATCGCGTTTTTCGCTTTTTGAACACCGAGACGAAATTGTAAATATTCTGGACGAATTCTCATTCCACGATAATAATACACGAGACTCATTTCAAAATCACCGAGATGGTACAAAGCTTCTGCTTTACAATGTATCGCTTTAGCCATATTAACATTTTTCATTTTATGTTGTAGTGCACTCTCGGCGTCTTGCAATGCTTTATCAGGCTCGCCTAAGAGAAGATGGCATTTACTCCGTGCTATTAAAGCGTTCTTGTCGTTTGGTTCAAGCTCCAATGCCTGATAGGAAAAAATATTAATTAAATAACATAATTAGGTCGAAAAAATTTTTTTTTACGTAAAATGAAGTTATTTATTAGAAACACATATGTTTTTTAGACAAAATTATATAAAAAGTGTTCAAGCGTATAGGCGAATTACGGTAAAATAATAAAGCAGTAAAAAGGTGAACCTTATTAATACAATTCATTGCGACTTTTATATCACCGAGACGCATCTCACGTAATCCTAAGGCCAATACTGCGGTCGGTTCAGTATCTTCGGGAAATTTCAAATTTCTATCATGCTTTTGTTTCATTTTCAATGATTGCTTGATGTCTTTGGTACCCATATTTACCGCTGCAGCTCGATCTTTATCCGTATATACTTCTTCGTGACGACGAGTACCATTATCCTGTCGGCGTCATTTCTTTTTCTTTTGAATTTTCATTTCCGATTCAACAGATAATTTGTTAGAGTTTCTTTTTTCTTGTTTATTGTCGTTCCTCTTCTTCTTCTTTTTCCTCTTCTTCTTGTCGCTAATTAGACTACCTTCATTGATGTCTTCAGGAGATCCCCTGACAAGACAGCTATCCAAAGAGGAAGAAGAATGTTCATTTAAATTTTCTGGTTCTTCAGATTGCTTTGAATTAGAAGAACCTTCAACAGGTGCACGCACGTAACTTTGCAAAAGATCATGATGATGAAGAGTTGGATTCAATATACTCATAATTTTAAAATTAATAGCGTCCGTGGTATTCGTGGATTCTAATATTAGTTCACTCATTGTTCCAATTTGTTTTTACGTTTTTAATTGTTTTTTCTTTTAATTTAAATTTAAATTTAAATTCAATTTAATGTTCCTGAATTAAGAAGAACACTAATGCTTTTTTTAAAGTAGAAATCAAAAAGGAGGAACACTTGTTCCGTTTTCTTCACACGACTGTAAGGTATTTTTGTATGCTTTGCGTGTGGAAAAGACGTGTGATTATCGACACCTCTGTCAGACGGTTTGTTTCCTTAGAAACAGTCAACAACGCGGGCAAATTTAGCACATGAGAACTTTTGATTTTACGTAAACTACATCATTTTAAACAGTCTGTTAAGCGAAACTGTGCTATGTGTGTGGGAAGTTCAATTCATTAATGGTGCTCTACAGGGTCCGTTCTTAATGGTTCGTCCAAAAGTAGTCCTTAATACGTCCTTCAGGTTTTAGAATTAAAAAAAATATATTGCATTAAATTGGAATGGTATCAAAGGAGGAATACACTGCAAAGAATGTCTTTTTGTAAGAGTTTTCAAGGCCATCGCTTTTTCCCCATATGTGCAAGTGCTATGGGAGGGTCATCACAATTTCTGCATTGTATTATACATGTACTTACATATGTATGTAAATACGTACGCATAAGAGGATTAACTAAGTGTAATTGGAAGGGGGTAATTTTAATGGAAATGCCAAGATTTTTTATATAAAAATTAATTGAATCAGATTATTGTATTAATAAGGTTCAACGATTTATTAAAACATATTATACAATATACGATACAAAATTTTACTGTATGCAAAATAAAAATAATTCTTTGTATAATATTAATTAATGATAATGATTATAACTTACTTGATTATAGAGGAACATCGCTTTATAATAACTTTCATTTTTTACGTGAACCATCGCCTCATTTATTAACAATCTTTTTTCGCACAAAGAGAAACATTTTTTTTGTGACTTTGTTTTGCGATGATTTACCATATTTATTCAAAGCCTACTAATTCATTTAATACTCACAAACGGAAATAATAATTTCTTTACATGGCAATTAATGATAAAAAATTTTTATCAATAACAATTATTTATTATATTACTTACCCACCATTGCCGCTTGCCGTGTCAAAAGTATGTAATTATTTCAACTAGACATTTTTATATTCGTCTGTTCCGATCCTTACGGATAAAGATATTTCCACTATAAAATATCGTAACTTTCTTATATGTAGTATCTTTAATTCTTAACTTATAACCAGAACTTTTCTGACTATACTCCTTGTCCTGTCTCCCTACTCTAAGTAATCAAGACTAATCAATATGACAATAGTAACAAGGAACAAAGATTATGACTTCTTTCTTCATCAGCCTACCCCAATATAAATGTCAACAAAAAAATTGATTGTATTACATTTCAGAAACGTAACGTATTTATGTATACAATTATCGACTTCCCCTACAAAATGAAATCAGGGAAATTATGCTTTATCAATTTCAAAATCATCATCAGTATACAATCAAGTTCATGAATGTTTGGAATTTCCTCTTTTGTAAAAAACTATATAGTGGAGATGCAAAAGAATATAGTTTATATGTACTTACGTACAATCGCGATGAAATTAAGCTTTTCTAAAGAAAATTACGATATAGGGAAAGCAGAAATTCTCAAAATCTTAATTCTCAATGTTAAATGTAATTTAGAAAAAAAAAAAAAAAAAAAAAAAAAATAGTATAATAAATAAAAATAAATATTTCAATTTTAACAAGAACAAAATCCTTTTCTCATGAGATGATTGAAATTTTCAATTTCACAGTTTCCAAGATTTTAGTTATAATAATTGGTATATATTTAATGAAATTAAATATTTATACTTTTCCTACAAATATGCACATATTTATATATTTTATTTACATTTAATTACATGTTATACTTATCACTATTATACTATTCAATTCTACATGTAATCATCTGCAGCAAATGCTGAAAATATGTTATTGTGATGGTTTCCAAGGCTGAATTTTTGGTTTTGTTGTACTATAAGGCATATAAGCTTCATAAGTACCAGACAAATTTGGTTTATGATCTATCATCCATTTATATTTTGGGCGTGCTGGATCTTGATGTGGAAGCAAATCTGTTTTATAATGTAACCATCCAAACCATTCTGCTGGAACTTGAGAGCCATCATAATTTAAGCCAACTTTTTCCGAATATATAACCCATCTATTACTACCTATTAAAGTACATAACATAGATTTCAATGCACTATACATAGTTAAAAATAAAAAATTAAATAATATAAAGTAAAAACAATGAAAACATTTTTGTTTCTTTTTTCGTAATTTTCTCCAAAATGGAACAAAATTAAGTAAATCTTCAATGAACTTTTTATTTTAGTTTATTGGTTCCTAACATGATCTGGAAGTTTTATATTTAAATTGGGGACAGCCTGCTTAAGAAATATGACAAATAAGTTTTTATGAGCATGTCAAATTTTGAAATACTTAATTTATTTTAAACTTAAAATATACATAATTCTTCAACTTACCATAGAAGTATGATTTATTTTCATAATATTTGTTTCCATATTTATCCTCGCCTACTAAAGTTCCACTTTTTAATTCATCAATTCTAAAACATTCCAAATATCAAAGTCTGAAATTGTTATAAAAATTAAATTGTTATTTTATTTTAACACTTAATCACACGATTAATACTATATATGTGCTATTATTAGTTTGGTCGACACTACACAAAACTATAGTTAAAGTGTTGAAAATAATAATACACTATATCCATAAGAGCATTTAATTTTATAATAACCTGTACAAAACACGCAGAGAATTCAAAAAACCACCATTATCCCTTATTATTTGAAAAAACTTTGCAACTTTATCCAAACCCAGTAACTTCGCCATGTTTGTTACTTGATAGTGATGGGCGATACAGTACCGATATTTGGAATATTGCTGAAGGATAGGTCGATAAGTCGGTAACTCCTCGAGTCATACCGACTGTGTACTGTGCTTGGGGGTGTTTGGGACCCCAAGATCATGAGCCCTCGCGCTCGATAGTATGTCAAGTCTTTTACATTTGTAGTCACTGTCACTGATTAAGTTAACCATGCTTCTCATCTGGATTACGAAGTTATTTATGGTTATTTATAACAACAAAAACATTAAAGTGTGATTAAAATTGTTTACAAAATATGTTTCTTTTCTGATCAGAATTAAAAAAGTTTTATAATGGCCGAAATTATTTTAAGCCGCGGAGAAAAGACATTTATTCTTCATGGGATAGATGTAAGTTGATGAGGTTCCTTTTAAAAGGGGTGTTGTTTGATGTGGGTCCCATGCATATTAGGTTTGGTTAGGTTATAAGTGATTGAAATACATTTTCAAAAAAAATTTTTGTGTATCATATAAGCAAATATAATATTTGTCTTATAAAATCATCAGTGTAATATATCAAACACTCAACTAAAAATTGTTTCAATCACATATAACCTAATCTAACCTAATATGCATGGGACCCATATCAGACAACATCCAAATAAAGTATTATTATTTATAATTAATTGCATAATTTTATAAACATTTTTAAGGCAGATTTTAGAAATGATGGTAGACAAAGATGTGAATATCGATCAATAGAAATTGAAACCAAATTAATGCCTCAAACTCATGGATCTTCAAGATTACGCATAGGAAATACAGATATACTTGTGGGTGTTAAAGTTGAGCTCGATACACCTCATGCTGATAAACCAAATGAAGGAAAATTGGAGTTTTTTGTTGATTGGTATACAGTATTATTTACATATCTATTTGTCAAAATTATTCTTATTTCTTAACTTTGGTTTCAGCTCTGCTACTGCCACCCCTGCATTTGAAGGAAAAGGAGGTGATGATTTAGCAACTGAAATAAGTAATATTTTAACAATTGCTTATCAAACACGCAATGCTTTTGATTTAAGAACATTATGTATTTTACCAAATAAAAAATGTTGGAAAATATTTGTTGATGTTTTGGTAAATAAGGATAACAGTTATATCAGTAATTTAAAAATATCTTGAAAAACAGTTTTAAAAATATAATATTGGTTTAACATAGATTCTACAATGTGGTGGTAACCTTTTTGATGCAGTTGGTACTGCAGTTAAGGCTGCATTATATAGTACAGAGATACCAAAAATCACAGCTGCAACTCTTGATGGTGGAGAACCAGATATCCAGTTGTCCGATGATTTTTATGATTGTATTCAATTAGATACAACTAATTATCCAATCATTGTGACATTGTGCAAAGTATGTTTTTAACAATTTACAGTAAAAAAACATTTTCATATATTAAATAAAACAGTTTTAGACAGCATTAAATTCTTTATAAATTTCTGTTCGTAGGTCGGTGATAATTATATTGTGGATCCAACTTCAGAAGAAGAAGTATGCAGCGCAAGCAGTATAGTTATGTCTGTATTACCAAATGGTAAAATATCATCTGTAATTAAATTGGGTTATGGAAGTATTCAGTCTACTACCTTCAAGAAGATATTAAAAGTAATATTATTATATATTTATGTATTAGTTATGAATTTTATAACAAATTTTTAAATAAATGATGTTCATAAGAGAATTCAATATAATTCTAGATGGCCCAAAATGTGGGACTGCGATTAAATGGAGATCTTATGAAAGCTTTAAAAGAAGAAAATAAACTTGGACGACAAAAGCAAATATTTGGATTCCTTAACTAAATGAATAAATAATACTTGGAAATCAAATATCAAATATTCCAGATTTTATTAATCATCTTATATATTTAAGTTCTTTTTTATTTATATTTATTTTAATATATACATATGTTAAATTATTTTATTACATTTAAGACTATTTTCAAAATCAATTCTTACAATGTTTATATGGGACTGTTTTCAAAGCCAAATGTAGCATATTCATTAGGTTTCATTGGAGCTTTAAAATTGGGAAAATCTTTAGTTCCTGGGTATACCCTAGGACGTGATGACATAATTCTCCAACCAGACTGTCGCATCCAGGTCTAAAAACAAAAATTCATATTTTTTACATTATAATAAATATGTAATGTGCATAAAAAAATTTAACATACCGCATGATTATATTTGAAGTAATACCATGAACCATAAATTACAAAGATACCAATTATGCTTCTTCCTATTATATTACGTACAATAATTGCAGCAGCCTCACCCTACAAATGAATATAGCATGTAACATTTAAAAAACATGTTATCAGCTAACATTATCATTTATTCATAGAAGCTTTCTCTTCCTACCAATAATGGAGTTAATGCATTTTCAACTTTGTTTAATGGTGCTCTATAAAATCTTCGAAGAGGATTATAATATAATTTATCGTATCCTTTTGGTTTTATTGGTTCATCTGGTGCAAGTTCCTGACTTTTGACGAAACGTGCCCTCCATGCACGTTCTTCATCTGTCATACCAATCAAACGCTCTCTTTCTCTACCAACACGACCAGCAATTGATACTGCATCTATCTTCGCAATGTCAGTAGGCTCCATTGTAAATGATTTCTGCTATAAGTAATCAATAATGATAAATATAGAAATGTAAATAAAATATAAACGTATGTTTGTATCTTTATATGGATATAACTGTATTTTCCATAATATGTTTGAACATAAAAATAGGTTGTGTTGACTACAATATTTACAACAGCAATAGTAATATTATCACGTAATAATTTTTTGGTTACATCACATTTTTAAATGTATAAATAGTTAATTAAAATTAAGTACATTTTAATATTCCTCGTAACAAACCTTCCGTTTTACTAGGACGAACTTTAAATATTACGTCACAACTGGTTATAACCAACGAGTATAGATAGTAAAAGACTGGACATGCCTTCGTTTTCAGGGGTTATGATATATGGGGTCCCAGACACCCCCGGATGAGATTAGAGCACCCCTTTACACCCCTGCTTTCCTTACATCCTTGCATTGTACCGCAGTAAGCTCTTTTTGAGTAAGAAATCATTACAAATTTAGTTCCCTTTTAGTTCTATAGCTACTTACCTTTAGTTACCTTTACTTACTTTTACTTGAATTAGTGGCTATACATTTTTTTTTTTTAACGTGGGGAAATGTTGCATAAGATCCCCCACCGACCCCTGGGAGCGAGCGGCAGGGGAGTGTCAGATTCTTACTGACTAAAACCCATGGGGACCGGCACCAGCGCTAAAGGAGAGCTTTGGGATCTTATGTATGTTATTACTCTGGAGCCTTCCACGCCTGGCACATTGGTGCCCATCTGGGGTGCCTAGCATATGGCCGACATCGGGGGTCGCATCCAGTGCCAACATCTACTTGGGCCGCGTGCAAATGCGTCTGGAGCCCCTACTCCGATATCGGAAGCAACTAAGCATAATCAATTTATTTTGACAACCAACTTTCGAATCGAGCTCATTATTCACTTTACTAATTAATTAACGAACCTACTCGCTTTAGGTTCATACATCATTTTGCTTAAATACATCAAATATATGTTTTTTATAATATTCTAATTCTCTTATACTTTCTATTATGTCTGATAATGCCCTGTGATTGTGCTCTTTTATTAATGTTGGGACATTTGTATTCCACCTTCTATAAATAAAATAATTATACATTATTTCACTGTGTATAAAACTATATGTATAAAATACTTACTTAATTAATTCTTTAATAGTAGAAGTGTCAATAATTCTATAATGCAAATAATTATCAACCAATGGCATATATTTATGTAAAAACATACGATCCATATAAACTGAACTTCCTGCTAATGGACAAGTTTTTTCCTTGATATATAGTTTTAAAAATTCTAACACAGCTTGTTCAGCATCATGTATTGTAAGTTTACTTAAACGTGATTCATTAATTAATCCTGTCTGAAAATAATGAAAATACTTCAAATTGTATAACATATCATGCATAAAGTTACTTACCTTTTTATGATTCAGTAAACACCAATCATTCATATTTTCTAATACTTCATGTGGCTGATGTATAACTATATTTAAATCAGTACTTATGACTTTCAAATTCTTGTCTGTAATTAAGCATGCTACTTCTAAAACATGGTCGGTATGTACATTAAGCCCAGTCATCTAAAATATTTGTTATACAAATTTATTTACATAACATATTATACAGAATTATGTTTATTTTAATAATATTAACATACTTCCATGTCTAGCCAACAAATATGATCATTGTTTGTCTTCATATTTGGTACATTAATATTAGCTGTTAAAATTGAAGTTGGTGCTGTTAAAATACATTCATGAATTTATGTATGTATACTCTTATGAATGCATATTCTTATTGAAAAGCTTAACAAAGTTTAATTACAATTTTGAAAACAACGTGAAGGAAGCAATTGAAAACAATTCTTTGACCATTTCAAACCACGTATAAAATTCATGTTTCTTCGGTAATATATTTTTATCTATTTCAAGGAAAAATTATTTTAAAGTATATATAATGTAACATTCCGAAAATTTATTAACTACATAAGCACAGGTTAATCTAAAAAATATATCTTACATATATAAAGTACAAAGACGTCCGTCCGTCTCGGTTTTCAATTTGTGAACTACTTACTAGGGTTAGAGATACATTTTAACCTGGGGTCCCTGATACCCCGAATACAACAATGTCGGTATACAAAGAGCGTCACCCGTGATTTGGGGTCTCAGACACCCCAAGATGATAGGTCGGGGTCCCTGATACCCCGGATGCAATATGTCGGTATACAAAGAGCGTAAACTGTAATTTGGGGTCTCCGACACCCCAAGATGATTTCATGTCGGTATTCGCTCAAACCCATCACTTTCCGAACAAGAGAGTTTCACGAATTGTTCGTTTTCCGTTCTTATATTTCGCTAGCAAAGAGTGTCATTGGTGCTTGGGGTCCCTGGAACCCCGGATGCTATAATGATGGTGTGCAGAGATACTCAACGGCGTTACGGGTTCCTTTAGACCCCAATATGATATCAGGGCGGTACGTAGAGATTGTGACTGGTGCTTCGGGGTCCTTAGCACCCCGGATGGTATAATATATCTATGCAGAAGTACTCACCGGTGTTTCGGGTTCCTTAAGACCCCACTATGATATCAGGGCGGTATATAGAGATGGTGACCGGTGCTTCGGGGTTCTTAGCACCCCGGATGCTATAATGTTGGTATGCAGAGATAATCATCGGCGTTTCGGGTTCCTTAAGACCCCAATATGATATCAGGGCGGTATGTAGAGATTGTGACTGGCCCAGCGGGATCCCTAACACCCCTAGATAATACCAGGACCGTATGAAGAGGGCACAACCAGTACAATTTTTCTCCAGAGTTTATTTAATTTATTTAATTTATTTTCTTTTGCTTATTAAATAAGCTCATCGGAGGGGAATAACATTTATGATTATATCCCCCTTCTGGGTGTCGACCGAGGACCCCATTTATATTACTTTTTCCAGTTATTTATATAATTTCATCCCTCACTATAGGCCAAGGCTATCTCAGTATCCCTCACATCCCTGCATTCTTTTCATCCCTACATCATTCCTTACATCGCTTCATTCCTTACATCCCTGTATTCTTTTCATCCCTATATTCTTTTCATCCCTACATTGCTATCATTCCTATATTCTTGTCATCCCTACACTCTTTTCATCCCTACATTCCTTACATCGCTTCTTCCCTTACATCCCTACATTCCTTACATCTCTGCATCCCTTATAATAAATATATTACAAAGACTGCTTCGAGTAAAGATAAGTAAAGGTAAGTAAAGGTAAGTAAAGGTAAGTAAAGGTAAGTAAAGGTAAGTTAGTTTTTCGCCAAAAATTCAGCAAGATTTAGTTCCTTTTTTCGCCACCAGGGGGCGCTGATTCGACATCGAAATTTTAGTTCGCACTTTTGCCGCCAGAGGGCCAAAAACCCAGCATGATTTAGTTCCTTTTTCCAAAACCAGAGGGCGCTGATTCGACATCGAAATTTTAGTTCACATTTTTCCCGCTAGAGGGCCAAAAATTGAGTTTGATTTAGTTCCTTTTTCCAAAACCAGATGGCGCTGATTCGACATCGAAATTTTACTTTACATTTTTTCCGGTAGGGGGCGCTGTTTTTTCGAAATTTTCGAGCATTCCTAAAAGTGCTCCAATTTAAAAATCAATTAGATATTCATTAAGAGGGGTCAATTGTGGCCTTTCTGGGTAAAGCCTCTTTGTTCAAAATCTACTGCGCAGCCCTAACTCTCTCCGTTAACTACTGCGCAGCCGGTCAAGGCCCCCGCGGGAGAGCCAAATTCCAGGACCAACACGATTTTTGGGCATTCTTAAAAGTGCTCCAATTTAAAAAACAATTAGATATTCATTAAGAGGGGTCAATTGTGGCCTTTCTGGGTAAAGCCTCTTTGTTCAAAATCTACTGCGCAGCCCTAACTCTCTCCGTTAACTACTGCGCAGCCCGTCAAGGTCCCCGCGGGAGCGCCGAAATCCAGGACCAACACGATTTTTGGGCATTCTTAAAAGTGCTCCAATTTAAAAAACAATTAGATATTCATTAAGAGGGGTCAATTGTGGCCTTTCTGGGTAAAGCCTCTTTGTTCAAAATCTACTGCGCAGCCCTAACTCTCTCCGTTAACTACTGCGCAGCCGGTCAAGGCCCCCGCGGGAGAGCCAAATTCCAGGACCAACACGATTTTTGGGCATTCTTAAAAGTGCTCCAATTTAAAAAACAATTAGATATTCATTAAGAGGGGTCAATTGTGGCCTTTCTGGGTAAAGCCTCTTTGTTCAAAATCTACTGCGCAGCCCTAACTCTCTCCGTTAACTACTGCGCAGCCCGTCAAGGTCCCCGCGGGAGCGCCGAAATCCAGGACCAACACGATTTTTGGGCATTCTTAAAAGTGCTCCAATTTAAAAAACAATTAGATATTCATTAAGAGGGGTCAATTGTGGCCTTTCTGGGTAAAGCCTCTTTGTTCAAAATCTACTGCGCAGCCCTAACTCTCTCCGTTAACTACTGCGCAGCCGGTCAAGGCCCCCGCGGGAGAGCCAAATTCCAGGACCAACACGATTTTTGGGCATTCTTAAAAGTGCTCCAATTTAAAAAACAATTAGATATTCATTAAGAGGGGTCAATTGTGGCCTTTCTGGGTAAAGCCTCTTTGTTCAAAATCTACTGCGCAGCCCTAACTCTCTCCGTTAACTACTGCGCAGCCCGTCAAGGTCCCCGCGGGAGCGCCGAAATCCAGGACCAACACGATTTTTGGGCATTCTTAAAAGTGCTCCAATTTAAAAAACAATTAGATATTCATTAAGAGGGGTCAATTGTGGCCTTTCTGGGTAAAGCCTCTTTGTCCAAAATCTACTGCGCAGCCCTAACTCTCTCCGTTAACTACTGCGCAGCCCGTCAAGGTCCCCGCGGGAGCGCCGAAATCCAGGACCAACACGATTTTTGGGCATTCTTAAAAGTGCTCCAATTTAAAAATCAATTAGATATTCATTAAGAGGGGTCCATCTGACCTTTCTTCGTGGAGGTTCTTTGTAAAAAATCTACTGCGCATGTCTAGCGATAAGTTGTCAACTTATCAATCAAATCTTTGGCAGCCGATAAGTTGATATTCAGTTTCCACTATGTTCCGATAGGTGGCGCTTGTTACATATAAATTGTAGTGGATAGGTCCGATAAGGAGAGGGTAAATGAATAAATTCACTATTCAGGAACAAACTGAATATATTTATTTCGATCACTACAAGGAAAATTACGTCTTTACACTTTGGCTAGTTTCTTAGATCTAACGGCTTTTTACAAATTATGGGGTTGCGCATCTTAATCTATCTATCTATCTCGAATTTCGCCCAAAGGCTGGCATTTTTGGTAACTTGTCTGTCACCTTGTTGCCCAATGAACGCTCTCGGCCACCCGCCTTCGGGGATGGGCTGGCAGCCCTGCCAATCCCAAACCCCGTGCATTTTTAAATTTCGTCACTCATACTTGTCTATACTTTAAATCTTTCACTCAGTCCATACTTTTAAAGTCCACTCATCTTTTCGCCTGGATCGGTGTGTGTGTGTGCACGTATATGTCCGTGCCTGTATGCGCCTGTGTGACCCCTTTTAGTCGCCTCTTACGATAGGCAGGGGATACCGCAGCCGTATTCTAAGCCCCCCTAGCCACAGGGGGTCTTCGCATCTTAAAAATTAGAACTACCAACTACTTAACTTAAATTTAGTAACCTAGACTAAAACTAGATAGCGCATCGAAAGCTTGTGGTGCTAGTCGCTACAAAATACATATTTCTTTTTTTCACAATAGTATCATTACAATGAATAACACATATGTGAACGTGCATATTTATATTATGGTCTTTTCGTAGATTTTCCACTACTCATATATTTTTTATCACCGTGTATAAGACCACGAGGTGAAAAAGTAAGTAGAGAGTGGCAGTATGTACATTCATGACAAAGAGTCACCTGAAACACCCGAGATGAACAAAACAAGTTATAATATCAAAGTTTGAGCAGTAGTGGCGACAGTGACGGTATTATAAAAAACACTAACGGTTAGATTACATTAGAAAAAAAACTTATTCAGAATAACTTGGTGGGTGCAATTTGAAGCAGTAATTACTTGCTGAGAATATTGCCATTTCTGAAAAAGAAAAATATGGAAGCAGAACCTTTAGAACTTGAGGAAGGCGAAGTTATTGATGATGAGGTCAGACATTTTATACTTTCATGTTTGACAGAAGTCTAACCTGTTGTAATCATGAAGATATTGTGTTTTAACTTTAAAGTCTGCAATTGTATAATATTAGTTTAATGTGAATTATATTGATTTATCTGTTCAATTTTTTTTGCACTCTGTAATCTTTTAATAATATTTTATAAATAATTATTAAAATAACTTGTTTATTCATTAATAAAGTATGTTTATTATTATGAATTTTTTTATTTAGGCAAGCGACATTGAAACATATAATGTTTTAAAAAGACCTCATGAATTTTTAAATAAAGAAGAACACGTAAAAATGGGCTATAGTGACGAGTCTGATGATTCCGCAGATTCCGAAAGTGATTCCGATTCTGATTCTGGACATACTAGAAGTAAAAGGCCCAAATTAAAACTAAAACGGTCTAAAAATTTAACTAAAAATTGGGAGGGCAAAAATGATAAATATAAAATATGGTGTACTCAGCTGCAAGAAGAATCTTTAACAGAGGACTTAGTATTATGTGGTGTAACAAAAAAACAAAATCAAGAACGTAGTGTTGAAAGTTACAACATTCCGCACCATTATTCTTCTAATGGTAGGTGGAATATGGATCATCGTAATAACAATAGTTCAGAAGATGAAAAAGATAGTGAAAGAAGATTAACAAATAAAAGAACAAACTCTGATAGAAGTAATATTAAATTAAGATTAGGAAAAAAACATAATTCAATGGGTACGGATAATCAAAAAGGAACTGTACGAAAAATAGCAGATTTAAGTACGACGATTGAATCAACTGATTCAGATGTAGCATCTGATATAACATCAAAACTTAACGAAAAGAAAGATCTTCTTATAAGTAAGAAATTTAATTGAATTTTACAATGTATACATATATTTACACAGTTAACCAATATATAAAGCTATTTCAATTTCTGTTTTATAGGAAGAATTGTAGATATAATTGGTAAAGAGAAAGCCATTTACTTTTTTCAAAAAACAAAGAAAATTGAAGAAGGAGGTGGTATGTTAATAATGAATGGATCTCGAAGAAGAACTGCGGGCGGTGTTTATTTATGGTTAGTGAAAAATGATAAACATATACCTCAAGAAAAAATAAGAGAAATTTTTTATTATGATAAAAAAGAACATGCTGAAGAAAAGAAAGCAGATGCTGTTGCAAGAAGACAAAAAGCACAGGAATTAATAAAATGTTTAGAAAGTAAGTTGCTTTGTTTAAATGATGTTAAGTACTTCTTTAATGAAATAATTATTTTTTATAGATGGTTCAGAAAAAGATCTTCCTGCCTTGTTAACAAAGTCAGAACTTTCTACAAGAGAAATAGCAGAAGAAGCAAGGTTAAGACGTGGTGAGGGCATGGATAGAATGCCACTGGATTCTGATCGTACAATGACTAACCCACCGCCTAGTCCTGTAACCGATGATCCTGATCATTCGGAACATCCACTCGTTCAAAGGCATGTTCAGGATTATGGAGATTTTCTTGACATTGGAATAGACATAGATAGCATGGAAGTACTATAAAATATTTTTTTGCTATTTCTTTGTAATATGTATCGCGCAGATTATTTGTACAGAACAAAGTTCTAATCATTGTACAAGGAACCACATAAACACAGATGCATGAGAGCGCGTGTGCGCACATATACACAGTGTGAATACAGTTTACATAGTTTGTATGCTTATAATATACATATACAGTTAAAAAGTTTGGAGTGTGATCGAATAGTGACCAATCCAAATCTACTGCAACGACGTTCCATATTGTGATAAAATAATTTATCAAGTGTATATACTATGATAACACTTTGTCACTTTCTCAGATTTCAGAAAACAACAAATATTTGTGTATCCCTTTTATTATGTTTCATTTAACATGTTTATATTTATTATTAAGATAAATGTAAAAAGAAAAAAGAAAAAAAAAATGAAACGTAACAAATATGAAGTTTCATAAGAGTTGTATCATTTTTATGAAATTTCTAATATTAAAAATTATTTATGTACATACAGATCACTATGAAAATAAATATCAGACTATTTGTACTTTGTATAACGTATCGTATAGATTATCTCATATACACAGTTTTATTTACTATATTACGTATACAAATGTTTTGGTTTTTAGTAATTAATCACGTTCATATAAATATTGATATTTTAATAATATTTTAATTCTTATTAAAATTGGATTACAAAAAGAACTGATATCTTATAGGAAGTAATACTTTATTTTAGTATTTTCTTAAAATAAATACTGCCTTTATTTATTCAAAAATAAAACAAATAAATAATAAGACTTCAGTATAAACTTACATCATCTTTTCTAACAACAGAAGAAGCGTTTGACATCTTTCTTTTACCTACAGAAAAATTTGAATGTTAATTACATACATATGTTATAACGAAATATACAAAATAACATAAGAGAACTTACTTGATCAATTGTACGATTTCCTAATGTTTTACTAACCATAGCTAATGAATTTTCAGAATATTCCTTTTTAATAGTTTGCAGTAGTATCATATCCTCTTGCCGTGTCCATGGTTCAGCATTTACATTAATATTTAAATTAACAGTATTTCTTATTTCATTAGATAAATTAATTTTATTTACATTATTATCTAACGCATTAGCTTTTACGTATGCTGTGTCCTCTGTTATCTCTTTTGCAGAATCTTTCGAATCTTCACACGAAGATTCATTAACTTTCACATACTCAAGATCGTATGAATTCGTGTCTTTCACTTTCATATCTTTATCAATTTTCTTTTCCTTTTTATTCTTACATTGTGTTATACGTATTCTTTTAGTATTTACATGCATATAATCTATCTCGCTAACTGATCTCTTCAAACATCTCTTTTGATCTCCAGATTTTGATGGAGACTTTATATTTTTCTTAGATTTCACTATTAGTTTTCCTCCTTCTTCATTTTCTTTAGTAGATGAACTTTTTGACATTAATTGTTCATCAGAATGGAATTCATTTTTGGAAGATTTTCTTCGTTGTCTAGAGGAAATAGATGGAACGAATTTGTCAACCGTTTTTAAAGATACACGAGCAAGATTTTCTAATTTTTCTTCATCAGCTCCAGGAAAAATAATTTTAGCAGGCCTTAGACCTTCGGATGTTTGAAGATAAATTTTGCCATTGAGAAACTGTTCAAATAATTAAGTAATATTAATTATTAATTTTTGTATTTACCACTATGTAGCCTCAAATAATAATAATAATAATAATAAAAAACTGTTCATTTTTTACGGTTCATGAATAATAATTTTCGTTGTGTTACATATTTGAAGCTACTTCAATAAGTTAAATAAAAAAAATAATAATTTACCCTTGTACCACAAGATACACAGTGTTCCGAAATATTCTTAAAAGTAGTGTCATCGCCGCTATGGCAATTGCATCTGCAGTTTTCTCCGCCATAAGGATCTTCCTGAGATGCTAACACAGATAATTCAACGTTTTCATATAATTCTGCGGCGTCTTCTGTATAAACTTTATTTTTATCATATGGCCCCATTGGACATGTTAAATTTTCAAACATATGCGATGCAAATAAACTAAAAAATAATAAGATGTGTTAAACACTCATACCTTTAGTTTTTTATAGCATAATATACAAATCATTTTTATACTTAATTACATTACAAGCACTACCTTTCTGGTGGTTTCGCGGTAGGTAATATTTGTAAAAATAAATCCATAACTAATGGATGTCCTTTAAGTATAGGATTCATGGCTGTATGAACATGTTCTAAAGTTGTTTGAGGATCAGATGAAAGTTGTGTAATAGCTTGCATTATTTTTGCAATACGAGAAGGTTGTTTAGCAAAATATATTTGAACTACATTAATAAATTCGCTCATTTTTTGAAGCATTATATACTCCACTGACTTATCTATCATTGCAGCTTGATGCGGCTTTAAAAATAACAAAAAGTCTGTACAAAGCTCAGGATATTCGTGTAATTTTTCACACACATTCCGATATAAATTAATAGTAATTGCGTCTTTATTCTTTGCATTTATTTCATTAATTTCTTCATTCTGCAAAGACTGTGATGTACTAGAAAAGGGTAGCTCATTTTCCATTTGATTAATACTCTCCAATTTTTCATAATAATCTAAATATAATTTTATCACGGATCGAAAGATTTCTGGATTACTAAATTCTAATGTTAAATGCAATTTTTGAAGATACGATGCTGCAAATTCTGTATAAAATGACAAGTTATTAATGTTTTATTAAAATGTACTAAAATCATTAGCATAACTAGGATTCTTTTCTGAGGTGAGCTAGGTCGTTTAGTTTTATTAATAGTGTCAAATGTTTAATACTGTTTAATTCTAATAGTAATACGAATTTCACAAAATAAGAACATTATTATACGCTTTGTTTTTAAAAACAAGATCTCAAAATAATGAGAGAACCAGTTCACAAGGTTGGGTGAGCAAGTCCCTACCTAGTTACGCCAATGATTAATATCAATATGTACAACATACTTGATCCTCTTGCTTCTTCATTTAATGGATTTTCAGATTCAAGAAGCCTTTTAATATTTTCTAATTCTCTAGCTTCTTTAGCTTTCTTTCTATTAATAGAATCTTTTTTTATAGTGGTACTGGCTAACATTAATTCTGCTATTTCCTCCTCACTATCCTGTAAGAAAATAGAAAATATTTGAAACTTTTACTTTATTCGAGTATAATAAGAAATACTCTTACCTACAATTTTTGGCAAGCTTAACACTTTCTCTGAGTTTTTATCTAACTCGCTTTTCTCTTTGGTTTTTAAAGTATTATAATTAGATGATAATCCTTTCGATCCTAAAACTTGGGCCATTAACTTCATATTTTGAGCACTTCTTGTCTTTGCTAATCTAGGCGTAGTCTTTCTTAACGGAGGTAACTCTTGTACCACGTCAGATTTTTTAGAAAGTTTACTACTTTTTGAATTTAGAAATTCGTCGTTTTGAACGATTTCAATATTTTCATCTATGTTTTTTTCTTTATCGTTTTCTGTGATTGTGGTTTTCGAAAAATTATTTTCATGTAATATATGCTCTTTATTACATACCATATCAGAATGATGTAATACAGCATTTGTTTTATTTGTTGGTGTTTTTGTCAGGTCATTAGAGTAAGTATTTTCATTTACTTTTGAATTGTCTTCTGTTATAGCTTTACTTTCTGTTTTTTTATTGATATTTGCAGGTAATATCTTTGGTAATTCATTAACATTTGGGTTACATAAAGATTGAGTATTGGAAGTAGCGGTGAAATTTTTATTATTTTCGCTTGTTGAACAATTCTTTTTCACAAGATCGTTATATGAATTCAATATATGTTTTCGTTTAAGTAAATCAATTTTTTGCTCTGTCTGTGTAAAATCATATATATGTTATTTTTGTATTGAAATGTTTAAAAATTATTATTTCTTATACTTAAAAAAATTGTATAAAAAATATATTCATTAAATAGAAAGAAAATATATAAGATACTTAATTAAGCTTATCACTTACATTATTAAGATAAGTTTGCCATTCTACGGGTAAAAGATTTATTGGTTGATCTTTAGGTGCTCTAAGATCGCATTCTAACGTTATGTAATGTATTGTTCTAGGAGCAGAGCCTTTTTCGAAATAATACTGAAACGATATTTTTAGTTTTTAAAATTTATCTCGTAAATTGTATGTTTATAAGGAAGAAAAAGGGCTAAAATTACCTTTATTGGATTCGCTTCTTTCGCATAACGCCTTTTTTGAACATGAAAAAGAACTCCTTGAGGTTCTCTACATGGTACTAAATACTGAATAATTAATTGAATTGCATCTATAAATTGAGCCTTTTTACTTTTAAATTTTCTTGGCTTTGATGCAACAAAAGGGATAAACTGTTCTAAACCTAATGCGATTAAACTAAAAATAGAGTTTCAATTAATTGTGATTTAATTTTTATCATGCGTATCATTGTACTCACTTTTCTTCAGATTTTAGGTACGGAGAACGTACGAATTTCATTAATTCACTTCGAAAAGGTATTTGAGGTAAAAGTTGCGGATACATTAAAGCTTTACTTTCTAAAAATAACTTTTTTAAATCGGGATGAAATTTGGGAACGTATTTCCATTTATTTGATTGATATATCTTTTTAATTGCATCCTCATCTGCAAAAGTTTTTTTAAAATCTTCGTAGAATTTATTATCCAAAAATTTATTTTCCCAATCAGACACTAATTTTAAAGCATCTGGTAAATTTGTTGCATTAAATGCAGAATTAGGACCATTGCTTAAATACCTAATATAATATATAAAGTGTAAATAAACATATATTTTACGTGTTAATAAGCTGTTTAATTATAAACTTACTTTACACTGTTTATAAGCTGCTTGCATGTTTTTGAATGTGCATGTAAATCTGGATGCATGTATGTCATAGCAAAATGTTGTACAGTTAACTGAACATGTTGCTGAAATTGAATTGCTAATAATTCTCGCTGCTCAGAATTTATTAAATTAGGAATCTCAGGCTCTTTATAAGCAGGTAGTAAGTCTGTTACAGAACAATTCTAAAACAGAACAAATTACATCTCTAATTAAAAAACATAACTACTTGTAATTAAAACGTAAATACATTACTTTCCATACCATAATATTATTTTCAGCAGAAGAATTTATATTTTCTGACGACTTTCTTTTTTTTGAAATTTCCTGTTCTTCTTTCGAGAAGGCATCAGTAAATTCGAATAATTCTGCGATCAAGTTATTTAATTCCTTCCGGGTAACTTTTACAGCTTTATCAGCTCGTAGTTCTTCTTTATCAACTATAAATATAATATTTTAATTATTTTGATAATACGTACTATTTAAAAAAATTTACGATGCCCAGTATATTTACATACGAAAATCTGTTTCTTCATCTTCTAAAATATTATATTCTGGATCTGCTTCTGGATCATCTTCTGTTGTAGGTTCTTGAGTTAACGGTTGAGTGAATTCTTTTAAAAAGTTATCCCAATCTTCATCTACCTCACAATCCCAATCATACATATCAGTCGTTATATCAGGTGGTATAAATGCCTGTTCAATCTGTTCTAAAGGTGTTTCACTCAAGCAAAGTTTTGAACGTGTTCTTTGACCAATACTTTCTTCTTCTGTTGGAACATGAGGTATACTAAAACATATGCTTACATGTAATTATAATTTTACTATAATCATTTATTTCTATATAATTATATTGATTAATGATTTACTTTGGAATTTTAAAAATTCCTTCTGGATCGTACTGAACATTCGATGATTTATCTTGTTCAACTCCAAATGTATCGCATTGATTTAACGGTGTTAATGGTTGAGACTCTACATCGCTATTTGTAGAATTTTCTGCTTCTCTTTCATCATCACTTTGTTTATCTTGTTCTGGATTGTACTCTTCATCAGAAGAATCTTCTGGTAATTCTTCTTCAATAAGTACTTGTACTTCTGATGAAGCTTTTTTCACTGAAGTTATTGGCCATGGTATATTAACTTGAGCTGCTGCTAATTCTCTGTATTAAAATATTTTCAATTAAAAAAAATATTTAGCATGGTCATAAAACATACAAGACATATTTCATATAATCATACTTGGCCTTTGCTCTTGTTAATTTTGGTTCAAAAAGTACATCATCTTCTGTATCATAAAGACGATTTTTAACCATTGCCATTACATGTTCATTGGTAATAACATGCTTTAAGATATTCTTTACATTGGTAGCTGTAAGATTAATTTTAGCTGCTTTAGCATCAAGTTGCCTTTCAATTTCTTCTTCCATCTCATTAATGACTGAACAAGTTTCTTCAACAGCATCTCTTTTATGTTTACTTGAAGGCTCATAATTGTCAACTTCAGAGACGTCAATTTGTAAGTCTGGAGTTTCAGAGTCAGACGATTCATCATTGTTCACATCATCAAAATCAAAGTTAAATGAAAACGACAGATTACATTTTTTTGGAGATTCATTTAAAGAAACAGAAGAACAATTCAGATTTACTTCTTTCTCAACAATATTTTCTTTTGTAGATTCTTCCCTAAAATTAAAATCCTAATTAATGCTTGTATTATATTATATAGAGCATGTTATATATTTTTATAAGAAATATTTGGAGATTGTCTGATATGGGTCCCATGGTATAGAATCTAACCTAACTTATTTTTGCGTGTATGATTGTGTACGTCATTTATTTTTATACGGTACTCTAATATGCATGGGACCCATATCAGACAACAGCCAAATATTTAAATAATTACGTACATTTTTTAGCAAACTTTGCTGATAAATAATACCGGAGTAATCACTCTCATACGTTTTCTATCATACTTTTGATTACAAAATCTCACATAATACATAACAGTGTTCCGAAACAAGAGAACACTAGCGCCGCCTATCGGGAGGTGGCGGAAACTACAAGACGACTTACCGACTGCCGAAGGAATGGTCGATAAGTCGGTAACTCGTCGAGTAGTTTGCGCCGTTTTTGTATAGATGGCGCTGCTATCGAAAACAGGAACTCACCCTCCTACCAGGTAATTTAATATTATCTACAATGTCATTTGTGTGAAGAAAAGAAAATTCATGTTATCGCGATTTCCCATAAAACTATTTTTCATAAATCAATTAGAAAGTGAAATTAACGGAAATACATAAACTATTATTGTCCATTTACATACCTTAATCACCCCTCTAGAGGTGGAAGATAATATATAAAGAGACGTTCTAGCGCTTGAGATAGCTAGTTTTCTTTTCAAAATTTCGAATTCGTACATTAGGCAAGGACTAAGTGCCTTAGTTATTAATTTACGGAAAATAAACATAGTTTAATTTATCGTTTGATATTTGCAATTGAAAATGAAATTTCTAATCTTTCTTTTTTTAACTGCTTTTGCAATAACAATCTTTGTCGAGGCGCAAGATATTTCGAATCTTTTGAACGATAGACGTTACGTGCAAAAACAAATTAATTGTATTTTGGGTCAAGGCCATTGTGATGTTGTGGGAAGGAAAATCAAAGGTAAGAAATGAAATTAAAATAACTAATTCAAGTAATTTTTCTTGTATCACGGAAAATTAAACTAAAATATGTGTTATGAATTCAATGGCACTTGATCTTTGAAAGATGGATGTTCTCTGACTGCGACGGATATTCTATTTAATTACTTATTACATACATAATACTTATTAAATGTTAATAATAGATTTCAATGAATTTTTGAATAATTTTCATTACAATTTGTACAGAGTTATTACCGGAAGCTTTGAATAATCATTGCCGTCGTTGTACACCTCGACAAATGGCACACGCACGCACATTGATCGCATTTATGAAAGAAAATTATCCAAACGAGTGGCATATTATTGTACAACGTTATACAGCAATGCCGTATTATAAAAATTACAGAAGAACTTAATAAAATGACAGTAACGAAGGAGGAGCGTCGTATTCTACTGATAAATTTTGATGGACCTTGAAACGAACAATAAAATATTAACAATTTCATATTAACAATTTGTTTTCTTTTACTCTTTTTTCTATCAACCCCTTCAAAAATTTGAACAAAATAATTTGTATAGAACGAAGGTTCTATCCCTTAAGGGATACCTGTACGATAGAAAGCTTCGACAGTCAGTTTTTCGCAATATAGATAGTTGAAGGATAAAAAGTTAGCTGAAATCATGATACGACCAGCATATTAATCAATGCGATGATTCTAATGTCGAAACTTACACACATAACATGAACCAGATATTCTATCATATAGTAGAAGATTTAGCAACTTCATGTTGCTTCTACGTATGTACATATGTATGTTACTAACATCATATCGTGATATGATACTTTATTATATTTAAATAAAAATTCGAACACATATGTAAGTAGGTATTGTAAGAGCGTATTGTTGAGAAAAAAGAAATATTGCTTCATAAGAGGAAATGTTTTGTAGGTCACGAACAAAATCGACAGATCGTCAGCAAAATTTCAAGTAATAACCAATAATAAATCAATCTTGTGTAATAATCGGATACAGAACATTTACTTATTTGAAATTGAATAAAATAAAACAATACACAGCGCATTGTATAGATTAGTGTGCTTGTTACCGGCTCGCCTCTACTCTACTATCAACGATTCATTCAAACCACTATTTTATTTCCATTCAGCCAAAAGTACTCGTTGTAATACATTACACATTAATTAATTCGAAATAAATCAAATACATTTGTTACCTTTTCAATGAACACCTATTCTTTGTATCTTAATAACGTCGTTTGACAAGGATCGTTTAAAAATACGTACATATACAATATCCTCGAGTAACATGTATATCCACTCCCCCCAATATCCTCTGCGTTCAGCTACATATATAATTCGGTAGCTTACTCGACGGTTACAAACAGCATTTTACTTTCCACGCTGGAGGATACTTTTCAAAGAGAATTCATTCGGTCTTTCTTGTTTTGTTATCGTAATTCCATAGAATAATTTCTAATTATTTCTGCTGCTGCTGCTGCTGCTGCTGTACCCCATTTTTATTTTTTCAAGTTAAGAATTGGTAAAGACATATTCGCCACAACATGAAAGTTTACTTTCTGCTATTCAGCTTAATTGTAACAAGTTGTGTAGCAGTTGAAAAATATCCAAGTAAATACGACGACGTCGACGTTGATAGGATACTTCAAAATGGACGTGTTCTTACCAATTACATTAAATGTATGTTGGGTGAAGGGCCTTGTACCAACGAGGGTAGAGAACTGAAAAGTAAGTACCAGTTATTTAATTTCATACAAGTCCTGATTTTATACTTGCAGTATTTGTATTTATATTTGCAGTTACATTTACCACTTTCGTATTTTTTATGTTCCAAACGAGCAAAATCAATCGGCCTTAAAGCGAAATGTATGTTAAACAAATAAATTTTCTTTTTTACATAAACGTTAATGTTTGGACATATACGAAATTTCTACGTACATTTGCTGCAACGATTACGACAGAGTTCAACTTACTCTCCCTCTTTTTATTACGTAACTTGAACTTTCTCGTACGGATTACATCGAACTTTCTTAAATAACATTCAAGTTCTGGTTATATGTATTTAAACGTAAAATCATTTTTTATTTCTCCTTAAATATATGTAAGATTTCTTAACTAATTTGTAAATTTATCATTTTAGGAACATTACCAGATGCGTTGTCTACGGGTTGCAGTAAATGTAATGAAAAACAGAAAATTACTGCAGAAAAGGTAATAAATCATCTCAGAATTAAAAGGCCTACAGATTGGGAACGACTTACTGCAAGATACGATCCTAATGGGGAATACATGAAGCGTTACGAAAATACCCAAGCTGCCAAAAAGACATAAATTTGTTATTTATAAATTTAATATTAAGAAATACGATTTAATTTGTATAATTAAAATAATTAAAACATACATGTAGTTTGTAATGTTCAAAAGGACACATAAAATTCTTTAGGGATTTTATATTAGGTGCCAAATTGAACCAAATTTTTTTATTATTTCGTACATTAATGTATTAGATATAAGAAACCTATAATAAAAAATACGAAAGTGGTAAATGTAACTGCAAATATTAATCAATTAATTTGTTTATGTTAATTTAAAATTCCCAACATCAAACATCGAAGGAAATTGGTATTTTTAACGCGAAACGAAAATTAATTCGACGTCTTTCATCAATTACGATTTTGAATTTAAATATTTTCCCTTGGGTTTTTATGCATTTGAAATACTATCGATAAATGAAGCAATAATAATGACCATAATTTTATAGATGTTCGCGAATAAAGTACATTTGTTTTAAAAACCTACTTAAGAATAAATTCATATTTTTAATGAAATGTTTAAGTAATATTTATAATTGAAAAACGGTACTGTTTAGATTATATTCGAAATTAGGAGTAGAATTACAGTTTTAAAGTTCATTCAACTCGTCTCTTCTTAACAAGCGATCCAAGCTGAAAAGAAAAATCATTCATTTTTAATACTCGGATAATTTATAAAAGTATAATTAAACATTCATATACCAAACTTACAAGATCTGAAATTGCAGGCAAATTATTAGTCTGATCTGTAACATTTGTCTCTGGTTCTCTAGTTTCCTTTGTCGGAGCAGCTTTTTTCATATTTCTGTGTTGCGGGAATGTAGGCATAAGCTTAGGATCACATGCTATAAAAAAGAATCATATTTAGTACATAGTAATTCATTTTTAATCGATAAAGTATCGTGGAATGAACATTTTTTTGTATTACTCACGTAAAGGGGCTTCTTTAAAATAACTGCTTTGTAAACATTCTTCTGCAGTAGCTCTTTTCTTTGGATCATACATAAATAAGAAATTTAATAATCTTAAACCGGCAGCACTTAACCATGGAAATCTCTGTTTTAAATTATTATATGGTTGTTGCTTCAATGTAAAGTTTTGTAATGCTGGAAGTGTATTAAATTCTGGCCAAATTGCTTCACTTGGAGTACCCAATAAGTCAACGATCAATTCCAGTTGCGCAATTTCCGATCGTCCAGGTAATAAAGGTCGATGTCCAAGTAATTCCCCTAATATATAAACAAAATTGCATTACAATAAATTATCTACTACATATGAATAAAAGAAACAAAAATTATTCACCCAAGATACATCCAGCAGCCCACATATCGACAGAAGTTGTTTGAGTTTTTGCTTGTAACAATAATTCTGGTGCTCTATACCATAATGTTACTACTCTTGGTGTCATTGGTTTTAAAGGTAAACCAAACCACCTAGCTAATCCAAAATCAGCAATTTTTACACATCCTTTATCAGTCATTAGAAGATTTGACACTTTCAGGTCTCTGTGTACAATAAAATTGTGATGCAGATAACGTAAACCCTTTAGTACTTGCAAAACAATACATTTGACTTGACTTTCTGAAAATGGGGCTTGCATGTTATCTAATAAACTTGCCAAGTCTTGTTCACAATATTCCATAGCAAGAAATATGCTTTCTAAGCTTCTTCCTACAACTACTTCTCTTAAGTGTACTATATTTTCATGACGACACGATAAAAGTACTGATATTTCTCTTAAGCCGCTAACTGGTAAACCATCTTTCTCATGCTCCATTCGAACCTTCTTTAGAGCTACAACTTTATCATTTTTAGTATCTCTTGCTCGATAAACGATACCATATGTGCCTTCTCCTATACGATTTAATTTTTCAAATTCAGACACAAATCTACATTTACCCAACTATAAAAAAGAAAAATAATGTAGCTATATAAATAAAGTCATATGGAAGTTGAATTATGATATAAATAAAATCTTTACAATATCTTGTTCTGGTATTTCCATAGGTTTGCCAGTTAAAAATGATGTCAGTACTCCTCTTCGAGTTATCGGTGCTGATGGATCTGGACCACTTTCAGATATAGCTTTTTTATCAGTATCATTGTTTTCTACTGATTTTTTGTCCAAAGTCTCGTCTAAAACAATATTTAGAATTTATACAAGTTATTTATAAATTTACATTTTTTGTAAACATGTAATAAACAGAAAAATACATAACCTATTCTATTGATATTTGTATCATAACCATAATAAAATAAAATCATACCTTTCGTCATTATGATTTATTTTCTTTTACAAAATATTATTTTTGGGATTATATTTATTCTTCTTTTGAACATTCGTGTTCAAAAAACAGATATATAAAAACAATTAATTACCCTTAAACATGACCATTAATACACTATTATATGTACCATACACTTCGATGCTCGGAATCAATTCAAACTTTGACGAGGAAAGGGGCAACAGCGGGGAATGTGTCGCTATCGTTAGACCTGATACTCAATAGTTTGCAAACATTATACCTAGTTCACAAGAGGCGTTTTCGTAAATTTCATTACATAGAACAAAATTTTCTCAAGTAAATGGTTATTTGTAAAAGCAATCTGACTCGATAATAATAAGTATATGCGGGATAGATAATTTAAATGAAAACATTTAAATAGATAGTATTAATTTATCGATAGTACTTTTAGGTTAACTCGTAAGAAAATCACCCTGTATGTATATATATACGTAACTTATTAGTTCAATGAATGTAAATGTCAGTAATACATACATAACTGTATTCTTTTTACAAATATACACCTGCGTCAAAATGGCAGACATCTCATTCTCTAGTCGTGCATATTGTAAGATTATTTTGCATGCAGCTAAATATCCTCATTGTGCAATAAATGGCTTATTGTTAGCCAAACAAAATAATAAAACCGATGGAAAATCCGGTGAATTACGTATTGAAGACGCAATTCCATTGTTTCATATCTGCCTTCATGTCTCACCTATGGCGGAAATCGCGTTGACTATGGTAAATATTTGAATACTCTAGTACAATTAAGAGATTATTAGTATAATCGTTCAAACTTCCAATAAATTAAAAAATTTAATAAAAAGAAATTACATTTATTTGTAAAAACGAAAATAAAAATACTTTCAGGTTGACCAATATGCTGGTAGCAAAGGTTTAATACTTGCAGGTTATTACTTTGCAAATGAAAACATAAATGATTTAAGGTAATTTATTTTTATGAAACATTTCACATAACTTTTAAAAGTTTATAATAATAATAATTTAATTTGTTTTCTTAATACTGTTTCTTTCACTTTAGTACAGATAAACCTGCTCATAAAATAGCAGACAAAATAGCAGAAAACAATGGCAATGCTTTACTTGTTGCAGTAAGTGTTTCGTTAATACATTGAATGCCATAATGGTCATGATGACTTGTATTTTACATTTTGAATAATCAAATAAGTAACAAAAGAAAGGAGATTAGAAATGTTGAATAGCATCAGTATTATATTAATAATGGAAAAAATCAGTTTAGAAAATTATATTTGAACATTACCTGATTGTATCCTTAATAATTATAATTTTAATACAGCTGATTATATATGTTCATTTTCTTTTTCTTTTATCAGGTGGATAACAAGGAAGTAACACTCAGTATGAATTCAAATCCATTAAGAGTGTCACAGTATATAGATGGCAAATGGAAACTCAAAGATATAACAGAGTAATTCATTTAGCTATTTATTTAAATTAATGCTTCATAATTTTTTGCTCACAAATGATACTTTGTCCTGAGTTACTTTTACTTCTGGACTCTAATAGCTTATTTAGCTGGTAATAGCAGAAGACAGAAAGAAAACCCAGGAGGGGAGTATTGCTTATGAGCAAGAAATTAGGCAGTTCTAATTTAAATATTTAAATTTTTATGTTTAATAAAATACTTTTATGTTGTAGTGTATATTATGATAAAGGAGTAATGTATACAGATGCACTATATTCTTTACTAAAAGCAGAACATTATAAAAATCTTATAGATTTTGATAATCATCTTGATGATATTTCTCTTAATTGGCAAAACTACAAGATTAACAAGATTATAGATGAAATTGTGGAAAAATACAAATAAAGACATTTAATTGAAACATCATTTTTTGTGAATAAATTATAACAAAGCTTTTTAAATGCATTTAGAAATATTTAATGTAAATAAACTTATAAATAAAAATTGATTTGGGAGTAGTGACATGAAATAAAAATATTAAATCCAATTAATTTAAATTTCCTGCTTGTCTATACAACCAATTTAAAAGAACGAGGCACAGATCACCATTAAAGGAATTTATGTCTCTTATTGTTACAAGAAGTATTGCGACACGGTACAGGATCAAGAGGGTATACTACGCACCCATCGATTGACCCCCCTGGTTTTACACGAACCTAATTAGTAGATGTGATAATTTGACCAATCACATTGCCTTATTCTCATGAGACTTCTTATGATTAGTGGACAGTAAATGCATACGTATTTCTATTTCTAGCCCGTGAATTAAAATATAGTGTTGAATATTCGAGGTTAGAATACATGGAAATTGTAAAATAATTTGTATTTCATTATGACTTGTTTATTAACACAGCATAAATTTGAATGCCGGTAAGCTATTAAAATATTGGATATATATTTTAATTTTAGTAAAGTTTTAATGTTTAATATCAATAAAAATGAGTTGCACAAAATTTTATTTAATAACAAAATAAAATTGTTTATGCAGCGTCAGTTCAGTTTTAAACAAGAATAATCGGTTATATGGAAGAAATTATATGTTTGACAATTCTCCTGATACATGTTGGAACTCTGATGCAGTAAGAAAATATACTTATTTTAATATTTTCAAAATTTACTTTAAACTAATAGATTTTTAAATATCCTAATAATAAGTAATAAATGTTTCAATAAATTTCAGAATTTATATACTATTGAAATATATATTTTAGGGAACACCACAGTGGATAATTATTAATTTTGAACAAGAATGTGAAGTAAATTCATTTGAAATTGAATTTCAAGGAGGATTTGTTGGCAAAAATTGTCATCTAGACATTGGTTATAAAAATACGGAATTTTTTGAATCATTTTATCCAGAAGATAAAAATACATTACAGAAATTTTATTTAAAGAAATCGGCAAAAGCAAAATCGTTTAAATTTGTGTTTAATGAAAGTACTGATTTCTTTGGTAGAATAATCATATATAAATTAGCTTTGTATTTATAAGATATATGTTATTATTTTTATAATGAAGTAAATAAAATTATTGTTTTATTTTTTACACATAATAATAATTCACTGTTATACTAACCGAAATTACTATATTAAAAACTTTATTTATGACTTTCAAGAGGCCTTAATAGTCCTCTAAACGTTATAATGAATTACTCATTTACTTTAAAATGTATTTGATCAATACATATATATATTGTAACGTGGAGACACGAGTGCCCCCCGTTACAATAGCTAAGATTTCGCCCGCCACGCGCGGGCCAGTATATATATATAATTTATATTATATCTAGGTACATGATGTACACAATAAAAATATATGCATTCTTTAAATTATAAACTATCTACATAATAAGTAATAAATAGTAAATTACAAAAATATTTTAAAAAAAAGAACACGTCTGCACTGAAACTTATATACAATGATTTCATGTAGTACTCAATATTATATGAATAAGAGAATACCTTTTTATTTGATGCATCAGTTAGCAGAAATAGCTGGACCTAGTTGTCGCATTAATTTATAACATTCTTGAAGTCTTTTTCTGTCACCTACTCTTTCAAGAGTTTTAGCAGCTTCTGCAAGCATACCAGCACGCTCTCCAGGCGAAGCCAACAACAACGCAGGCAAATGTCGACATGCTAAGCACAAAGCTACTGCATGTTCTCTTTCTCCACTGTACTGATCCTGAGAACGATCTTTTCCACAGATAATTGAAGAACGCGAATTTCTATGATGCAAACTACGGTCTAATAATATTTGAGTTTTTACTGGTGTCGCTCCTGCCATTATACGTGCTGTGGCTTCGTAAAGAAATACTCTCGCCATCGTTGACTAAAAAGTACGCGATAATTAATAAATGTTAATATGGAAAATAAATAATATTTTAAATATTCAAACTTACTGGAATGTGCTGACACAATTGTCTCAGACAAGCTAAATCACGTTGAAAACCTCCAAGTGATATATTTATATTTGATTTATCCAAATCGCCATCTAATTCTTGCCAAAATGTAGTTCGCATCTCAAGTAACCAATCACAAATCCACAATTGAGTGAGCTGAAAATAACGTATAATGATAAATACATCATCAAGATAAAATTTTAATATATTAAAGATTTTAACATTTTAATTATATGTATATATATGTATACATGTGCGTATGTAGACATATATACATATATATTACTCTATGGCGCTGACACCTGCCACAGGAGTTGCACTGTAGAAGTATTGCACAGTTATATTTCATGCAATGCAACTACAATGCACACTTGTAACAGGTAAGCAATTCACATAAATACATAGAAAAACTAAAAAATTACATAGTTCTAATTTGATTTGTTGCTCTGAATTTTGTTAAGAACTTTGAATTTTCAAATAGTGTATCTGTAAATTACAATTACAACATTTCGATATCTTACCAAAACATTTTGCAATGATTGTTGCTTGCAATGATAATAAACTAGACTCTGCTCAAGTAATATTCCTGCTTGATCAATAAAACGCATCGAAGCTGTTTTCGTAGTTGCTTTTGCTGCTTGCAAAGCGTTTAAAACAATATACGGCAATGGACTAGTATTGCTGTTATTATTACAGAGTTGATAATTTTTTTCGTAAGGAAATTTACTTTCAACAATACTCCATGCCTGTGAATCATCTTCTTTTAATCTCCAACATGCTGCTACATACATTACTGCTCCCCACCATAAGCCAATTTCATCTTCGCAATCTAGAATTTTAGATATTATAAAACAGAAAAATGAAATTAAATGCTTGTAATAAATTTATTGCGTAAAATTTATTTGTTTTTTAACTTACGGGTAGCTGTAACTTTGTTAGTGCATAAAAAACCAGCATCTACTCCAGCAGAGGACATGATAGTTTGTCCATACTCCAATATCGAGGATAAGTGAGTATCTCCTGCAGTACCAGTTAAAATCCGTAAACAATATCCAATTAAGTAATCTCTATACGCACGTGATGCATACGACAAAGGATCAGCTTTACTACTTTGAGATGTAAATTCATTATCTGATTGTTCTCCATATTGCCATTTCTGGAATGCTAAAAATTTAGCACCGTCATCGCTCATAATCCACTTGAATTTCGCTGGAATTGCGCACGATGAAAGTAACGCGCGCGCTTTACCCAGGTAATATTTATGAATAAATGGTAAAGGTGATTGTTTGAAACATAATGCAACATTGATGTATATTTCTGCCAATAATGATTTTGGCATAGATTCACCAGTGGCTTCTGCATAATTTACTGCAGAAAAAGCAAGATATAATGTTCCATTTTTAGAACCTTCTGATAAACGTAAACAAAGCATATGTTGGTAAATGATGGCTATTTCCATAGCTGATATTTCAGCTTGCTGTCGTGTAGTTTTTTCGGAAAACCATTTATGAGTGTGCAATATCCATTTCCCAATCCATAACTTATGAAGAAGCTGTCTTATGATCTGCCACATAATTGCTAGCCAAGCTTCTGCGCGTGACGATGGATACGGTCGACCTAAATATTGTAAACATTGATGCAAATCGCGATTTGCTTGGCTATATTCATTTTTTGATATATTAAATTCCGCTTGACGCCTCCATCGATGGAGTTCAAGGAACAATTTACTATCAGAAGTTAATATCGGATCGCCGTAAAGCAGTAATCTGTAAAGTCCACCGATCAAAAGTATAGCATTTGTTAACCATAGAAACACATTGCTCCAAATTGGATTTTCAACTTCTGATTGATCTGAAAAAGAATTAGTATTGTTTATTATTACATTTAACATATGTTTGTATTATAATATTGTACCTTGATAATTCAGTATCGTGCGACCGTCTAGTTTTGTATTTGCAAAATCAGAGTTGAATCTTCCAACATTATTTATGAGAAAACCCAAAGGATTAAATGCTAACAAAAGGAGCATAAATCCACAAAGTGTAAGTCTGGTATGATCTCTCATGCCTTGATTTGTTAGGACAGACGTAGAGTGAATGTTTTGTAGTACATCTGGATCATCTTTGATCGATGATGGAGAAGGTGGAGATAATGGCGCTGGTGCCGGAGATAAGGATGGTTCACTTGAATCTGATCGAGGTGGTGTAAGTTCACCACATACTAATAAATCGCGCAGATTTTGTCTTTGCGCAGCCATTTTTAATGACATGTTCTCTGATTTTAATTTTGTATTAGAATTCTGAAGAAATCTGTAATTTTCAAACTAATAAATATTTTTACTATTTTACGATGTACCTGAAAAAAAAAATTAATTAAATTTGTTAACATAATGTACCTAATATAATCAATAGTCTTTCTTAAAATTGCTGATTTATTTAACTTAGCATCCACTCCAACAATGATATTTTTCAATTCAATGATCTTATCATTGATTGATGTTCTATAACGTCGTTCTATAGCATTATGAGCACTGCGTTTTACTTCTTTCACTTTTGGTACACCTACATGAGTAGCTGTATTCAAACGATTAATCTGTACTTTATCAGTATCTAATACAACAGGAATACCTAAGTAATTAAAAATGTTTAAGTAATCAACATTATTGGCACATAATAAACAATTCAACCGATAGAATTCTTACCAGTGGTTAAAACAGTTCCATTAGCAGTATTTACTAAAGTATGTATTTGATGTGGTACAGAAGCTGAAGTAACAGCTTGTGAGCCTCTAGAATAAACAACTGATTCTGACTTGATAAGTTTAGCTGGTAAAAGTAACTGTCTTTGTTGTGTCACCGGTGCTATTGTTACAACTGGTGATGACTGAACACTAAAGTTCACATTTTGTGGAATAGCATACTGTGAACTAAATACCGTAGGTGTTTGTGTAACAGATATTCTTTGTGCTCTATTTTTCATAGATGCTATATCTTGGAGTTGTGGTTGCTGCTTTTGTTGCTGTGATGACATACAAGGAATCTGTTGCGTATTTTCTGTTACCACTGGAGTTATCATTACATTTCCATTTGGTACAGATTTAATAATATTAGGATCTTTAAAATCTTGGAATTCTTTAAAATCTTTTAATTCTTCGCTGCCATTGAAGTTTAAAAAATCTAAATCCTCTGCATCCATTGCTAGGGGATCATCCAATTGCGAGAGTAATGCATCATCGCTAAATAGGTTTTCATTTTTCAATAATTCACTTTCACAATTTGTGAGGAGATCTGTAAATAAAATATAAAAAATTCTAAAAGAAATTTAAAATACACATGAACTAATATTATTATATGTCTTACATGGCTTAAAAGTTATATTAATTCTTATATAATTCATAGCATTTCGCAGTTGAACATTATACTATTATATTATTATCCTTTATGTTTTTACTTAAATATGATTTTTTAATACATAAACACAAATAATAAATACAATGTATCATTTTTATAAGAAGAAAAGGTTCTTAATACTATAACATGTATAATAAGAATTAAAAGGAAATATATTATAAATAGTGTCAATTGTATTTTAAGGATAAGAGAAGGTTTGATATTTTACTATATTACATTTGAAATATAATGATACAATTTAATTTGATAAATACTACATGCAACATACCATCGATACCAGTTACTTCATTTAAATTGAAGCTATCGTTTGACTGAAAACTAGAAAAATCATTATCCTGTGTCGATGACCATCTTCCAGGATCTGTCATTGTGGGCTATTGTATATTAAATATCTATTTTCATTAAATAAATACAATGATTAAAACAAAATGACACGCTTATATGTCAAACGTAATAACTCACAAATTACGAACGATCACCCGACCTTTACAGCATCCAATCACAGAACTTCTGAAGATCGGATGATATTACGTCAGTTTGTGTTACTAAACTAACAAAATTTATTGCAAAATGTGGACGCATTCTAATGAAGACAAATATTATGAATATTTTCATGAAACATTTTGCAAATAATTTTTTGAGCTATTAGTTTATTCTTAAGTTTTGAAATCTTGTACTTAAGAAAAAACAATTACAATGTAAATTTTCTTTGTAATTATGTAATTTAATTTTAAATTATTAAAATAAAAAGATTAAAAATTTTAAATAAATAAGGCACAAACATTTTAATCATTGATGTAATTGCTTAATTTATATTTTTCATGCCGGAGACTATAGTATATTATATATATATATATATATATTAAATCATAATTATGTATTTATAACGCACATGCGATATATATATATATATATATATTATAGTTACAGAAGATTATAAATTGCAACTATATAATAAGAATGATCATTTGCTTACAGTCCATAAGCATAATTAATATTACTTTATATCATAAAGTTCCTTTTTTTATTGGATTTTTATAGGTTATTTGAATGTTGATGCTCACATGCAAATAATCATGTTCCAAGTTTTTCGTAAGTCAAATCAAATAAAAATATTGACCGTTTGCAATTTTCATTCCGCGGTAAGTTGCATTCAACATTAACCCAGACATTTTTTATTCATTATTTATACATACTTGCTATTTGTTAAAGCACTTACAATGCGTCAAAGAAAAAACGTTTTCCCAAAAATTAGAGAATGGACCTGATTTTAAAGATTTTATTACTGGCGACTTCAAAGAATATGATGGAAAATTAAAATTAGAAAAAGGAGATAAATCTCGTTTAAGATTACCACCGTGGCTTAAAACACAGATACCAGTGGGTAAAAATTACAGTAAACTAAAATCACAATTAAGACAATTACGATTAAGTACTGTATGCGAGGAGGCACGGTGTCCCAACATTGGAGAATGCTGGGGAGGCGATAAGCATGGGACAGCAACTGCTACTATTATGGTTTGTAGTACCATAGCAATACATTATGTTACTTTGTATCAAATATAAAATTGTCATTCGAAATTTCAAAACATATTTTTTTGTTACTATTTAATAATTGTATAAAGTAAAATTTTATTTTCACAAAAATTTACTCAGTTGCTGCACTCCTCTTGAATAACAGTTTAATTTTATTCAAAAAGGTTAATTAATAATATTACGAAAACATAATAGTGGAAAAAAATTTAATATAGTTAATGGGAGACACATGTACCCGTGGTTGTCGTTTCTGTTCTGTTAAAACATCACGTACACCATTACCATTAGATCCAGAAGAACCAATAAATACAGCAACTGCGATAACAGATTGGGGTTTGGATTATGTTGTACTTACATCTGTGGACAGAGATGGTTAGTAAATGTTTTTATAATTTATGTAGTATTTTAAGTTATAATAGTAAATTAAAATTATATATTTTAATAGATCTGAACGATGGTGGAGCTAATCATATTGCAGAAACAGTTAAATGTATTAAACAAAGGTATGTAAATTATTTTAATTTTCTATTGTTATACTGTTCCTGTTATTATAATCTAATGTTAATTAAACTTGACATACATTTTTGTAGGAGCAGTATTTTAGTAGAGTGCTTGATACCAGATTTTAGAGGTGATGAAAATTGTATTGCAACAATTGTTAATTCTAATCTTGATGTGTTAGCCCATAATATTGAAACTGTTGAACGATTAACTCCATTTGTTAGAGATAGACGAGCTCAATATAGGTAACAAATCTTTAGTTGATTCTTTATCTGTTTAATAAACATAAAAAACTTACATATTCATATACTATTTTAGGCAGTCAATAAATGTCTTAAAGACAGCTAAAAAATTAAATCCAGATTTAATTACGAAATCATCGATAATGTTGGGATTGAGTGAGACTGATGAAGAAGTTGAACAGACCATGAAAGATTTGAGAGATGTAGGTGTAGATGCTTTAACGCTTGGACAATATATGCAACCTACAAAAAGACATTTAAAAGTTATTGAATATGTCACACCTGAAAAATTTAAAAAATGGGAACAATTAGGAAATGAATTAGGGTTTTTATACACTGCTAGCGGCCCATTAGTGCGTTCTTCCTATAGAGCTGGCGAATTCTTCTTAACAAATATATTAAAAAAGCAAAGAAGTAATAAGATCGAGAAATAGTAAATATATTTATGAAAATATTATTTTGTTGTGACTATCATGAAAATGATTGTTTATATATATATATTTTTTTTAGTATAAATTATTGTAAATTTGTGCATAGAAATGTGTTGTTATTAACGCGTTGATTGCTGCCACTTAGTTGGAAAATTATCTCCGTGTAAAACAAAAAAGTATCGTAGTTATGTATGTGAAATAGCAGTTTCATGAAAATCAATTATATACATTGGCGTAACTAAATATGTAGGAGCCAGGGTGCCCCTCGTAAACTAACTCTTTTTACTATTCTAGAATTCTAAGAATCTAATGTTTTAAAAATCCAAAATTCCAGTCCCTAGAAAAAGGTCTTAATTACGCCAATAGTTGTATATATATGATAGTAAAAATGTAAATTATGCATAAAATTGTAACTGTAAATAAACGGAAATGTGTTTAAATTCTTTCACCAATTTTCGTGTCTCAAAAATCCTTAATTCCTAAGTTGAATATGATAATTATAATAGAAATACAAATTTTAAGCACAAAATGCACATTCATTTTGTATGTACACATACAACACGTTATAAAATATATTACATTAATCTGTTTCCATTGCAACTGCAGGTTGTGGATCTTGTGGACCTTCGTCAGAAGGTGGAGGTTGTGGAGGTCTAGAATCTTGGTCTACATCTGGTTCGGTAGGTCTTCCACGTTTATCATCTTCAATTTGGGATAAATAAACGGATATCGCATCCTCATCAAATATTGTAAAATCTGTACCTTTTCCAACTACCGCAATAGAGACGTTCTGTAATAACAGTACATATATAATAATACATTATTCAAAACTATATAGGTATTATGAATTAAAATATCTACAAGAAAAATAAATTCTTTCACCTTAATGGATAAATCAACTTCATTAGGTAAAGTATCTCTTAATGCACGAAGACCATGTTTTATAAGTTCGTCAAGATCACACGAAAGAAGTTCATTAAGATGTTTCTCTAAATATGTGCGGGCACTTTGAGAACGTGCACCGATAGCCATTGCTTTGCAATCAAAATAATTTGATGAAGGACACGTCTGATAAATATGCGGTCCTTGATCCTTTAGAACAATAATAACACTTTAATAATAATTTAACGCTAAATAAATAGTAATTGATCATCTTATAACTTACATCATAACCAGCAATAAGTAAACCCACACCATATGGCCTTCTATCGTATCTCTGAGTACATGTTTGCAACTTATTTCCCAATGATGCAAGTAAACGACTTACAGGTAATACATCATCATGGGAATACTTATAGTTTAAACATTCAGTTCGCATATATCGACTAAAAATAAATTAAAACAAAATTTTAAAAATAATTTAACTTTTGTCAGTAACAATGAATGAAAACCTCTTGCAATGTACCTTAACATTCTAGCATCAGCAGTTAAACCAGAAATAGAAATTCCCATGTGTTTATCAATGGGGAACATTTTCTTCTGATGCGCTGAAAGCTCGGATGAAGCTCTTTTGAGTGCGATTAAAACAGCATGAGTTTTGTTTTTAAGTCCTACAGTGGCTGATCCTAATTTAACAGCTTCCATCGCATATTCCACTTGATGTAAACGTCCTTGCGGACTCCAAACTGTGACATCACTGTCGTATTGATTGCGGAACTGAAAATTTCATGAAATTGATTTTCATCATTACTTAACACATCATATTAATAATAAATCTAATAATTGAATTAGAAGACGAAATATTAGAACATAATATGAAACATACATATATAATTTCATACAAAAAATAATTAAGAAATTCCTAATTATAAGATCAGAAGTATAACCCTTTCCCTGTAATTAAAGTAATTTTGCAAGTCTTACGATTACAATGGACAAAATTTGATATTATTTTTATGTATTTTCAAAACATGAGCAATAAATACCATTATTAAATATTTGATTGATGAATAACGTAAACGTCTAAATTAATAATTTTCAAACATGAACTTTCAGAAAACAACTGTCATGCAGTTTAACAAGTGATTGAATAAACTATAGAGAGGCAACATCTTTAACTATTAGAGTCGGCTGTGCTATAGTAGTGCAATCTAGTGATCAAAATATCAAACTAAATATCGAAACAAATTACTACATACATATCGATTATAATCGAATTTTGCGTCGTAACAGTTGAGTTGATGGTCTTGTTTTTTCTTTTTCAAGGCCTTCAGTGATCGTGATTGATCTTGTACGTATATATTTATAAAGAATTTATTAAATATCTGTGTAATATTAACTCTATTCTTTAATTTGTACATTTAAAATTTATATATATCATATAAGGTATTTGTATTTTATGATTCTAACTAACCAAAACAACTATGTTTGTCTAAAATTATTTTCGTTAATCAATGCACGTGTTCATATCTGCATATGTGCACAATTTTATTTTTTACTACTTTCATTTGTTTAAATTTAATGTTATTACATATTTTACAGGTTAAACAATCACTATGACGAATTCGAAGGGATATCGTAGAGGAACAAGAGACTTGTTCTCTCGAAAATTCCGCAAACATGGAACAATTCCATTGTCTACGTATATGAAAGTATACAAAGTTGGCGATATTGTTGACATTAAAGGTAATGGAGCTGTCCAAAAAGGAATGCCTTATAAAGTTTATCATGGAAAAACTGGGCGTGTATTTAATGTGACTTCACATGCTCTGGGTGTCATTGTCAATAAAAGAGTCCGTGGACGCATCATTGCTAAAAGAATCAATGTTCGTATTGAACATCTTACTCATTCTAAATGCAGAGAAGATTTTTTGAAACGAGTAAAGGAAAATGAAAGGCTCAGAAAGGAAGCAAAGGAAAAGAATATCCGAGTCCAACTAAAGAGGCAACCAGCTGAACCCAGGGGTGCACACATTGTATCTGGACGTGAAAATCCTATTTCACTTGCTCCTATTCCTTATGAATTTATTGCTTAAATTTGAATAAAAATGTCTTTGAAAACTTAGTGTTATTTTTATACATATCCTACATTCTAAATTCTTTAATTGCATTGATTTAAAATTAAAATTAGAACTTTTTAGACTAGCTTTACAACAAAGTTAATACAAATAATTTTTTCTAATAAAAGGCGATTTTCACGAAGGCATTGCATTAACGAATAATTCATGAAGCTAATGACTATATTTATATTTTACAGACAAAATATGATTGAATCTATACATAATTTATAAATAATATAACATAATATTTCTAATCTTATACGCTGTATGGTATTTCGATCAAGTATGAAATTACTATAGGATCTGTTTAATTGTCATATAATTATATTTAATTCTAACTACAATCTATTGATTGATAAAATAAAATGTAACCAGTTTCGGAACTTTTTTGTATATCCGATGTAAGTCCGTAAAAGTCCTCTATCGTAGATGCATCAATTTTCTGTAATGAAGATTAAATGCATATACATATAAATATCTAACAATAAGTACTTCTAATAATGTGGATTATTAGAAGCTTACATCGACCATATCATCATCAAAGAGTAACCAAAATCCATGACTTTTTACTATGGAAATGTAATGTCCTCGATTAGGCCCGCTTCCGCAATGTATCACAACTGCGACCAAATCGTATAATCGGTCTGGATTTACCGCGTCATCACTCTATAAATAAATTATAAGAAGTACTTTATATACGAATTGTAATAAAAAGTAATATGTAATAAAACATTTCAAATTACATACAGTATTAAACAGACGAAGTTCCAAAGGAAAAACTACCCTGTGAGAAACTTTAATGTGACGATTATACTGTTCTACATATTTGAATCTTTTCAGATGTAATGCCAGTATCATCGGCAATTTTTTAACCCTCATTCGTTTCTACAAAAAAGGAGGAATATATTAATTCTTTTTAAAATCAGCATTTCTTAAATTTTCTTAATTAATACCTGAGCCTCTTGATAACTGCTACAATGATCGCATTTGAATTTGTTGTCGCTACAAAGAGTCTCAGTATTGGAGAAACATCTGAGGCAGTGCGTGATAGAAGTATTTTGATCTACATCAACTTGTAAATCAAAGAAATCCTCATCTTTGCTAGATACAGTCTCACAATTAAGGCAGCGCGTTTCTGATGTCAAAATTCCTTGAAATATTTCATGAACCCAAGTAGGTTCAGGTGGTGAACCAGCATCACCTGCACCACATTTTCCACCAGCTGGTTTACTCTGACTTCTCTCAGCTAAAATGTACAACATAGAATTAAATTTTTAAAATATGACATGCACATATGTATGTATATATGTATCTGTGTAAATTTACATACCTAGAATTATTTCATTTATATGATTTATCAAGAAATTTAAGAATTCATGCGCATCTTGTTGCATATAATTATCAAATTCCTCTATATGTAACAAATTCAATATGTATGATTATAAAAAATTGTGCAATAGTAAAACAAATATATTTTTACACTAACCTTTTTCTTTTCTTAATCTGGCAATAAACTTTTTTGGAGCTATAGATCCAACTTTCTTTTTCTGAGTTGCAATACTGTAAAACAAGTCTGCTAAACATGTTAATAATGTTTCCTTTGTTCGTTTGTTTCTAGCTTTATACTCTAAAACTTTTTCTCTAAATGGACGACAGAAGTATAAAGCTTGTAATACAGAATTACTATAACAAGTATTTCCAAACTGTAATGATATATAAATATTAAATTTATTATTATTAACACAGTCAAATTGAATCTTTTGTTCAACACATGTATATCATTCAATTTATTTTATATGTATCTAATACTTACATTAACTAATCCAAAATAATGTTCGTTAGGAGGAAATTGATCAGAACCAATATCTCTTTCTAGCTGTGATATATTTGCACCCTAAAATAATAGTAAGTACATACTAACAATTTTTATGATAAAATAATGGTACAGATCATAATAATGGTACAAATAATACAAAATAAACATTGAAAAAATTTCTTTATCAGAAATTTATCTCTTATCATGATAACTGGATTTAAAAACAAGCTATGGTTAAAAAAGATTCACAACATTAATGTTGACATTATAAAAAAACAAAATAAAAACAAATTTTTGTTAACTACAAAATTTGTTTAGTCTTACCATTTTATGATTTAATAATTATTACTGACCACTGACAAACAAACAGCATGGATTTTGATAACAATAAAACCTCCATGGTATTCTAACTTACAGATTTACTGGTTAAACTAGTACAATTGCATAATTGTTTACAATTCTATCTACGAAAATGAAAATAACTATTTTATAAGAGTAATCACTACCAGATATCGTTCACTTGTATCATTTAACGTGTTCATTAACATTCGCTTTGAAAGATATTGCAGTACTAATTTAGTTTTCGTAAAATAATCAGAAGCAATCTTGCGTCCTCAAAAGCATAAGAAAGGGGCATTGATATCGATTTCTGGAATGGTTTTCCAACGAAAGATGTCTCTACATGAAAATTTATTCGGTTTCAGCTCCTATGATGTAATTTATCTGTATAAATAGTCTATGGTTTCCAGTATTCCTGTGTGCTTTCTTGCCCTCATATCATTCAAAACAATTCAAATATAATTAACAAATATATGCAGGTACATGTGTGTACCTTTAGCGAGGCACCACTAATTCTGCATTTATTAGTATGAATTATTACAGGTAACATTCATAAATGTTTGTATTTCGTTATTTTCTTTTGTAAATTATTACATATTTTAAAAATTTGACAAATTAATTACGATACGAAGTTTTAAAGTTTGAAAAAATATCACTTCTAATTATTCTAATCATATTTTTACGTTCATTTATAGGGTTATTATTTCTAATTTTAATCATTTTTCAAATTTTAAACGATGTCAACATTCCGTGCGTGTATATAACCACCACCCCCCGGCATTATTTTAAATTTTTGATACTAACGTATATTGTATTTTTCTAACGTTTGAATTAGACTTATTACTGTAGTTAATTGTTAACCGACCGTTTCACCGCTTTACATTTTATCTATATATTTTACTAAAAATTTGTAATATATCTTTTTTAGGAATATAAATAAGGAAGTCGGACACAGTATCAAATTTAAAGTTTAAAAGTGGCAGTTCGTAAGAATATGATAAATATGTCAGAATCTAATGTGAATTCGCTTTCATTTACTTCGTCACCATTACGACGAAAATCTGTTCTTTCACGAAAATCAAGTGGTGATTTCACTTTATTAGAAAATGACGACGAAGCAGAACGTTTGGCTCGTCGTAAAAATATAAATTATTCTCCCTCTGTACCAAGTGCCACAAGCGGCAGACGTTCCTTAGGGCTTAGTTTTTTAGTACACATGCCAGCTTCTCAAATGGCAGAGCGTATATCTCAGTGCATAAAACTTGGTACAGAGAATAAAATTAATCCAAAGAATGCATTTAGCTTAGAGATGATTGATTTCATGACATACATGATTAAGAAACAAGATGCCAATATGTCTAATTTACAAGTAGCTAGTACATCTTTAGATGTAAGCACTAAAATCTATGGATTTCGTGTTGATGGAGTACATATGGACATACTTAAATTGGTTGGTGGATTGGAGAGACAAGAAAGGGATGATAAAAATCATAATAATGCATTAGAAATGGACTGTCAGGAGGAAGTCACAAATAATCAAGCAGAAAACTTGGAGAAGAGAAAAAAGATGAAAAAGAAACATAAACCATTTAGTACTGTGGAAGCCTTAAGAACTGATATAAAAACTGAAAAGCCTTCTTTAGCAATTATGGAAGCAGATTCGCAAACCACAAATGTGTTATATCAAGTATTATTACCAAACCATGCAAATTCTAGATTTTATCCACATCCATATAATGATGTTTTGGTAGATAGAATAGAATGTAAAGAGATAGGAGATGAAAATTCAGCATGCACTATTCCAAAAATAACAGACTTATCGCAAATGGAAATTTGTTTTCCTATACATTATTTTAACTTTCATAGTTGGAATGCAGATGAAGAACTAGAAACAGTTGACCTAGAAAAAAGTAATGAAAGTAGATTTGAATTTGATCTTGATGCTGGTGTACCATCTGACGATGAATGTGATTCTAGTAGTGGAAATTATTTTAATACAGAAGAGTGCACAGAACAAAATGTAAATATGTGTGCTATAGCATCAAAACCAGTAGAAAATATTGTAGATTTTTGTAATGTTTTAAGCAATGCAGTATCATCATCAAAAACATCAGAATATTCGTTCGTCCACAGCAATTTAAATATACATTGGGCAGGACCATCGCATTGGAAACTTACTAATTTCAAAAAAATATCATCTAACAGCAATGTAATTGAAACATGCCAGCAAGCACCAATAAAGAAAAGAAAAGAAATGGAATTAAATTATGGTGATGAAACTTTCAAAAGTATAAAAGCGAAATTTTTACCAAGTAAATCAAACAAAATGATCGTTAACGCCGTTAAAACAGAATGGAACGAAGAAATATTAACATTACCTCCGGATAAACATTATGATATCGCACGAGCTAATAAATTGTATCTTCATCTATTGACTGTTAAATGTCCAGAAATAAATGCTACTTGCTTATCCGATGATGAAGATAATTATCACCATGGAAATGACAATGATGTATCAATGGCTCGTTCTCTCGTGAATAATGATAAATATCAAGAGAATAGAAACTTTGTAACTGAAAATGAGAATCTGACAGGAACACAAGTGTCTTTTACTGGAGAAAATCTAGTTGCCATACCAAAATTAATAAATAAGGCATGTATTGCCTATAGTACACGTGCAAAAAGGATTGATATGAAACAATTAAAGAAATCTATTTGGACGTGTTTAAGGAGTAAAAGATATGAGACTGTAAAAGAAACAGAGGGAGAAGAAGAAGAACTCACTGACAAAATGCAAGAGAGCAAATATTTTAGTGAGGTATATAAAATTGTGCCAAATTTATTAACCAGAACTAATATTGAAGCATTAAGTTTTCCAATTTCTTTTGTATCTTTATTGCATTTAGCAAATGAAAAAACGTTAAAAATAACTTCTAGTTCTGACTTAAAAGAACTCATTATAGAACAAGATTAAATACATTTATAAATCTACAAAGTTCTTGTACACAACATATTTAAATGTAAAAAAAAATATATATATTTTATTTACAACAGATAGATACATATTGAAAATTCTGTTTTATTTTATATTCATGTAATGTTATTTTAATACACAATAAATTAAGTACATTTTTTAATGACTCCATTATTTTATAACTTTTCATATATTTTGTAAACTGATTCAAAGAGATTCAGTAATTTAGATTTCAATAGCGTTACTGCTAGTGATCCATCGTTAATTTTAAAAATAAATTTTAAAATATGATTAAATGATTTATATGAACTACATTGAAACAATAAATTGGATGAGTAAATGTTAGAATTTAATAAATTTGCCATTTATATTGGGCGCATTCAGAGTTCTAGAAGAATATATATTTCAGGGAGCCATCAAAATTACTTACTACATATGTAAATTGCAATGTTGGCGATCCTGAAATCGCATTATATGAAAAATTGATGAGCTGTGATCATCTGCAGTGCGCGTCGTGTGTTATGTTGTGACTGATGTTTATCACGAATAACTTTCAAGCAAAAGTTTACTGTTTGGCCTATAATTTAGGGCCACGAAAATGTTTACGTATGATATTTAGAATCAACCTATGAACATACTTTCGTCTTAAATGTAAAAAAGCAAAAACTCGGTATTTTCTAGTAGAATAGACATTGTTCTTTTGCGACGATATATGTAATTGTGTGCTCGTAGAGCGGGAACCGTTGAATATTTCATAATGGCAGATTTTGATGCAATTTACGAAGAAGAGGAAGAAAATGAACAAAACTTGGAAGAACACTACGTAACAATGGTACCAGATCCTATAGTTATTCGTGGAGCTGGCAACATGACTGTGTGCGTAATATTCTGTTACTGTTTAAATTTTTTCTCTACATTAATTTAAAATCTGGTTTTAAGAACAAAGAAACAAAAGCTTTAAATTACATATTTTTATATATCAGACCTCACATTATCAACGATTTCAACGATTTATCCATTAATTAAAAAATATATATTTTATAAAACGTAAAATTGTATAAAGAAAAAAGTACATACTGATCGAATTGAGTAACCTCCTCCTTTTCGAAGTCGGTTAAAAATTAATGATTGTCAAAAAGAATTTATTTTTGTATAATTTGATGTTTTATTTGTTTTAGATTTGGGCTTAGTAATCGCTTTGAATCAGAATTTCCGAATGGCCTGGTATCGCGTGTTGCTCCGGAAGAGTTTAAAGCGACTGTCATGAGAATAAATAGTGTACTGAAAAAAACATTACCAGTTAATGTTAAATGGTTATTTTGTGGTTGTGTTTGCTGTTGTTGTACATTAGGATGTTCTCTTTGGCCTGTTATTTGTTTGAGTAAAAGGGTAAATAAACAATTCAATTTATTTAAACATTCTTATTTTATAGTAACATGTACTGTATTAAAAAATATTAAAATACTTTGAATAGACACAACATTCGTTAAACAAATTATTAGAATGGGAAAACAGTAGGCTGTATCACAAACTTGGATTACATTGGAGATTAGCGAAACAAAGATGTGATACTTCATCCATGATGGAATATGTAAGTAAATATAAACATAAATTACTGTGGCAATCAATGTGTTAAAGATAAATTCTGAATATGAAATCTTCATTATAATTTGTTTACTTATAAAAATTTAATAAAAATATTTTTTTCTTACAAATTATTTCTTTGAGAAAAAGAAGTTGACCTTTTTGATTATGTAAATAGCTGAAACCTTACTTATATAAATAAGTTTATACTTTAGTTACATCACTTTTTATGCTATTTTTATCTATTTACCTTTGTTTAGTATAAGTGAACATATACTTATTTTCACCATTTATGTTACAGGTACTTTTAATTGAATTTATCCCAAAAATACCCATATACAAACCTGACTAAAAGATCTGGACTTTTGAACCTTACGTATGTAACAAGTCTAAAATATGAAAAGCCAAATGCTTCTGGCTTAATTTTGAAATAATAAAAAGTGAAGCATTACTAGAAGAGGCACTGGTGGGATGCTTATTTTTGTAAATATTATATGTAGGATTGCATTGTATAATAATGAAATAAGTATCTGAATTAACTATGACAAATTAGTTTTGTTTTTTAAAATATACTTGATCAGATATAGAAGTACGAAAAGTTTATGTATTTATTTTCTATTAAAAGAAATTTTACTTTTTTCAAGTTTATTATTTAATTGAAAACAGAAAAATATTAACAAATGTCCTACAGAAAGCTGCAAAAAAATCAATATCTGATTCACTAGTCATTAAAATAATTATTTTAAATAACTTGTTTGTTCTCTTATAACTTACAAAACCTACATTTTGACTAGATATTAGGTTTTCAGGTAAGAAATTAATCTGACACAGTACAACGAATGCATTTGAGTACAGCAATGCCTTGAAAGTTGACCATTATTGTTCCTAACAATTCTTAGAACTGGCCACACAACAGGAATTAAACATATACCTGAAATGACTAATTCCCTTGAAAGTTGATTGTGGTTAAATTTTAAGGCATTGCTGTATTTGTGACCCAGAGACAAAAAATAATTATCATGAAGTCCTTATATATATATATATATAATAATACAAAATCTGCAGATACTCATTTGTATGTATATATTTATGTATACAATATAGAAACTTATTTTGTCTAAAGGTTGATTTCTTACCAAGGTGATATTAGAAAATATGACACATATATGCATTTTACTTTCTGACATAAATTTTACATAATTTAGGACAATTAAGTATATAGACAAATGTAAATGGTTTTAAACGATATTTAAGACACAGTAGGAGATAAATTAATTTTTGATTACTGATAGCAATTTTTAGAAAGTGATAGATTTTTGAAAATGGAAAAAAATAATCGATACAATAATCATTAATATTTTATGATAAGTTATATGGTTCTGCACAGATACTTCTCTGGAAAAAATTGTTTTCTGAAATGTGATACATTGATTGATTGACAGAAATTAAGATCATTCTTATTGAACTTTGATCTGTAACAAAATTTATAAAACACATTAATTGGAAAAGTATTATAAATATTTTGTTTATTATTCAGTGGCTGTGATTGAGAATATAAGACTAGTTTTTTCAATTTATGTGTGCATATTGTACATGTTTTAAGATTGTATATGTTTGAGTTCTTATAAGGTGTTCATATTTTTATTTCATAATGGTATGTACTTAATTTGCAAAGTTTTCAAGAATAGCCATGATATATACATATATGTATATGTATATATAGTAAATAATAATAATATCATTGTATGAAGTAATATTTTTGATGTGCCAAGTAAATGTTTAAATCAACTGATTTATGAAATATCACAAACATGTATTTCAAGTTATTATTCTATTTTACTTTATTTGAGATGTACTGTGCAATAGAACCATAAATATGAAAAGATTTAACTGTTTGTGTAGAATTGTGCAGAATCAATAAAGGTCAATATGCTTGTGTGTGCTACATCTTAATATTAATAATATATCTTTGTAATAATCAATATTTATTCCTTTTTTTTTCGAGTGTAGTGAATTTATTAATTTAGATACAATGCAAGTATACTTTCTGATATTTGTAAATGTGTAGATGCAACTATTTTAAAAGTAGCGTTTTAATGAAGAAGAAATGAAAATAGAATCTACATTTATTAATTGAATGATATGAATCTGTAACTTCATTACTTGTAATTGCATTTAAAATTAAAAATTAGAATTACATATAATTAATTTCGGAGTAAAATTATATTGCCCATTTTTATGAGTGCTATTGTAAATACATATGTTAAGAAATGTATATTTAATACCTACACAAAATCCCATATTTGTATAAGTAATTAAGAATTATAACAAATTTAGAATTTTTGAGATTAGAGAATTATAAAATTATTTCGAGGAATGAATTGAATCTGACGAATTTAGAACTATTTCAATAAATAAATGTTATTATTAGAAAATAAATTATTTCTTTAAAAACTGACAAATCTATTATTATATTGAAATTATAATAGAAAGAATTGATAGGAAAGAAAAAATAGCGCGAGGTACAAAATTTATGCAACAAGAGGGATATATTTTTGATAGGTAGAACAAATAATGAAAAATATTGTCCCCAAAAATATATAATTATATGTTGATCATGTTTCATCAAAATGTAATAAAAGTGTACAAATTCTGATAAAATGAATTTAAAGAAACGAGTCAGCTTATTATTAATACCAAATTAAATTGATATATTTTAGCACAGTACAAGAAAAGAAGAATATTTAATAATTTTGCAAAAATAAAAATCAGGCTATCATGTTTAAAATGTGTGCCTTTCACTTGTGAATTTGTGTTAATTGTATATGTACATATATATCATATGTTGAAAATATATTGTAAACTATATTTTTATGACAATAATTCCTATCCAATATGATTAATTGTTTAAACATTCTTTCAGTTAAAAATATTGTGCTTTAATTGCACATTCAATTGCTCATTCAATTGTACATTAGAAACTGTATACCCATAATTATTTTATAATTATTTTATAATTATGGATATAATTTTTTTTTTCTACGAAGAGAAACATTGTTTTACGAAAATAAACGTAAATATATATCTATTAAAGAAACGTTTGGAAAGGCGCGTACAAATTTCAACTTAAGTGTACACAGAATGCAGGTCTGCTTCTAATCACATACAAGCCTTATAAGCTGTTATCTGTATTAAGATGATATTTGCTGAGAATAATTCTATGTTATGATAATTGACAACAGGTGCCTTTGCTGTTCTTAATGAGAAGACATCATTATTAGTCATCGTAGTGAAAAGGTGTTTGACAGAGGAAGAGATCTTAAATTCAAGCAAAATACTTTATATGCTTTTTCTTTTTTAAATACACTTACATAATGTGTGTAAAAATAATTTTATTAAATTATATAAACATACAATTGTTTATATTGATGTTAAATGTACTATTACAAACAATTGAATCTACCCAAACTTCGTTAAAAGACGAACTCAGGTGAGAAGAACGTTCAAGATAATAAATATCCATTATGAAAGTCTTATATTTCATAAGTAAATCTGTTTTATGTTCTAAAAACCATGTTGTGTTTTAATTAAATTAAAAATTATAAATATAAAACGTGTGTTGCGTTTTTGTTCGAAGAAATTTAACATGTCCATTACCACTGAAAACTTTGGATTTTATTTACAACTTCACGCAACCAGACTTGGAAATTATATGGCCTTGTGAAGTTCGTTTTTACTGGTTATCGTTACAACCATTTGTTAAATTTGTACGTTTTCTACTTGGCTATATAACGCCTTTTATTATAATTCTTGGTAAGAACAACAAAGCACTTTTATCATTATAATACAGTAGACTGTCAATTAACTGGAGTAGTAAAAAATTCGAATTTTTTAAATAATTTTATTTGATCGTATTTTACTTAGAATATTTTTTAATTACTGAATCTAGTTGATTAATTAAGAGGGCCCTCGAAAGTCTCAGAAATCGTGATCGCGTAATGCCGGCATTTTTTTTTAAATTCGGGTCTTTTCCTCTTCTTAATCGAGAGTCTATTGTATTGCATTTCATTTAATACGTTATTCTCAATTATTATTTATACAGGTGTAATATTAAATACAATTTCTTTTGGGATGCTAAGTACTCCTATACTTTGCGAATCGAATTTATCACTTTATTTAAAAGCGCTTGCGTTATCTGATAACGGAGCGCTAGTTTTTAATTATGCTGTAGGTCTTGCTAAATCAAACTTTACGTTTGTTAATAATCTTTTCATGGTAAGTGATTGCTTAAATAATTTTTCGAATTTATCATTTATAAAAATAATTGAGATTTACCTTGTTTTTTGTTTAGAATAATAGGTTCCTGTGTAGTTTAAATTCTGTTAGTATGGAATTCTTCCAATTTACATCTACTTGGTTGGTTGTGGCTCTCACCTGGAGACGAGTTTTCGCTATTATGTTTCCTTTTGGAATACGTAGTTGTTGTAGTAATTGCTCTGAAATAATAACTATTACAATTTTAATATTCGTCAGTTTTATCATATCATTAACAAAGTTATACTCAGGAGGTAAATATTTATATTTTCAAATTTGACTATGTTAATTATTAAAATAAATTACTTAATGTACAGGATACGAAACGGATAGTGTTTTCGAATTTATTCCATGTCAAAAGAAAATAAAACCATGGGGTAGTGCTATGTATTTCTACATTGCTTTATCAACGTGGTTGCCATTACTTTTCATATTTATTGGAAATGTTTTACTTATCTTACACATGAAGAAAACTGAGAAAATTCATTGTCAGTTAACTCGTAAGTAATTCGTCTAACTAGAATTCTGTAATTAAGGAATCATAAATAAATTGAATAGTATCATTTCTTAGAAAATTTCAGACATAAAACAAATAGAACACATCATACTTCCAGAACGTTACTTGTTGTGTCAACCGTTTATTTAATATTACTGTTACCCCTTGGCATAGTTGAAACTTTGGAACTCTATTGGGATATTATCCTGATTAAATTTCCTGCTACTGAAACAAAGGAAAAAGCAGAATATGTACATTGGTACGATTAAAAGACAATAATAATAAAAATAAAATATGTATATACTTATATTTATTTATTTCTAATATCCGACTCTTTCAGGTTGAAAGAGAAAATGTTGTTGAAATGGTGTCGTGGCTTATGTTTTCACGTATACCACTGGAATTTTGCAGTTAATTTCTTTTTATACTACTTAACAGGTGAAAAATTTAAAAAGGCTGTGATACAGACTCTAAGTCGTTACAAAGACGTAATACAATGGTGTCTCGCTAATGGTCCAGGATTGCGTCCGGTTAACAGTCCATCGCTATCTCCACCAATTCTTGGAACTGATATTGTGGAATAATCCATGTCAGTGTTAAATATCTAAAATTTTAAGTAAATAAATTTAACCGGCATCTGCTCTCTGGATAACAGTCCCATTCTTGGACGTTTAGTACGGCACTAATGTATTTTCAGTATATTCCGAATACATTAACAAATGTATATTTTATTACAAATATTCTACACATTTAAAATCAGTACAGTCATCAATTATTGTTGACAAGAGCTATCACGCTTAACGAGCAAAGAATTGCTGATAGTATTTCTGCGTATAATATCATGTTACGAATACTTACAATTAGTATTAATTTTTTTTTTTTTAAAGACTGTTAGCATTAAAGATAACAAAATACTTTTTCCATATGCACACATTTTTATTCTACATATAAATTATTATCATTACTTGTTTTTGCAAACTAAGGAAGAATTTAAAATTTATACAATCATGACATCTTTAATGTTATCACATTAAATAAATCATTTTACGCATATTATAAAATTAATTAACAATGCATCTTAAAGAATAATTGAAAAATTTCAGTTTTTAATTTATTAATTTTGAAATCGAATTCCATCTGATTCCAATATAAATCGTAGAATTAATTAAATTGTTATTAATACTGCAATTGAAATTTTTTGTCATTTTCGTTAATTTTATAACAATCTAGTAGATAGTACAATTGAAAAGTACCTATTTATATACACGCATACATACACTTTCATACATACGTATCTTTAAGAAATATTTTAAATAATTCACAAGTTATGCACAAATTAAATTTGTAAACATGTAATTAAGTATTTACATTAATGTATATGAAAACTTAAGTATCCGGAATATTAAAATGATATATTTCCAAAATTGCGTATCCATATATGTACCACATACTTAATAGTTATATCATCGTTTTTACATTGGTAACTGATTAGGATAGATTTTGAATATAACGAAATACAGTTTAATATGTAATAAATATGAAATATACCCATTTGTTAGATATAGAACTCTTGTTATTTCTAGCTGTAATACGTAATTGCAATCACTCAAAGATTTCTGTTTGTTGTTATACATTTTAAAGTACGATATTACAATGTACATATTACAAAAATTGAAGCATTACGTATTTAACTGTAATTTTATATTAATTGCTGTAAGTATGAAACATTTTATATACATGTAGAAAAATATATAATTGTTTGTTTTATATGTTACTTATACGTACGTAGTAAAGTACAAAATGTATTTTAAAGGATTGTTTCTTGAACAAGTATATCAATTTATTATTGTGTATAGTAAAATTAAAATATATAGAGAATATTGTTTTTAAATTTGATATTACACTACATAGAAAAATATTTGTCTGCAATGCAAAAGACAAACACTTTTATTATCAAGCTATTGTAAATACCATGCAAATTTCTATGTTGATCCCTTTGTACGTGTATATTTCTTCATGCATTTAATGTATAAAAATATATATATATTACATTATTAATGAATAATTTTAATATTTGATAGTTAACTTTATAATAGTAAAAAAAGAACATTTCATGTATTTCTCTTTTTGAATATTGAAAATCTTTAATTATTTTATTCTTTTAATATAGAGAATTAAGCACAGATATTCTAATTTTTAATTTTTGATTTAAAAATTGGTCGAAATATCGTTTCACTAAAATTTACAAAGCAATGGATTCATCTATAAAATTTCAGTCTTTTGCCTTTAGCCATTTAATGATTGAAGAAACACGATTTCCGTTTTAAAAATAATATTGTTGTGAAACTATTGATTTATAACATATACATACAGATTAATTGAATGATGGAATATTACATGGGATTCTGTTCACATAATTTGCTGGAAACTGCCCTTTCCGACCTTTACATTCACCGTACAACCAATCTTGTGATATCCTTGATAAAACTGTGATTTTATCACCTTCCTGCAACACATAGTACACAGAAGATTCAAATGTATCTTGACAATATTGTTTTTTTTTTTTATCTATGTTTATTAATAAAACCTCATATATGAATTTATCAACTTACATTAAACTTTAAATCTTCTATTGTTTCCCCTTTAAAGGAATAGATAGCAACAACTACATTATCTGGAACACCAGGCAGTGGAACTCTTATATCAATGAAATTAATAGGAAATATTCCTTTTCGGTTTCCTATCCTGCCTTCCATCCAATCATCATTAACTTTTTTAATCAAATATATTTTATCACCTTCGTTAAAAGGTAAATCATCTTCGTGCGTTACAGGAAAGTCATAAAGAGCAATGCCATAAGGTTCTTCACTGATCGTCTAAAAATGTAAAATTAAAGAGTAACAATTGTCTATGTAAAATATATAAATCAAATTATAATTACTTACTGAAAGATCGTTTGTTTCTGTTAAATACTCTGGTGGTGGCGCAGGTGGTGGTATTGTGGGCATTGGTGGAGAAGAATTATCTTTAGTCTCGTTCGGCCATGAATTAGTTAAATCTAATGTTATTGGTTTTGTAAATGACCCTGCTGTTTTATTAAAACAATTGGACTCTATCTCAATTGAACGATTAATTTTATTCTCTACTCTTTTTTGTGAAATTTTTGGTGCTGGTGGTTTGGGTACTTTTGCACGAATAATAGTAGGCAATGACTGAGTAATTTTTGAACATGTCTGATTAAAAGACATTTGATTATTTGTATTGAAAGCAAAGAACTGTGCATCTCCTATGGATTTTACAGGTTCAACTGTATTGTAATTAGTTACTTCTAATGGTCCAAATGGATCTGACATCGAATTAATTTGCCAAGGGTCATTTTTTGGCATTTTCTTAGCAGATATTCCAAACACATCAAAATCATCTTCAAAGGCACTTTCTGTTTGAGATGTATTTCCACTACTTGTGAATACAGATGGATTTGAATTACCATCGCTGCCAAAACTATCAATGCTAACACCGTCACTACTTGATCGAGTTGTAAAAGTTGGAGAACCAGGTGGACTAAAATCTATTAGACAAACTGATCCATTTGTATGTTCAGATTGTGATATTGCACTTTGTATTTGGCTATTCAATTGTGTTGTACTTAAATGTTCACTTCTTTTCCTTCCAAAAAGATTGCTCAATAGTTCTGTTGGTTTTGCCTGTATAAATACCATGCGAATACAGTTAAATAACATTTATAAATAAAAGAAACTTTGATTAAATTAATATCTACATACTGGTTTCTTTGATTTATCCTTCTGTATTTGTAAATGATTTTGATTAAACTTTGGTGGTGGTGGTCGAGGAGGTGGTTTCTTCTTTTGAATGGATTGTTGCATAGAACCGTAAACATCATTTCTATGAAAATTAAACATTGTACAAATTTTACACAATATTATACAAAAAATATGTTAACAATAAAAATAATCAAATGAAAAATTGCATAAAAACGTAGCATTGAACTCACGTGCTATTCCACATAACATTTCTTTGTGCTATTGAATTTACAGGTGGACGAGGAGCAGAACGTGTAGGAATTCGCATTTCTGCAAACGAGTATGAAATAAAATTATAATTCAGAATGTAATTTTCACGAGATACGATATCGGAACGTGTATTGGATAGATTACTTGTATAAATTTTTCCTAAACATTCATATACACCGAGGCAAATGCGTAGCGTTAATACAAACAAAATCCGACAACACAATGCCCGTATTCACGGAAGAACTCAAGTACTACAATTACACGCCCACTATCAAATGTCAAACACTTTTTTTAACATTAAACAGATGCATAATGGCAGGGATAATCATTATGAATTTAACGAATTGCAATATTCTTGAATCTGACGTACGAGTCAAAAATGTGACGTAGTAATTAAATTTAATTGTAATATTACATATGTTAATAATAGACTACGACATTTAAATTGATGTTACATAGAATTTCTTGGACTGAACTAACTACTTGATAATTTTCTTTAAATGACAGTTACAATCGTTGACAGGTTTGCGCATACTACTCACCTGTTCTTACGTTTGCGGCCATTTTTCGTTCGACACGATTGCAACTATTATGTATCTGACATCAGGATAAAATATTTAAAATAAATTAATTAAACGATGACACAATTCAATCAATGAACATTTTTCATTTTAACAAAATTTTCTAAGAAAATCAAACGCTGATTAAACAAAAAAACAGTCGTGTGTTACTAAAAAATTTGATTACGTTATTGAGTGATTTCACTCATCGAGGAAAGTTCTTGAATCAATAACGTTTAATTTTTACGATTGCAAAGAACAGTTGTTTTTACAAGTAATACGATCGTTAATTAAAATCTTTATCAACTGTTTATATATATATACATATGTTTTTTTTCCTAGGCAAAACCGTATAACAGATATAAAAATTTTGTAAATTGTTTTATGACGATATATCGTAGGTATACTGATTTGAAATTTGTAAAATTACATAAAAGGCGAATTATTACAAAACTGAAAAATTCTGGGTACATTAATTTCCTCATGGTGGTTAATGTGTAATCTCAGATTCCTAACCTAAACGCAGAAATCTATTAAATAAATACTTTTTTGATTTCTTTATTAATTCTACGAAATATTATTTTTCTTTAGTACGCATAATATAACAATTTTTACTTTGAAAGACTATTACGTAATTTAAAATGTTGAATCTTTTTCCATTATCCAACATGAAACATTAACCTCCAACACATTTTTGTTGTCTAACATCACTCAATAGAAATAATAAAAATTTATAAAAAATATTCTTTAATTGCTTAATATTGTTCAACGCCAGTAGAAATATAATTTAAACATTAAAAGATATTAACATTAAGAATGTTTAATGAAAACTTAATGAAAACAGAATTTTCTAGAAATCTGATTACATAATAATTGGTTCAAGAATATTGCAATACTGGTTTTGTATTTTATTTATCATTTTCTTCAACCCTTGGACATGGTTGGATAGCAGACCCTGGGGAGAGCCACAACTTTAATTTAATTATGCATTTCACATTGTTTTTAGTTTCTAAATTTCACACTGTTCTTTTATACCGCAGTTCACCAGAGTCCATAACTGCGACGCGCAGGTTGGAAGATGGTGGGGGAACGAAGCGAGCTCTCTGCTAATCGCTTCCACTTCGTTTGGGAGTATCGCCAATCAGGGCAAAGATGCGCACTGGAGAAGCGCGAAGAACGAAAACTGGTCTTTTCGCAGTTATGGACTCTGGTGAACTGCGGTATAGAATTACATTTCCAATATATGAAACCATTTTTATTATATAGTGTGACGAGTAATCCACGCTCTGCTGTTCAAGGGTTTATCACTAACATAAAACAAATAGTATATTTTAATTCCATACAGAAATTTAAATCGACGAGTAAATAGTTGAGGAATAATGTACCATAAACGTCACTTTATTTGTCTATGTACAGAACCTTTTATTAATACTCCTAATTAACGTTTATTAGGATTCATTAGAATTCAGTGAACTGTCTTTATATACACATTTTAGCGTCAGTGAAACGCTGTTACCATTGTACCCTGACTCAAATGATACGAGGAATTGTGCACCGAGTTAAACACATCTAATGCACAGAAAATTACGTTATAAAATATAAAGGAAAAAAAAGTCTCACACATGCGTTCAACATACACACATTCGATAATTTTGCATTTAATTTTACTTTCACAGAAACACAAAATAATCTGTATAGATATCAAATACAATACATGACACTTTCATTTCATCAAGCTATCAGTGAAGATCAAGGGTTTAATCGTTAATTTCTTTTTGAAGATTACACTAAATTCTTTTTAATAGAAAAATGTATAAAATAAAAGTAATTTTTGATAAAATGTATACATATTTCTAACTCGAAAGGAAAAACACAATTCTTAAAATTTAAAACAAACCTTGAAACTTTTTGTAATTTAATGGATATTTAAAAGCAGACATATGAGCATAGCCCGTAAATGAAACAAATATACTTTGCTAATAAAATATAAAAAAAACTTTGATATTGAATTTCTGTTAAATAATGAAATTAAATCTTTTTTCACAACTATAACGATTATACCGTTAGACCTTCCCCAACACATATGCCACCAAAAACGTAAACATCGGATTCTTACATTCTAAAACCGTCTTTAGAATGTAACGAGAAGAAAGAAAAACAATCGATCTCGTCCAAATAGAGGATTAACATGTAAAACTGGGCTCATCGCGCGCGGAATATATTTCTTTTCATGGAAAAGTCAGTCTTGAGGATTGTTAGGTAGTTCTGGTACAATTTGATCCTGACACGAGGATCTGCTGCCGCTGCTGCTGCTGCTGTTGTTGTTGCTGCTAGATGTGGTACACACTCGTAGAGGTTTCGAGAGCCACGGATGTCTCGGCACGTCTTCAGCGTACGGTCTCTCGGACGGTTCCTTTCTCAACAACGAACGTATCAGACATCTTGCTCGTGGGCTAAGACCTTCCGGGACCGCGAAGTGACCACGCGAGATCTTTGCGAACAGGGATGCGTGTTCGGCATCATTGAACGGATAGCGACCGACCAGCATAGTGTAGAGAAGAACGCCTAAGGACCAGATATCGGCTGCTTTACCGGAGTAAGCTCTTCCCGAGCGTAACACTTCCGGTGCCACGTATGCTGGACAACCTCTTCGATCGGTTAACTTGTCGTCGTCCCCTTCTACGATTACAGCGTCCTCCAGACTCTCCAAGCGAAGCCGTGTCCTACAAAACAGAGAAAAGGTTCAGACGTTAAAGAAAAACATGCTTCAGTTTCAGACTTGAAAATTAGAACTGTCCAGTCACACTGAATATGTAACACGAACTGTTTACTCTATAGATTGAGTTTGATCTTTCAAGTAATCGGGGTCGCGTCTAGAATTTTGCAGGTCGTTTTAGCAAGAGGAACATCGCCATCGTGACGATGTAACGTAATTTGCGTGTCATCATGAAACGAAGTACAACGAAAGGATTGGTGAAAGAGAATGCCCCGGCAGTTAATCAACCTGCAAATAAATGCGGAAGTCGCAGAACGGGTCTACGTAATATCCCTGCGGCTGTTGGGCAATTTCAAGCTTTCCACGATGTTTCTTCTTTTCACATCGGTTACGATATTCGATCGATACGCAATCGGAGAGTATCGCAGCATAAGAAGAAAAGAGTTACTAAAAGTCAACGAAGATCAACGCAAATGACCGCTACTATCGACTTGTTGAATTAAAAAGTGCAGGATAAGAAAGAGGGAAAAGAGGAAGAGGGCCTCTCCTGGTGTACGATCTTGAAATCTAAACGAGTGTCAATGGCTTCGAGTGTCGTTTCCTAGAAGGAACCCAGTTTCGACGGCACGTTCTTTAATTGGACGCACGAGACACACGTCGAGGATAGTCAGTTAGTCAGACAGGTACTACAGCTTTCTTCGCAAACTTTCACTCGTAAGTAAACGACTCCTACACGACACACCGGTATCTGAGAAGAGTTCAAGAACCCTGTCGCGCGGACAGTGAATTCTAGCACAGTGATTTCCTCGAGAGAGGCTCGTGTATTCGAGAACGCGGTTGAGAAACAAGTGTATCATTACTAGCGGCCACCTTTTTTTTTCTCTCTCTCTCTCTCTCTCTCTCTTGTATTTCTTCTTTTAAATTGATTCTCTTACGAAAGTTTCTCGTACTACTTCAAGATTTTCTTTTTGGTTTCTTATGAAAAAGTGTTTGGTAAGTTTTAGAGTTGTTATACAGGACGATTCAGAACGAGCGTAACAAACTCTGACAAACTGATAACGATACAACATAGATTTTATAAATCTTCCTAGCTCTTAAATAAGTTTTTACTATTTCAAGTTCATTGAGAGTCGATCCAAAGTATTGGAAATATACCAGATTCAGTTCGCCGAGACACTTGAACTCTATAAAAAGGCACATCCGGGAAATCATTGATTAGATCGAAAAGAACGGAAGAAGGAACGACAAAAGCGTCAAGGTCTCGGATGGAAATGAATTCCAAAGAGAATTACCCGGTGTAAAATCGTACGATCGATTGGTCCAACTACGGAGGATGTCAAGAACAGTTGATAAAAATTAGACGCGTCATTCGTGGATGGCAATAAATAAATTTGATCGCGAGTATACATCTTTTTTGATTCGATCTGTATACGTCGGCGCATACTCTAATCATTAGAGTTAGAGTGTAATGCAATCACAGAGACGTCTGGACTCGACTTCTGGGGAGGTGGAACGAACCACGCGTTTCCTAATTATACCAGCATTTCAAAATCTCCCCAGCCGATGAACCAATATGCTGCTTTTCTGGCTTGCAACATTTCCCCCGCGTGTCTCTCTCCTCTCTTCTATCTCGCTGATCTTTCCTTCTCGCTTCTCCTTATTCTACGCGCGGGAGCAGTTCGTCAAGCGACAGGAATGCGAGCGCAACGCGTGATTAGCCAACTCTGAGCCGACACACAACACACGAAACGGTCTCTCTCGTAAGCTCTTATCATGTAAGTAGACACCTTCCTCCCTCCCGTACACGGCTGTGTTCCGGCGAGTTTTGTTGCCTCGATTGTCCACAAGAGAGCTATACACACGTGTGTGGGTGCCTGGTGTAGTGTTCGCGCCAACAATCACGTTCAACCGCGAGAACACACCTTACGAATAGCTCGACGTGGCGTGGCGCGATCCGTTCGTTCCTTGAATTCATTTCGATTGCGTTCTATCCAACCGAGAGATGCAACCCTTTCCTGGAGGTGACGCGATACGAGGAATGGAATTCTATTCAGTAGGGCTTTTGTCGTTTGATAACCAACTGTCATGTCAGCATCATCGGGCTGTGGCTACTATCAGTATGTAGGTACCTACGGTTTGTAAACTATATATATATATATATTATACTGAATTGTTCTTCTAATCCCTTGACCATTAAAAATGATTAAATTACATTTCAACCCCCACCCTCCCATCTCCAAATCTAGGTAAAGTGGATTTCAATTTTTACAGAAATTATGTACTATTACCTAATACGTGCAATTATGCGGCATGAACAGAATAGCTGTCCGTTTGAAATGCAACGATGGTGACAACACGACTTGTCGAATTCGTAATTGGCAGTAAATAACCGAGAACCTTAGATAAGAAGAGAAAATAGAACGGCATTCATTAAAGGTGGAAGGGTTGCATTATATTCGAGTGTAGTTCGATCCGGTGAAGGGGAAGTTAATTTATGTAGGCGTGGAAATACATTTTTCAAGATACCTCTCATACATCTCGATGGTGTGAAGGAATTACAGGCGAATATGGAAATGAAACGAACACGAACTGGTTTTCCATGGCTGTCTGAAACACCACGTGCCCTCTCACTCGCTCAAAGAATGCCACAAACGATACGTGGGCGTACCGTATCATTAACGCTCATGTCAAATTAACAACTAGTTTGTCACCTTAATACGCAACACTTGTTGCTGGATCGCTCGGTTAATTTTGCCAATGTATTATATGTATACATATATTGTAGGAGTGTGCGAATACCCGAAAATTTTGTCTTACCTTGATTCGTCGGCGAATACGAATTTCCTGAGTTTCAGATCTCTTAGCACAACCCCGTACTCGTGACACGTAGCCACGGCCCTAGCTGCTTGCCGGAAAAGCCGCCTCGCCTCCGGTTCCCGTAGCCTTCTGCGTGCTCTAACATAGGCGTGCAGATCACCGTGATGACCCTCTAGTAACAGATAGCGTCGACCTCCAGGTGCTTCCACCACGCCTGCCACACCGCTCGCTGCCCCGGTACCTTCTAATCGAAGGTGAGCCTGTAGTAGTGCCTCGCAACCTTTGTCGCCCACGGTCAACGCCTGAAATACAGGAATATCGTTGCGTCACTGGGTAGTTGGTGATAGTACGTATTACATATCCGAATCGATGGGGATTAGGAAAAATGGTTTTACCCTTGACAACAGCTCGCGTGATCGAGAACGAATTTCGAAATGGAACTAGTGTTCGTTTTATTCGGCAAAACGGTAGGCATTAACACCGTACCAAGGAAATTACATTTCATTATTCCTTGCATCTTATCGTTAGGATTCTTTCAGGAACGGTTCATACGGACGCGGCTTAACGTTCTCAATATGTAATGCGCACAATATCTGCCATTGTGCTTGATAATTGTATTGTACGTTAGCATTGACCGGTTAATACGGATATCCGCAGCAGACAATACGAATACGGCTAGTTTTTTACTACAGTGCACGTGCTCGTGTTTCTTCTGGAAATATTTATAATATTGCCTTTTAAATAATTTAAAAATCTCTTTACTTATCGTTTAAAAATTGTATTACTAACTTTATCACCAACTTTATCAGCGCGCAGTAAATTTGAATATTATGTAGGTGTATGTATGTACACGGTCAGACGGGGCGGACCAAGGAGAGAGCCACAACTATTTAATTTTTGGACACATCTCTGAAACTTCAAAGAGCAGAAAATTATGTATACATATTACCTCGGGACCGAATCTGTTAAACATTTTGAGTGTAACGATCGATCGACACCGAGCGATTTCGTAAAGAACGCAGTGTACGTATACATACCCTTATTAAACTAATGGAACTCGAGTTTCGAAACCGTGTCACGTTTCGACACCACGAGACGAACGGGCGGATGTACAAAGTTTCAAAAGTAACCAAGATTTCGTGTACCTGCTCCTTTATCGACCTATTTTGTAAAGACACATGTTATCACGTTGAACCTCGAGCTAATCGTAAACGACCGAGGTATCATCAAAATTTGTATTCTTAAAACAGCAAAGTTTCTTTAGGATTCTACCTATGAATCCTACGATTGCGATGACAATGTAAATAATGGTTGTCCGTCATGCCAGAAATTTTTCTTCTTTTCAACTCTAAGCGTATACTCTAAAAAGTATATATTTTTCAATTAAATTTAAGAGTCGGATTTATTTATTTCATACAGTAATGACAAATATTTTGCCTAGTGGCAAACGCGGCCCCGGTGAAAACAGTATAAATAGCATTGATGTAAGTATTGTCGGTATAAACAGATCCCAAGGATGTAGTAAATCCTATTCGTTTAAAAAAAGCTCAAATTAAATACATGGACTGTTACTACATTTGTAAAAACAAATTGTCGGCACATAAAAATTCGTATTTGACTAAAAAATCATACAAATATCGATTTCTTTGTTTTTTTGGATAAGGAAAAACTTGGTACAAGGTAAATACAGAAAGAATGACTTCCAATTTCAAAAGATTGAGCAATCGTCCTACAAAATGTTCCTAAGAAATGTTTACGTGGTGCTATGATTAATACACGAATAGCGTTACGTAGCGTGTTTTATCATGAGTAAATAAGAAAGAAATAGCACGAATCACGGGTACTCGAGCCAAACGAAAATAAAGCAGGCCAATTTTTGTCCATCCGGGTTATGAACCTCTCGGTGTCATCGACCGATAACACGAACCCGTTCGCTTCGATCCGAATCGAATACGAATGAAAAGGCCTTAAGGCGACAGTTTAGAAAGGTAATTTCCATCGATACAGCGTGTAACTTTTATTCAACGCGGTTCTGTTCGTTGTTGCACATCTGCCTTCGAGTCTTACCCGACACATATCCTGGAGGCAGGATGCGTTTGCTTGCTCTATCCTTGAGGATAAATACAACGAAACGTTTCGAAATCATTGATTACACATTTCTTTTTTCCTACCTTTTACCCTTCTTAGTTAACAAAGTTAATGTTAGACGTTAGTTTAAATGTTTGTGAACAGGTTAGGAATACGAAGGGGAGATCGGACTCTCGCCATGTATCCTTAGATGTGTCCAGTTACTTGTTGGTACTTTTATTTTACGATTAATTATTTGCATTTACCAACATTTATACAAAATACGACGATTAGAAATAAAAATAAGCATTGAAACTCACCTTCGCGACGATCTGTTTGCCGGTATGAACATCGACGCATCGATAAAGCGCGCTGCCTTCAGCTGGACCAAGAAGTAGATACCGGTCCCCGAGTATGGTGGGTCCGTGATGATCGGTTGGCAACGGTTCATAACTAGGAAATACAACTGCCGGCACTGAATTTGTTTCGTCGCTCGTTGGCTGTTGACTAAGATCCTGACTACTGTTCGGACTGACCAAAAACTTTCCATTGTTGGTACGAGTCACTTGCAGATGAAGAGGATGCTGCCTAACGGCGGCTGTCACTCTCATATTGTGCCGTATTTACACGTGCACTCTTGTTTACCACTCGCGACACTACTGCCTTTTTTTATTATTATTATTATTATTATTATTATTATTATTATTATTTCTTCGTGTCTTCACTACCGTATTTGAAAACAGTTTTATAATTCGTATTATTGTCGGTGAACCGATAAAAGAGAATAGTCATTGAACACACTTCACGTCACAAGATTACCACGCGGTAGCTGCGACGATTATCGATTTTTTTAAACGGATCTATTAACGTTCATAACCTCTAACAATGTAAACGCGTGTATAATTACTAATTAATTATTGGTTAGGAATATCATCACTTGTGCGCGGGCCCACGCAGTGTTGCTTCGTGCTATCGATGGGTCCTTGGACGGAGATCTTCGTAGGTGACAAATTGGTCACTTTTATGTTTAATTTCTGCAAAAAATAAATGAAATTGAATGATACAATTATAATTTAAACATAAATAATTTGATATAAATTTGTGGGTATACGAAATATAAAAAAAATACATATTATAAAATAGGACAGCAGAATAGTGTCAATTACACGTAGGTACATATTCGTAATAGGTCTCGAATGACGAGAGTTCCGTTCATTAACTCTATGTGATTCACGGACAATTTCAAAAGACGATGTTTCGACATTCGTCCTGCCTGGTGCGCAATTTCCATAGAGAAGGGGACACTGTAAGGTCAGGGATATATCGCTGTAAGGCGGTCGTTGCGCCGCGCCATTCTACCCAGCTGAGGAAGCCGAGGAAGCCAAGTCGCAGAAAAATTATAAAACGTGATGCAAGAAAATCGCGAGACATTATTAATGCCACTAATTGCACAACAAATTTTTCCCGTTTCTTTCGTTTATTTATCACCTTGTCGCGCGAAACTGATAATTCCGCATATCAATTACCATACATATGTAGATATAGTATACTACATTATATACTATTTAAAGTATATTACATTTTAATACTGTCTGAAAAAACATGTACAATCATCTGCTTCTTGTAAAAATCAGTTTTCTAACTAGGCTTGCTGAAACTCAACGATACTGTATGTAAATTCAATGACCTTGCCGGTATGCAATCAGATTGCGAGATCTGTCGCATATAAATTACGAGATACAAAATTAAGACAAAATTATAGGCTATTTTTTAATAAATATTTTTAAATAATACGACAAATAATACGACTCAGGTTAGCTTTAAAAAGTCAACTTGATTGTTCGATTCCACGATAAGCAGAAAAATTCAGACTATCGATATTCGTGAAATCGCGCCATTACGATATCTGCGCACTTGCGCAAAACTTCTACCGTTCCAAAGATCAGGGATGTATGTACATACGTGAAAGTATTTACTTACTTCGCCCCCCAGTTTCCCTCCTCAAAAGATATTAATTCAGACGAGAGCGCGATTCAAAATCGTCATCTTTACACCGAAAGACTGACCGGAATACGTTTTTATTTTCGATCACTCGAACATGAGAGGTCAGCGGTGTATCGACAGGTGCGGAACTCCGTACTGGAACTCGTGAGCAGTTGAGCAGTGAGCGTCCTCTATCCACGTTCATTGAATGAACGAGAATCTGACGAAATAGTCTGCTTAGAATTAGTGAAGGATTGCGTCCACACGGTAGCGCGTGTTGAAACGCGTGTATACCCGGACACGCACACTACCAAGCAGATAGCAGATATCCTTCGGTAAGGTCAAAATGGCGGAGTTCCACAGTTGTCACGGCGATATTGCGGGCACCGGTTGCATTAATAGCGCGCAAACATGACGCAATACAGCGAAATAAATTGCCTAACACGTTCGTTCACGTAGCCCCTAACTTTATATTGATGGATTAAATCGGCCTTTAACGATAAGTAACTTCCGACAAACAAAAAAGAAACTACAAACAATGACAACAAAGTATGGCTTCCTTCGATCGTTGGAATATAAAAGTACAAAGCCAGTCATTTAAGTAAGTGGTCAAACATGAACCTGTTTTTTTATTCAAATACTCGATCAACAAAAATATATATCCGAATATTTTGTATAATTCACATTGGTAGATGAAGAACATTTCAATTCTCAAATTGGTCAGATGTCACAAAATTATTAAACGTCTGAAAGGGGTAGCGCACCAAACAAAGTAAGCAAAGATACAATGAAGAGGTTGACATCGATCTGGTACGTGTCAGTAATAATCACTGCACTTTGCACTGTACTCGCGTGAGGCTGATACGCAAAATATCTGTACGCGCACACACTACAAACACATTCCTTTTTCATTTGAAATACATTTGCCCAAATGTATACAGCAGGATGAAGATGGATTACCTTTGTAATGTTCTTCTTGTTGCCGTACGTTCCTGAACGGGAGGCTGAGATGGAGAAACAGCCAGACGTAACCGAGTTTCCCCCAAATACGTTGTTAATAAACCGCCGTCTGCTCGAAAAGCATACACCTGGTTTTTAACCGGGCGTACTGGTTTTTCGAATAGCGCGCGCGTTGGATAAAACCTGGTCTTCTTTCCGTTGCTTCTACCTTGGTGGATGTTGGTAGGTGTCTTTCTGTCTACGGTTCTCACAATTCGTCTTCCGACCAGCCGTCGTGTTAATGTTTCTCTTTCGTCATACAGCACGGAGGACTGAACGATTTCAGAGAAACGGTGAAAAGCTGAACGGTTACGAACGAGGGAGAGACTGTGCGGAGAGATTTGTATCCCGCGCAACGGACGGTCCAACGTTTTGGGCCGGCCCTCCGCTCAGAAACGACGGCGGCAGCAGAACAAACAAGTACAGACCGATCGCGCCATTGTGCAGCAAACGACTAAGGCTACAGTCGCCGCCTCAGGTTAATCCGACGGAATCGGTAAGTACGCGTCAGGGAGGGGTAAGCAAATGCGCATGCGTGTTTCACAGTCTTGCCAGTGTCGACGTAAGAGCCTCGCATGAATGGGTGCTTCGTGTTCTTTTTTTTTTTTGTTCCTGAAAACGTGATTCAAATTTTACAAAATACATTGCGTATACCTGACGTATCCTTACGGTGAGATATTTCTTTTTTTACATTTTGATAGAACAATACCGCTTATCGTATTAAAGTATTAAACGCGTCTCATATATGACAAAAGGAATTACCAACCATGCATATTTTTACCAACATTCTTAAATTGTGTTAACACTTTTCTTCCTCCCGTAAAAATAGTCGATCGCTTCAAAATTACTATAACACTCTACACATAACGTGAACATGTTTTTTTTTCCATTTCATATCGGTCACGTTACTGATTCAGCACTTTTATAACCAGCTTTTACATGTTTAGCAATGCGCTTTTAATTTACATTTAATTTACACCGATGATGCAACGAGCCACAAAATTACGCGATAATGATAGAAGGCAATGAAAGCGTGTTCTTTTTGTTTCTATTATTCGAAAATGGGGCCTTGCGATTTTGAGATGCGCTACTGGCCACATCAGTGCGTACGTGGGCACCCTAAACCGCGACACGCGGTCGTGCACGTAAATCTTTCATACATTCACAACAGACAACAGACAACAGACAAGAGACTATCCGTAACATCAATTATCTCTACATCATTCGAATGTCATTAGCAGGTAACATAGATTGAAAATTCTTATTAAAATTTTACTCCATACGAACATGACCAAACATGTTTGTCGTACAAAAATTTATTAGGTTAACCCTGGGACGGTGAACCATGAAGATAGTCCCAATTTGAATGTAATTTTGTATTTCATATTATTTTCATTTTCTACATTTTACACTGTACCTTAAAAAATTATTCTTCCAATATTAATTAAGTATAATTAATATACCATCTCGATTAACTCACAAGACTCCGCTGTTCAAAGGCTAATTATCGTATGTACATACATAAGTGGTTGGACACTTTTGAAGCCTCTTGGGCGATAATACATAAGTGATTGCAAAAGTGTACAGTTTTTGACTATTCCTTTCGCATAAATGTTGTGTCCTTGACCTACCTTAACGTTCCTTAGTAACCGCGGGAGGCATGCTTTAAACAATTGGTGATAACTAAGGGCATGTAACCTCACCCACGTACTTACTCAGCTATGACCGTGAGAAAGCTTCTTATCGTCTCATGTACTTTTTGTCACACAGAAATGGTAGTTTCACAGATATATGTATGTACATACATATTGTTGAGTCATTTCTCGAAATACACTCGAAGAATTTATTTCTTTGTACAAAGTTGGATCATAACTTAATACTTTTTAGTTTTGCTTACGTAATTTGTCATTAGTCGTATGCAAAGCGTATTTACGATATCGGTTGATCAAGGTAATTAAAACATTCTAGTCGTTTTTCAATAGGAAGTTTTCTGCGTTTCGCACAGTAGAAAATGTTTATAGTTTATTGTAACGTAAATTGTATACGTGTACTTATGTATGTATGTATGTATATTCTTCTGAAGGGATACGGTTGATTGCGTGGCGTTTGAATCAGGCTGGAGTCAGGGTAAGACCTTCGAATTTCTAAACGAGCTCGACGACCGGATATTGGTCAACTTGGTGCTTTTTCCTTTTAACGTACTCGATTCTGCTACCTGCGTGGGTGCTTCTTAATTCATTTTGCTGGATGATGATTTTTGAGGAAGTATAAAAAGTGTAACGACTGAGATCTGATGCAACCATCTTCAAAATTTACAAAAACCAATGTGAGATCATTATCGATTTTACGCTTTGCTAAAAACTTCATATCGACAATATTTAAATCACTGATTTAAATCCATCGTTAATAATAGATCTGTTTCTTATCGAAGTAAAAACTTTAACATATTTCTGGTACGTTCTAAAATTCACTTTTTTGAATCTTACAATTGGTTAGAATAGTAAGGGAGTTGTTCTACATTTTTAGGAGAGCCACGCCCACTTTGGCCCCTATCTATAAGTAATTACGTCAATGATGATTTGTACGAATTTAATTATACTGGATATAAATCAAGACAGTGATTACGCAGTTACACGTGCTTTTCCACTCGTCATCAGACAGTACTCGTTAGTTTGTCAAAATATTTAAAGAAATCTGATTATCAGTTTAATCATGAATGAACAATGTATACATTTCAACAAAGTTGGTAATTGATAAATGTAACTAATAGAGTATGAGGAGAATTAATTTAGTAGATGTTTTCATAGCTCAGGTTTCATACCTAATAGGATCAGTTATTTAATTTTCCAATACGAAATACAATTGTGAAGTGTCTTTAAATGATCGATTTCGATAAAAATCTTGTAACGGATCGATAATGATCTGTTCGATGTGTCATGTCTTCAATAAATCCCGTAAATTATTTTACGCTTCAATTGAAACGTGCAATAATTGCTTTCATAACACGTTCGTGTTTTTATCGCGAGTCTCCTTATCTGTTATTACCTCCAAAAAGAAAAAAAGATACGTTTTGCAATATGTACAGTAGGTGTACATACATGACAGCGTTTTATTGTTCGATAAACGGAAGCGTGCACGGTTTTCATCGTTCCGGGAAAGTCGGCTCACTTTCCTTTAGATAAAAATCTAATTTCTATCTTCGAATCGTATAGGTCTGATATACTAATAACCGGTAGCACTGATAACACTGGTATTATGTTTAATTTCGTATCTATCGTAAACGAGGAATTCACAAATAAGATTGCGAATATTAAGGTGGGAGAACTGAATTTCATTCCCCTAAGGTTCTTGGCTCTTATCCAGGTGCTAATCGATAATGTATCCTAGATGGTATTTACATATATGTATGTATAATCAAATTGAAACCTTACAATTAGTGTTGAACCTCTGTTAGCATTGTTTTATAATAGTTGATGTAAAGGAAGTAAAAAAGAAGAAGAGAAATGATCTTGATTGGTTCAATTGTTAGGAAAGACAAAATTGTCGCGAAACTGTTGGAGAAATGCGTTTAAAAATATGGACAGAGGATAATGAAGAAACCGGGTTTACAAACGTCAGATTATTAAATTCTTTTAGATATACTCGAGGTCATTGGGTGGCTGCTTGATAATTCCCCAGGCTGATCGAGCGACAGGCAAACATTGAACAAGAATACGTGACGCTCGTCATGCCATCACGAATTTTATGGACGCGGCTTTCTTTACTTTTCCTCTTGCTTGCATATAGCTGTGAAAGAGATTAAAATCGTGTTGTCGTGATTACTCGTGCAATTACTCATCGAACGGTATTGTAGATTGCTGACTAAAACCCAATGGAATACGGTGACGGAAGTATCCGGTTGTCTTTGTGCTTCGGGATTCGAACGAAAATTTCGATGAACTTGCGTAATAAACTCGATTCCGGAAAAAGCCTGGCTGGCTAATCGCATATTTGTTCGTTAATCGCGATTTTACGTGGTAATTTCAGATAAACGAAAGACTTAAGACTTAATTGAATGCTTCTAGATTTTTTCAACTCTGCTGATGTCCGAGACGAGAATGATAAATTTTATCTGAATTCGATGTAACAGCTGACCGGCATTGCATCTTGCGGTGTAATCAATGATGAAATGTATCATGTTGAATCACCTTACGATTAGACGTCAAAGACACCATTGTATTTCATTTTTTTAAACGATTATTGCGTTTAGTGGTGTAATTGATAATTTAAAAAAAATTCACAAAATGCGCATTGAGATCTGATATTTTTCGAACTGTTTTTGTTTATAACATTTTAATAAACAACGACCGCCGAGTAAAATCTACAGAATACTACTCAAAGTGATAACCTTGAGAGCATATTAAAAAGTCATTGAGATTAGAGAATGGTATCTTTTTCTAAATATTTACCATTATTTTTAAAACATTGCAATATTATATCGATAATATGTATACATTTGTTTACCTTACCTATCTCTTGAGAAGCTCGTTCTCTGCAGAGACACTGTGTTGTACATTAACTACTGTCTACTCGCCGAGAGAAAAGATTCTCTCGACGGCCTTCAAGCGCACTCGATAAATTCTCATGCATGCGATTTCAAGGGATTCGAGCGTGTAACTGGGTCATCCCGACAAGGATACGTTGCGAGTGCAATTTATCGAGTGCTGCTTTGAAACCGCGAGGAAAACCTCGTACGATGTCAAGTTCGACTACCACCAATCTCGTTCAGAACGTTTTACTCGAAATTTAAATTTTTTTCATTATTAACCAGTTACGTATCAGATGTTACAAATATACATGTATAATTTTTTAAGGAACAGTGTAAAATTTAAGAGTTCAAAGGGGGTTAATACCTCGCAACGTTATTGTCGAAGGATAACTTCCTCTTGCATTACGAGATGGCGGCCAACCTGGTAATTATTAATGACTAATCGAGGTAAAACTAAAAACGTGACCCTGTGGCTGTGCGTTCTTCGCACGAATTAGAAAAGTAAGATCGACTCGACCTCGAAATCGATATTGCAAAGTAGTCGAATGACGCGGTCCTGGCTGACCGAATCCGACGCGTCTAAGGACTCGAGACGAAGGTCGGTGACAAGGAAAAAAGATGGGACCAATGCTCTATCGTACGGAATGAAGTGTCGATCCTTGGCTGGCCGCTTCTTACGAAACGACATTGCTTCGTTCACGACGACCAGAGGGATCGGTTCGATTTGCTCACGTGCCATTGCGACGACCGATTGAGAAATGGCCATGATAACGAGATTCATCGAACCCACCCTCCCTTTCTCTCGTCTCTCCTGGAAACTCTTCGTTCGTTCTACTTCAAAATTTAACCCATTCGTATACATGCTATGGTAATTATCGCAAAATTTATTTTTCAATTTATTTTTCATCGGCATTATTTCGTCGTACAGTAAAAAAAAAAAAAAAAAAAAAAAGGAACAGAAAAGCAGAAACGAAGAAACAGGATAACAGATAACGTTAGATAATACGAGTTATTGCGAATACAATGTCTGTCGGCGTATAATACATTTCGTAATGCTCAATAAAACACACTGGTGATAACAGTTATTCACTTATTTTCTTGCACTCGCCTCGTTGCATCAGTGTGTTGGAATATATGTAGTGTTTCTTTGCTTTCAAGCAAATATATATTTTTTTCAGTTTGATAAATCAAATTCTTTCATTATTTTGCGAAAAAAAAAAGAAAAATTAGTAGAAGAATGATAAATCTTTTTATTGTAGAGGATGTTTAAACACTTCTTCTTCATTGAATGTTAACCCTGGTATGACAAACCATGGTGACAGCTCCAATTTTAATTCTATTTCAATTCTATTTCATATTATTTTCACTATTTTGCCCTGATAGTTGTCGTGATACGATTACCTACCTGCGAAAACTAACGAGGCATTTCTAATATTGGTTGAATGTGTTCACGATATCCTTTTATCATTCATGTTTTTTATTCCACCTTTAACATGATTTGTCATCTTTGCATATTGATTTTGCCTATCTGATCGCATGCGTTTTGTTCGTGCACCGAAATTCACCTGACAAAACAAGGAATTTCGAAATGCGAAGACGAGCGCGGAAAACAAGCTATCTAATCGTCTAAATTTTGCAAGTCGTTTCAACTTGCACAATACGATTAATACTCTTGTCTATATCCTCTTGATACTTAAAGAATACAAGTTTCTTTATAAAAATTTTCAGAATAATGAAATAAAAATGTCGATTATGTGGATTAACACTGTATTTCAGAATAACATCTATTAAAAATGTATATTTATTCAGTATACTCGTGCTTTCTCGATTCTTCGCGGTACATAATGCGGTCTGTCGATGAGAAAAACGAAGAAAGGTGCAGCCTGTGCACGGGCACACGAGACTCGATACACCCTTGCAGCTTGCCTGCTCTAAGGTATCCTTCGTAATCCTGGTTATCTCGTGCTGCGTGCCTTTGCAGGGGCCTGCAGGCACATCTGCTGTTGCTAAAGCTAAAGAAAGAGGAAATCGCCGCGAGGAGACCTCTGGAGAATGGACGTTGTGTTCTTGGATCGTTACTCGTATATACATACATACATACATACACCTAACACCTGCCTCTGTAAGCTATTCCGTTTCTGCCTCCTTTTTGTTCCTTGATTACCTTATGCCTTATGGCCTTATGGCATCGGCCACGAAAGGAACAGAGAAGAAGCGAACAAGGCTCGTGCTACTCGTCCAACGATCTACGGGTTACCTGATCTTTGTGGGTTTTATGGTCAACCTTGGTTCATCCTAAATTTCCGGAAATTGGCCTGACTGTTTCGAAATTCCTTTCAAACGCGATGGAATTTGAACCTTAAATATGTACCTGAATCGTCCTTCTTATTTTGTCCGTTTACATGGTTCGTTGTGGTCTGTATTGATAAACAAAGGTACCTATGTATACATATATGTACATTTGAACTCAGTCAGGTGCAGAACGAAAAAAAGAACAGCCATTAGAATCATAACGGAAGACATTAAATTCGCGACAAAAATAATACGAGTTGAATTGCTTCGAAAGTGAGTTTCTCTACGAGTAATAAGACAATCCATCATCGATTTCTCAGGCCTTCCTCGTGGCCGAGTACGAACGTCGATCGAAGGCTGCATTTATTTGGGTCGCGTATACCAGCAAATTATCTCCCCGATCCTTCCGCTCTTACAACGTCTCTGACCCCTATTCTTACTTTCCTATCAGTCTTTATCATGTATTTATAGTCGTCTCGCGGTTACTTGTGTATTGTTTTACCAATACTCGTTGGATTTTACGAAAGTGTCTGGTGAGCAATGCTCCACGTTGAAATTTCAACTATAGTACATACTCTTGTTGCTTCATTACTGGAGAATTTCATTAATTGTGTAAAAAGATGATGAAGTGTTCAATAGAAATTCCTGATCTCCTTATTGTTACGCAATGTATTGTAACTGAATCGATTGTCTGCTATTTTAGTATCCGCGTTTCTTATTTTACATTATATGTATATAGTAAGAGGGAAAGCTTTCGCGGTCCATAAAGAGAGTACCAATTTTAATTTAATTTTGTATTTACACTGTTTTTTATACACTTTCAGTCATTCTAATATTATTATATACATAAATATAAAAATTTCTAAATAATACTAAATTTCAGTTTTTCCAAAATGTCGAAAAGCGCGTCGTCGCAATCACCATCTAAGGAAAAGCAGGAAGATAAGACGGATCCGGGAGCTAGTAGACACGGGAACTTCATGAATTATTACCAATTCCATCCTGCGGAAGAGCGCGTGCGACAACTTCCGTGTGGCGTGTGGCGGTCGGCTCATCCGGACCGGAAATACGTAGGCCTAGACGTCGGCTGTAACGCGGGGGTAAGACTGAAACAGCTGTCAGACAAAATAGCATGACTCGACCGTGATCCGAAATTACAAACGACGTGCTTCCTTTTTTTTTTTTCCTTAATAATTACTCGGATTACTTAGTCGCTGCTTCCGGAAATTCTTCCACTTTTGCTAAATAAAAATTCATTTAAAAATTATCTCTCTCCATGGTTCGTCGTCCGAACGACCTAAAAGTGGTAGGTAACTATTGAAAGTGTGTTACGATGTAACAGAAGGGAAGTGGTAAGCAGAATAATAATGGCAAAACTTTACGAACGTTCTTAAGTACTCGTTTGCAAATAAATCGTAAGGTAAAGGATTAATGATTTCAGGATTTAACGTTCGTGTTGCACGACTTCCTCGAGAAGGCTTTATCGGCTGATCAAGCAGAGATCTCTCTGCTCGGCGTGGATCTCGATCCGATCTTAATCGAGCGAGCAAGGGAACGCAACCCACGACCGGATCGTATTATTTTCGAGTGCCTCGATTTTCTAACCGAGGATCGTAACCGGACACTGTACGAATACCTTCGACGGTTCGAGAAGTCACGGTTCGACGTTGTCTTTTGTTTCTCCATTACAATGTGGATTCACTTGAACTACGGTGATAAAGGACTGATCGAGTTTCTACAGAAAGCATGCTCGATCGCTGAAATGATCGTGATCGAGCCTCAACTATGGAAATGCTATAGAAACGCGTCAAGAAGGCTAAGACGATCCACGGCAGAGGATTTTCCTTTGTTGAAAACTCTGAAGCTTACCGGTGATCCGGCGACTCACATTGAAAATATATTGACAGGACTTTGTAATTTCCGAAGAGTCACGGTTACAGTGGACAACGAGTGGAAACGAAGATTATTAATTTATGCCAGGACGCGATCAACGATCGATGATGAGTTTCCGTATGTTAATCGACGTCAAATGAATGAACGATCGACGAGTTTTAATTCAACTGTTGCTGCTGAGAATACAAATGATATTGTTTAGTATGAAAGGCTGACGCGATTAAAAGATAAACACAATTTTCTTATCTTGCTATAAGTTGTATAATTTTAGGATATTTACCTCCTATAACTCATATTTTCTTATACTTCTAAAGTTACTAATTTTCAATTGTAACAACATAAAATGTTAAAGATCAAAATTGCAAACACACGACACCGGCCATGTTAATAATTCTATATTAAAGTTTTAATGCTTTTGTAGAATTAATTATAATTATTTATTTTAATTGAAATTTATAAATGTTATCAAGTCTTCACAGGTTGATGAATGAGGAACATGAGGAAAGGATGAATGTTCATTATCATGGGCATTCTCTTCCTTATCGACCTCGACGTCGGCTGCCACACGTATTATACTGACCGTGCCATCTAGTAGAGAGTCAGGGAAACAACCGACGAGTTGATTGGTAAGTGTAGAGCAGTTACCGCCATATTACTAGTAACTATATTAAATCTGTATTTACTGAGCATACGTACACAAACGATTTTCTCATTATTTTAAAAGGTTTGTGTAGTGTTTTATTAGTTTTGTATTTTATTAAAATTTAAAACGTACATTTTTCTCTTTATAGATAGAAATCATGGCTGTACAACCAAATCAACAATTTAGTATGGGTTAGTTGAACATAACATCTCCTCTAATTAATTTTTAATTCTATCTATGAATATGATTATATTAAATGTTAAACATTTCAGATCCACCAGCTCAGCAAAGTTTCGTACGATTTTTTAAAAATTTACCAGAGGTAACTAAAAATTATATTCTTATATCATATTAGTATTAATTATTTTCATTTATCTCGTTATTAATCCACAAATTTATTTAAGTTTATATAGTAATCATTTGACAGGAAAGAAGGTGAAACATTATAAAAGAAATTTTATTTAAATAACAAGGTATACAATAACTATAGAATAATTGCATTCTATAATACTACAATGTTTTCTTCAAATCATTAAATTAACAAATTAAATGAGAATAATATATTACGTGACATTGATAAATAAATTGTTTACAATGACAAATCTTATATTACAAAACAAATTACTTATAAATAAATAGTCAACAATGTGTAATAGTTACATATTTATCCAAAAATATTTCTAGCTTTTTCTTTAGCTTTATCAAAACTGTTTGTTATTTTATGACCAAGTTTTGACCAGAAAGATGATGAAGGTGTTGTTACATCAATTGGGTCTAACGGTTCCACAGGCATTGGTGGAGGCGTTGTTTCTCCTGGTTTTTCACGAATGTCCCATGGATCAGCACCATTAATAGGTGATAGTGTAGCACTTGGATTTATTGTAATTCCATGGTATATATCATCGCTATGAGATACATCGTACGGTCCACCTCCATATGCTTCCAAAATTCTTGGCTCTAGCTGATGTAAATTTTCACTGCTTCTAATATATTTTTGTTCATTGTCAGTTTCTTGATTAACTGTTCCTTCATCAGATTTAGCTGCTTGTCCAAATGCATAATTTTCAGAATCCAGATATAACTGTGATGCTTGATTGTCTTGATTATCATTAATTAAGTATTTACCTTGAGTTTCTTGTTGATCAGTAGTTTGTTGCAAATCAGAAAATTTTATTTGGCTTGTTTGTTGCTGTAAGTTTTCCTTATCCTTTTGATCTGTTTGTTGCACAAATTGTCTGTGATCGCTAGGGTGATAGGTATAATGCCATTGTAAACCAACAGTTGCATCATTAGATTTATGTAACCAATTTACTTGATCTACATTATCCCCTTCAATATTATACGAATTGATTCCAGTTGGTCGATTTGAATCTTTAGAATTATTTCTGTTAGAATTTTGGGCAAATTGATCACCTCGAATGTCTTGACTTCTAATATTATCTTTATCATTTTCAGATTCAACATAAGGTGGTATTTCATAAATGCTTGGAATATATGTATCTTCTTTGTTAAGATATGTAGGTTTCTGGATGTTAGAATAATACATATTCTGATTCTGGATCTGTGTATTACCTACTGAACCAACTCTTGCATATCTGGATCTGGGTTTTGGTTTTCCTGCAGGTTTAGGAATATGTGTCGTAGATTCCTGTTCCATTGCATAAGTGTCAGTTTGTGACGACTGTCCAAATTCCCGCTTTCCAGATGTTTGTTGAGTAAGATCGACGAATTCACCTGTCTGTTGAGTCAAATCCCCCATTTGCTGGTTTGTACTAGCTGATCTCCAAGGCTGATAAGATTGTTGTGATTCCTGGCCAAATTCAAGCTTTCCCGAGGTTTGCTGGGTAAAATCATCATGGTTACTTGCTTGTTGAGTTAAATCCTCTGATTGTGGTCTCCAAGGCTGATGAGATTGCTGTGATTCTTGACCAAATTCGAGCTTTCCGGACGTTTGCTGGGTAAGGTCATCCTGATCACTTGTTTGTTGAGTTAAATCTTCTGATTGTGGTCTCCAAGGCTGATAAGATTGCTGTGATTCCTGGCCAAATTCAAGCTTTCCCGACGTTTGCTGGGTAAGATCATCATGGTCACTGGTTTGTTGGGTCAAATCCTCTGATTGTGGTCTCCAAGGCTGATAAGATTGCTGTGATTCCTGGCCAAATTCAAGCTTTCCCGACGTTTGCTGGGTAAGGTCATCATGGTCACTTGTTTGTTGAGTCAAATCCTCTGATTGTGGTCTCCAAGGCTGATAAGATTGCTGTGATTCCTGGCCAAATTCAAGCTTTCCCGACGTTTGCTGAGTAAGATCATCATGGTCACTGGTTTGTTGAGTCAAATCCTCTGATTGTGGTCTCCAAGGCTGATAAGATTGCTGTGATTCCTGGCCAAATTCAAGCTTTCCCGACGTTTGCTGGGTAAGATCATCATGGTCACTGGTTTGTTGAGTCAAATCCTCTGATTGTGGTCTCCAAGGCTGATAAGATTGCTGTGATTCCTGGCCAAATTCAAGCTTTCCCGACGTTTGCTGAGTAAGATCATCATGGTCACTGGTTTGTTGAGTCAAATCCTCTGATTGTGGTCTCCAAGGCTGATAAGATTGCTGTGATTCCTGGCCAAATTCAAGCTTTCCCGACGTTTGCTGAGTAAGATCATCATGGTCACTGGTTTGTTGAGTCAAATCCTCTGATTGTGGTCTCCAAGGCTGATAAGATTGCTGTGATTCCTGGCCAAATTCAAGCTTTCCCGACGTTTGCTGGGTAAGATCATCATGGTCACTGGTTTGTTGAGTCAAATCCTCTGATTGTGGTTTCCAAGGCTGATAAGATTGCTGTGATTCCTGGCCAAATTCAAGCTTTCCCGACGTTTGCTGAGTAAGATCATCATGGTCACTGGTTTGTTGAGTCAAATCCTCTGATTGTGGTCTCCAAGGCTGATAAGATTGCTGTGATTCCTGGCCAAATTCAAGCTTTCCCGAGGTTTGCTGAGTAAGATCATCGTGGTCAGTGGTTTGTTGGGTCAAATCCTCTGATTGTGGTCTCCAAGGCTGATAAGATTGCTGTGATTCCTGGCCAAATTCAAGCTTTCCCGAGGTTTGCTGAGTAAGATCATCATGGTCACTGGTTTGTTGGGTCAAATCCTCTGATTGTGGTCTCCAAGGCTGATAAGATTGCTGTGATTCCTGGCCAAATTCAAGCTTTCCCGATGTTTGCTGAGTAAGAATATCATGGTCACTGGTTTGTTGTGTCAAATCCTCTGAATGTTGACTTGCACTACTTGCTCTCCAAGGCTGATAAGATTGGTGTGATTCCTGGTCAAGCTCAAACTTTCCCATAGTTTGCTGATTAAGGTCATCTTGTTCGTTTGTTTCCAATGTCAAGTCTTCTGAATGCTGATGTGCTCTATCTGGTTTCCAAGGTTGATGGGATTGTTGTGTATCTATTAAAGTATCATCAGTGTTTTGATCATCCTTTATACCGCGCTTATATTTCATTTTATATTGAGAGGTGCTTTGTGTATCATATGCACAATCAACAGTATCTCCTGTTTGACCTATATCAAGTGTTCCAGTTATTAGTTTCCCTAATTGTGTTCGGTGAGCAGAGTTATAACTGTTTTCTCTTAACTGATTCATGTAACTATCTTGTTGTAAAGCCTGATTCATATGTCTGTTTTCATATTGATTGCTGTTGTATTGCATATTGTTATCATTACGTATTTCTGAAATACCTGTGGCATACTGAGGAACAGATGCTTCTTTTGTATGACTAGCACTCCAGTGTTCTTTGTAATGTGCAGCTCGTCCTAGTGTACCAGAGTTAATTGCACTGTTCTGATCATGTCTTAACTGATGTGTGTCTAAATGTTCCATCTGTTGTATGTTATCCATTTGTTGTTGTGAAATACCTGTATTAAGCACACTGCTACTGTGGCCACTATTTCCAGTGTTAAGTACAGTAGTATACCCTGATGTAGGAACAATTATTTGACTGACTGGTTGAGATTTCGATATGTGGCCTTCTTGTTTTTCATACAGACTGTAACTATTTGTTCCATAAGAATTTGGAGATGGAATTCTGATAGGCACTTGTTCATTGGTAGCTTCTCTTAACTGTTGGTTTTCATTATGTGTTGCATATGAACTACTTTCATAATTGTTCTGACTTCTGTACCTGTTACTGTTTATGTTGTGAAGAGTAGCTGAATCATGCGCATTAATATTTGTTGATGCGGTATCACTGGATCCTATAGCGTGTACACCAGATGTCTGAGTAATTTCTCTGTGAAGTTTGTCTATTTCCTTTTGTAAATCTGGCACTGCAGCTTGTATAGGTTCAGGTATTCCACCATTTGAACTATAACTGGAAGTATAATTTTTTTTATAATAACGAACCTTTTTTGCTCCTGATACATATTGACCCTCTTCTTCAAAAACACGTCCATGTCCTCCATCAGTTTTATATGAATCAACTTTACTCCAATTTCCAGGTTGAATATTAGTATAATATGGCACTTGCGAAATTTGAGTATCAGATAGACCTTGGTGCAATGCTTGTGAGTTTCCAACGTGTTTTCCAAAATCTTCTAATCTTTCACTTTGAACATCACTTCTTCTGATCGATGATTGCATATGCTGTTGACTCTGCATTGCATTGTATTTATGCTGTTGTGTAATTGATTCAGAATTACCTATTTGATCGTACATCCTTTGAGAACTAAGCCCATCTGTGTTAGGCACCGGTACACTATGTCTATAGTTATTATTTTGATGTCCAATATCTGACAAACCTTCATCATTAGAGTATCTTGTACTGTATGAAGATGCATAATTTTTCTTATAATATCTCACTGTTTTAGGACCAGCAACATATTGACCTCGTTCTTCATGCACTTTCCCATGTCCATTATCTACATTGTAGTCGTTGTGCTCGGACCATGTTCCAGGTCGCGAATAATCAGGCCCTTGTAAAAGAGTTGCACTTTGTGATGCATGATCTTGAAAATTACCAGATGTTAGATATTCCTTAAAAGAGGAACTGCAGAGTTCTGTACATCCAGTTGGTGCAGATAATGTTTGAGTTATTAATAAGGATAGAATGGTAATCTGTGGTATCACCATATTATTTGTTTGGTCTCTGAAATAGAAAATATATTTAATATGTGTATTTTTCATTATGAAATAAAAAAGAAATTTTTATTTTTATTTTTATTTCCTTCAAAAAAATCATACTGATATAAATACTTGCAATACAATTATTATTCTACTTATTAATTGAAGTAATATATTTAATTACCTTCTAATAGAAGACCAAAATCACTTAATTCAGGTAACAGAATTAATGAATGAGATGTTCTCTGTGGCAGTATATGTTGACATGTATCACAGTCAAGTTGCAGCAATTCCATTTATGTTGATTTCCCCTTCTTCCCACCACGTCTATGAAAGCATTCTCTTTCATTCTTACACGATGATAATGTTTTCTGTGCATTTACTCCAGTTCATATATGTTCTTATCACTGTTAATAATTCACAGTAACAGTCAAAATATCTATAAGAAGAACTGTATCAAGAACACTTGACAAACATTTACAACATCTGATGTAGTTTTATAACATATTTTTAAACTTAGTACACCTAACACATTATTTCTAAATATTTGTGCCTATTCCTTTGAGTTCTAGGTAACAGTTATAAATGGTTTTCCATGTTTGGTTCAATGTGTCATCAATGATGTCATTCTAAATGTATAACATCCTTGTTGTGATGTTTTAATTTATTCCTATTTCGCAACAGGTATAGCTTTAAGCTGATTATGATTCAGTTGCATCATAAATGTACATGATTCTGTAACATTAATTTTAAAAAATGTATGTCTTAGTAGTTATTAAATACTAAAACAATTTACTAAGAAGAATATGTTATGTTAATATGAAAAACTTTATTTAAACAATATTAAGTATTACACATATTTGAAAAAGTAAAGCAGTTCATGTTTTTGTAACGGTCTACTTAAAACATGTATTACTGACCTTCCTGGAATATGAACTGTGATCTTTTATCATAAGAAGACTGAATAATGCTTCCAAGATAGTGTTATTAAATTAACTGTTACTCTGAGCTTTCCTGCTGATTAATTGTTTGCAAATTATATTTCATATCCATATATATATAAATATAATTTTATATAATGTTCAAGGCAACAAATAATATATTTTCTCATTGTATAATGAATTTAATAAAAATGTAATATTATTAGTAATTGTTACTACATTTTTAAAGCATATGAAATTAAATTAAAATTATGTATTGTCTTATGTTATGTGTTTTGAAATTGTTTTAAAAGTGTTTATCACAAAATAGCAAGTTTCCTTGAAACCATGCACATCACATTAATATCAGTTCATGATGCTCTGACCCTAGATAGACATTGACCTACAGATATATAACAAGATTCTTCATTTTCTTGGAAACAAGAATCACAGTAATAATAAATTAGTAGTAGTTATCATTATTTTTGTATCAAATATTCTTATTTTATACAACATGTAAAATATTAATACAATAAAAAATGTATATATTTGTATTTTTATGTATAACATGTAATATATTATAAAACATGTGTCTAATTAAATAATCTATTTCAGAAACTGAATACCACTGTAAGATTTTTCAATAGATCAGATTATTACACATTACATGGCAGTGATGCTCTATTTGCAGCACAAGAAGTTTTTAAAACCACAGCAGTTTGTAAAATGATAGGAGCAGGTATGATTTTAAATTGAATTTTGAAAGAAAAACAAATAAAACAAAATTTATGTTTTACTTCCAGATCCATACAAAACTGAGGGTGTTATTTTAAATAAAAATCACTTTGAATCATTTATACGTGATTTATTACTAGTGAAGCAATACAGAATAGAAGTTTATGTTAATCAAGGATCAGCAAAAAATCAAAATTGGGTGCTGGAATATACAGGTTCCCCTGGTAATTTAAGCCAATTTGAAGATGTATTATTTGGTAATAATGATGTTGCAGTTAATGTACTTGTAATAGCAGTGAAATTAGGAATGGATGGAAAATCTAGAGTGAGTAATAATGTACTTTCCAATAACTTTCTATCATTATTATTATTATTTTGTTGTTGTTGTTGTTGTTGTTGTTGTTGTTTAAAAGTATAACTAATCTTGTTGGACTTTATAATTTTTGCAGGTTGTTGGTCTAAGCTGCTTGGATAGCACAGCAACCTCATTTTCCGTTTGTGAATTTCAAGATAACGAGACATTTTCTAATCTAGAGTCACTTGTTGTTACACTTGCTCCCAAAGAATGTTTATTAATTCAAGGCGAAGGCAGCTATGAATTTCAAACTTTAAAACAAGTATGCAGATAAAATATTCTCTTTATTACAAAATAATTTCATTAAAAATGTTATGATATAATAGTATTATTTGTTTATTTTTCTATAGTTAATGGAACGAAATAATGTAATGATCACTTTAAGGAAAAAAAGCGAATTTTCTAGCGAGTCAGTCGTACAGGATTTAAATACTTTAATCAAATTTAAAAAAGGTCAGCAGCAGAATGTACAGTCTTTACCTGAAATCAATTTTAATTTTGCTATGTCAGCTACTGCTGCTCTTATCAAATACTTAGATGTAAGTAATATTACATCATCCTAGAAGAAATCTAATTCATTTGTAAATTATAATAGTTTAACATAGTATCTTCCTGTTAGTTAACATCAGATGAAGGGAACTTGAATCAGTTTAGTATAGATCAAATAGAACAATCACGGTATTTAAAATTGGATGCAGCTGCTATAAAAGCACTCAATATTGAGCCACGTGTAGATACTCTTTCTATTTTAAATGGAACTGCACCCACAAGTATTTTAACTCTTTTGGATAAATGCAGAACAACTCAGGGACATAGACTTCTTGCACAATGGATCAGACAACCTCTGAAAGATTTATCTCTTATAAAAGAAAGACACGATATTGTTGAAGCATTAGTAAATGATAATGAATTACGATCCAATCTTAGTGAAGATCATTTAAGACGTATACCCGATTTACAAGTGCTTGCAAAGAAATTGTCTAAAAAGAAAGCAACATTACAGGATTGTTATAAGTAAGTGGACATTTATAAATTTAATTGTGCATACATACTATAATATGTTTATTAATTTTTTTAGAATATACATATGTATGTTAAATCTGCCAAGATTAATAGAACAGTTTTCCAATGTAAATGTAGTAGCCTTAAAAACAATGTTCAGTGATCCTTTAACCAAACTTGTTAATGATATGGATAAATTTCAACAAATGGTTGAACAAACAATTGATTTAGAAGCTGCTGAAAAAGGAGATTTTTTAGTACGATCCGAATTTGATGATGAATTAAAAGGTATTTGAAGTTTAAAATAATATTTAGGCATATCACGTTTATTTTTAATCTATTGATATTATGTTATTAGAATTAAAAAGTATCATGGACGAAATGGAAAAAAAGTTGCAAGCACAATTGAATAAAGTTGCCGATGACTTGTCAATTGAAGCTGGTAAAACTTTGAAATTAGAATCTAATCAACAATTTGGTTATTATTTTCGAGTCACATTAAAAGAGGAGAAAGTATTAAGAAATAAAAAACAGTATACTATTTTGGATTCTAATAAAAGCGGTGTACGATTCCGAAGTAATAAATTAAACGAATTAAATGACGAGTATATCGCTACTAGAGATAGATATACGATAGAACAAAAAAAAGTTGTAACAGAAATAGTTGAAATTGCAGGTTCGTGCATAGTATTGTAGAATTTACAAAAGGAATGATTAGTTATAATTTATTTGTTTTATTAAATTATATTTATTTGTTACATAGCTGGTTATAATAGCCCAGTAAAAGTTATTGGAAATACATTAGCATGTCTGGATGTACTTACTGCCTTTGCTTCTGCTGCTATAAGTGCTAATAAACCTTACGTTCGTCCTGAAATGTTACCTAGCGAGGCAGGTGAATTTAATCTTGTTCAGGTTCGACATCCTTGTTTAGAAAATCTAGAAGGGGTAGATTATATAGCTAACGATGTCAGCTTCAAAAGAGGTAATACCTTTCATTGATTTTTTTATAATAATTTTATATAATAATTACTCCAATTTTAGGAGAATGTCATTTCTGTATTATAACTGGTCCAAACATGGGAGGAAAAAGCACCTACATAAGATCTGCTGGTGTTACTGCATTAATGGCACACATTGGAAGTTTTGTTCCATGCGATGAAGCAAAAATATCGTTATTAGATTGTATATTTGCTCGAGTTGGAGCTGATGACTGTCAATTAAAAGGACTTTCTACATTCATGATGGAAATGATAGAAACTGCTGCTATACTAAAAGTAAATTTTGATAACTAGTATATAAAACATAAAGTATTAAACATAAAACTTCAATTAATTTTTTCAGGCAGCAACATGTAATTCACTTGTATTAATCGACGAATTAGGCAGAGGAACATCGACTTATGAGGGTTGTGGTATTGCATGGTCAATTGCAGAGTACGATATAAATAATATATTTTAAAATAAATTGTATAAGTTATAATTTATTCTAATTAAAATGTTTTCCTAGATATTTAGCAAAAGAGATTAAATGCTATTGCCTTTTCGCAACGCATTTTCATGAAATCACTAAATTAGAAGAAGAAGTGTCTGCTGTTAAAAACCAACATGTTACAGCTCTTGTTAGTGACAATAAACTAACTTTGTTATATAAAGTGAAAACAGGTACATGTGATCAAAGTTTTGGAATATACGTTGCTAAAATGGCTAATTTTCCGCAAAATGTGATAGAGGTATATTCTTTTCTTATTCCTTATATCTTTTAATTGAAGGTTTTCTACATATAATGATCTTGAAAACTAAATTTTATTTTTAGTTTGCTAAACGCAAACAAGCAAAACTTGAAGATTATCAGGATTCAATATTTAAAGGATCTGATGATCCACAGAAAAAACAAGAAATCATCAAGGTATCATTACTGTTGACCTTCTACATTGATTAAAAAACATGTACGTTCTAACTGAATTAATAATTTTACAGGAAGCAGAGATACTTATTGCAGAATTTCTTAACAAGTGTAAAAATTTAGATACATCTTTATCTGAGGCAGATTTAGAAGATAAAATTTCAATATTTAAGGAAGAGATTTTATCTCATAAAAATCCCTATATAAAAACACTTCTTGCAGCCTTGTAAATTAAAATAAGAAAGAACTAATGAAAATGACAGTCAGTATTATTTATAATGGTATTGTTAATTTAAGTTTTGAACAGGTACAGTGTTATTTTTATGAATCTTGAATTAAATAATTGATTTTTGTATACACACGCAATATATTTCTTTATGACCATGATACTTTTCAGATAAATATACGTATATTTAAATATTTAATTGAAAGAAGGTACAAACAGTAATCGTGGGTAATTATAGAATATTAATTATATTTTTGTTAACTATATTACGAAATACTTACTTTCACCAAAGAGAATTGTCAATTATATAATAAGTATAGTATAATAATCCTTATTGAAGTACCACCCGTTGATAACATATTGATTCAATATTTTCACCATTGTAACCTTGAACTTGACTAACGTATTCACTGTTTCTGGGGAGTGTCTGCAATCTTGTATTAGTAACTGTTAATTATACCTTTTGTATCATTTTTATTAATAATTATGGATCCTTCGATCTTCCCTGAAGAAATTTGGATAAAAATTTTATTATATTGTGATGTACCTGATATTATTGCTTTCGGTAGAACATGTAAATATTTAAGGAAAACTTCTGATACTGATTACCTGTGGTAAGTTCGAGGTTAAGTTTATGTCAAAGTTATATTGAAGTTCAATAATTTAACTGCTAAATAAATATAAATTAATTTCATTACAAGTTTTCAATAAAAAATGAAAAAGAATATATCTAAAACTATATGTAACTTCTAAAATTGTTATACAAAAATAACATCATTTATATCAATTTGTTTCTTTGAAATCTGTATGTTACTATTTAAATTAAACATATGTATTTGGAAAACTGTTCTTAAATAAATTTTCTTTGCTTTCTTTTGTAGGAAAATGAAGTGGCTACAATTGATTTCAAAAGTACATTTTAAATTTCCAGACATGAAATGTCTGCAACTGCTTAGTGTTAGTTTTAAAGCAATGTGTTATAGATTACATATGGTAATTACATCAGGGGAAAATTTTCATTTTCCAAAATGTCGTCATTGTAGTGGTTATACGTGTCAAAGAAATTGTGTTGAAGGTTCTAGTGCAAAAGTAGTAATTGAAATTGGAAATAAATACACATGGGTCATTACGCCACATTTTGAATTAAGAAGGCATTTATCAATGTTTGGTGTACCTAAATACAATAATGAAACATATTTGGAGCAAACACAAAATGTTCCAAGCAGTAGTGCACGACCAAAGGGTGATGGAAAATCATTAGCTAAGAAATTCAAACTGCTGAAATTATCTGAACTGGCAACTGCTAAGATTCCAAGACCAAGTGGTCCATTTTGTGTATTTTGTAATTCTGTTAAATTGTACAGGGAGAAAAAAAGATTAATTACACATCAAAATGATCCAACATGTTATGCAAGACCAAATCCAATTTATGAAAAACTTATAAATGGATATTGCACAGATACTGTTGAAGTACTTGGAATTCCAAATGTTGATCTTGTTAGTCCAGCAGAAGCATTATTAAGCGATGGAACATTTTCTGTTCTTAAAACATTTGTTGGTCATTTATTTCATCAGATGAGATTAACATCTACTTTAAGAAAACCCAATGCAGTACTTATGTTCTGTGAACCATTAGCTATGCATCCAGCACTCAGAAAAGAATTATTGCATTATTTGTTCCAAGAAGTTAAAGTGTCAAGGTAAGTTAAAAGAATCATACAAGAAAATAAAAAATTAGAAAAGTATAATTCACATGTTGCTGTATTGTTAATTAAATTTTATTTTTATCTCTAATCAAATTTTGTAGAGTATGTTTAGTCCCAAAGCCTCTAGCAGCATGTGCAATGCTGGATGTGGAAACTTGTGTAGTTGTTGATAGCGGAGCTCTTAGTACAACAGTAGCTGTTGTAATTGGCGGACGTGTTATACCACAACGCTGGAGATTATTACCTGTGGGTGGGTGGCATGTAGCTTATCATTTAAAGCAAGCCATGCATTGGTACCTAAAAGAATGTTATCATATTCCTATATCATATTTGGATACATTGTCTATCAAAGAAAGATGTAGGCTAAGCTACAATATTAAAAATGAAGAAAAACGTGTAGGTCAAAAAACAAGGGAATGTATTACAGTACGTAGTTATGCTGGCAACGAACGATTTTTGGTAAGTAAATTATATATTGATTGAACACGAGGGTTTTTAATAAAATTTCATGTAAGATGTAAAAGAAAAATTGATGAAATGTTTAAAAGAAAATATTGAATTGAACGTTTTCCAGAGAGTTTCCTTAGGTTCTGAATTATATATTGCTCCTGAAATGATGTATATCAATCTTGGTTTACCACAAGTGATAAAAGATGTAACATTTGGTTTATCAGAAGAAATACTGCACGATTGCCTCTCGCATATATTACTAACGGGAGGCAACACACACCTTTCAGGTTTTGAATTAAGATTAACTAAAGATTTACGGGAATTATTGCCTGAACATAGCAAAATTTTAGAAGTAAAAAGTTGCCCTGGCACTCATAGTTGGAATGTTGCCATGGGTTCCACGTATGTGCCTTTAACTGTACATCCTGGTGAGTATATAATTTTCACTTAAAAAATGTATTTTAATTATCAACTAAAGATAACAATACATTTTTATATAAAATGATGTGTATAACTTTTTTGTTAATTATTATACTAGACAAAACACCACCTGAATATGTAGAGGGTAATCCATTTTGGCTATCAAGAGAAGAATATATTTTATTTGGATGTGAATCATTGAAGCAGTAAAATTATAATAACTGATTTGACACAATACTGATACCTCACTTATTGTATAAATGCAAAACCATGCATGTGTAAAAATATTGCAGCATTAAAGGATAAACCATCATGAAGCAAATCTTTTCATGAATTGCCTTTAAATTATATGCAGAATGTAAGATAGATGATTAAAATTACATTCCAAGATAAAGTGCTTGGATCAAAATAAATATTGGTTGGTATTTAAAGGTTTGTTTAATATTATTTTGTATTAATACTGTTTAAATATTTACTATGTTACAGACACTTCTGGGGCCCATTTTCTAAACAAGGGAGCGGAAGGTGTGAATTCTCCCACCGCGTATGCAATGAATCTCGGATAGGTATACGTTGCTATACTTACACGTATTAAGCTCTTCATTTCATTTTGCCTTATTACTCCATGTTTAATCTTTCAACATTACATCCCTTTTAAAACATATAGGTATTATTAATACACATAATATTTCACACTGTCATCCCTTTCCATATTTGACTACAAAATTCTTCTGTTGCTATATTTTTATTATTTTTTATAGGTACAGATTTTTTTTAATATAATTATTCAAAGAGTCTCGATTTTCTAATGTGATTGGAATTTCTTTATTTGAGTAATGATAGTTTTAATGTTACATTATCCAACATACCAAAAATATATTTATTTTGTTATTATAGAAATTCTTTATTAACACCTATGTTTCTTGTTTTCATTTAAAATTATTCAAATCCAAAAATTCCGTCCATCCCAGGTTTTTGACTATCTGGTAAATTTTATTCATGATCATGTATAGAATGTGTTTGATAAGTAGAGTTCCGAATGGTTTTCTTCCACATTTGGCTAGGAGAAAATATAAACTTTAATTGAGAAAAGCTTTAATTAAATTATAAACAGTATTTGTTGCTATATACTTGTTTCTAGTACCTTTATCATATTTTAAGTTTATCTTACAACTTATTTCATAAGGGATAAAAGCCTTACATTTACAGTTTTAAAATTGCAGTTTCCTATTTCTATCACAAGGTAATCATTGTACATATACAATTTAAATAGTAAACTGTTTTGTAAATATAAAGTATATATATATATGAAATCGCTTGAAGTATACTGTACAGGTGGAACATTTTAGAAAGTATTATTTGAAAACAAGTATTACTTATAAATACTGACTAGAGTATTTCTAAGAAATTGTCTACGATTTCATAAATTTACATCACGTTATCTTGCCAAAATAATAAATATATATGATAGTTAGAAGGAAAAAGATTAACATTTCTAGTCACTTTAAATACAATTGAACTGTTTAGACTTTCCTTCCAAAATAATAAGTACTATTAAGAATAAGAATTTATAATGACTAATAATAGAGATCTTTGTGATTTAATTTTATCAAATAAAAGATAATTGCTACTATAACTTTGTCAACTTTAGATTTAATTTTATGAACAATTTAATATTTTAATATGTACAGTAAAAATTTTATTGATTACCAAACTATAATTGATAAGTTACATAGTATTGAAATAATGAAGTACGTTTTAATACTACATTAGATGAAGTATGGTATTAATGTATGTACAAGTTAATTTAAACATGTTACAAATATTGTATTATAAATCGCATTTTTTTCTAATGAAAATTGATATGAATTATTATAATATTGTAATAAATTTTAATTCATAATATAATTATCATTAGAAACGCTTGTAAAACATAACATTTGTATAATATAAACATGTACATAATTTAACAAGTTTAAACTATAATAATGGTATAAATATTTGTAGCATAATTTTTACAAATGATGTATTTACTATCAAGTATATATTTTTTTTTTCAATTTTTTTATTAACTTAATTGCAATTTTTGTTTGATATTGGTTCTTTAAACAGAAGTAAAAATTGTATAATTTGATTTTTTCAAATATATTTTTAAAATTTTTAAGTACAGTCGATATTAAAACTATAATTACCAGTAAAATAATCAAAATCAGTATTTTTTTTAATGACTGTTTTTACACCCCTTGGAAAATTTATTTTAAAGTTTTTGATTAATACAATGTATTAAAAACGTCCGTATAATTGTTATGTATACAATAATATAAAAATATTGTATATACTGTATATATACATTTATTGTGTATTAAATATGAAATTCTGTATCTCACTGTTATTTTGATTATTGGGCCAGAGAAATCGGTAACTATTAACGTCTTATAAATAAAAATAACTTGGTGTAGTAAAGACCAATTTTGTAATACATTGTTTATTTTCCAACATGGTTATTTATAAATGTGTAGTGCACATTCCAAATTTATCAACTTATACACAAAATTACACATTTCATCAGAAAATAATTCTTAGTAGTACATATTTTTTTAATTATGTATACATATATGTTTCCATGTATTATATATAATATGTTTAAATACATACATGCCTATACATTGAAATAATATAAAACAAAAATTTATAATTCATAATTTCAATCAATTGTATTATACAAAGAAATATTCTGAAACAAAGGAACTCATTACAATTTTAGATACTATTAATATAACAAATTTATATTCCTTACAGATATAAAAATTAATTTTAATGATTAGCACTGCACATATTAACTCATTATTATCTATTGACTAAAATGTAAATGTTTGTATATAGAACTATACAAATTTGGTGATAGGTCATACATTATTAATTCACAGTTTTTAAAAATATCTACGAATTTTTTGCTTTATACCATAGTTAATAAGTATAAAACTTCACAAATTGATTCTATTTATGCTATATACTCACTATCTATACAAATACAAATTTTACTGCATTTTTGCCTGAAAGTATACACTGCGTGTAATATATATGTAAATAAATACTTCTCTACTCAATTACTTGCAGAAAAAATGCAAGTTATATTGTTTGACTGTAATTTGACTAACTTGCTTGTATCATAAAAATATGCAAATGTTTACTTTCTTAACTTATACTCTAAAAGTCAGAAAATTCCGTTTGTTTAGACACAGATATGAAAAAGTGTAAAATATGCCACCTAGTAAAAAATGGTAATATTAAAAATATTACATTAGATTATATAAAACCTTTTTTTTTACTTTGTATTTAAACTGACATATCTTTTCAGCTTATAACAACATATCATAAAACAGTTCTTAATTGGTTCATAGTAACTTATATAAATTAAAGTACACCATCTAACATGGTATTTTGTAACAAGTTTTTCAACAAGAAATTTTTCACATAAGCATGTGATGTATTATGTACACAGTAGTGAATTCCTTAAAATCAGAACACATACATTATAATTTGCTTCATACTGTTTTCATAAATTGATTTATGATTCTGTTTTTTTCTTTTTTTAAAATGAAATACGAATAATACCAGTATAGATATATATTAATTTGGCTTTTCGTGTATATGGTATTATCACAAACTGTGGCATTAAAAAAAGGTACTACCTGCTAAGTTCCAAAAATAATAAATCTTCGTAATTAATATAAGCGTTTCATTCTATATGTAATATGTACAATATGTAATCTGCAATGAACTACATTTTGAAAATTTGTCTTAGAGTTGTTTTCTAATCGTTATAAATAAATATCTTGTATTAAAAATGAAAAGTTATACATATCTTCTTGTAAAATTTATAATAAATTTTCTTGATATCAGTTGAGACATGATTTCAACAAAGAAGCACAGCCGTTATTTCTTCCACAGAACGGAATAGTTAATGTACAACAAAATTATATAAAAAAAACATTATGTATGGTCAAATTTATATTGTAAAGAACGTTCGTCATGTTTATGTATTTTTTAGCTGAGATAGAAAATGCTCCTAATTTGATATCTATGTGCTTCAATGATACATATTTATTTATACAAGCTATGTACAAAAACGTCTAATTAAGACTTATACACAGTATTAATTTATTGTTAATGTTTCTTGTGAAATAAGAATGCAGTAAAATGTTACTTTTAATAAAAGAAAATAATTCTTTCTTTCTGTCAATTAAAATTAATATTACAAAATTTGACTCATATATGTACAATTTAATCATGTACATAAACTAAGATAAATTTAAATTGTGAAATGTAACCACTGCATTCTAAAAAACTGCTGATCTTTTTAGAAAATGAAATATTTACTTAACAACAAGAAGTTTTTGCAGGTTCTGCTTCGACTAGATTAAAATCTAAACCACCTGGTCTAGCAAATCCAGTTTTTATACCATCCCAACCATCTTCTACTTTATATTCACCAGTTTGAATTCTGTTGTAAACTTCCTGTGTAACTGTTCGAAATGCCTCCTCAACATTAACTCCTGTCTTTGCACTAGTTTCAATGTGATGTACTCCATGTTGATCAGCAAAGGCTCTTGCTTCTTCTTTTGATACTTCTCGCCTACCACCATTAGTAACTAAATCTAATTTACAACCTACTAATGCAAATACAGGGCGATGAGGTTCAATATGCCTACGAGCCTCCATCATCCATTGTGGGATATGCTCAAAACTAGCTCTGTTGCAAACATCATATACAAGCAGAGCTCCAACAGAATTTCTATAATAAGACTTTGTAATCGACCTGAAACAAACCAAATACTCTGTGGTTATTATAAATTATAATTCTTATTTATCATTTACAATCATAATAACAATCTAACATACCTGAATCTTTCTTGGCCAGCTGTATCCCATAATTGTAATTTTATTCTTGTTCCATCTTTAACTGTAATTAATCGAGCAAAGAAGTCCACTCCGACTGTTGGGTCTGAAAGCTAAATAAATGAAATAATAACAGAAATCAATAACACTGAATATGAGATGAATATAAATAATTAAGAAAAGTATATTTCATTTTTAAATAATATAGAGTTGTAATGTTCTAATATCCTAAATTTTTCTATTGAAAAGTAGCTATCAGTCAGAATATTATTAGACCAGGAAATTGGAGATAATCCAATTGTACCACTAAATTGACAAAATAACATTTTTAAATCATACAGGATCCCAATATCGATTATGATTCAATTCATTAGCGTCATGAAAAATAACATCGAGGACGAAGCATGAACATGTACTGTGTTCGTTTTAAAATCAATTTTTATATTCATTCAACGTTGTTGACGAAACAATGAGTCGCTGCATATGTACCTCTGCGAACTTCCCATCGGTGAAATATTTCAATAAAGAACTTTTCCCGACTGTACTGTCACCAATGAGTATCAGACGAAACTGATAGTCAAAAATTGGGTCCACCATCTTGACGTCTATTACGATTAAAGTTCTTCACAAGCAATACCTGCGTTGTCACTTAGAAATTCATGATTTTCCTATGTACTCTTGTCAAGAGTGAGAACCTTGCTGACCGTGACATTAATCATCAGCTTCCTACCTTTGCCCAACACTGTACTGCTCTTATTGCGCACGACACTGTGCAAATAAACACGCAGCTTCGTAAGAATCATTGTAATTAAAATGTATTGTAATTTACAATAAACTATACAGTGTATAGTATACAATATACAGTATACAGCGCTTGCTGATCGCTTCTACTTTCTCTACTCTTGTTTTTAACTTTTGTTTTAATACTTGGGTAACTATACGATTAGTGTTCATTCATTCAAATAATTTTGTACACCACACAATAATCTTAGAATGATTTATAATTTTTGTTTACAGTTTCATCTATAAATAATCTGTATCTTTCTATAACTACAAAATGTTTAAAGAATTCCAGAAAAAAGACAAAAAAATATGTATGTCTGCGCTTTAAGTTTATTAAGATTTTTCTACTAACATGATTAAAAAATCATTGTGAAACTAAATTATATTTTAAGAAGCACTGTTTTCTTTCTTTTCTACTGCTTTTAATGATAAAAGAGTTATCTTATCTATTACAATTGAGATGATTAAAGGTTAATTACATGATGATTCAATTAGTCATTTTTACGCATACTAAAACGCAATATAAAAAGTGTCGTTCATCTTTTACATATGTATAAAATTATACATTTAATGAATGCAAGTTCAAATTTGTTATTTTGTAATCGTTTAAAATTTGATGATGTCAAAGATTAACAATATGCTTTGAAATTTTATCTGATGCATTACTTATAGTGGTAGCCTGTTATTTACTGACGATGAGTTTCGTAACACATGTTAGATACTGTCGGACAGTGTCAGGCATTTTTCGAATAATTTAAGCTAAATAAGTGATTTCTGTTCAAAAATATTAATTTTTTTTTTTTCTAGATCTTCGAAATTGAATAATAAGAAGTTTGTTCAACAAAAATGGACGAAGAAAAGTTGATTGATGAAATTATTAAGTTACGTGAACTGTTGCGCGCAAAGGAAGATCAACTGGCGGCTTTAAGGCGCGAGAAACAAATTATCCAAGATTACGGTTTAAGTAATAATGAGATATCAAGATACAGCAGACAAATTTTCTTACCAGAAATTGGTATTAAAGGTGTATCTTATTAATATCATTTATTTCCTATATTGGTTATTTAATATTTTGTAATATGTATTATACGATAACACTTTCAATTATGTAATTTTAGGTCAGTTAAAATTAAAAAATAGTGCAATATTAATTGTTGGAGCAGGTGGTCTTGGATGTCCTGCTGCATTATATTTGGCATCTGCTGGAGTTGGACAGATTGGTATAATTGATTATGACAGTATTGAGCTTAATAATCTTCACAGACAACTGTTATATGCAGAAACAGATATTGGAATACCAAAAGTGGATGCAGCTGCAGAAAAACTTAATAGGTACTCGTGAACCAACATGGCATTGTTTATAAATTTTTCAATTGATATATGAATTAAATGCCTCATGTTAATTTCAGATTAAATAATAACATTAAAGTTACACAATATAAAGTTCAACTAGATAGTAATAATGCTTTAGAAATAATAAAATGTTACGATGTAGTGCTGGATGCTACCGATAATGTAGCAACACGATATCTATTAAATGATGCATGTGTTTTAACCAAGAAGCCTTTAGTTTCAGCATCAGCATTAAGATTTGAAGGACATTTATCTGTATTTAATTATTATGGTCCCTGCTATAGGTGTATATTTCCCACACCTCCTCCTCCAGAGACAGTAACAAACTGTGGCGATGGTGGTGTTTTTGGTCCAGGTTTGTGATTATTTTATATTTTATTTTAATTTTATAGTTTATTTTTATAAGAAAACTATTTATCATTTTATTTAAGTACAGCTGTTGGTACTATTGGTGTTCTACAAGCACTAGAAGCTCTAAAAATTCTACTCAATTTACCTCATGTATTATCTGGTCAACTTTTATTATTTGACGGATTAGAAACGAAATTCCGAAATATTAAGTTGCGTGCTAAAAATGTAAATTGTATTATTTGCGGTGAACATCCGATTTTACAAAAGCTGATCGATTACGAACAGTTTTGTGGTTCCAAAGCAAACGATAAAGATCTAAAGTTAAATTTGTTAAGAGAAGAGGAAAGAATAAGCGTAGAAGAATATAATAGAGCACTAAAATTGAGAACAGAAGCTCACGTTTTGATTGATGTGCGTTCTCCTGAAGAATTTGAAATTTGTAACTTAAGGAATTCTATAAATATACCATTAAACGAAATTAATAATGATGAAAATATATCGTTAATAAAACGTAAGATACAAGAAATATTGGACAAATATGATGCAGCTAATTGTATGTAAACATTTACTTACCATTTGTTATATTAATTGCAAATATATAGAAAGCACTTTTTTTTCTTTTAGTATACGTTATGTGTAGAAGAGGAAATGATTCACAAAAGGCTGTGAGAAGTCTTCAAAAAGTATTTAACAGAAGTAACTTAACAATAAAGGATGTAATTGGTGGAATTCATGCTTGGAGTAGAAGAATTGATCACACCTTTCCAGTGTATTGATTATATAAAATTATAATCATTTTTTATTCATAAAATTAATATGAACAGAATTTCAATATTTAACATAGATTTTTATAAATGATGTATATGTGAATTACATATACACCTACAATTAGAAAAATATATTGTTGTATGTAAAGTAAGTTAATTCATTCAGTATATTTTTCTATTTCTAAACTAGTTAAACTTGTTTCTGGATGTTTGTAGTGAGAATCTGATAAATTTCTCAATTTATCTGCTGCCTGTTCTGGTGTTAAATCTCTCTGTGCTTGGGCAAGAAGTTCATACCCAACCATATGTTTTTTTATAGTTGCAGAACGCAGTAAAGGAGGTAAGTAAATTCCATGAAAAGTCCAGTAAGGAAAATCTTCTCTTATATATTGGCCAGTGGGTGCACCTTTCAATAAAATGTATTATAATCTTTTATAAGTTTGTATACATAGTAAGTATTTGATTACATACCATGCCATCCCATAGAATAAGGAAAAGAACATTGAAATAAATTATCATATTTTGTACATAATCTTTTCATAGCAACTGCCAATGATTCTTGTTGACATTCTGTTAAATCCTGCATTCTAGATACTTGTTTTTTGGGTAGAACCATAGTTTCATATGGCCATATTGCCCAAAATGGTACTAAAACTACCCAATCTCGAGTTTCAAATACAACACGTTCCTTTAATATAAATTAATAACATCAATTTAAATTTACAAACATTTCCTTTTTAACCAACATATTTTACCTTCTTAAGAAGTTCTTTCTGCATATAATCTATAAGAAGTGGTTTCTTCTTACGATTATAATAATCACTGAGAAATCTATCTTTTATTTTAGCTTCATTTGGTAAGAAAGAACTAGCCCAAATTTGACAATGAGGGTGTGTATTACTGCATCCCATTAAAGCACCCCGATTTTCAAAAATTTGGACCCATGTCCATTTTTCTCCTAGTTCAAGCATTTCAGAGATCCATCTGAAATATGAGAATCCTTATTATACATTAAGATAAAGAAATCAATTTTATTTTAATTAATAATAACCATACCTTTTAATCACTTCTTTGATTTCAGAAACTTCCATAAGTGCTACTGTAACATTAGATTTTGGATGAAAACACATTACTTTACAAGTACCTCTGGCAGCATCCATTTGAAATAATTCATCTTCTGACTTTGATGGACTAGGAACTGATTCTAATAGTGCAGGAAAATCATTAACAAATGAATATGTGTTTTCATACATTGGAGTAATCTGAAAAAAGTAAAACAAAATTTTGCATATATATTCAAAAATTGCAAGAATAAATGTAAAAACATGTTTGAATATACTACCTGTCCGCTAGCTCTAATATTGCCTGGGCAAAGTGGGTTATCAGGATCATAATCTGGGAGGTCTTCTTCTATATTTGGTTCTACATGTCCTCCCCATGGTCTTTTCATTCGATGAGGGGACACTAGTACCCATTCTCCCTTTAAGGGATTATATCGAATATGTTGATGTTCTATAAAATATTGATCCAATAGTTCGAACATAGAATGTTAATTTAAAATAATTTCTTGGCAAAAACGAAAATTCTAACCAGTAGGATTAAATTCTTCCTTTAAAGCACCTGTGCCATTTTTTGATTTTTCTTTATCATCTAGAAACCAAAGCAAATACATATTTATGTGTTTCTACAACAAATACAGAACATACAAAATGTTCTGTTTGATCAATATGTATGTATATATATATATATATATTTGCGTACACAATTACTTACAAGCAGAATGATATATTTAAATTATAACAAGTTTTAATAAACACGTAAATTTTACTTTAATATTAATTAGATGTTTAATAAATTCACAAAGTAACTATTTGTTGAGTTTAATGAAATAAAATGTACTATAAGTAATATAAAACTATTACGTTAAACGTGTCAATAAATTTATGATACGTTTTAGGAAAAGAAAAAAAAGTTGCGGCAAGTCATATGACCGATACCACATGCTTCAATAATTTACTTCTTCAAAAAATACTCCACGATCAATAATAATACGTATTTAGAATAATTAAGTTTATTCTTTACGTTTTAACTTTACATTTAAATACTGTTTATTATTGTATTTTTACCTGTTGATGCAGACATTTGAAATTTGAATTAAACGCTTGGCTACTTTAATTATATACTGAGAAACTTCTCGTATCAGTAGTAATTTAAGATGTATTTATCGTTCCTCTTATAGACAACATACTCACGTAACCGTAGTTATAAATTACGATAACGTTTACCTTGCTTATGAAATGTTAAAGTACCCGTATGCAAGTATGTATGCATGTATATGTATTCTCATTTTTCTATACAAAAGTATATATACATATATCTATGCATGTGTGCATGATGTATGCATATGTATATATATATAGCCGTTTCGCGCTAAAGTATTTATGTGAGTATGGTTCGAAGCAATTTGCTATTACCGTCAAGGCGCATTAGATTGTTGCAGCGCAAAGTGTTTAACATTTTTATACTAACGATAAGATAGAGCAAATGGTGCTCGTTTTCGTGACACAAATTCAAAAGCCCTTGAGAACAAAGGGATATCCAGTTTTTATAGATCTTTAGTCACTGTAGTTTTGTAATAAAAACAGGTAGCGCTAGAAATCATGAAAAGGAATGTTCTTTTTACCGACGACTTTGTCTTCCTACCTTGGTTGAAGCTAATAAAGATGGCGTAAAACGCCATTTACGAAAAGAAGAGGAAGAGAAAGAGAGGTGAACAACGAAGATAGTTGAAATAAGTTGAACCGTGTCTCCGTGGTCGAGCGCGTTCGTCTGCTCGAAACATCCGAGTACGAAAACGTTACGTTAAGTTCGTCGTAAATTGAGTTACGTCTCGTCGTGTCTGTCATACGGTTCGAACGTTGCATCGGGTACTCTTGTGTGTGTATGTGTGTGTCAATGATTCGTTATTAACGGTGCAGTTTCATCTGATACATCACAAGATAAATTATGATGGTCTGATCGCAGTTTCAACATGACTGTGGATTTCGCCGATTACTTTTGGGTGAGTGTCTTTTTACTTAAGAATGTCTTAGAATGTCATCCTCGTTGAATTTAGGTTATGTATGGAGAAACTCCCGTCCTCTCATATACCTCTTCTACGAGCATCGACTCTCGACCAGCCTCTCTCATGACCATCTACGTCATGTCACAGCAACATTCTATATTTTTGTTTTAAATAAATTAATACGTTTCTCTCAATGAAATCTTTCCCTATGTCTTTCTTCCTCTTTAGTATGGTCGTTTTCACTCGTCTCTTTCTTCATTTTACGCGGCACGCTTGTCTTTTCTCCTTTTTGCTAATTGCAAGGTTACGCGTTCACCACTGTCATCTCGTTTTCGTATCTTCTTCACAACCCACGTAGAGAAGCACAGAGTACGAAAGAATGCGCATTCAATTGCACGTTGACATGTGTATTGCGTTTTTTGCAAGTGTTTATAACTCAACTGCAGAAAGGAATTTAATTGTTGACTTTGTCAAAGAAATCTTTTTTTCCTTTTGTTCATGAATTGTATTCTGGATTTTACTATAAACTTTGATTAAATCTATTTAAATTTTTTATTTTACGATGCAATTAATTTTGTTAAGAACAGTCCTTATGAATTTCTGTATTAAATATAAAATTATTATAATGCTTTTAATTCTTTTTTCTCAAAAATGTGACATTATTCTTTCTGGCAGAAGCACAGAATAGATAAGATAGCTACTACTTCCTTTTGCTTCCCTAAAATTCATATCTATTAAAGATTATTACGAGCAGGATGATACAATGTTTATTTTAAATTTGTAGTTAAATAAATTTCTATCAGTCAATTGTTTTATTGCAGTATTAATAATAATTTCCACAATAATAGTAATAAAAACCTATGTAATACATTATATACTGTTAGTTTTACTTGTAACTATATCATATTTAATTTTATTATATTCTTCGTTAACAAAGACTATAATAAAAATTAAAATATGGATCCTAAGTGGCTAGTAATATGTACAATAGAATGACAAGAGTAATAATATGTAATGACAGCTTATTGTGTCGATGTCACTCAAGAGTTCTACTCTACGTGAGTTTGCAGTATGATCGGAGTTTAAGTGTTAAGTGGCTAAGTGGTCTTAAGTATAGTTTTAGTATATCTCTTTCAGTCATGTTATTCTAATTGTAAATGGAATCTTTCTTTAACTTTAACTTTAAAATTATGGTACATCTAATTGTTAAAAATGTTGCTTACATATTTATAAATAAATATTATAAATTAAAAATGAAAATTATGAAATATGGAACTTAATAGACGTAAAGATAAATTTTTATGATTCAAGGGCGAAAAGAATAATGGATTTGACGTGTTATATCATAACATGAAGCATGGTGTAGTTGCAAGCAAGGAGTTGGCTGATTTTTTAAAAGAACGCTCAGCCATAGAAGAAAACAATTATAAGCTCCTGAGTAAAGTAGCCAAACAAGCTGGCAATAGTAGTAGTACACAAGGAACATTTGCACCTGTTTGGGCTGCTTTGAGAGGTGCTGCAGAAAAACTTGCTGGCTTACACTTGCAGATGGCCCAAAGGGTCACTGAACTGATAAAAGATGTATCAAAATATGCAGATGAATTACATAAAAAACACAAGGCTGTATGTAATACTTTTTTTATCTTCATACCTAGACATAAGTAAAACTTTAAAATTCATTTCTTCTACACTTACTTATACAGTACATATATTGGGTTGATATAAACAAAAATTTATAATAACTTGTATTTTAATAGAATGTATGGTATAGATATTTTTTATTTGTTGTATTTGTTGCAAGTGTTTATCATATTTGTATTATGAATCATTTTGTATATTTTATACTTTATACCTTATCAGTATCCGCCCACAGTCAGGTCACTAGGTTCTCTCAGACAGTAGTGTCTGTGAAAATATAAAGATAATTTGTTATCAAGCCAAAATGACAAGTAACGATTTGAAATAACAAATTAATTAATTAATTAATTAATGTTTAATGTAATTTTGTGACTGATTATAAATTTCAATTGCAACAACTCAATATTAAAAAATATAAAATTAGGTAAAAGAAGAAGAATCATCCACCTTGGAAGTTGTACAAAGTATCCAAAGTATTACTGTAACTTTACATAAGGCTAAAGATATGCGTATGCAAAAGGGTCTTGAACTGGAAAAATTGAGAAAGGACAATGCCAGTCAAAAGGAATTAGAAAAAGCAGAAATCAAATTTAAGAAGGCCCAGGATGATTATAAGACCTTGGTTGATAAATATATGGTCATAAGAAACGATTTTCAGACCAAAATGACTCAAGCATGCAGGGTACTTATCTAAATTGTTTCTTTTATAGTATAATTTCTCAAACAATGAAAATATAAATCAAGAAATTTATTGTTTTTTTTATGTTTTTTTTAAATGTTTTTTTCCCTAAGCGGTTCCAAGATGTGGAGGAGACACATTTAAAACATATGAAGGAGTTTTTAAATATCTATGCAGATGTTTTACAATCAAATCATGAACAAGTTGGCCAAGTTCATATTGACTTCAAACGCCAGTGTCTGGATATGACAGTGGACAAATTATTAGAACAGTTTGTTCAAAGCAAATATACAGGTTTTGAGAAACCAGGTAAAGACTTTTGTAACATATAGCTTGGAATTCAGTATATTTCATATAATTTCCTTATAAATTAGGTATGATTGAATATGAAGAAGTCATGACAGGTTTAGGAGAAATAACCAGTCATTCTCAGTTGGAAAGCAATGTTGAGACACCTAAGGAAACATCAAAAGGAGCCAATGGAGAAACAGGCGTTGCTGGTAACACTCACAGTTCAAAAAAAGATCAGGGATTAAAGGGGGAGGGTTGTCAGGTGGATGAGGAAAAGGGTAGGGTACAAGAAAAAGAAAAAGAGAAAGAAAAAGAAAATGAAAGACTGAATGAAAGGGATAGAGAACTGTCACATGCACAAGCCACCAAGGCTTCCCGCCGTACTACCTCGCTACTCAACCTGTTCATGTCCAACTCCCAGGGTAGGTTTTAAAAATTGAACAGAATTTACCAAATTTCAGTTGTTTTTAATTGCAATAGTTCTGATCTACCTTGACATAATCAAGACTTTTTTTTTTTTTTTAATTTATAAATATTAACGGGATGAAAATATTTAAAATGACTTACAAAAATACTAGAATATACAAAGTTATTAAAGTGTCTTTTTTGTTTTGTTTTATTTTATTTTATTTTATTTTTTTTTAAGTGTTTCTTAAATTAGTATATATTATGTCTTGGTAGATATGTTTTGCAGTTTTTTTTTTTATCACATCAGTACCATTTTATTATTCACATATATACACTTATCCAACTTATTTTTAGCACTCAATCACAGATTTATTAATCTAGGCATATGCGAAACAGTTTTATTGACTATGCTTATGTGGTTGTGTTACAATGCTTGTGCGTTACAATCTAACAATAGGTGGAGGATGACATTAGAAATTATTATGTATTCCAGGGGGTTTATATGTTTATACCTTTCATGTTAGTTTGAATGATACTTTTCAATAATGAAAGGAACATAGAGTGTCATATCAGAAGTAAAGGTGTACTAGCTACTTTCTTCTTGTTTTTTTATTGTTGTTTTTGTTACGAGGGTGTTAAACCTTGTTCAATGCAGATTTAAATGTTGTTATAAAGCAGTTAACATCCCTCTGGAGTGCTCTTTATGCCACTGAAAGTGCAAATTGTAATGAAATTTTTGATAGATATAAGTGATATATGAAATAGCAAGATGAAGAAAAAAGGGCCACTGGAGGTACATATTATTCAAAGATATAAGCAATGAGTGTTGTTTCAGACAAACAGAAGCAAGCAGGGTCTGGTTCGGCACCTGCAACTCCTCAGGGGAACAACCTGCCTCCTGCTGTTCCACCTCCCAGCATCTCCAGGAACCCTCTCAGAGGATCTAAATGTAACTGCTTACATTGTGATTACCTGTACCCTGACCATATCCATTACATGCATTTTAGAATAACTTTTAGACGATCGGTTACGTGATACTATTACACACGCGCGCTTGCGCGCGCGCGTACGCATACACACAAAGAATTTTTTTCTTTTAAAGCGTTGCTTTCTCTGGTAGTTAGTTGAAAATGATTGAGGTGAAGGTATATCATTAGAAAACTTTTACAGCTTTCTATAACATTCTTTCAAATTATAAAAAAATAATAGGACTGGCATTTGTTAAAATTGGCAAACCATTTATAAACTTTAATCGAACAAATGTCTATTCTTAGTAGTTATATTTCAGTGGTGATCCTTTCAAGATACAAAGACAATTGCATTTAAAATTTCCAACATTTTCCATTATCTCATACCTTTACATAGGAAATATTTTAATACGATTTCGAACGACTTCTTCTAAATTGATCGCTCCTTCTATACACCTTTATCTTTGTCTTGCTCTATTGGTTGTTCTCAATCTATGGTATTTGGTGATAATTTCATTACCGTACTTTTTTCGATACATCTTTTACGGGTATGCAGGATACATGGTTAAATAAATATGTGGTGACTTACAGTGGTAACGTGTATTATGGTTCCTCCACTCTGCACTTTTTTAGATCAGCAATGTACGTATACTAACACTGTTTAAGCACATAAAATTAATGTTACAGTAACATTGATTTATCCTTAGCTTTTGAAGCACATTTAAAATATTTCTTCGCTTTAACACACATTAAATTCCACTAGGGCTATCTTAAAGTACATAACAGAGACATTCCATTAGAGGGAAGAAATATTTTTTCATTCATGTTTGACTAACACAAAAACAAGCTTGCTTAGAACAATAGGCTTCACCTTTAGAATAATATGGTAAATTAACAGGATACAACTTAACATTTTTCACAAAATGTAACTTATAAATTGTTTTTCTAACAATATTTTATGTAAATTCGTACCAAGGGTTTCTTCTGTCGACACGACACATTGTAAAATCTTACATATGTATATCTCTTTCTTTATATTATAACAAATATAAAAGAAAAAGACATTATCGATTCAGTTCGATATTAGCTTTAAGAAAAAAGAAAATTGCATTTTAGAAAGTTTCTAAAATTTAAACGTATAATTAGCATTTCACCATGCACCTTAATAATAATAATATGTAAAGTTGTGAAATAATTTTTGAAACTTTCTGTTTTGATCTCACAACATATGTGTATAATATTAATTAAACGAAGGGAGTTGGACTTGGATAATGTTGAAATACGAATGTGGGGTTGACTACTGACGGGGCCTAAGGTGAGCCATTTTTTTACCAGTATATCTACTGCATGGCTCACTTGTATTTATTTTCCAAGTGCAGATATCTTTCGTGATATAGCGTAATGTGATTCTGCAAGCAACCCCCTTTTTTTTTTTTAATTTACATTAGTTGCATCGTTCTTATAAAAGGTAGTTAATACTTGAAAATCTTCCCGTTATATCACGGTATCTATTTTTTTCTCTCCAATTTTATTTTATTTCTTTTTTAATTGTTAATTGAATGTAACATCGTACTTAAGATAATCAGTCCGTTCAAAGTTCGCAGATCACGAACTCTGTAAATTTTCGTGTAATACCTCGTTTATGAACTCTCACGTTATTCGTATATAGATGTAATACATATACTTTTGCATGTCGATAGTTAATAATATCCTTGCTTGCAGAACATGTGTACACCGTATGCTCTACGATTCTCTATTAGAAATATGTATAGATGAAGAAATTGAAATTATAGGTGACGTGTAATTGTTAGAAAAACAATTTAAAGGAAGAGACCTCGACCTTTGCAGATCTATATAGGATTTTTGATGGTGATGGTGTATGGGTTTTCTTATATCTTTGCTCATGTAACGTGCTATACCTTTTTATTATTTCTATTTTCTACCCCCTTCCCTTATCTATCGTTGTGTCTGATTATTAACGCAATCGTTAGAAAAATCATATTAGCATTTTGTTTCCCAGAAAATGCTGATATATATTTCTAGGAACTCAGACTCGTTTTAAGTTTGAACCAGTTAATTAGGTGATGCGTGAAAAGTCAAGCATGTAAAAAAAAATGAAATTCATATCAGCATAATTAGAGGGAATGACTTAAATAGAAAGCTCATAAAGAATGCATCTGCTACTTGTTGATTCGTTGACGAATTTTCTTTTTCCCCCCTTTTATCGTAGATCTTATTTGATCACGTTGCGCTATGCCTTAAACACTTGGAAAGTAAATTGAATTTCCATTTTCCATTGAACCACAGGTTCATATTAATTTTATTCAGATCAGAATTTCATTAACTTTTTAGTAGATGATACGTTGATATTAAAAAACGTAATTTCTTTCTGCTTCTTAGTCCTTAGTTTTAATAGTCACTTTATTTTACTCTTGTATATCGTAAGAGTACATTACTATAAAACTGATAAAAATTATTTCTCTCGTAAATAAATCATTTTATGTAACGAAACATTTATTTCTGAAAAAAATTCAATAACATTACGGTTAATTGATTTCTTTCATTCCTACGGGAAAGATAATTTTTATCATGTTAAATTAAGTAAATGATTATTTATTATAAACAATCTATAAATCGACCGTTCAGATTTACTAATGAAAATTTAAGAATCGCTTTGTTTTCTACATATCGTGTGTCCACAACCAACAGGGTTTCTTCGAAGCAGAAGAGAAAAAAGAAAGGAAAAGAAAGCGAAAAAGAAGAAGGATGTTGTGGAAACCAGCAGCAACAAAGAAGAAAAGTCTGACCTGTCAGTATATGCATCTTCAGCAGATCTAGTGCACCAAAGATCAGTTTCATGATCAAGAGCCCATCAAAGTATTTCTATCAAAATTTCATATCAATGCTGTTTAAAAGAAAAGAAAAGAAAAGAAAAGAAAGCAGAAAAAATTTGCACAAAAAAGACTTGGTCACGAAATTGATCTTAAACACATATCAAGTTTTCTTTTTCAATGTTCATTATTATTATTATTATTAAAGCACATTTTAAATCGTAATAAAGTAATTGAGTGTGTATAGTTTTTACGGTAGAAGAAACTTTAACGTGTATAATTGCACTGGGCCTGCTGGAAGCATCGACGATATACCCAATTGAATCATGTTAATTCTATATGATAGGGAGGATAAGGAGGACAGTAGAAAGTCTGAGACGCCGACACCGGAAGTAGACGAAGATGGTTTCTGTATTAGGCCGAAATCAGAACCGTGGGAGAATGAGAAAGGATTTTATTCTAGCTCAGACACCGATTCCGAAGATGAAAGGGAAAGGAAGATCAGGGTGGAAATCAAGCCGCTGAGCAACGGTGGAGCACCCATGAGTGCTAGCGTGGACGAATTAAGGGCGACGGTGGAGAATTTATCGTTATCACCTGCACCAACGGTACATTTCATCATTTATTTCGTGAAATTCTAATCAGATTTACTACCGTGTTACGTAACAATCTAACATTTCTATTCCAACAGGGACGCAGAGGATCGAATACCGATTCAGATCATCACATGAAAAGGTCTCAGTCAGTGTCACAGCAATTAGGAGGTAAGCCAAGCTCGGATTTACTTGGCCTAAACTTGTTCAATCCCAGCAGTACACCATCGAGCGCCTCAACGCCGACTGGTAGTCATCCGTACGCGCCATTGCAAAGTCCTCCGCCACTATCTTTGTCACCGACGCCTCAGCCACAGCCGCCACAATCCGCACCACCTACGCACCCTCACTCGCGATTCCCTGGTGAGTTAACGCAGTCCCAGGCGATTCAACTTTCAGTTCATCAGGACTCTTTTTTTTTTTCTTTTCTTTGTCTATTGTCAGAATATAACGAATGTCGTTCTTTTAGATGGAGACTTATTCTCAGAAGTAGGAGACATCACTCCAGCCTTGCCACCTAAACAATCCGCATCTTCCACTCCGACAGGATCAATTATCATTCCTAGACCTCCGTCCCGACGAGGAGAAGGTCCCTCACCGAGGGGTAGAATGTCACCAGCGACGATATCGAGGGCAGATAGCGTGGCTAGTTTAGAATTTCGTACAGCTGGCGTGGGTGTAGGCTCTTCTAGGGGCCCTTCACCGCTCACCATAGGACTAGCAGATACCATTCCCTTGGCAGTCGCGTTCCACGAGATAGTACACTCTTATTTCCGAGGTACCGATGAAACGCGATGCCAGGTGAAGCTTAGCGGTGACATGATGCTCTCTTTCCCTGCTGGTATCGTCGCTGTACTAACAAATAACCCGAGCCCTGCAAAGCTAACGTTTCGCGTGAGAAACAGTAACAGATTAGAGAAATTATTTCCTAATAATCAACTGGTCAGCATGTAAGTGTAATGTTGTTTAACGATATACGCGACTTTGAATACCTTTTATTAAAAGTTATGTTCTCTTGTAGGGACGTTACGCAAACAACCGTCGACAGTACAATTTTTGAATTCAACATGAGTGCCTTAACTACACTGTTACGCAAACAGGCCGAACAAAATCCCTCGGCTTCTTATTTTAATGTCGACATACTGAAATATCAGATCAAGTGCAAGGAAGGCGCGGGCTCTTGTCCGTTTCAGTTGGTAGCCTATTGGAAATGCGAAACGACGCACACCGACCTTAAGGTACTCTACTTATGATAATCTTAATTTGATATTGTTATCGAATAACCGAGCGGTTTGTTTTTCTTAGATCGATTATAAATACAATAGTCGTGCTATGGCTTCTCCGAGTCCACTGCTAAACCTTCACATAGCCGCGCCTATAGACGGAGGTTTCAAGTCATTGAACAGCAAACCTCAAGCTCAATGGTTACCAGATACGAATCGGGTATTGTGGAAGTTTACCGAATTGTCACAGCATAGCGAAGGTAATGGTGTGGGCTCTTTAAAGGCACGCGTAGAACTTGGACACGGGCCAGGAAATCAAGGAACGATATGCACGCAATTCAATTGCGAAGGGACCACGTTATCTGGAGTTGAATTTGAGCTTCTAGGCCCAGGATATAGATTAAGTTTGGTAAAGCGTAGATTTGTATCTGGTAAGTGTTATATTTTTCATCCTATCTCCTCTATTGTGTTTGGTTACCTTTTATCAGCAAGCAGTACCGATTCAACGATGTTCCAATCGAGCGATTGTACTGATTCAAAAACGTAAATATCTATCTGTAAAACATTGCTTTCAGGAAAATATATATGCGATGGAGATTCCGATTCACGGAGTAGATACGCTGCTCCGCCATCCAACGTGGATTGACGACTTCCAGATTGGGCATGTCTATGGGAGAGCCTGCCCATTTAATATTGGTATTTGCTTGTTTATTCACTGCCCATAATACGACTAAATGTCCGTTCGAAATCGAAATTGTCGCGGAGGGGAAACCTGTTGGACACCAAAGAACATGTGCAACACAAACTAACTAAGAAGGTTGTCAAACTAGACAAATAATCATTTCTATGTACAAAGAGCGCAATTTTTGGGTGGTTTTAAAGTAGCAGGATGTAAAAGTTCGTTCATTTTGTAAAGTCAAAAGAATCTTGCGTATCGTAAAACACGAGAGATATTTGTTACATAGGCGAATGGTAGGACACGCGTTACGCGGTCCAAGTAGAAAAGAACTGGGAATAGAAACGTTGAAAATAATAGTTGGACTACGTAAGTCACTCGCTACCTGATGAATGACGTTCTATATATGTTTTATAACTTGTATATTTTTAAATTTTCTATATATCTTCGATTATATTGTACTATGTTTAGTAAAGTTTCTATGATGCGTAACGAATTCAAATGTCGGAGGGCAGCATTCACCCGTTTTTCGCATAAAAAACCTTTGGTGTCCAGCATATTTTTCACCACGATATTCTCGCCATATTATATTGTGTCTATATATAATCAAAATACGTTTACGACATATTTCTTTTTTTACGTAAAAGCTCTCCAAAAGGTCATCAAACAGTACAACAAGTCTTAATCTATTGTTATACTTTGCGTTACTTTAATATAGTTATTATATCGCTATATCGTATCGTTAAGGTTTTGAGAGAGAAAAGGAAATGTAAAGTTCATATATAAATGCCAACTATAATCCGTCCAACGAGACGGGTCAGGATATGTTTTTCAAATTCACGCGCTCGATGCAGTGCCGAATCAGAGATGGGATATGGGATGAGTTTTCTCGCGCATGCGCGGCGACTTTAGCATCAGTATAGTACAAGTTTCAATAAAATGGAGTACCTTAATCACCGTGCATAATTTTGCAAAAATTGTTATGATCTGATTGTGAAAAATGAATGTATAACATATATATATATACATACATAATTCACACTTTTCCTTTTTTCAGGGGTATAGGAAAGGGACGAGTACTAAAATAATTGTAAACAAAACTGACTAGTAGTGACAAGGGCCTAGTCCGTGGTTGCGCCACCACATAGATACGTCCCTGCAAAACTCGCGCATGCGCGGGAAAACCCGTCCAGTGACGCTCCTCACTTGTTTTCGGTTCTTTAAACGTTTCGGTCGAGTTTTGTGCACCGTGAGCCGGGCCTGCATCGAGCACGTGAATTTCTACTCATTTACTGTCTCATCTCGTTGGATGGAGTATAGTTATGTAGGTATACATTACGCATTTACATTTTGCGCGAGGAGTTGATCGTATTTCCTTAAATTGTTTTTCCGTTTTTCGTTTTTTGTTTTTCGTATGCGCAACATTTGAATATACAACTGTAGTATACGTAAATGAGAAGATACTGCAAAATTGTATTCTTTTATAACTCGATCGTATAGTTCGACTCCTCTGAAACGAGAAGATAACGAAGGCGTAAGAAAAAAAAGATACGTTCGATAGTTTTCAATGTTTAACTCCATCAGAATTCGATGGTTAAAATAATTAATTTCTTTTCAAAACATTTAGCGATAAGATTTTAGCGTTTCAACGAAGGCGGTTTCATTTGACAAGTCTTTTAAAGTTTTTTTTTTTTTTTTTTAATTAGCGCGACGATCCTACGATCATAATAATCCAGTATTTCTTTTACATTTAATTTTTAGAGTAATTCGATCCGGTGACTTCTGTCAGTACACCGGTTTACGTTTAAACAAAAAGATAAATCTACTAACTGCAAGACGTTAAACAAGTCTTCTCACTCTTATACCAGTTGAATCGAATATTCTGTATCATTTAGTTTTCTTCTTTTCTTTTTTCTTTCAAGAGACGAATCTTAATTGTCTGACTTCTATTTTAATGGGCTTTTGTAAGATAACTTCAGTTATCTTAGACGGTAACTTATTTGTTATCGTCTTCCAAAGATTTGTTAAAATCAAAATTGGGCATCTGTACTTCTTCTCTTATTACCGTTTTTGGCTACAATTTTATGATACATTCAGAAGCAAATTTAGAGGGCAGGCCTTTTCGTTCGAAACATGTGCATACATACGTCTGAGGTGTGTGTATATGTATATGTGTATATAAAAAAAAAAACGAAGTAATAACTGTAAGAATAAGTCTGATAAATGAACTCGAATATATATATATTATATATTATATATTATACATGTAGTCCAGCACACACGATGCTTCCTTTTGTGCATATTTATAATCCGTCCAACGGGACGAGTCAGGATATGTTTAAAAATTCAGCTCAGTTGTTTCCAGTTCTTCAAACGTTTCGTTCGAGGTTTGTAGTGTACTGTGAGCTGGGCCTGCTTAGAGCACATGAATTTCTATGCATTTATTATCTCGTCTCGTCTCGTCTCGTCTCGTTGGATGGAGTATAAATATCGACAACAAGTTGACAAATGCACCGTACATATTCGTGCATGGTTTGATACAAATAATCTGTTTATTTTCTTTTTTATTAATCTTATGAAAGCATCGTTTAAGTAATTATAATGTGACTTATGAATCACTTGTTTAGATTTTTATTTTAATTTAACGAGTTTAAAGAAAGATCAGTATACTCAGAAATTTATTTTGTTTGTCCTTTGTCATATTTATCTATACACGAATATTTGCGGTACTTGTTGCCAGGTATTTGTTACCTGGCTCTAAAAGTGCATTATGCTTTGTAAGCTATACGAGGAGAAATTCGTAGAAAGAAAGTGCAAACTGCTGTATTCTCGGAGTCTAAATCATTATTTTTTCTTTTCGTTACCGGACGACAATACAAGACAAAAATTTTCTTTTTTTTTTTTTCTATCGATCGTATCATAATATTTTTACAATTTTAAGGTAACGCGTACGTTTTATGTATTTTATATTATTTCATTTTATTATGATCTTTGTACATTCGTACGAGAAAACAAAGCGAAGGTCTACGAAGAGCAATACAAAAACCATCTTTAGTAATGCAATGAAATTTTTGGTGACCACTCCATCTCGATATTATCGATCTTTGTTCATTCATTTACAACATTGATTAATCTTTGATTAAGATGCGCGAGGTAACGATTTAAAAAGAAATTAACACAAGAAAGAAAGAAAGAGCACACGAACTATTATTATGGAGTGGTTCCTGCAGAAGAAAATAATAATAATTGACTGAGCTCTCCTGTGATACGCAGATGTCACTATAATTTTCGTAATAAACGTTTGTAACGAAACATAATAATAATAATAATGTTAATGATCGCGTTCACTCTCTTCCCGACTGATCCTACGATGATCACGGCGTTCAAAGTGGCTCAACCACCGTGTTTTTATTCGTATAACATCGATCATGCGTGCGTGTTTTCGATTCCTATGCGTACAATTACATACGTGGACAATTTAGATTTTACAGCGATCCGCTTTTTACATATAATTGCAATAACGACGATAATCGTATTACTTGGAAAAAAAAAAAAACAGACAGACAGACACACATAACACACATTAGAACATAAAAACATACAACGCACGAAGCATTATTTTTTGTGTGTCATTTCGAGCAAAATTCAACGCGATATATAATAAAAAGGCAATCGTGTGTACAGGGCTTGAGATTTCACGCCGTTAAAATACGTGAAACTGCAAGGATTGCAATGCAATTGCGTATGTAACTCTTATACATAGTATAAATACGAACAAACAAGAAATAAATTAAATACGATTACACGTGTTACATGATACATAGAATGGTTATGTAAACCTGTTGACATGTAATGTCTATGTTCTAATAAAGATTAGGATATTTTATATAAATAAACCGTTAGTTGCCGCGACTACTTGACATCCTGTTTTGTATTTTACGTCAAGCTAATAGAATATGTTGACACGTTTCGTACAGTTTTATAGAAACGATATGAAAAGAATATTGTACTAAGTACAGGAATCTTGAATCTACTTCTTCAGGTCCCTCAGAATTGATAATGATCCAGTCATCGACTGATAAAATATATTACTCTGGAACTTTTAGTAAAATACTATTCACTCCCTTTATGGAGAACTCTTTAGAAAGTGTCTCAACAACTCGTCATTGTTGACACATTGAACGAGTATATCTTCGTACCTGAAAATTTGAGAAATATTGAAAATATTGGAAGATACCTTTAAGAATGTGAAGAAATATGCAATTACTTACTTCAAAGGCACTTGAACGTTCTTTTCTTTAAAAGGCCCAATGGATCTAACTCTTTCCAAGATAGCACGAGCCAAGACCCTCTCGTATTCGATATAGTTCTCATCCTGAGTGAACCATAAAGCCAAAGCACATCTCTTGCCTCGAAGAACACCGCGTACACCATGAAGATTCTCTCCACCAGCGGAGAAAGCCACCATACGTCCGCAACGAGGTGAAACAATATTGTCTGCGTCTCGACTGATTTGATCTGTCGCGAAGAAGAACTCGCCACCCTGAAAGTCATCGTTCAAGTACAAAATCGCTGAGTGATCTCTCCAGACATAGGCTGGGCTCTCCTGGACACAAGTATTTTTCTCTATCAGAAGACAGTTATCCCCGTGAACTTTGTGACTCAAGTCATTTCTATCCATTGGCGAATCTAAAAATAAGAAACAAAGTTTATCACTACTGATATAAATACAAATGATGATTTTAGATCGATGAAAAGAGAAAAGGAGGACCGATTGAAACTGATTGTGAGAAGTGATGAGAAGAAATTGGCTGTTTTTTATTATTAGCTCTACTTTTGACTGGTCACCGTTACCCACGAGCCGTACCAAGTGAATCGGTGCAACGCGATTTCAGCTGCGAAAGGAACCGGAAGCACGTTGATGCATCAGATGAAAATTACCAGGTAGAGCCGTACGGCAGACCAAATGAGTGTAGGTGAAATACAGTTGTCGATCTAGTCCAAAATACCTTTCCACATGGTCACGTGCTTGTTCGCTTGTCTCGAGAAATATTTCCAACCATTCTGGTTCAATTTGTCCAAAGTATACCATCTAAAAAACGATTAATTAGCGTTAATCAGATATCATAATATTATCGCGTATAGTATAAAAAGAATGGTTTTCACACCAAGGCAGTTCTTCCAATAGTTATACCCTCGAACCGCTCATATTTTGAATGTGGACTCTTGTTCTCGCTGTATCCGTCTCCTTCCACAGCAGTCATCTACATAAAAGTTTCTTCTTTTAGAAAACTGTTTAACTAACTCTCGACTAGCTTCATAGCAACTACATACTCACCGAAGCAAATTTTATTAGAGATTTACACTCGGTGGAGTTAAGAAAACCATCAGCAACATAACGATTTTTTCCACCAAGTTCTTCCTCCTTTGCTATTATATATGCAACGTTCTTCACCCTAAGTTCCTTTGTATCGCTTATCTCGTGCCTTTCCTCTTGTATCTTGGAAAGATTGCTCGATAATTTCGCCTGGGTAAGCGACGAATGACCTGGAGGTGGATATAACGACGCTTCAGAGATCAATTTCTGAAAAAAAAATATATATATATATATAAAATATAAGTTGATATATAAACAAGTTTGACTTTGTTCAACAATGAAAGTTTGGCTATATATTGTAAATAAAAAATCGAACGATAGAACTAACGCCTACGTTCCTGCATAAGAAATGCGCGGATGCAATTCTGGTTGCGTTATGCAGGCGTTCTTAGACGCTTGGTAGCATTACATCTTACAAAACCGTTTAAATAAAAAAAAAGCACAGAATGATTATTTAACAGTTGGAAAATGTTGTGTTTCAGTATTTTATTAATTTTTTTTTTTTTTATATATATATATACAAAAAGTACAGAGAATTAAAAGTTTCTCTAAGAAATAAAAAAAAAAAATATATAAGAGCTCGTCCGCTTCAAGCTCGATACCGCACCGACAGATTTATACGCATGTCGTCCTTGGAACAAAAATCAAACGGACAGAATAAGAAGAGACAGGATATCGTATCAGATGATCGACTTACAAACTTTATGTATCTTCTCTTTATATTTCATTGTTTACCTTTCCCAATTCCTTCTCTTTATTTTCGTTCTTTTCTTTCTTCTGCTGTTTCTTCTTCTTCATCTTGGAGAATTTCGCGTCGATAGCTGAAAATTCATCGGATATGTAACGCAAGAGGCTCAATTCGTATTCTTGTCTCTTCAAGTAGACTATAGCTTCCTGAAAGGGAATGCAATATGCTCTTACACTAGTATTTGGTGGAATTTTTAATTTTTATAAACGCGAATGATCACCTGTCTAGAAGTAAAATATTCATCCTTCACTTTTGGCTGAGACTTATAATATTCTTTATTTTGCAGCATCGTTTCGTCGGCCGGGTCGAACAGCAAGTAACTTTCAACCGCGGTGCACGCTGCCTTCAAGTTTCCCACTGCAGATAGACAGATCAGTGTTAATGGTTGTTTCGGTACAAGGTAATTTGACATACTGTACGTTGACATCATAGTAATTTAGAACAATGCTTTACAAGGCTTTTCAGTTCGTAAAATAAATGAGGCAGAAACTTTACAGCTTAGATAGGATTAATCAAATTAAGCCTCGTTCGAGGTATGAGTAAGAAACTTGCTCGGGAGTTTCATCTAATTAAAGTCAGATTGAATTTATCCTGAATAAGAACAAGGTCGTGGAATTTGTAAGATAATTACACCGGTACCATCGAGGCCTCGTTATCACTTGGTTTTAAACGAAGTTGGCGCGTGTCCGGTTTCTCTTTGTTGTTTGCGGGATTGTTAAAGTATGATAAAAATTTTCAGAAATAGTCATGTTACGTTTATTCGACAGGATGTACGATTATGATATCAATCCACCGGTTTGTTTGTATACGTTTCTATTCCTTGTTTCTTCATATATGTACACGTGTACTCACGTTTGTAATACGAGAACTGTAAATAGTTGTAGTGACTCTTCAGCATGTCCCTGTGGTAATTGCCATTGATGCTATTTAATACTTGGGAACAAACACGTTTGCATTTCAAGCAGTAGGCGAAATGATCTGAAATATAATAGAAAATAACGATTACTATTTTTATCAGACTAGTAAGATCCCTAGTTTACGTTTCTACTCACTAGCGATGGAGGACGTAAACTCTGGATGCCAGCCTTGGTCAAACGAACCCTCGCAATAAAATCTACATTCCTCCTCGGATTCTATATACGACTTCAACGACGTCTCAAAAAGACCCACCGCTTCTGCGTAGTATTCGTTTTCGTAAGCTGAAACTCCTTTGAAATAGATGCTGACATAAGGTGATGATTCTAGGTTTACCACGTCTTCCGACTGTACCCCTGGCAGTGTCAAATACCGCTTCAACGTTTCAATGCTCGCTTCGTGTTCTGGATGCCTTACCAGGAACGTGAAGAGCGCGTTGGCTGCATCTTGATAACGATTTTTCTGCAAGAATATTAATTTTCATTTTATCAAAAGACCGGTACAAAAATGTTTGCAGGAAAGAAAAGTGACACAAAGTTCTAGTTCATTTAACGCTCTAGATGATTAGAATTTACTGACATCATATTTCATGCAATCAGGAGGCCTCATTGTTTCAAGGGAAACTTTTATGGGTAAATCGTGACGCGTACAATTCGGTTCAGCATCGATACATAAACATGCAGATTACGTAGGCCAAGATTTTATGACCGAGCTGCTCGATTTGAACGTTAAACTCATTATTTACTAAAAAGTTGTCGGCGTGGGATTAGCAAAGCCACGATTGCGTAAGCGCCCTTATTAGAATTCGTCGGACACGCGTGGATGTTAAAAGAAGCGTTGGAATGCCAATAAACTTAAAACTAATAATCGTACGATGTCAAATAATAATAATTTTGAAATTTTTTAATTGTTAAATTTAATCAAGTAACAATTACCTGATAATAACAAATGTGCAGGTACTCGTATACATGATGATCAATTAATTTTTGTTCCGTGTCACGGGGTAACATCTTCAGCGCCTTCGCGCCGGCGATCTCCCGGTACTCTTGATTACACGTTAGAAGACACAAGGTTTCCCTCACCTTTTTCTCATAAAAGTGGAGATCGTCGATATTTTCTGGGAAAATAGGAGCCGTCCCAGCAGCCTTAGCTCTACATTTCTCTCTACAATTCACTATCATACGCCTGTAAACCTTGTACCTGAAATAATCACCTCCCCATATTAATATCTACTCTATAGTATAGAGATTCAGAACGATGAGATCTCAAAGAGTATAAAAGAGAACGATAAAAGGTATCTCTTAATATTAAGCCCTTCTATCATTTATATCATTTATAAGACAAAAAAGATCACGCGTGAATTTTTTTTTCTTTTTTTTTTTTTTTTCTTTAAACATAATGTACCCTTGCATGACCGCGTTGAAGTCATCGATGCAGCGGACCCAGTTTTCTTCGAGATAAGCTTGAACAGCATCCTTGAACAGCTCGTTCAGGGTCTTATTCTTCGCGGACCAATTCTTTTCCTCCGTCCCTAAATCCTCCACCTGCTCGTCGCCTGAGGTTACAGTGCTGAGAGTGTCGTTGTTGCAGGTGATCACGCCACAAAGAAACAAGAGTGTGACGAATCTGATCATGGTGGACGCTTAGCTGTCCCGATTCATACTGAGCTCCCTCAAGAAGAGCTAAAACTCTGCGAGATGCTGATCTCCACGCGAGGTACACGTAATCGCCGTCTCCCTACTCTTGCCTTCTCATTTCCTATCTCCAAGTGCGACTTCAGGGCCGTACGATGTTGACGGAGGATGTTCATTTGCTTTCAGGGATTAACTTAAGTATATAAGGATCGTTGCTCTGAAGTAGGAGAGGTCTTCTAGCTTTACTGAAAGTGTCAAATGTTTAGTGTTTCATTCGTAATTCTATGTCTTGTATTTAATTTAGTTGTACTGCATATTCTATTGCCAGGCCCACCTACTTACTTACGCCAATGACTTCAGGTACTCCTTGGCCTTTTTTGGGAGTTCTGCAATAGTATATTGTAGACTTTTCATAATTGAATATCGTGCTTCGCAGCACTTTCCTCCACTGTTCCTCTTCTGTTTCCCCAACACAGATTTTGCTCGCCCTATCTCTGACAAACGATACGCATTCAGCATTTACTCTTGGACTCTACCGTAAATGTATTCGACTATACATACATATTACATAGAAAAGAAAAGAGCAGACCTCCCTATAAGTTGTTGGTGGACAACAATAATTGATTACTCACCTTTACCCAATTTTCTAAATGTCACGGTTGGATGGACACAAATGGTGATCCTAAAAAACGTTACCCAAGTTTGTTGACCCCCTGGCTGCTCTGATTTTTATCTCTCTTCTACTTCCATCTCCTCTATCTGTTAGGGTATCAAAAAGGAGGTGTAAAATAATCACTGTCTCATCCTGTATAATAAGAAACGAAACTGTATTTCACGTGGAGAGTGTGTAATATAATTATCAAACGTTTGTCGAGTTTGTTAATAAACATTCTCATGGAGAACATCCATTCGCTTATCACAAAAAGAAGAGCAACAAAGTCCATCGAACGTTTTTAAAAAGAAGAGGAAACAGGAAAAAGTAGTTGAAATATCGATTGCAAAGCGTCGTTGCTTCCTCTGATCATCAATACGTATATATAATCGACGTTCCTTCATGAAGGAAACGAAACTGTCGAGCTTTCAACGATTCGAACATGGACAAAATTCATCGCTTCAGGATGATGAAACATTTTTAACGCTCGCACATCCAATGAAACAACTTTCAACGAATTAAAACTCAGCAACGAACTTGTTAATTCTCTACATCGATCACAACTTACGTAAACGTAACAAAACAATGCTCAACAAAGCGTTAATAATTAATTAATTAATCAATCAATCAATCAATCAGTTATCTTACAATCGGGTGCAACATAGATTTCTTTTTATTAAGAATAAGTGTATCTATCAATTTGCCTTTCATCTTGGAGAACCCCTACGCTTCCTTTTAACTCTTTGAAGGCTGAATTACAATTTAAATTCAATTTTTTATTTTTAAACTATCCCTTCAGATATTACTTTTCCAATATATGTATGTATATGAAAGCCTTTCTTGTAGTTTGCAGTTTAAAGTTTTAGGAAGCCTAAGTTGCACACGACTGAACATCATGAACGATGCGTACAATAAGCTAAGAAAATTTCTTTCTTACTCTCTTATGCTATAAAATTTGACGATTAGAATGAAACACATAATCGCAACTCACTCATTCCTGATAATTCATTCGACGATTGTACACGCGATACAATTCGACCCATGATTATTGCAGTAGCCTCCGAATGTATACTTCGTTCGGCCGAAGAACCGGAAGTTGCTCTGCCTGATGGTGCGTTGCTAATTGGCCTCACTTACGCGTCTACATGCGAAAAACAAAAGTAACAACGATCGTGACTCGTCTACTCTTTTAGCTACATGCTTCTTAGCTTCGTTATAATATTATACGCCTACTGTTGATTAATATGCGACCAATGAAATTCGGTGTTTGGTAGTTTCTTTCTCTTCCTTTCTCAAACACTTTGGATCGTATTCCTTTATTCTCTCTGTGAGAAACATTTATGGAGCTTTGCTTTTAAATTACTTTTTACGATATATTTCTTCCTTGCGTGTTCTGTCGCTTCACACGGTGAATATATTCGATTCTAAAAAAGGTTCAGGCTCGTTTCCTGGAACGTGATCACGGTCAAGCTGAGTTTCTTCAAGTTTTAACAAAGATATTAAATGTTAGTACGTTAACTGCTGGCATAGTAATACATTATCGTTCATGAGTATTTGGAATGAACTTTTTGAATAAGTGTAATTCTTACCGCAACTTATGAACGGTAGTGTACGCGTGTACGTTGTTCCTTGAATCAGTTTATTACATTTAACTTTGATTAGAAGAAAAAAAAAAAAAAAAGATCTGGTGATATGGAAATATTTGTTAAAACTCTTGATATACATACAAATCGCAAAACGTACACGTTATCAAATCACCGACAGATTTATTAACCCTTTCGTTGCTATAAACGTTCAATGTTTGGTTTTGCCCTAAATTCTCTGAAAATTAAAAGCAAACAATGGGAGACCTCCTTCCATAGTTAAGCCTTTGATTTCCCTTAATTAAAAAGCATAAGTAACAGTAGCGAAAGGGTTAAAAGTATCTGTAAAAAAGAAGTGCTTCTAAAAAAACGATGATGGTGTTCGAGGCTCATTGCTTATATCACTAAAGCCAGTTCCTTTAAGTATCCTTATAGTCTATCCTTATTGATTAAAGCGTGCATATGTACAGTCAATGAGCTCCTGTTTTCATTCTTACTTAATGAGCAACACTCGGCTAAAATGTCCATTATATTCTCTTTCACTCTTTCATCTCTAGAACACAACAAAAAACACATCATTCAACATTACGTTCAAACGAAGAAAACTGTGAGATAAACAAATAATAATAATAAAACTAAAATACCACCAATTCGTTCGTTTGATCGTCAAACTTAATCATCGACGCGAAACGTATACCTTTATGGCAGAGACACATACGTATATAGATCGTGTTGCTCTTTATGGCAATGTTCTTGTTCTTGTTCTTGTTCTTGTTCTTGTTCTTGTTCAAGCTTTTTCACGTGAACCTTATTACCGAAAGCAATAAGTGTTACCTCTTCCCGGTGGTAATCGCATATCGTTTCCACTTTTCGTTTTTTGCTCCATTAAAACATACACTTTGCTCTTAACTAATATACACTTTTATATACAGAATAAATTAACGAGTATCTAAACGCTAAAACAATTATCAACGTGCCAAAAGAGCAGAATATAATCCTCGACACGTTCGCGATTTTTTCTTATGATCGCTGAAAACTCCAAGATGCTTCCAATGCGATATGTTCTTCGTACACGTACGTTCTGCTACGTTGCTACACACTTATGACTTTACTTTCTCAGTTTTTTTTCTTCTTTTTTTTTTCAATTTTTTTATTATTATTATTATTTTTGTATATATTTCCTTTTTTTCTGCTCGACGATTCTTTAATTAGTTTCTGTTCTATCGTTTCATTCTCAAAAGCGACTCAAGACACTGAAACGTTAGGAGCAAGCACCAGTTCTCAGATGAATATTTAGCACCGATTCGTATGATTAAATGCAATCACAAAGTGTGATGAAATACTTGAACGGAGAAAGTTGTAATATCGTTGTGCATACACGGGAGCATCTTGTACGATGATCATTGCGGCGATGATCCGTTTATCGTACATACTCGTGCATAGGCCTATTTGGAAGCATTTTCTCTAACAATCAATATTTTTTCATGAAACAAAGCGAATGATAGGCTTCTCTTGATTAAGGACAAGAAGAAGCCTTCCATCATTCCATCGTTCTAGTATATTAGAACAGTAGTCTTCTATCGTCTCATGTCCAATTCCCACGAAGACAAATGATAAAAAGCTTCTTCCCGTCGTCTCTTAACCAAACCGAGCCTGACGTTCTCCAAATGTTATTCCACTTTTCCCAATCTTTTCCAATTTAATAATTAAGACGCGTAGGTCCAGCCTTTGCTTCGTTCCTTGTCACGCTAAAAGAAATGTATACCATTAAATATAATCGTTTCGCGGTTTTTTAAAATAAAGAAATCATTAAAAAGTTTAGTACTTAAATCTGTATCACGAGTATATACGATACATACGTGTTTGTTGCTTTCATTCCACGAATAATATTACACACATTGGAAAACTATCTGTACGCGATTCGCTGATGTGCTAATAATTAATTAGACATAAGTGTAAAATGAGATCGTGTAAATACTGTAGCCCGAAGTGTAAATTACTCCAATTTCTTCTTTCCACCCTTTTTATTCTTCTTTTCTTTCTCTCGCTAGTAGTTAGCGAATAGCAAACTTCAACGAACTGCGAGTGAAATTGTTGTCTGAACAGTTAATTATTCAATTTCCTGTTGCCTTCTACTTTCATCCTTCGATTTCCTTAGAATTCGTATGACAAAGATTACGGTTATAGAACGTGACTCGGACACGTGTCACAGAATATCAGAAATACCAGCTAAAGCTATATCTTCAGGTATGTTATATTCGACGGAAACCTATAAATACTTGATTCGAGTACAAACCATTTTCCCTTTTTCTTAAAGCTGCAAACTCATATTTTTGATTTATCATACTTTCGATCTTGCGTTTCAATACATCACGCCTGACCATTCATTAGAGAAACTATCTTTTTATACGTTTTCTATAATTTCATTCGAGACAGATACGAGTTTTTTTTTCTTCTTATTTTTTTTTAAGACAAAAAGATACAGGCTATTCGTTGGCAGAAATCTTAGATCTGTTAATGAACAACCGTTTTTTAATTCTAATTATTTTTCTTGTCCTTTCCAAATCCACCAGCCTCGAAACTGCTCGAGGAAGCGTTACTGGGGCCATCTGAGCTATCAACTTTGTGTTTCTTCGACGTTTTTCTACCTTCTACATTAACCTCTGTATTTTTACCAGTTACTTTCTGCTCGTTCGCTTTATGCAACGTGGCTGTTTTCTCACTACCTTGAAACTGCTTCTGTTTGCTAGTTCCTTCGGTTGATGAACTTTTTTCGCTTCCTTGAGACAGCTTTTGCAATGCAACTTGCGAACCTTTTTCATTGATCTGCAACGGTGGAGTTTTCCCCACCGTTTGCGAACATTTCTCGCTGTTTTGCAACGATATTTTCTGACTCGATGATTGCAAATTCTTCTCGTTGTTCTGAGATGATACTTTCTGAGAGAAAGCTTGTGAATTTTTCTCGGAAGACTGAGGCTGCTTTCCAAACACATTCTGTAGACTACGCGTTTGTAGATTAGAAAAGCTCTCGCTACGAGCAGCATTTTCCAGTTTACAAACTGGCGAGCGTTGCTCATCCGGCTTCGACGCCTTCTCACGACGATCGTTACATTCCACGGTGTTTTCTAGTTCCGTTGATTTACCGTAGAAAGGATTGTTTTTGTCGGAAGACAAAACTTCCTTCGTTGAGTAATCATCACCCTTGGAACCAGTCGGTGAATCTTTTTCCTCCGCTATTCTCGGCAATTGTGTACCGCCACAGGAATTGGACATACCCACGTTACCCAAGTTGATAGATATCCCATGAGATATCTTGGAGTAATCGGTTTTCTGATCCGCCGTCACTTTCTTCTCTACTTTGATATCATTCAAATCCTTGAAGCTATCACTGCTGTCCTCGGAGATTTCCGAGTAGGAAGATTGCGCTATAGTTACCCGAGGAGTCACCTTCACTACTGTATTAACCAATGGTGATATCGATGTTTTGTTTTCAGCGGAGCGAGGATGAAGTCTGTCTGGACTAAGAGCTCTTCTGAGGAGCGGAGAACCTGGCTCTGCAGACTTTGGCCGCCCATAGCTTTTCTTTTGATTGTTTGGCGTTGATAAGCAGACACCTGTGCGTGTACCAGCAAACGTGTTAAATTACTCTATAATATGTAAGTCAATTTCTAAATATAATTATAATTATTAGTAAGTACCTGGACTATAAGACTGTGTTGTGTTAGAGCTACCAGGCTGATGTCCCGTAGGAAACGCTAATGGACTTGGACTCCTGGTAGGGCTGGCAGGAAGCGGCGATGGGCTCGGGGTTCTCGCTAACGGAGACAACGGTATATGTCCCACGGATTTTCTACGATTTGGCGAATGAATATTCTTTGCCGCTGTATGTAACTTATGCTTCAAACCGTGTAGAGTACTTGGTCTCTGATAATGAGACTGATTGGAAATGGTTGGTAAGTTGGCAGCAGACGTGGTAGAACCCGGGGACGAAGAGTTCGGACTCGAACAAGGGCTCGAATTGCCAGTAGAATGATACGAATCTGAGCTGACACGGTTCGTTGGCGGTGACGGACTGCAAACAGATTTTGTGCAGGCTGCAAAATATGGCGATGTCTCTTGAGAACGTGTAAACGACTGGAACGATCGGCTAGGAGTCACCATTGACGGAGAACACATTCCTGCGGCCATCTGAAAGAAGTTTCGGTAACATTTTTTTTTTTTTTTCAATCAGTATTATCCTTTCAAAAAATGTAACGCATCACATGTTTTTTCTTCGATGCATTACAAGAACGTACATGTTTTTTTTGTGATCGGTGTAGTGTAAGACTGACATTGTCGCGATCAAATTGAAATGGAAAAAAAAAAAAAAAAAAAAAAAGAACATTTAAAAGCTGCCGCGAAATTGTGTTGGGCGAATAAGTATTACGATTAAAGAAAGTAGCAACTGAAACGATATTGGCAAGAAATTCACGAAAACGTTACGAAAAATCATACCATAAGTGGAGGTTTGCTGTCGCTGGATAGAATGGGTGCTGACAATGGACAACTGATAGTTAATGGCTGCAATAAAAAACGAAAATAACACTTAACATAATTGGTGTGTTGCTTAGACATTACCGGTGCTTTAGTATCTTGCTGTGCACGGTTTTGTGTTAGAGAGAGAGAAAGCGTTTTTTTATACATGACGTAGAAAAAAAAAAGGGGGGGGCCATGTATCTTTAGATTGGCTTATTTCGACTACAATTACTAAGCAAAAATAACGTGATTTTACTTGTATACCTGTTGCATCTCTACACTAGCTCGTTTCGAACTAATTCGTTTAAAAAGGGACGTTTTTCGTTTCTTATCAGAATGATCACGCTTCTGTTTACGCTGCTTGTGCAGCGTTCTGCGTGCCATTTTACTCTGGGTCAGATCTCTTCTTCTTCCACCCGTCTTTATGCTAGTATTCTCTAAGGGTGTACTACGCAGTGTCACGTGATCGCCACCACTCAACATTAATTGCAAAACTTGTATATGGTACAATCCCTGTACAGGTTCGCCATTTATATGAGTTATGAGATCTCCCGGTCTCAAGCCAGCTTCAAATGCTGGACTAGATTGATCAACGGCCTATAATATATATTGAAGAAATTTAATTAGAATTCAATTCATGAATATCATTGATTTGTTTACTCGACACGTACCATGACCAGATGATGCATTGTATAAAAATCACTGTCCCCGTAATACACCCTAATGGTATGTACCGTGAAACCAAATCCACAGGGTCCTCTTCGAATGATAATAGGAGGTTTCAAACTAGTTACGAGAGGACTCAATTCGCGACAAGGGGATGTATCTCTCGAAGAAGCAGTGGACGATCCCCCAGGAGATTCGATTGGCTGAGTATTTAATGACGCATCGTCTGAAAAGTGTAACTTATTACATATAAATAAAATGAACAACGTGTAATTCATGTTAATACATACAAGAAAAATCACTAGCAGGTATCACCAGTGACAATCCACTAGTGGATGCAGATTTAATTACGGATCGTGACTTATGCTTAGCAGAGGGTATAATTGGCATTGCGCTAAACGATTCAAACGAATCGGTACTAGAATTGTGTTTACTCTCTTCAGTTGTATCTCTGTTAGCAGCAATTAGATCCAACCTAAAATGAATTTTATTCGTTGTAGATATATATATATATTCTTAGTCAGTAGAATCATGCACTATAAGTGAACGAGTAATGTGCATGTTACGGTATTGAATCTAATGAGAAGTTGTCAATTTCTTGACATAAGGTGTTGCGAAGATGTATGTCTGAATGACTCACATGTGTTCATCATCAACGCATATACTGAACCTGGGCAGCTTGTCCCGGGAGTGCACATGCCGCTTTCTCTGAATCTGTGGACTAATATCCTCAGACTCTGTTTGCGACGAATCTGGTGTACTCAAGCTGATCGACGTTCCTTCCATTTGATTGTTCTTGATAACCGTTAATTGTGACTCGCCACTCGTCACCGTGGCAGGACTAGCAAACGATGCGTTCGATTTGTCTGCCTTTGGCGGTGTCTCGCTAGACGTACTACTCTTAATGGACGATGAAAGTCGGTTCTTATCCGACGAAGTCGATTCTATGAGTTTGGATGGAGGCATCATTGTGTTGTTCGATCCAAGAGACAACTGTGCGACTGTACGCTCAAGTTCGGTACGGAATAATTGTTTCTTCGAGGCATCCGACTCTAACTCAGGATTTAGCTGGGGTGGACGGGTTTGAGATATCTTTCGTGACTGAGGGGAATACGAGGAGAACGATCCGAACAAAGGGGAATCATCGGTGTCGTCGGTATCGTCACCTATATCGTGATTATATCTATCCATACGAGCTAAAATAATTATTGCTTCGTTATGCATTGATATCAACAGAGCAAAACAATGAAAAACAATATAATTTATTGTACGTACTATCGAAGTAACTTGTATCTTCGTCATTTACTAATTGTGGCACGAATTCAGCCTTTTGTCTGAGCAAACTATTCCAATTTACTCCATAAAAATATGGGTGTTCTTTCACTTCGTGAGATCCGCCAGTACCTAAACGATCTCTAGGGCTTTGTTGCAACAACGCTGTTATAATATCTTTAGCCTCTGGCTGAACAGGCCAGTCATCTTCATCTGGCCACTCGATATCATCTATATCGTCAATCAACAATTGATTGTAAATATTTCGTACAAGTAATAGGGTAATAAAATATATCAGACGATATTTACCATTAACTGTATGAGCAAACAGTTCCTCAGGTGTATCACCAAAAAATGGAACGCATCCAATTAGAAATTCGTACAGTATAATGCCCATAGACCACCAATCAACAGGTTTACCGTATCCTTGACGGAGTATAACTTCAGGAGCGATATACTCAGGCGTGCCGAATACCTGTTTGTCTGAAAATTGTCGGGTATCCCTGTCGATGTATCCCTCGTAAAGATTTGTCGCCACTAAAACCAGAGAATGTCTCTTTTCATAATAAAATAAAAATTTTATTTTCAGGAAGAAAAGTGCTGGTTGGTTGTTGTATCACTTACAAGACATAAGACCCATTTTACTCAGACCAAAGTCTGTGAGTTTAATATGACCAAGGGCAGTAATAAGTAAACTAGAAAAGAGAAATAATGATAGATGAAATGTTTTATATATATTTTTTTTTTAATAAAACAGCCTGTAGCTTTACGTACTTGTCAGGTTTTAAGTCACGATGAACAATACCGTAGCTATGCAGATACTCGACAGCTAAAACAGTTTCTGCGAAATAAAACCTTGCCATATCCGGTGGCAGTGGACCGATATTTTTTAAAAGATTCGCACAATCTCCTCCCTCTACGTATTCCATTACTAAACATAAGTGCTTCTACAATTAAACGATCGTTCGTAAGTTTCATTTCAATCTTGTAAATATCGCAATAGTAATAATAGTATACGTACTTTTGTTTCGAAGCTACAGTACATAGAAACTACAAATGGATTGTCTGTAAAGCTCATTATGTCCCTTTCAGCAAACACTTGCTCTACTTGATTTCGAAGCATTAGATTATTCTTATTTATTTTTTTCATGGCGAACCTTTGCCGCGTCGTTTTCTCTTTAACTAAATACACTGCGCCGTACGCGCCGTTACTAATCAGCTTCAATACTTCGTAATCGCTTTCACACGGAATGCGTTGAGACTTTTCATCGTCCTTATTCGGACTGGACGCAACTTGTAAATTACTATCGCTTGAACTCGCCGAATCTTCTAGTTTATTTAAATCTTCTTGCAGTTCTAACATACAAAGATGTTGTCTAAGCGATGCTTTCAGCAGAAGCAGAGTGAAAAAAGAAAAAAGAAAAAAGAAAAAAGGAAACTATTACCTGATATTGGATCCCTATTAAGAGACAACTTATTAATAATATACTGAGGTATATCTGTTTTTATTCCGGCATTAATTTTTGCTTGCCCTTCAGCTTGTTCTAGCAGATGATAAAATTCTTCTGGATCGAATTCTAAACATTCCAACAGTCGAGCTGGTCGCGATATTACTAATAGTAATTTTTTAATAAGCCCCGTTAATCTTGTTGCTGCTTCAAGCGACTTATCTTTGGTCTGTAAATAAAAATTTTTTCCTTTTTTCACTATCGTGTCTATGGTTACTTGTTCGTCAAAGATGATTTCTTCTATAATTACCTCCATTAGTAAATGTTCTAAATTTTCACTCATTTCATAGAAATACCTAGTTGTAATTAATTTCTCCTGAGATTTCTGTAAGCAATCTCTTGCCATTTCGATTACTTGATGATGCACAAACCGTAAAATCGGCAAAGAATCTTGCGTCATATTTGACATCACTTCGTACTCGTCCAATTCCTTATTTTCGTTGATAAAATTAGTCAGACGTTCTTCCATCTGCTGCGTTGCCTGATACAACAATTTATTTTTTTTGTCAAATCAAATCATTACGATATTACCATGTTTCCTATTTGCATCCATACCTTTGGAAATCGTTCCTTGTAAAGAGTATTCATCATAACAATTTCGCTGTCCAACACGGGGGACCGACTCGGACTACTGTAATTTAAAATTTAATAAGAATGTTACATCTAATGTACATACTTTGAAGAAGTAAAGATGTTTTACCTCAAACTTCGCGAACGCGGTCTGTGTAATGGTGACCTACGACCCTCTTCATCAAGACTGAGGGACACGCTGCCTGGGATACTAGAAATACTAGAACCTGGAAATCCCGGATGCGAAGAACACGGTGTGCCAGGCTTAGAGAAATGACAAGAAAGCATACGCAATTCGTCCTTGGTTGGAACATTTGGAAGTTGATGCAAACGTTCCTGACTCGAGTACTGTGACTAATTAAGTAAATTCGTGACTACATTTGTAAATAATTCTATTTATTCCTTAAAAAAATTAATTAGTTAGATAACTAACCGAAACATTGCTGGAACCTGGTGTTGTTCCATATCCACTAGATGGTAAACTAGCAACTGACCATCTTCTGCCATCTCCGGTTCCTGTGGCACCTCCACCGATTCTTAAATATTACGTACATACGTTTAAACATGAAATACTGCTTTTGTAACACGTACACATACTATTTAACAAAACTAACACACGGAAACGACGATCACTGTAATGCCATAAGAAAATCTTACACCCATGTTCTTCGTTTTTTTTTTATCATTTCAGACCTTAATGTTTGCATCAGCATTTTGTTTTTCTCCACTATTAATAATGTATTAAAAATACAGTGCTTACGACGGCGACATCTACTTACATAGATAATCAGATCAAATTTAAACATACTAAAAGTAGGTATGAAATAGATACCTTTTAATTGGAGCAAAAGCAAAATGTGGACTGGATGACATCCTAGGACTCTCTAGGGGACTGCCTACAATCGGGACGAATGCTATATTGGAAAACAAGCAATAAAAGAAATTAATTCTCTATGATATTTTCAAAATATAAAAGACACTTCTTTTCTAAATAAATAAAAGATAACCTTTTAAGGATATTATTCAAGGGCATAATTGTTCAAATATTCTAGATCTATCATGTTTGAAACTATAAATAGCAGAATAACTATATCTCAAACACACGGCTGCAAACCAATGGCTGCATACGCACCCGCATGCATCTATATATGTTAGAATATTGGATAAAGATGTGCCAGAACACTTATATAATATTCTTATAAAGCATATAACATTTGGTCACTCACAAACGAGTGTTACATATCTATATATTATTATTATTATTATTATTATTTCTATTAGACATGATATTTAAAACATGATATATCTACCATTTAAATATATCACATTTAAACAATATAATTGAATCAGAAATTAGCGATAACACACCTGATAATGGTGAATGACAACGTGGTAAAGTTGGAGATGTTGTTGCAATAAAGGACTTACGATGTGCCGCTTTAGCAGCGCGCCGAGAAATATTAAAATCACGCTATAAACAAATGTAATATAATGCGTTATATGTTTTATATTAGAAGAGTAACAAAAAATATGTACAATATTACTGACCACATGAACGGATAAAGATGGTGCAGACTTCCCAATTGCAGAGTTCCTCATTCGAACCAAATTTGACAATTCTCCGCTAACTGGAAACATGAAATAGTTAAAACTGAGAAAAAAGAAAAGTAACCGATACGTAAAATTATACAAAGTTTTATTAACCAGGCCTAACTGGAGCTTCTTTGCTTTCCACTTTGGGTGGTATCGGTCGTCTTTGAATCTCTGCTTCTGTACTACAAGCAGATTCTTCGCTTTCTGCCTGATCAAATACCAGTACTCTGGCAGAATTGCCATGGGAACGCAGACGTGGTCTACTAGGTCTATTTCTGTTTTGATCCATGTTGGCACTATAGTAGTTTTTTCTTTAATGACTTAAGTTACCTAAAATTAAATGCACCTCTTAAGTATTTCTCCTGATTTTTTGAAATAACGAATGGTTGAAAAAACAAAGAAAGGAGTAGTAAGAAGTATACCTGCTTCAAATCGTTTTATTCACAGGAATGAAAAGAATAGAACAGGTAAGTACGATCAACGAGACCGTTGAAAAATTCACAATCCATTCTTTCTTGTGAAAGTTCGATCGACGAAGAGACTGACGATGTAAGATCAGTCGGTGGTGCGAGTTGGAGAGCATTCGTGTTCGTACTCAAAATCCGATAGCCCAAAATGCCGTCTTAAACAATTCGTTGTTAATGCTGCTGTGTGAAAAATGTATAACATATAAGAATATATAGGAAATAAATCGCGCTGGTGAGTAAAAATGTAATGGTAAGCGGTTTGGAGGATCGTACTAAGGAACCGTTTAATAAATTATACCTGCTCGAACGACAGAAATGAGAGTTTCCCAGAAGAGGGAAACCGGGATATAGAATTTTTGACGAGGGAAATGAGAAAAGAAAACACACAACACTAAACACACATAATGGATACGAGCGAGCTAAACGAAAGGAAGATAAAAGATGCACGATTTACCGCACACAACGGGCATGTCCTCTCAGGACAAGCGGCCCGGGAGTGAGCAGGTGTCGTAGTCCCGGGTCTAGACTCGCATTTTTCTCGTTACCGCAGAAATTAATTACGAAACGCGGACCGACCATGGGTTCTGACTCATGATGGATGTACACATACATACGTTCACATACACCCGCGTACCAACATCTATACACATAAAAACGCACGCGCAAACGCTCGTGCATGAAAACGCGCACAAATACATGCATCCTTGGCCGCGAGCTGCACCAAGAATCAACACCAAACCCTTTATACAGAGAAGTACGAGTATGTATGTACATACATACATGCTCTGTACTGTGTTGACCATATCGGTATTGTTCCTAGAAACCTCGCCATTGTTATATTCAATATTCAATCGAACCTTTCCAATTTCAGCTTCAATGCATTTCCTCTTTAAACATTCATATTTCAAGGAAGTTAATAGGTTTCTTCTCATAACTTTCATTTATTTATCTGACAATGAATGTACATTTTACTTTTTATTTACATTCGATTAGATCTTTTTAAATTTTGCATTCTCGTTTGTGTTAGAAAAAAAAATACACTTTCGTTTCTGAGATTAATGTTTATAGACTACATATATCGTTTTCATACATTAAATGATAAATAATTAATACGGAAATATTATACCTTAAATGTTGAATTATCTTGGAGGATAACTTGAAATTTAAAAGTACTAATTCGCTTATCACAATTCAATTATATTCAAAATTTATCACGTGGTAAATTTTAAATTTCCAGTTACATTATGAATTTCCTTTTCAAAGATATGTATAAAGTATCGGAAATAAACTTAGATTGATTTGAAGCTAATAATCAATCGTAATTTTCGTTATATGCTTTAAAGGTATACGTGTATGAGTTGTCAGTAATAAAATTAAAACTATAGTTTTAATGTTTACATTAATACAATATATTTCAATGTATTTTAAAATACATATTTTAACGCAGTAACTTCTCTTCTCTGAATATAAGATACTAAAAATATCAACTGCCCATAACTATGCGAACAAAAGCTAGGCGGTCTTTTTTGACACATATCAGCTGATGCATCAACACAACGAATACCATTATAAAAAACCAATGACTACATATCCAACAAGATTGGACATGACTTTCTTTTCGAGGGATCTTGAAGTGCGCCATGCCATAATGTCGGTATGCAGAGAGAGCCATCGTGCTTCGGGGTCCCTGATAACCCAAGATGATAGGCCAAGGCCACCCCTTTCAGTTATTAATTATTTTATCCCTCTTTATGGGCCAAGACCCACGCTCTCTAACTATTTATTATCCTACTCCTCTTTATGGATCAAGGTCTCCCTTGGCAAATATTTATTTCTTCATTCTTTTTTTAAGCATTGTGGGGACTACCACTAACTCACTGTATATCCGTATGACTTGTATGTACAGTGAAACATTATCAGTCTTATAGTGACCGCCGAGGGATGCAGATCTACCTGCTAAACATACATATATCCTTATTTTATTTTCTGCGTTCATTTAATTTTCTGTACGTATCTTACCTAGAATACAGTCCACAGAGTTAAAACATCAAGGAAAGTATACTAGAACTACAATATTACAGAGACAAATTATTTATAACTGAACTATCCTGATAAACTGTATTTCATTATTAAAATATACGAAAATTAAAGTTCTTATTAGCATTTTATTTTTCCTTTAATAACGTCCTCTTAAAGTAGAAAAATTTACAGTACTTGACTTTATTGTCTTTTTACTAAGAAATATGATGCATCTTAATTTTATTCTAGATCTCATGTTTTAGAAAATATAATCATGTAAGTAAGAGTACGTGTGTTATGTATGTTTTTAAGTAGAATTAAGTATTTTTAATGTTTGAATACTGCGCCATCTATGCGAAAGCGGCGGAAACTAGTCAATAAATTACCGACTTATCGACTGAAACGGCGACAGTCGGTAATTGAGCCTTCGACAGTCGGTAAGTTGACGAATAGTTTACGCCGCTTTTGTATAGATGGCGCAATGGCCGATGGATGGGGTGTCAAGGACCCCAGCGACTCTTTTTGCGTACCGACCTAATATTATCTTGGGGTTTCAAGGACCCCGGCGACTCTTTTTGCGCAACAACCTAATATTATATTGGGGTTTCGAGGACCCCGGCGACTCTTTTTGCGTTCCGATCTAATATTATATTGGGGTTTCAAGGACCCCGGCGATTGTTTTTGCGTACCAACCTAATATTGTATTGGGGTTTCAAGGACCCCGGCGACTCTTTTGGCGTACCGACCTAATATTATATTGGGGTTTCAAGGACCCCGGCGACTCTTTTTGCGTACCGACCTAATATTATCTTGGGGTTTCAAGGACCCCGGCGACTCTTTTTGCGCAACAACCTAATATTATATTGGGGTTTCGAGGACCCCGGCGATTCTTTTTGCGTTCCGATCTAATATTATATTGGGGTTTCAAGGACCCCGGCGATTGTTTTTGCGTACCAACCTAATATTGTATTGGGGTTTCAAGGACCCCGGCGATTGTTTTTGCGTACCAACCTAATATTGTATTGGGGTTTCAAGGACCCCGGCGACTCTTTTGGCGTACCGACCTAATATTATATTGGGGTTTCAAGGACCCCGGCGACTCTTTTTGTGTACCGACCTAATATTATATTGGGGTTTCAAGGACCCCGGCGACTCTTTTTGCGTACCGACCTAATATTATATTGGGGTTTCAAGGACCCCGGCGACTCTTTTGGCGTACCGATCTAATATTACATTGGGGTTTCAAGGACCCCGGCGACTCTTTTTGCGTACCGACCTAATATTATATTGGGGTTTCAAGGACCCCGGCGACTCTTTTTGTGTACCGACCTAATATTATATTGGGGTTTCAAGGACCCCGGCGACTCTTTTTGCGTACCGACCTAATATTATATTGGGGTTTCAAGGACCCCGGCGACTCTTTTGGCGTACCGACCTAATATTATATTGGGGTTTCAAGGACCCCGGCGACTCTTTTGGCGTACCGACCTATTATTGCATTGGGGTTTCAAGGACCCCGGCTACTCTTTTGGCGTACCGATCTAATATTATATTGGGGTTTCAAGGACCCCGGCGATTGTTTTTGCGTACCAACCTAATATTGTATTGGGGTTTCAAGGACCCCGGCGACTCTTTTGGCGTACCGACCTAATATTATATTGGGGTTTCAAGGACCCCGGCGATTGTTTTTGCGTACCGACCTATTATTGCATTGGGGTTTCAAGGACCCCGGCTACTCTTTTTGCGCACCGACAAATCGTGGGGTGTCGGACACCCCTGGCGCCGGGAGAGGGGGTTCCAGATGCCTAGCTAAAGGCATACAGATACCCTTATTTTATTTTCTACGTTCATTTATCTTACTGTAATTACATTCTTAGCTTATTGAATAAACTCCTTAACAGTACGATCGTGTTGATTTTATTGCTTCCGTCTGGACCCTTTATATCTCTGATTCCACTATATCACTGCATCCCTTACATCTCTTCATCCCTTACATCCCTACATTCTTATCATTCCTACATTCCTTACATCGGTTCATCCCTTGCATCCCTACATTCTTATCATCCCTACATTCCTTACATCGCTTCATCCCTTACATCCCTACATTCCTTACATCTCTGCATCCCTTATAATAAATATATTACAAAGACTGCTTCGAGTAAAGATAAGTAAAGGTAAGTAAAGGTAAGTAAAGGTAAGTAAAGGTAAGTTAGTTTTTCGCCAAAAATTCAGCAAGATTTAGTTCCTTTTTCGAAAACCAGAGGGCGCTGATTCGACATCGAAATTTTAGTTCGCACTTTTGCCGCCAGAGGGCCAAAAATTCAGCCTGATTTAGTTCCTTTTTCCAAAACCAGAGGGCGCTGATTCGACATCGAAATTTTAGTTCGCACTTTTGCCGCCAGAGGGCCAAAAATTCAGCCTGATTTAGTTCCTTTTTCCAAAACCAGAGGGCGCTGATTCGACATCGAAATTTTAGTTCACATTTTTGCCGCCAGAGGGCCAAAAATTCAGCCTGATTTAGTTCCTTTTTCCAAAACCAGAGGGCGCTGATTCGACATCGAAATTTTAGTTCACATTTTTGCCGGTAGGGGGCGCTGTTTTTTCGAAATTTTTGAGCATTCCTAAAAGTGCTCCAATTTAAAAATTAATTAGATATTCATTAAGAGGGGTCAATTGTGGCCTTTCTGGGTAAAGCCTCTTTGCCCAAAATCTACTGCGCAGCCCTAACTCTCTCCGTTAACTACTGCGCAGCCGGTCAAGGCTCCCGCGGGAGAGCCAAATTCCAGGACCAACACGATTTTTGGGCATTCTTAAAAGTGCTCCAATTTAAAAAACAATTAGATATTCATTAAGAGGGGTCAATTGTGGCCTTTCTGGGTAAAGCCTCTTTGTTCAAAATCTACTGCGCAGCCCTAACTCTCTCCGTTAACTACTGCGCAGCCGGTCAAGGCTCCCGCGGGAGAGCCAAATTCCAGGACCAACACGATTTTTGGGCATTCTTAAAAGTGCTCCAATTTAAAAAACAATTAGATATTCATTAAGAGGGGTCAATTGTGGCCTTTCTGGGTAAAGCCTCTTTGTTCAAAATCTACTGCGCAGCCCTAACTCTCTCCGTTAACTACTGCGCAGCCGGTCAAGGCTCCCGCGGGAGAGCCAAATTCCAGGACCAACACGATTTTTGGGCATTCTTAAAAGTGCTCCAATTTAAAAAACAATTAGATATTCATTAAGAGGGGTCAATTGTGGCCTTTCTGGGTAAAGCCTCTTTGCCCAAAATCTACTGCGCAGCCCTAACTCTCTCCGTTAACTACTGCGCAGCCGGTCAAGGCTCCCGCGGGAGAGCCAAATTCCAGGACCAACACGATTTTTGGGCATTCTTAAAAGTGCTCCAATTTAAAAAACAATTAGATATTCATTAAGAGGGGTCAATTGTGGCCTTTCTGGGTAAAGCCTCTTTGCCCAAAATCTACTGCGCAGCCCTAACTCTCTCCGTTAACTACTGCGCAGCCGGTCAAGGCTCCCGCGGGAGAGCCAAATTCCAGGACCAACACGATTTTTGGGCATTCTTAAAAGTGCTCCAATTTAAAAAACAATTAGATATTCATTAAGAGGGGTCAATTGTGGCCTT